GTGGGTTTCTTCATCCACAGTGTTGGTGGTCGAGAGGGGGGGGAGGGCCGGGGGGGGCGGGGGGGGGGGGGGGCGGGGGGGTGGGGGGGGGGGGGGGGGGGGGGGGGGGGGGGGGGGGGGGGGGGTCGATGATTCATAGACTTTTTGTCGCTCAGGGCTTTACCTTGGTATTGGCTTCCTGTACCTGGGCATTTCACCAATGAACCTACCAGTTGGGTTTATCGGTTCACATTTTTCGGTTCACAGCGCGGGTTTGGAAGGATCTCGAACCTCGCAACTCTCGTACACATGGTGTCAAGTTTTCGGTCACATGGGGGAATTCCGATAAGTAACCAAGTATCCTCCCGTGTGGTCAGTTTGGCACATGCTTCGTGTCAAGGCCGCAATAGTCTTCATTGGTGTACCATAAATTACATCGACCTCAAGGTTGATTCCAAAAAGCGTTGAGCGATGTTGGCAGTTCGTGCTTTGGCCAAGAATGATAGGATCTTACCCCATTTTCCAGAGCAATAAATTAAACTCCCCCTTTCAAGTAATTGAGCTACATTCCGAGAAGTCTCAATTGTAGATTGAAAGGATATGCCTAGCCATTGCCTGTATACAGCACTCGCCTCCTCATTCCTTGCTGAAATGTAATGGAAACAACCTCAATGGAAGTTAGTGTATCTGACCTACCGGCCAATCCCAAAGAGCGCTAATTTAAGCTTAAGTACTCGTGCTGAGGCGTCCACGGGTCAAGTGCTCAGATGGTAAGCACGAGGTCGGGCCGACTATGTTCCGAAGGACCAACGGGCCGGTCGCATGGATTGGTGCCTTAGTCCTGAGGCATTAGGTCCCTCTATGGTCATACTCTGCACACACTTGAAATGTCGTGAGAAGTAGCAGTGGGTATAAAAGTAGCCATGAAATTCTAATTAAAAACACCTCGCTATCTTGGATATAAAAATGAAAACAAAGTGGAACCAAAAGAAAAAGCACAAACAAAACATCTTAATCAATGATCTTTCCCTGTGCCGGCTGGGTAGGCACAGGCTGCGCTTGTGGAGGCTCGATATATGCGTCCTTGCTCGAGCGCATCGTAGCAGACCCAAGCAAATTGAAGGGGTTGTTGACTCTCATATACATGCAATAGCACAGGGTAAGGCCAACGACAACGATCTCATCCATAGCGGCTGTATCAAAAGCCTTGGGACCCAACAGTTCAATCTTGGCGAATCTCTTCACAGCCCAGACATTGGCCGAGAATTTCGCGACAGGGTTCTGGTTCTCGTCGCAGCAGATAAAGTCCCATGTCTTGAACCCGCTGTTGCTAGTCCAGGACATCTTGGCTGGTTTTCCTGTGTCGGAGTAGATGTGTGAATAGTGCGTGTACATGGTTCGCAATCGGCTCTTGGCGCGGAGAGTTCCTTTGGAACCGTGTAGTTCGAAGTCAGGACTAATGGAGATGGCGTGGATGGTGCCAGTTCCGACTTGTCGGTCTTGTTCCATTGACTTGAATTTCAGGTGTGGGGCGAGCATGTCGCAGTTCACATCGTAGACTAGCTTGGGGTTGGGGTTCTTGGGTTCAAAGTCTGTCACGTAGATGTGCATTTTCGACCACATAAAGTTGACTGCCAGGCTGCGTGATTGTCCAATGGCCATGTGGCTGGGAACTTCTTCGGAAGATGAGTCCATTTTGTAGTAGTAGAAGATGAGAAGTATGGAGTAGTGGAGGTGGTGATGATGAGTGTGATGTTTTGGATACTTTGGATGTGTATGATATGAGTATTCACCTGTCGAGGGTCCAGGTAGGTTATATAGTCGTTGTCATAAGATGCTCGTAAAGCTGAGCCCCCAATTTAGCTCAAAAAGGCCCTACGTCGCGATCCGCCCCCACAGCCATTCCGTATGCCAAGGAGACGCTGATTGGCTGAGCGCATCATCGCGCCCGATGCGGCTAGATCCGATGATGATCTTTGTCAGCTTGGGCCTTCGTGTTCTGCGATTTCGCTCGTGTCTGCTGCCCCTGATTGAGGCTGTGGTTGATTTTAAGCCGTGGGCGTACTTATAAGGTCAAAATTGAATGGTTGAGTCCACTGTTGCAGGGCTGAATTGGCAATGATGTCATGAAAGCTTCGAAGATAAGCTTATTAGTTTCTTTCGATTGGCGTGGGATTTGATTTCTGCTCAGTGGGGGAGAAATTGCTCAAGTGGTACTCTGTACATGCTTCATAGCAATACAGCAATAGGTACGGAGTACGAGGTATTTCCACTCGATATCAGCCACGCTGGACAAAAGTGACTGGTCGAGACACTGGGCATGGGTATCCGATCTTCCAAAGTGATCGGCACTTCCTCTTGGCTCAGAACGCCCTGTAAATGTGGAACATACAGTCCCCAGGTCTCACTGGGATGGTTGCGGAGTCATTTTGATCTGCTCTCGTCAGTTCGCTCGAGCAAACAACACACTCAGGCCGTATCAATGACCACGGCCTCAGTCATGAGCTTGTGCTCTTTAGTTTCCCCAGCCACATCGAGCGAAACATGCCACTCGAAAGAGTTTGTGTGGATGATGCGGAATGTTGAGAATTCGGGGAACGTCGCTGAGCCCGGGACCATAAGTTGGTTCCCATGGCACAGTCCTCTCGGCGAGAGTGTGAGCTGGAAAAGATTCCCGAATAGAACTGGCTCGTTGAGCTTGCCTGTGGTAATTTTCAAGGGCGATTCTAGATTTTCGAAGAGCTTCTGAAGGCCTGTGTCTAGAACTCGCGTTTGAGAAAGTTCCACAACTTCTTTCTGGTGTTCAATGTCAAATGAGGTGTGTTCGGTTTTCCGGTGGATGATCAAGTTGATCCAATTGACTTTGAATTCCTGGGGGACATCCCTGATGGAATCGGACGTTTCGTCTCGGCGGGGGAGGATATTCAGTGATACAGCGATAGGCTCTGGGTTGCTCATTTGAATGACGCAGGGCATTGTAATCTCGGCGAAGTAGAAGAGTTTTGGAACACTGGAAGTGTGGAAAAACTTCTTAATGCCTTGTCCCACAGAGAGTCCCGAATTAGCCATCCCAGAAAGCAAGCGCGGGCTTCGGATGGATTCTCGACATCTCCATGCTTTCACATCGTATCGATTGTGACATTCTGGCATTGGGTGGCGGATGTTAATGGGCCATATTGTCTCGTGCTCCTCATTCTTGCGACCAAAGCTATAGCGTAGACTTGCCTTCAGGCAATATTCCACCTTGGATTGAGTTCCATCCGCGAGTGGTGTGGAAATGAAAGACCCTGGCAAAACTTGCGGGGTCGGTGGATCAAGTCTATGCGTTGTTGGACTGGCCTCTGTCGGAATCCTTATCTCAAAAGGCCAACTGAGGGCTTCGTCGCTGCCCTCTGGGAGGTGCAGAGGCCCCGTGTACAGAGTCTCTGGTTTCAGGTCCAGCACTTGATATACAACATTGAATGTCTCTTTTGTATGACCGCGTCTAATGACCCGCGACTTGATTCTTCCGGTGAGCAAAATGGTCACCTCTGCTTCGGGGGTAACTATAGGCGTGTGTCGGATAAGGTGGCCTAGAATCGTGTCCCCGGGGCTAAATTTCCAACCCGGAGGGGCTGCAATGTCGAATTTGAGGTCCGCATTTCCTTTCGTGACATTGAAACGCATTGTGTGAGTGAGAATTGCAGCTGGTCTCTTTTTTTGGTTTTCTTGGAAACACAAATTTTGCGCGCTAGTTGAGGTCAGGGGCCAAAAGCGATAACTTGGCTGTCCGGAGTGTTCCGTACCCCGCAGTGCAATCAACAATCATCTCGAGGTGAAGATTTTCGTATAGGGGAGAAAGGATAAAGAATAGAGATTCAATAAAATAAAGTCCGACCGGCGGACATGAGCCAGAAGAAAGACGTTGCTAGATCACTGTCTGGGAATAACCTCACACTGCAAACGCTCTGACCATAAGGGAAAAAAAGCAGAGATAACACTTCGCGGTCGTAAAAAAAAAAGCTATCACGAAATTTGAGAATAGGATCAATGGCCAATTCACACACAGAGCTCCCCATATATCTTTCGTTCTTGGTCATGTATGTTCAAAGCCTCCACTGTCGGGTTTGACATGTTCTCTGCCTCGGCTTGTATCTGATCAAGCTTGACAATGTCTTCATAGTGTTGCAGCGCCACTGCAAGACCCGCATTGCGACCGATCTCCTGAAGACGCCGGATCACCCACCGACGCGTTTCACTTTTCACCACTGTCGATTGTCCGACAGTGTAAAGAACCCAAGTGAGAAGATAACTCCCGGAGACGCTGGCGGGAGAAGAGAAATCGACCGTGGAATTAGGCTGCGACGTGGAGGAGATATACCCCAAGGCCTGTGGGACAGTGGCCAGCATGTCATTCTCCAGCTTGGATTGGATTTGGAGTGTTCCTTGAAGCCCTGTTTTCGCATGTGCTCGGAGGACTGGGTCTGTACTTGTGGTAAGGGTTTTGGTCAGTATGAAGTAGATGATGTTGCATGTTATCATCTGGAGCATGCGTGCATTGTTCCAGACACGGATTGCCCAGCTGGAGTGGTAGATATCATATCGGCCACGGTAAACGACTTCTGGATCCCCGCCAGGATGGAAGTTGGTGGTGTAGGGCTCTTGAATGGCAAGGGAAGCAAAAAGAGTTTCGAAATCCCGTTGGAGAATAGTTGCCTCCTGCAAGAGTTCAGGCCAGTGGAATTCCGCTGTAGGTTGTCGAACCTTATAGAGAAGGTCTACATGCCGGGATGCCAAAACGCCGAGAAGCCAAAAAGCCCCGGACGCAGTCTCGTACTTGATCGCCTCTTCCTGGAGTGCGCGCATATCCTCTGGGAATGGCAGATTGCTGTGTACGCAGGCAACTACTATATCCGCACGCACTTGATTAAACATAAGGATGGCGGCAGGATTAGTGAATTGGCGCTTCCCTCGAGCCACGACGAGCGCTGCAGCTCCTTGGACGTGTTGGCTCCAAGAGGCGTAATTTGAGGTGTTTTCGAAGACACCCAACGAGATAATGGACATCAGAATATCATCGTTCAGAGACTCGACAGGAGATGCTAACGCGGCATTCACAAGTTGGATCGCCTCGGAATATTTTGCTCGTGCGTTCCTGACCATCCCAGGCTGCCGGGCCGTATTTGCCAGTGCCACGAGTCCGACCGCCGCCATACTGGCTACCAAGGTCGGATGCTGGCCATCAGAGCCGTACAGATTCGAGATATAATTCAAATGCCCACGAGAAGAAGAATGACCCCCCGCGACAAAGTTGTTCACAAAAAAGGCGATCCCGATATCGTCAAGATTCGGGGAGGGACTGCGAGCCGGTGGGGATGTGGAGTTCGCTTTGGCTTTTTTTTCAGCCTCTTTCTTCAGGGAATTCTTGATGGTCTGGCCCGTCTGATCTCTGAAATGAAGTTCCCATTCAGACCGGTAGCCGCCACATACTTCACGCGTGCGAATACACTGTCCGCAATGAGGCACCTGTTTATCGCACTGAGGACGATTGATTAGCATGTACGTCACGGACGGCCATATGGTGCAATACCTACCCGACGCTTGATGGCCCGGCAGTTGGCACAGCTCTTGGAAACCCTGGGACGTGCTCCATTGGGGGAAGTCATGGCAGATCAATATACGAGGTGCTTGGCATGCGATAAACAATAAAGCAAAGTGATCTGTATCCCGGTGAGCGTAAGGCTGCTGACAACAAAATGATGAAAGGTTAACGGGAACAAGCTCAGATTCCAAGACTCCTGCACCACCCCGCATCCACGCGTCCTCTTGGCGGTCGAATTTGATTTCAGCCTTGACGGAGATACGAGGCTGGGGGCCGTGGATTTTGGCCCCCACCTGCCGGCCATGTCGTGGCACCGCCCCGTTGGGGGAATTGGTGATTTCAGCTGAACATGTTCGGGAAGAAAAGCGACGATCATTTGTGTTGTCTATCAGCCACTGACATCTGTGTGCAGCGTAGATCGGCAGTTCCGATGCGAAAGTGCTGGAGTGGGTGAGGCTGAGGCCAAGGGGAACAGAACACTGCAGACCGGGGGCCGCGCTAGTCCGAAACGGGTAACATAGATGCTCGGCCAGTCATTGGCGAGAGAACTGCCGAAAGGGCTGATCGTCTCTTGAGCTTGTTTTTTTTTTTCTCCGTTTCTATACAGATAGTTTAGTCCTATTTAGGAACAAAAGTTGCTCTACCAATACCCAAACACAATAGCTTCCACTGTCACCACAGGGCTGTACCGGACCAAGAATAAGAGAATAGCTCTAGAGACCAATATAAATGCTTGTTACTCCCCAGACAACTTCGCAGACAGACTCACAGACTAAGCTACTCCTAAGCTACTACCAGCCATTTCAACTCTGTCTCAATCAGTATACATCCTCGCAACCAAACACTCAATATGGGATCCGTCACCTACCGCAACGGCATCGCCATACTCCAACTCATCATCTTCCCCTTCATCCTTGTGGCTTCTTTATTCATCTGGAGGCGAACAGGATTCAAAGTCGGTAGCAGGATTTGGCGATACCCTTTCACACTATCTCTGCTCCGTATTGCAGGCAGCATCTGCTCCCTGTTGACGATCAGCAACAAATCCCAAAATATTTACATCGCCGAAGCTGTGTGCGAGCTGATCGGCATCGCACCTCTGCTTCTCACTTATATCGGAGTTCTACGACAGATGTGAGTGACTCAAATCGTCAGAATGCCTAGGCGCGATCTACACATACTGACATCCCATTCCAGTGACACGGAAGAAGAAATTCCACCAAGGAGCTCAAGACTGATCACCCTGATTACATTCATTGGTCTAATCCTCGGCATCGCAGGCGTCAGCACAGCCAAAGATGGAGATTACAAGACCGGCCTGACAAAGGGTGCAATGGGCATCTTCCTTGCTGTCTTTGTCATCTTCGTTCTCGTGACTATCTGGCTTCGGCTCCAGTTCTACGAACTGAAGCAATTCCAGAAAAAGCTGTTCCTGGCTATTGCTCTTTCTACTCCTTTCATCTTGGTCCGTTTGATCTACTCTGCTCTCAGTGATTTTACCGACATACCTCGCTTCCAGCTCTTTGGTGATGATACTGTTTACTTGTGTATGTCTGTTTTGGAGGAGATTGTTGCTATGGTTATTACTATGGCGCTTGGTACTTCGGCTGTGCTTCAGAAGGATTTTGTTAGGTTGGACTCGGCTCAGCAGAACTCTGAGAAGAATGATGAGGTATAAGTGCCCAGGTGGGTTTGGGATACATTCAATTTTGGGAGATACTGGTTGGCTTTCTGTTGGTTCGACATTGGAGCTTGTGTCAAAAACGTCGGATATAATGTACTGGTAATTACTGCCATTTAGCGATTATTTTTATTTGACTCAAATGTTGAGATAGATTCGAGCAATGATAGATATTTGAACCTTGTAAGTTCCAGGGGTTCTCATGGTTGAATGTGAGGGGCGTTGAGTATCAAGCTCTAGAGCCAACGGCATACTTAGTACTACTCGAATTCTACGTAAGGATTTATAGAAATTCCTTGAGGCGGCCACTGCTATCTTTACTTCACTTCAGAAGTGGATGATTCAGAGCACAGCAGAATTGAAAATGGTATTGTGACCAGCAGGCACTCGTAACCCTGCTGGATATGCGTTAAACATCAATCGTGTCTATATGAATTACATGAACATAAATGTGGCCGTAGCCATGGCCGCGACCAGAGCCATAAGACTCTTTGTCTCGGCAGACTCCTTCAAATTCCCACTAGCAGCGCCAGTGTGGTTTGCCGAGCCATTGACGGACGTTGGCTTAGTACCAACTCCACCAGGTAGTCCCTGGTATGAGAAAGTCAAGTTTTGGGGAATGGATGTGTTGTAGCACTCTCCCTTGGCAATATCCAAGTTGCTCAGATCATCCGCATGTTTGAAGAACATGTAGTTTGACTGGTTGAGAGACTTGAAGCCGGAGGTGTCGTATGGAAATTTGTCGCCTGGGTCGGTGGCACTGGTGTTTCGGAGCCAGATGCACTGGACTTGTCCCGGGAACTCGGTGGCCATCTTGGGGTAATCGCGCATGACGTCGCTGTTACTGGTGTCGGCGACCAAGATGAACTTGCGCTCGGGGAATGTCTCGAAGACCTTCTGTAGCAGGAACTTGCGGATCGATAGAGTGGCGGAGACGTCGCTGAAGTTGAGGGGACGGGTATCGAATGAACCACCGGGGAAGTTGGCGTAGATGAATTCCATGTAGTTTCGGGTGATCTGCTCCGGGGTTGTGGTGAGGTAGTGGAAATGCAAGTCGGGGAGGCTGGTGGACCAGTTGCGGTAGATGTCTGGCATGTTCTCCCAGGGTGTGAAAGGACGAGCGAAAGAGTTGAGCAGGCCTTGCTCCGGCTGGTAGATTTTAGTCACGCGAAGGATATCGTCGATGTCGGACACAATGGTGACACCCTTGGGGGGAACAAGGTAAGCAGTGCTGTTGCCGATAGTTGCGTTCTTGACGTGGACGTCCAGTCTCTGGATGGCCGAGGTTTCATTTCCTGCGGTAAGTCCCTTGCTCTTAATTGGCAGGAAGGTGTCGAAGTCACCCTCAACAGTGGTGTTGTACGGCAAAGTGAGGTCTTGCGTGCCACCAGTGGTATTGGACGAACCACCTCCGCCTGGCTGTCCGCTGGAGCCCTGGCCCGCTGCAGGTTCCAGGTGAATAGTGTTCACAGCCACTTCTGGCTGTTGCACAATGAAGATCTCAGCAGTGAGATTACGAGCCTGGTCAGCCTGAGACTTGGGAAGGTCTGAGATGCTGGTGTTGACAAGGAAGACGTTGGCAAGCTTGTTCAAGGTTGAGACAGAGGTGTTGGGCTGCTTGTAGACATTTCCGTGGAAACGCACGTTCCAGCCTGAATTGGTCCAGTTGGCATAGGGATCAATGTTCAGAACGTTAGTTGGCAGTGCTGCCAGATCGCTCTTGTCAAGTCCTAGGGAGCTTGCGACGGCATCTCCCGTCGGGAAACCCTGGAAGAAGTTGGGCACTCCAGACGCGACCCAAGAAGGGAGGTTCGATCCAAGTCCTGAAAGCACGCTGTCGGCATTAGATTCTACATCGCTGAGGATGTTTCGAGCAACGACTGGAGAGGGATAATTCTCCACCGGAGAAGCGGTAATGACGGGCGCGGCAGGTGCTTCATTGGCAAATACCGTTGGCGCAGGGGCAGCCAAGGCAACTGAAATCAGCGATGCCTGAGCAATTAATGTGAAAGACCTCATGGTTGCAAGTGACAAGAACCCGTTACTCCACGCAAAAGAAGGGCGGCTCAACGCGGTTTAATATCAACAGTGACGTCATGGGCCGTTCCAAGTTTGTCGCGCAACTTTTAAGGCTCTTTACACCTGCGTCATGGCTAATTTCCCATTAATTTCACTCGGTTACAGAGTTGCATTTGTTTAGAAGGATATTAATGGAAATTTAGTCTAGACTGAATACATTGACCTACCAGAGTGGGTCTAGATTTCAATATGTTCTAGCACTTAAGATTGTATGGAGTAGATATTGAAGCAGAAATCACGAAACCAATATCAAGAAGAAAGAATAGACTAATGAATTAGCAATTTCGGTGATTGGTTCATCCAGACCTGCCTAATGATGTACACGGCAATAGGTGGTATATCACATCCAGCCCAAAACCTACGGACACCTGGCCATTCGTTGAAGTGGTTCTCGGAGATCTGCCACTTGAGCAGAAAACATACTTGGCTGACTCCACCTCTACCATTGCCGAATGGAACCCGCTGCATGTGTTCATTTGAAAAATTCTCAACAAGGGCATATGAGATAAATGATGGCAAGTGATTAGCCAGCGGTACAAGGATATGTACCAATTGAAGACCCACCACCTGAAGCGCCTCGTCACAAATGTCGAAAAAGGCGGGGAGTTAGACGGCCATAAGGATGTGCCAGAAATAGTATGTGAAGAGCTGTACATGGAAGAACCGCAGAGACTAGAGAAGAACTGTCGCAAGGGAGGACATATTATCAGAAACGGGATACCGTTTCCTCCCATCAATTGATATGTGAGAACGAGTTACCTTGTGCACCGTGCTAACATACATCTCACTTAAGTATCACTTCATTCTTCATTCTGTCAAACAAAGTCATTCAGGGTCAGAGTATTCGCCAAATCATCCAACTGATATCTTTCACAGTTCAAGTGCCAGGAAATGTATCCATACTTGAATCCTTCCCACAAATCCCCCGCCAACTTCAGGTGTGTATTTTCATCTTCAGTCAATTTTGAAGTTTCAAACGATGCATATTTGACAAATGCTTGATCTAAAGCCTGCGTTGCCCTTAATATGTCGTCGATCAGCTCTTGAAGGGTGTCTCGATATGTCCAAAGTCCACTTGTGAACTTGGAGCTGTGGCCTCCCAAACGATGTACTTTAGTCGACAACGCGACGTAATTCTCCGTCTCTCCAGCTTTGACTTCCTTGGGGAAAGAGAGAAAGTCGTTTGCCAAACCGATGTAGCATTCAAGGCTCGGAATAGTCGAAACCCAATACTCCAAAGGAACCTCCACCCGCGATGAGACTTTGAATATAGGCACGAAATATACAGAAGAAGCGGCAGTCAATTTCCGGAGGTAATAAGGAAATCCCTGGGCCGCGGAGAGCTTCAATGGAATGGGAGATTCGCTCATGCCCTTGGACCGTTCCTGGTAAGCAAGATGAACAGGTAGGCGGGCTAGAAGGCGCTGTTCCAGAGTATTTGCATCAAGGAAAGCAGAATACCCGTTTGCTCCGATAGTACCGACCAGGGAATCCCTCGCACCGAAGTAGGATACATAATCACTGATATTATCAGCCAACAATCTACCCCAACTCGTCGTCTGTGGTAACCCCTGCAATATTCGAGCTGATACGGTAGATAGTTTCAGCCTTTCAGCGCCGTTGATAAGATTTTCATCATCGATGCAGACGTGCAATGCTGTTAGTTGAGCCATCTTGAGCTGTACTTCGTTCTCACATTTCTGGTAGAATGCTTCTCCGGTATTTGCGGCGGTTTCGAGTCCCAATTGAAGTTTGTTCCATTTCTCAACACCCACGAGCGGCAAAATATGATCTGTTGCCCACTGCCATAATTCAGATCGAAGCTGTTGGTTGAAGGGGACTTGATGGTGCTTGTAGTGAATTTTCTTGAGCAAAGAATGGAGCAATTGAGTAGCAGCTTGTATCACTTGTTGTTTGTGGCTCTCGTCGAGCTGCTTCAAATCATGAAAATCGAAGCACTCATACTTCGAATCAGATAAGAGTTCAGATGTGTCAAACATTATGGGCAGTGGAAAATCGGGGCTTTTTAAATGCCAATCAGGTTTATCATGGGATGTGCTTCAGGATAAAGCCTCGGTTGTTGAGGCAGAGAAATCTCAACCCTGGAAGTCAAGAAAGAACGGAGATAAGCAAAATGAACTAGGTCAGGCAAGGCAATCCTGTGCCCTTTATATAACTCAGGAGCTAGGCGACTCTTTTGCGTCGTGCAGGAAGGTGCCATTTCTTGTTTAACCTGGAAGGTTACTAGCTGGCTATCATGTACCTTGAGCGATGGCAGATGCTTTCCACCCAATCATGAATTGCGGCGACGTCTCACAACAGCTTCAAAGCCATCGTACATGCATATTCATCAACTCACATGGCCACGCGTTTAACTTTTTTCACCGCTTGTCCGGAGAATCTATTGCGCCTTACATCATACATGGCAAGCTAATTCGTGGAAAAGTTGATAATCAGAAAGAGGCAATCCGTGGGAAAGCACCCTTGAATGTTTGCACTGGGTCGAGTGGAGGAAGCCGTGGAGGCAGTACTGGGCCACACCAAATGGCAACCAGCCTGTACGCCTTAACCCAGCCCTCCTGTCACGTTCTGATTCATCCACATAAACCAAATGATAAGACTGAAAGTCCGACAAATAATGCCGATAAAGTTCTCGCAAGTCGGCATTACGCTCCTTTGTATGCTGCCGGGCTGTCTTTTTAGACCAACCTTTGGCTACCAGAGCCCTTCTGATGCTAGAGGTTGTGATCATCGTGTAAAACTCATGCCAGAGGAAAATAGCCATCTCATCGAGGTACTTCAGTACAGGCCCGGTTTTTCCGACAGGTGGTCGCAGAGCGCGTCGATCAATACGAGTAGGGAGTGCGTGGACGCTGCCGACCTGTCGTAAGTTTCTGCGAATATTTATGATTGTGACCTTCTTGCACTCGGCTTCTTCTGCCATTTGAGTAGTGCTCAACGACTGGCTCTCTATCATGTCTCGAATAAGATGCAGCTTAGAGGGGAAGAGTCTCGTGGCCATATTGCAAGTAGGGTCAATTCCTTTGTGAAACCTGAGCCGCAAATTTAGCTACTCAAAAGATACCTACGGACGCCTGGCCATTCGTTGAAGTGGATCTCGGAGATCTGCCAGAAAACACACTTGACTGACTCCACCTCTACCATTGCCGAATGGAACCCGCTGCATGTGTTCATTTGAAAAATCCTCACCGAGGGCATATGAGATGAATTATGGCAAGTGATTAGCCAGCGGTACAAGGATATACCTTAGGCCAATACCAACGCCACAAAAGCCGGGCCATTTGTCTATCACTGGTACAAGATGCCGTTTGTCGAATCTCGGACTGAACCTTGGAGAAGGGTACTCTCTGGTCGTCAAAATAATCAAGCAAGGCTTTTGCAATATCTCGTCTCTCTTTGCCTCCATGGCGCCCCAGCAGCTCCAGAGGGGAAAGGTCGGTGTCGGTGCAGCGAGCGAAAGGATCCGCACCTTTCTTTAAAAGAATCCTTACGGCGTTCGGAAACATCAGCTCTTCATCTATTTCGATGACAGAAGGTATGATCTGGCAAGCTGGTGTCTCGGGGCTCACTCCGTATTTCAAAAGAAGATCCACGATTGACTCGACAATCTCGAGGGGCTTTCCCATCTTCGCTACGTCAATTACGAGGCCCTTCAACCCGCGCAATGTAGTATGCAGGATGGGATTGAGCTTGAAACCGGCTTTGAGGAACGCCTCAATCTTGGTTATGTTTCCATTTGTTAATGCATCGAAAAAGGGGTTTGTGTAGAACGGGTCATCTAGTTCAGCTGCTGCACCTACATGTTGTTGTATTAGCTGAAATATTTCCGCACCTCCCTCCATAGCCAGGACAAGGATTTGTCGAGCGTCGGTTCCTTCTAGCATGATGAGATTCCTCTTCACCAGTGATTGAACAAGTTTGAAGCCTGCCTCCGAATCTCGCCCACATTTGATCGCATAAGATAGAAAACAATAATGATGGACAGGGATTGATGGCTTTGCGCCTAGGTCAAGAAGCATGTTGACTATTTCCAAGTTTCTTCCTTTCGCTGCGGCACATATTGGGGCGGCATCGACAGGATATAGAGAACTCAGCCCATGGGGATTAGCCCCGTGGTCAAGTAGCAGCTTCACAAGGCTGATATGACCCTCTTTTGCTGCTAACTCCAGCCAAAGGGTCAGTTTGACCTTCAAAATTCCCTGTTTAACGGTTGGCCTGCCTGATTCCCATTCCCGATAGGCTTTCAAACAGCGCCGGAGCAAATCCTCTGCACCGCCCCTTATGGCACCGTGGATGAGGCTGTCCATTTGACGCGGGTCTTTCGCCTCCATGATATCATCAATGGTAATTAATCCGAGAAGCCATTCTGATTCTTTGGGATTCCCAGCTGACACGTAGCTGATCGTGGACAGAGCTTGCTGACCGCGCCACATTGGGATTTCCCCGATGGGATTGGGCCAGATATCGAGCTTAGCACCATGGGCGCATAGATATTTGAAGCGAGCCAAATTGCCTTTCTGAAGAGCGCCAAGCAGCCTATGATGGTACGGATATCCTTCACCTGAGAACTCCGGCTTGATGCCCGTATCAACAAGCATACGAATTGTTGGCACGTCATGACCCGATCGTTCCTTAAAGACCCGATTCTGAGCCCCCCTCCACTCAGAGCCCAGAGCCGCCATCCACACCGAACATTCGTATACGTTACTACCAGGTTTAGATTTGAGTGGATTGCACCCATTTTCCAAGAGGAGCCGCACCAGAGATGGGTATCCACTTCTGAAGGCCGCATGCAATGGCTGCTCTACGTAGATGTCGTCATCCTCGTTCTCCAACCTCGCCCCATGTTCTATCAAGAGCCTGACAACAGACTCGTGGCCGTTCGATAACGCGGCCACCAAGGGTTTATATGCCATCCCATTTGGACCGTTCAGTTAGGTCGTGTTGGAATCGACGCCGTTCTCAAGTAGGATCTTCACAATCTCTGTGTGTCCTCCTTGCGCTGCAAGGATGACTGGATCCCACACCCGGTCAACGCGAGGATCAGGCCGATAACCTGCCTGTAACATCCTTCGTATACAGGGCTCATTCCCAGATATTGCTGCTGAGTGAAGAGGGCTTCCATCAAGTTCGTCTTGAGGAAGAAGAGGGTCCTGGCAGATGCGGCGGTTCAACTCTTTGGAAGTGATGAGATAATGGCGGTGATTCACTTGTGAAAATGCGCAGAGATCGATAGAATATTCAAAGTTCTTGATGATGATTTCTATGATCTCTACTGGCAAGCTCTCTAGGTTTGCCATGGCGGATATGTTGATGGTGGGGGGATGGAGGGGTAAATTTTTGGTTCTCTGGCTTGTTGGGTTTCTACTTGTCTGCGCGTAAGAGCCTCAGTCAGTTCTGGTGGCTTTGTGGAGCAATAAAATAAACTTAGCCCACAGATATTTTGTTTCACAACTCTGCTGCCGAAGACATTAGTAAAAGAGCCTTGGAAATCAATGTTTCATACTGACTGCACCACATTTCATGAGAGAGGAAGGTAGATATGGAGAGATAGGAAGAAACTTTGTGATGAGAGAGTAAAATGGAGAGCTTGAGTAAGAAGAAGAAGAAGAAGGAAAAGAAGCTATGGAGGTGGAGAGCATCTAATATAGTAGATGCTGAGCAAACCATATTCCAAGCAAACAAGTAAACGCATAGAAGAAGCAAACATGCTGGCAAACCCTCACACCTCTGTTTAAAATGCAAAGAGGTCATCGCTTCCAACTGGAAGCCAACCCAGACTTGCTTGCCTCGTTCAGCTGCGCTTTCTGCCGTTCTCTCTGTCTCTCGATTCCCTCTCTTTCTCTTCTTGAATTCGATCTTTCTATTGCCGATCACGCTCGAACAAAGTATCTTTAGCTTGGACTGCATTCCAACCCGGGGTATCGAGATGCTCGTTCGCCTTCTCAAGCCCTTTGTCCCAAACCTTGTTATCAGGCATGACACCAGACCGCTTCACCCATTCAGTGGTCCCCGATTTCTGGATCGCAAACCAAAGACTTTGTGTATAGCTTCTCCCGTACTTCTTTTGCTCGTCTGGGGGATCTGTTTCCCCGTCATTTTCTTCCCATTCCTTGACCCACTCCTTATAACTTGGTGACTCGTATCCCGCCTCCTGCGACTGGATCTTGTACCGACGTAGATCCCACATGGTTCTTGGCTTGATCAAGAGCGCTAATATCCAGTACAGAATGTTCAGCATGAAGAAGCCCGCACCCATCGCCAGCTGCATTTTCCAACTGCAGTTGTTAAAGAGAACCACCGAGATCATGAGACAGAGTGTGCTGACTCCAAGTAGAGCTCGGTGACTTGACTCGTCCAGTGTGAATTTGCACTTGTCCATGCCGACATAGAGCTCTCGGGCCACGTTCTCATCGCAATCGATATACACCATGGCGCCGCCACGGGTTGCTATTAACTGATCGCCGGGGGGAACTTTGCATTTGGCCTCTCGACGAACCATCGTCGGGGTCCACCAGGCTGAGATACTGGCTGCACTGGATGAGACACCCATGAGGGTGAGGGCTACTAGTGCAACCCCGTCACCAATCACTCCAGCCGCGATGTAAAGTCCGATGAGGATGCCCGTCGAGGCAAGGATGGCGGCGTTAACAGCGGAAAACGACTTGATTTTTATGGGCCGCAAGGTTCTGTTGATGGACTCCGGGTCCGTCTCGCCGTTCATTTCGATCTTCCATACTTTGAAATCGTACGGTTGGATTGAGTTGACATCGTGGATCAAGTTCGCAAAGTAGTTGAGCTCAAGCGTCAACACACCAGAATGAATCCCGACCACTCTGGTATTATAGATAACCGGCAATCGACTGAGACGATCCGTACCAAGGAAACTCTCTGGGGCGGGCATGAGCCGCGGCAACATGGGAAGGCTGGAAGCTGTTATAGCTGGGATGTGCTTGACGACGGCGGAGGCTCCAATGACGGCAAGGAGGATCAGGACGTCGAACTTCCAGCCTGACTCGCCGGGGTCAAGAGTGGACGGGAACCAGCCCATGGTTTCGATTCTACTGTGAGGTTGAATGGAGGTCAGTCACCACAAAGAGCGGCAATGAATCCAGTGTCATGTTATAATGCCATTCATTATAAACATTTTGGACACCTGCCTCTGTGGCTGCCATCGTTTTTCATCTTCTACCCACACCCAGTCGAAGTGCAGCTAGTTCGCGCTGCAAAACATGGCGCCTGCAGTCGCAGCCACCTGGGCGCTGTAGTGGGGGTGGGTTAGCGCCTGTCATTTGATGTCAGCTCAGCTTTCGTCGATCATTACGGAGTACTGTCTGTTCTGTCGATGACTTGATCTGGCTGCATAGCACCAAAGCACAGAACGGTAGACTTGGCATTCAAAGCCTCTTCCAAAGGCATCTGAGACAGAATATGTAGTTCGCATCCCTAGGGCACGGGGCAATCGGAAAGGTGAGGCGCAGCTCCTGTGTTGGGATTTGAGGTACATGCAGGCAACCGCCCGGGTGAATATATGATCCAACTCCGTCCATACAGTACAATCTCAGTGGATCAACACGCATTGAGTTCACCTGGCAGTGCAATTTCAAATGGACTGCCTCTAGAGCTTCGGTCCGTGTCCAGGTAAATAAACTGGCTCAACCGTCTTGAATCTACGCATTTTAGGCACGCGTTTACCGAATGGTAGTATTCAAACGGATACTCGCATTTCGGATGACATCTCCAAAACGCACGAACTAGTATTGCTGGTCGCTGCAACCCAGTCTAGGGCTGAGTAGGATCTGCAGAAGTACCCAAGTGTGGAGTTGCGCGCTCAGCCCGACCCAGCCCACTGTGATCATACACGTAAAATCACCGGTAAGAGGATTGATAATGGGTCCAACCCGACGAGCTCTGGTGAAATACACCGAATTGCAACAGAATGCCACTGGGATTACTGCTCGATTTTCTGAAGATAGTTGAGAACCTCTGCCGTGAAAATGTTGTCCTTGACAAGTTGGTCGGCAGATTCAACAATCCATGTCTGGCAATCTCTTTGAATAATCTTTTTGCCTGATTCAACCTAGAAGATAGAAATTAGCGGAAGCTTGTGTGTTCCCACGGCATGCTATGCATCCGTGTCACCAAACCCGATATCCGAAGTATAGTCCCGGGAAAAAAGAAAGGCGAAAGGCATATGTCCCGAGAACACAGGCTGAGAGGAAATTATGTCCGAACGCACCGCGTTGCCAACTACATTCAACGTCTTTTCCGGTGCTTTGACTTCAAAAGCGCTCGCTTCGAAGCGACAGACGGTTTTATTGTCAATTTTTGATTCTCCGTTGTTGAGCATAGCATTCTGGTCAAAGTACTTCCCATCGACCCACTGCAGAGGAACCCTCTTTGTGGGACGCTCATCAGTCGTTTGCAGGTCAATACATCGCTTGATTTCGAGCTCAAAGCCATTCCCGACGTTACCAGTAGCGTGTATCTTGACGCCGATATCAGGGTTGGTGCGTGAACGCACCCAGTAAGCCCAGTGATCTTTGAATGGCGAGCCATTGTAAATCAACAACTCAACCTGGAAAGTACCCGGAGGACCTGTTGATGCCACCAAAGGTGGTTGGGGCGCCATAGAAGTGGGAAATTTCATGGCCGCTGGCGGAGGTGGAGGCGGAGGAGGCACGATACCAGTTTTGGGAGGGAGAGACATGACAGCTTTTTTTTTTCAAAAATGGTTTTGTATTTAGCACCTATTTCAAGGCTTTAGTTTCAAAACAGCCCGGAGAAAAGGAATGGTTGAATAACAAAGAATCCATTAAGAACTCTAGAAGACGCATGGTCCCCAAGTCCGGACTAAATATGCTGCCTAATATATGTAGACTGGGGGTCTGAATTAAGTCGAAAGTTTCATGTTTTTGCTCCAATCCTACTCCGTAGAGTACAAGATACTCCTCAGCACCTGGAGTGACGAGTATACTAATGGCGGTCAAGAAGAACAAAGGGGGCTTTCTCCACTTTCGGTTCCGGATCGGGAAAGCCTAATGATCCGATGCACACATATAACCCAACCTCCTGCCCCTGGACTCTTTCTCTCTTCAGAGACCTCTGTCTACCCCTGAACCACCCAACACTCAATAGCCACCCCTGCTGGCTACGTGATGGTGTGATAGCAGGGCATTCGACAAGTCTCCCCCTTTCCCTCGCTGCGTCTTAGCGGTGGAATTGTAAAGATGTCATCCACAGTGTGTTAGACGTTCGAGGCCACATACCACATGGTATTCAGTGCCCGTCACATTGGAGGATATGAGAGTCGATCGATTTATGCTGCCGGGATCAGTTCTCCCGGTTCTTCTTGTCCGCTGCATGACAATGTACCACGTCCTTGACCCTTGGGTGAACGAGAGACAACGCTGTCTCTGCCCAGGCTCTCATTGGCGTCGATCACGATCTGAAATTCCAAGCTCATTTCGACCCTTGCAACCCCGCTTAGGTACCGACGAACCAGGCTCTGCCCCAAAGTCCGTGGGCATCCTGATGGATCATGTCGTGTGACAGCAGCCCTGATGATAGAGGTATGGGTGCAAGCTGTCGTTGACTTGTGATGGAAGGGCGCTTGTCTGAGGATCACGTACCTCCAGCAAATGCGTTTCACGCATGACTTGAAAAGCAACGATCACAGATAGTTTCGGAAACGTCGAAAGAGAGTGGACGCGTGAGCCTCTGAAGCATTGTTCATGCACAAGACTGTACAGCGGTCTCGTGGCAACTGCCCAGAGGTGAGCGTTTTGATGTGTCGCAGCGGGTACAGCAGTGAAGGGATATTCCCCCGACCTCGCTCACCATCATAGTCCAAGAGAGTTAGCACGGCATCGTAGTCTTCACTGACTACCTTGTTTTTGGGCTCTGTTGGATTCGTGGCGGTCAGACGCCGGAGAGCAATCTCTAGGAACTACGCACGAAGATATCATTGCCCATCCAGTGCGCGGAAGTCAAAATGAGAGGAATCAGATGGATTAGTCTTCCAGATGATTACAGAGGTATTGCGCTCTGTTGGACCCGGCAGCCTAGGGAGAAGCGCGTCAGCCCCTCGCTCGCCCAACTCAACAACGTCCGTCCAGGCAGGTTAACCTGGTATAGAGGTTCGCGCTCTGTTGGATTTCGCCGGCAGAAGAGGGAGAGCGAGTCCGCCCCTCCTGTCCGCCTAACCATCATCGCACTGGACAATTTGGTCTCATTGATCTTATTGGTCTAATTAGCATGATGTGTGCCCCCTTGCATTCTACATCCTCTGCTTGGAGGCACCTGTTTGCGTTTTTTTCCCCCGTCCGTTCGGGACAGGGTTTTTTTTTTGTTGATGCCTGGTGAGATATTCGTATCCGCTGTTCTATGGCATCTTCAGCGTCCGTTGAGAACCATGCAAATGGTTTTCGGCGTACGCTGAAGGCTTCATACGACAGGGTTCCGGATTCTCATTGGCTTTCTCTGTATGGTCTAAGACTGTTGCTTCCAATTCTGTCTCATCTTTCGAAAATCTTATATGTACCCTTTTGGTCTTTGCGAGTCATAGCACAACCTCCTCATACACTTACCCACCCACTGGATTCCATCATAATTTGACGCTCCTCCCCAACTTCCCTTTTCCAGTCCATACCATACGCAGTAACAACTGATCATCTAGACACGATCTCACGGAACAACCTCCTCCCCCTTCCAATCCCAACACCTCCCCCTCCCACCCTTCACCTCCGACGAAAACCCAACAAGAACATCCAACAACCTCCCAGCCGCATCACCAGGCTCCAACATATCCCTGCCGTCCCAAAACTCCTTCGTAAACTCCGTCTTCACAGTACCAGGATGCAACGCGACCGCAATGGCCCTCTCCGCACTCTTCGTCCGCAAATACAAATCAAATGACTTCGCCAACTGAAACACAGCCGACTTACTCGCACGGTAAGAATACCACCCGCCCGACCCGTTATCGGAAATCGAACCCACCCGAGCAGCCATCATGGCATAGATGGCATGCGAAGGCAATGACAACGAGTTCTGGGAATCGGCAGACTCTGCTTCGAACGCGGGTGCGGATCGAAGCGGCACGAATTGCGTTAGGTGTTTCATCAGCAGCAATGGGCCTAACGAATTGACGCGGAAGCTGTCTAGTGCTTTGGCTGCGTCGATTTGACTGGGTGATTTCTCGACGTGCAAAGTGCCTGGGATTGTTAAGCCGAGTCTCATTGGTGTGTCGGGGAGTTTTTTTTTGATTGTGTTTGCCATTGCGGATATCGTGGATTCATCTGGGTTGGTTAGATGCTGGATATCTCATGGCTTTCCCTGCGGTGTACGTACCTGTAACATCGACCTCGAGGACGCGTAGTCTCTTCTCTGAATCTTTGGGGACGCCTTCGCTGGAGAGTAGTCTTTCTTTTATCCCTTCGCAGTCTTTGCGGGCTGTTGCGATTACAGGCAGTGAGGTGCGTGTCAAAAGTTGCTGTGCAAAGGCGAATCCCAGGCCCCTTGAGGTGGGTGTTACTAGAGCGAAGCCTGCTTTTGCCGACATGGTAGATGATTACAATTGGTTACAATAATTGACCTCGAGAGGATTGTTGAAAGGAAGTTCAGGTTCTACGAGTACAAGTAACTTGCTGGATGTCGACCTTGTGACGTCACCATGTCCCTACATCACATTGTGACATTCCTTCAATTCTTCGATTCTTCGATTCTTCGATGATGTCTTGGATGAGTGCGTTTCCTGTAAAAGACCGCCACTCTTTGTAGACCGGCCAGTCAAATGGCTACGTTCAACGCGGGCTGCTGGAAAGCTTTGGACCCAAGGCACGAAATGCTCCCTCTCCTGAGATGAAGGTTCTGGAGGCCCAGCGCGTCTATAACTCCCATTGGCTTGGTGGTGGGACGTTGCAGAAGAACTGGAATTCAGCTTCGATGGGATCTATTTGCGTCACCGCCATGTCTCTATTCCATGGAAACGCTTCCATATCGAGTCAGTTCTGCATAGCAGACCACCGAGTCGTCGCGGTCTTCCAAGGGGCCCTAGGCCAAAGCCAACCGGATTAGGCCGGAGTATTTGGTGTGTGTAGAATGTTTTGATCCATAAGGGGTCACTCGTGTTGTCCCTGGAATTGACAAGGCAACCAACTGGGTGTGGCGCCCGTCATTGTACACTCCATGGGCAAATATCGCTCGACGAATCTCAGTTTTTCCAACTGTGGTGATCAATTCCACTGAATGGTGTACTTCGTGGCATGCTATCCAATCTTTCCCTCCAAACCCGTGAAGAACACCCTCCCAAATTCCCCGCTACTATCATTGAATCGAATCTTCTTGTTAATCTTCTCGATCTTCTTCATGTCATCGGGACTCAGTTTGAAGTCTCCTTGCAGATTGCTCCGGATTCTGGAGGGCGTCTTCGACTTTGGCAACACGGAATGGCCCTGTGTGACTCCCCAAGCTATCAAATTGCAAACCAGTCAGCACACGGCACAACATCTTTCAACGCTTAGTACATAGTTCACTTACCGAGAGCAACCTGAGCGGCTGTCTTGTTGTACGGATCACCAATTTGAGCCAGAACAGGCTCGTCGATCAACTTCGCTGTCCCTCCCTTCTCGCCATAGAAAGTGTTCTGGTTTCCAAATGGCGAGTAATGCGTGATGTGGATGCCATTGTCTCGATGCCACTTTGTGAATTCAAGCTGCTGAAGCCATGGGTGACACTCCATCTGGTGCACTGCAGGAACAATGGAGCTGTTCTTGATCAATCGCTCCATCTCAAACTTGTCAAAGTTCGAGACTCCGATTGCTTTGGCCTTGCCGTTTTTGAGGAGGAGCTCCATAGCCTTCCATGTCTGCTTTGTGTCAGCGCAGCTCAGTCACAGTATATGAAAGCGCGGCATACGTCAATTATGTCGATATCTTCCATCACAGGCTTGCCGTCCTGTGTAGGGAAAAGCTCCTCGCCTCGCTTCCAGGCTACAGGCCAGTGCACAAGATACAGATCCACGTATGTCATGCCCAGATCATCAAGGGACTGCTGCATAGCAGGTCCGACATCATCTGGGTGATGCTTGTTGTTCCAAAGCTTGGTCGTTATGAAAAGATCCTGGCGTGGGACTCCACTCTTCTTCACTCCTTTTCCCACGGCTTTTTCGGTGCCGTATCTTTTCACATCAGCATAGAGATCCAACTAACTGCTTGTGTTGGAAACGCATTGCGGGTCACTTACACACGGGCAGTGTCAATATGGCGATATCCTGCCTTGATTGCCTCTGCCACGGCATCCTCCTGCTCACCTGCATCTTGCCAGGTTCCAAACCCTATGGCTGGAATTTCGGCACCGGTGTTCAGTTTGAATCTTGTTGGCATAATGTCGATCTTGCGTACCGAGGTGTGATTTGTAGGTCGCTATTCTCAATTATTTGCTTCTCAAAGACCGAATATCCGAGTTGGCGGATGTCAATGTGATGCACATGACGTGGTGATGAGGTATACCAGAATGAAAGATGGAATGAAAGGCTGTCTATGGCATCCATGGATACGATGATGTGATGTACAAGATTGTATTCCTTGGAGATAGCTGCACTTGTCACCTGATCGCCTCTAGTGCTTAATACACCTCACTAGATATAATAGAAGAAAACAATATTGCCTTCACCCATCGTCGCTTTGGTATCGGTTTCTTTCCCCGCTTTTGGGTGCCTCAATGGTGTGTTCTTCGGCGTGGGTTAGGGTGCAAGGCTGCAACGTACGCGTAAGCGAGCTGAGGGGGTGTAAGATGGTGATATTCTCCTGCTTCCTAACTACCTAATGATATAACGTGTCCACGTGACAATGCCCTTGGTTGTTCCAATGGCAGTTTGTGCATCCGAGCACCTCGTTGTTCTGTCCCGTGAGCAGTATGCAACCGACGAATCGTCCATATGCCTTTGCGCAATGGGTGCACGGTGTCGGTGCATAATCCCCAGTGGTATGTCCAATCAAGGCCTTCGTAGCCGTTTTGAATCTTTCGGTTATGTTAAAAAGAATCAAGACCCATCCAAGGAAAAATAGTATCGGGAACGAAGGATGATCAAAGGACCCCTAAATATAGCGAAAACTGCTATGTAGGGTATTCGCCCCAACCTCCATATGTAGATAGCTCACAGCCTTCTAGCTTCTCCCTTCTCTCTCTTTCTCTCCCCGCAGTGGAATTCAGTCGGTTCCCTTCTCTTTCTCTTGCCAGCCAGTCTCAACAAAAACCAGTATCACCTCATAAACCCTGAAAGAGTCAAACAAAAGATGCAATCTTTTCCAAGGAGGCAACTGGAATGTCTGGGTCAGTCTCCGGAGGATTAGAGCGACGACAGAGGAGCTCTTCACAAGAAATCTTGAGCGGCTCATTGGGGACACAGGTAATCAGCTGAGCCGGGTCACCCAGAGGCCGAGAGACCACGATTTTCTGACGGATCACAGGCTGGGTATCGATACCGATTATTGCGCAGATTGCGAGGTTCCTGCGATAGCACAATAGACTCGAATGTGATTTGCGGAACATCTTGTTTGATCAAGACCGTTATAACAAGATTCACAAGTCCTTGACTGGTGATCAACCACCAAGCAGCATCTGCACGAAGCTTGTTGGTGATTCAGAGACGCCGACTTCCAGGACGACCGTAGGCCACTTGCGGTTGCGGTTGGGGGGTAGGATTCTCGGGATCCACGAACCATCAGGCTCTTTCGAAGAGGACGTTCCTTCCACCCGTGCACTTCTAAGGGTTCAAAATTCCCGTATCAAATTGAGCGAGTTCGCGAACAGAGTCAATTCAGTATGGAAATTCCCTGCCACAATCTCATGGGACTGGCCTGACACTGTCACAATCAGGCATCTAGTTTCCGAGTTGTATAGTTGCCGACATCCCTTCGAAAATTTCAGCCTCGCTACATCTGGTGGTACATTTGTGAACCTAGCGTAGACGGTGACAAGCTTCGGTATTTTCTGAAGGTCCAACAAGCTGGACCGAATACCTCGCGCGGATGATCCGACTTTCTGGATTGCGCACTGAACTTTGAAACAGTTCATATCGACGAGTTTTGTTTCCTCTTCTGAAGAATGCGACATTTTGATGGCTGAGCGAGACGACCAGTTTACATCTGGTCTCGAGGAAGACATGAACATCTTGCTATTCCTGGTTAGTCACATATAAGCTTTGGGGTGTTCGTTCGAGCGGTCACTCCTACCTCACTTGTCACGACGCAGGCGGCCAGAGCCTTGAAGGCGGCGAGCAGGTCGCGAACCAGGAGGAAGCCACGGAAACGGCGAGAGAGAAATGAAAAGAGAGGTCGGGCTATATATGAGTAGCCCTGGAGGAAAGCAAGCGAGATCAAACGTTTGTAGATGGTAACATAAGTCCTTGTTGTATTTGTGGAAAATTTATCGATATTGAATCTCGGAACTCTCCTTTTGTTTTCTTCAGCCGCTCTTTCCATATCAGGCAATTGTGCTGTGTTTCGCTTCTTCGCTTCTTCGCTTCTTCGCTTCTTCGCTTCTTCACTTCTTCACTTCTTCTTCACTTCTTCATTTCTTCATTTCTTCATTTCTTTACTTTTTCATTTCTTCACTTCTTCTTCACTTCTTCATTTCTTCATTTCATTCTACTCCAGTTCCCCAACGCCACGCCTGGATAGCACTTTTCCGTTCGGGTTATAAGTCCACTAGGTCTCTGGGCAGAATTTCATACACAACGAGTGTTGAGACTGGCTGGCAAGAGAAAGAGAAGGGAACCGATTGAATTCACTGCGGGGATTCTCATCTCCACCATGCTGAGCTACAAGATCCATTCCACCAGTTGCATACTGGAGGATCTGGTGATCAAATACGTACCAAGCCAGCATTCTTCTTGGACCTCATTGTGATGGTTTGCTAGGTTTGCTACCATTAGCAGGTTTGCTTTTCATGCGTTTGCACGTTTGCATACTTTGCATACTCTCTGTACTATAAGAGCAGCTCTCTCCATAGTCTTCTTCTTCTTCTTCTTCTTCATCATCATCATCTTAGTTCTCTTCGTTGAATGGACCTTCTTCTGAAGCTTGCCGCCTCACACTCATGTTGAACGTCGCTCCTACTGGCACTGATTGTGTTGATGCCAGTGAGGATGTTGTTGATTTTGATAGGGACATTGTCAATGTTGACAAGGACAATGATGACGATGAGGCTGATGATATGGTTAGTAAATCTTACAATCCCTTGTCCACATCCTACTAACAGTCAAATCGTTCCAGACCAACACCACCCGTCGGAACAAGCGCCCGAATCGCCATAAGAGAAAGAGAGAGAAGGGAGAAGCTAGAAGACTGCGAGCTATCTACATATGGGGGTTGGGGCGAATACCCTACACAACAACGAGTCAGCTCCATTCAAAGCTTAGTCCTACACCAACACGTCTTACCTGGTGCATGCACTGTTTTCGGACGTTCTTTGCGAACTGGGACGGCGGTTCGCCACCGTCAATCCCGTGTGTCGACGCGGTGGGCTCTAAGCGCTGTCAGCAATGTCTGTCGCGCAACAGGAAATGTGAGCCTGTATGTGTTTCCTGGCGGGATCTTGTTTCACTGTCGTTTAACCCACGTTCTGCTCTTGGTACATGAGGGTATCTTTGGCGAAGCGGTCCGTCTTCAGGCGATCTTGGAATTCGTGTCGGGTCATTTACGAATTCCAAGATCGCCTGAAGACGTACTGCTTCGCCAAAGATATGCTGTGATCTCGGATGAAGGCATGGTTTCTCTGGTGGTCCTCCAACTGGTCCCGAGTGACGGGGCTTGGATGTTTGATGCCAAGACAAACAGCATCAAAGGTCCGAGCGGTCTGCCGTAGCTTACCGCTTTGGTTTATATAGCGAACTCCACTCGCAAATTTTTTTCTTTCTCTTCCCATGCTTGCAACTTTCAGGATCGGAGCTATGAGCTCCATTCCCCTTTTGTTTTTCTTCTCAGCTTGGACTGTGTCTAATGTTGGCACTTATCCAAGCTGTGCCCCCAAGGCCGATGTAGTCATCGGTACTTCAAGTATTCTTCTCTAAAAGGTAAGGGCAGACTTTTTTTTTCTCGCAATCCCAATCCCCTGGGGGTGATTACATTCTAGACATGCAAAGGCATTCCTCAAGCAGAAGATCCATGTTGAATCTGTCATATTTTTTAAGTTTCAGCCTTGTCTGACCCAACACAATAACCTTGTCACATTTTATGCCATCGTTTGAACGAATCTTTGACTAACAATCTGTCGTTCAGGTAAATACCACTTGCTCTCAATTCCATCCCATCGCGGCCTCTGCCTTGCATGAAGAAATCTTGAACGAACGGGCGGACATAACGTACCCATCTTTCATGCAGCCTAACAAAAACGGAGCGTACAAACTCTGTGGAGGCATGCGAGGTGGATTACTTGTTGAGAATTCGTCACCTGAACCATTGCCCTTGTCACGATCATTTCACATCACATCGACAAGTTGAGATCAGTTTTTCTAACAGAAATTCTAGGTAATTTTTTTCTCTCGCCTCGCTGTCTTTTTGCAACATGGTCTTCTACATGATGAATGTGTTATTCACACTGTTGGACCTGGACTTCGGTTCGGGAATGAACATCATACAAAATTCTGATTTAATGAGGTATGTTATTGTCCACATGAAAATCTCTTCAACTTTGCTAACTAACCTCGAGCCTGACTTAGTTACCATGTCATGATATTGCTTTTGTCTCTTGCATCTTGCTTGAATGCCATCGCTGACTCGACATGCAAGTCAAATAATAGGAACCTCGATGAAGGCGTCGTTAGACTCGTTGACCGTGAGTTTACCTTTTACATCCTCGCCTCTATTGCCTGATGAATCCTTAATATATGCTGTATTTCTGAACATCGTGTCGATACAATATTATTTCACCTTGGAGAACTGATCTTTTCCTTGACTGCCATCATATCACTCATCTCGTGGTTTGATCTTTTGCTAACAAGCATAACAGGAGTCTGACAAGTCATCAAATAATATCATAATACAACCAAATTTTTCTGTGCATCTTCTCTCAATTTGAATACCCAACGGCTCCTGAAGTCCTTTCACCCCGTACAATATCTCTTAGCTTGTCCAAACTGTAGTTACTCGAAGAAAAGCCCATGTTTCTTGTGCCATCCCTCAAGACTATCCCCACCGTACAACTCATGCACATTTTTCTTCCCCTCGGGCCACCTTGCCCACGCCGGCTTCGAGCCTTCCATAATACAGACCATCTCATCTGGGACTGGCAAGTCTGTATCAATCGCCGATGCAAATGGGTGAATCAACTCAGGCCAATGGTGATCCCACAGCCAGAGCATGGTACTGCAATTCGAGCAGAAGTTCCTCTCGGAAGAACAAAGCTCTTCCTGCGGCGTGCCGCGGTCTTTGAGTGCACGGTATTTCCTAGTTACTTCATTAGTCTATCACACTCGTATGTTCAAGCTCGCAAACGTCCTGGGCTTTGCTTCGGGGCCCGGGGGCTTGGAGCTTGGGACTGGTCATCAATGGTTCTCAAGGTCGTTCCATACTTGATCAGGTCTTTGCCCTTGATGATGTTCAGGCTGTCTGCTATTCCACCTATGTTGACACAGCCGAGGTGTCCGCCGACTTTCCGGCAGATGCTGCAGGCGCAGAGCTGGTACGGGACTGGGGTTTGGGATTGTAAAGTAAATTCCACGCCTCCGCATTGGCAGCTTCCTTCGAGCTTCCTGGTCAGTTTGTTAGTATACATCTGGTAGGAGGGGGGAGGGACACACATCGGCATAATGCAGTGTGTCTGGTGATAATTGCTGGTTTATTTATTGAAAGAATAGACTGGGAAGGTCTGGAGTATGAAGTCACAGCTGGCGGGCTCGGGCTAATATATAGTTCGGACCTCCAACGGCGAATACAACAACGCAATGGATCAAACAAACAAGAAGCAGTTGACTCATAGGCCAAATAACATCTGCATGATCTCCATCCAATCTCAATTCCACGATTAAAGAACTCAGTCCTGTTTCCCCTCTATTCCGCATCTCACAACACATCATCGAGACGATTCCACAGCTGCGATTGGTCGAACGGGTGTTTGCACCGTTTGTCCAGTTTGCCTCCCGTTCTCGATTCTCGCGCATCGCGCTATCTGCCTCAAATCAGCACAGAGCAGATCTTTGTTCAGTCTTATTCTCGAGTGCAAACCCCCATCATCTGTCAATATGAGTTTCGGAGCCCCCGGAGGTGGATCAGTGAACATCAAGCCCACACCGTGAGTGGAAACCAACATTGTCTTTTCGCATTCACCACCTAGATATGGCAATGATTGGCTGCGCTGGACTCCATGGCTAGACTGGATTTCTGACCTCTGTTCTTACTTCTAGGCCCGAGCGCGGTAGCTTTCCCCTCGATCATGAAGGTATACCGACTTGCAGCCAATCGCAGAGTCAAGAGCTCCGGCGAGATCAGCGGATACAGTGGACTGACTACGATTTTGGATGATACAGGAGAATGCAAGCACGTTATCTCGGGATATTTGAAGTGCATCAAGCTCAACAGAGGCACCAACGACGAGGCGTGTCGCAAATTGGCCAAGGACTACCTCGCCTGTCGAATGGACAAGTAGGTTGACCCTTTGCATGGAGGAATCGGATCAGGTTGCTTGGAAAGCAATTGTCTTGGAGAATAAATGAAGCGCTGGAGCGAAGTGCTGACGAGTTTCTGAACTAGGAATCTCATGGCCCCCGAGAAATTCGAGAACCTGGGTCTCGTGTTTAAAGGCGATGAAAAGGAATCACCACCGGCACCACCGGCTGATACAACAGAAAGCAAGAAATGATATGTATATGGCGGTGGAGGCGTTGCATGACGTTGTACGATATGAAAGAGAGGATTAGCGCGAGTCCATGATCCCCAGGTAGTGCTGGCATTATTACGGCGTTGTATATATGTATTTGACAGGCAGCACAAAAGAATGAAATTGAATTGGGATACCAACTTACAAAGTCAAGCAAAAAACCCACTCAGTATGAAGCACGACAAAGGCTCTCAACTTACCCGTTGACTCTTCATGCGGGGAACTTCCGCCCAGCCACATTTGACGATCTCCAACTCCTCGACGGGGTTAACCACGTCAAATGTCGTCAATCGCACGACCCCCAGACCCATGTCTCGTGGCAATTATTCTCATAGTTCGCTCACGTACCGGCCCGCGCCTCGTCTTCCACTACCCTCCGAATCCCCTCAGCGAGAACCGCCTTAAAACCACCACGAAGGGCGGCCGTCGCATTTCCCGCACCCGCACCAAACAGGGCTCCAAGAACACCGATTCCAGTTCCAGCGATGACAGTGGACTAAGTTCCGACGAGGACGAGGAAGAACGAGAACTCCAAAACCAGAGCCAAAGTCAAAGCCAGTCTCACGCCCAGAGTCATGGCGGAGGTGCAAGTTCCGTGCTTGCTGGTCGCCGCGCTAGTAACTTTGCGCTTGATGAGCTTTTATTGAATGCCACATCGCCTGCTGCGGGCGATAGCCAGCGACCTGGATCACTTGGCTCTGGACGTGGCTCGTCAATGCGCAAACGCGGTGGTGCGGGCTCCGATCCCGAGGAGGACGGAGGGACATCTGATCGGCCGGATGATGGTCCTGGAAGTTCAAGACCGCCTTGGGAGTCACTTCTGGGTGTGCCGGGGAGTGTTTGGGAGAAGCTCCTGAGCCCTTCGCGCTCGTGGCATAAGCGGCGGTTTGAGGTTGGGATCAATGATCTGGCGCTTATTGGGTGGCCGGTCTTTGTGCGCGAGGATGGAAGTTGGCGCAAGCAACGGCGCAAGAAAACGAAAAAGCCTCGTGCCGATTGGGATGGGGGAGAGTTGGGTCACAACGAGAATGCCGAGGACGGCCCGAAAGATGAACGCTTCATGATGTCTCCTGATTTGGGTGCTAGTGTTGCTTCCATGGCGGACTCGTTGATATCGCCCACCGAAAGCAAACGAGGGTCGACGAGTGGGAGACCTGGGAAACCAGATGAGACATTTGATCCCGAAGACAAGGATCATATGACGATGTTCAATGTGGTGTTTGTCGTTGACCCGCCCTTGTTGGAATATTCAATGCGCGTGAAAGAAATCTATGACAACGTCATCAAAAAATTCGCCAAAGCGCTCAAATGGGAGCAAGCTCGCACTGACTATGTCTGGAAAGAGTCCCAGCATATCTTACAGGTTAGGAGGAGGGCTAGAGAGACCAAGACATCAACCCATAACCTTTACTCCGAACTGATCTCTCAATCTTCGCTGGCTCGAGCTATTTACACAGTCTACAGCAGTATATCGGCATCCAAGATTGCATCCGTGTCGCTCAGCCCAGATGTCTCTATCTCGCTCCAAATTCCACCCCTGACCTCCACGCCATGCCTCGCTGGCCCCATGGACAAGTCATACCCGGGCCTATGGCTGACCACGGCAGATAGTGCCACTCCAGTCGATGACCCCGGGGCTGATGAAAGCAATACGCCACATCAAGTCCTGGCAAAGCACTTTGCTCTGCTCCTGCTGGATAGCGAGGCTGCCATCATCAAAGATGTCGAGGCCTCCGGCGGAGCGCTTGCTCCTGCACTAGCACACTACATCCGGTGTTCTAAACCAACCAAGTCATTTGCGCAGATATCGTTGTCCTCGGGAATTCCCTTGCCGCACATCCAGATGCTCTCGAGCCACCTTGTATACTGGCGACGTGCTCGTGCCATCCCCCCAATTCATCAGAGAGATACATATATCGTTTCCCCCAATTGCGATCTAAGCAAGCTGGAAATAGCCACTGTTGCTTATCAAACAGCATTCCCAACTTACCCAAGTTTACCCAAGATGTTGTCCACTCTCAGTGGCACTCCACGCCCATACAGCAACTTTATACCCAGCAAAGACCACAAGGAGATATACTTCACCATTCTAGCCTGGCTACTACGTGGTGGCTGGGTTACCCAGCTTCGCACTTTTGCTCGCATCAAAGTCTCACCAGAGGTCAAAATGGCTGTGGAAATGGCCCTACGGAAGGAAGAGGTCGACCGTTACCTGGCTAAAGGAGCCTCAAACTCTCTCTCGATTGAGTCCGATGGTGAACACGAGGAAATCGGTGACACCCACTCTTCCTCTTCATCTTCTCTCGACAGCCACGAAAGCGGAGAAGAAACTCCCATGCCCGGCCGCGTCGACCCACAGGCCCGACTTCGTTTCTCTCACAAACTCCTAGATCGATCGACTGCTCTCCGCTTATCTTCCTTTATTCTCTCTCCTCACCGGGCCTCTCCCCTGGAATCCCGCTGGCTGGACGAGATCGTTCGCCGATTCCCCGACAACCCCAAAACCGACCAGGGAGAGGAAAACGCTAGCCCGGATATTACGCCCAACGATATCCAGACCATACATAAGAAATATTGGCCCGTCTTCCTCAAGTACTTTAATGGTCTCGATGCCCTGGAGAAAATCCCTGTGCGCGAGAATCTCAAGCGCAAGCTGGTCTGGCAGGTTCTCATGCGACTGGGTCTAGTGACTGGACCACTGGGGTCGATGGACCTCGACGCTCGCGAACAAGTCCTGGTCAGCGTTCGACACTGGTAGATCGAAAACAGCGGGTGTATTCTGGAGTTCCCCGTGTGACAATGATAGCTCACTTTTGGATCGGATTTCACCTGGTAATTTTTATAGATCAACTTGACACCTCAGGCAGACTGTTGAGGTGTCCGGTAATACACTGTATTTTGATTACATACCCACTCCCCATCCCGTTGGTTGCCGCGTGCCCTCAGCCCTAATCTCTGCCGAAAGCACAACTTTTTGAACATGAGGTGGAAGTAGATTTGATTTGATTTGATGTGCTGGGTTATTGTGTGTAGTATATGACCTGCCTTGCCGGGTAGTTAGAAGTGAGTGCAAAGACTCCAGAGAGGACCTTGGGCTGCTCACGTGCCTTCTATACTCACATTCTTCCGTCGCACAATAATGAAATAAATAGAAGGTAATTTTGTTATTTCCGCTTTGCTTTGGCAATAGAAATTTTATGTAGTAAATTAATTACCCCAAGACCTGTGTATTACATTTACACTTACCCCATAGCCGGTTCGTATATCCGAACAATTGAATTGAAGACTTTGGATATAGTCCAGTGTATTCCGTACTCGTAGATCAATGTATATGTGTAGGTACCTAAGTAATATTGGTACTACCTGGCCGCAAGGTAAAGAGATACTTGTCATACTCGTCCGAGACTCGACTTTTGATCAGACATTTCGATTGTGCGCCAATGGCCGGAGGGGCTCCCCGGTGGACCCCGCGATATGGAGATGTATTTTTTTTTCTCACGGCGATGATCGGACCAAAGGGTCTGTACAAGCTGTATGCCGCCGTATGCCGCCAGATGATGTTGTATTTGAGGCACAGATATGATTGTTATTGAGAAGTCGAGCTCCTTTGTTTTCCTTATGTTGGTCGCATACAGCTGAAGGTTTAGAACAATAAAGCCATAGTGTTTTCCAATTGGCTGGACTCGGTCGTTTAGACCTCAGAACCCTGAACTATTGCCACTGACAGCTACTTTATTTCAGTCTAGCTCGGCCATGATCTATCCAGACTTCAGGAATACCAAATTGAATAGAATATAAATGTGTTGTGATATGCGGTGTTGGAGAACCGAGACCTCGGCAAAGAAGGTACTCAAAAGTGGACTTTAGGCATTTCAGGGTATTGTAGGGATTTGTCGACATGGACGAGTATCTCACATATCCATCTACATAGCACAGAGCACACAGTGCCTAGATACCTCCAGTACAGTAGGCAAGGACGTAGGTAAGGTATGTATCCGAGAGTATTATGCCTGGATCCGAGCACACTCAGCCCAATTGCTTATAATTGTCCCTTATTTTGGTCCATTCCTCATAACCTGGAATAGAAGATACATGAAACAAAAAGAGGCTAAAAGAAAGAGAAGAAAAGAAATAAAGAAAAGAAAAGCAGTTTAGTTTCAGAAAAGAAATACCACAAAAAAAGGCCATTAATTACGTGTAAAGAAAAAACCCCGCTACCAGTTCTGCCCTGAACCAAATAATTTTGCGTCCTTGACTTTCTCTCTTCCACCCCTCCGCATCGGGCTGTTTTCCCTCACTCTCCTCTTTCGCGTCACTTTACTTGCGATACCTTTTTGTCCTCGACGTGAATCGCGTCAACTTTACATATTTCCGCACCCAAATCCGAATCTCCGTGCATCCCGGCTGACACACACGCTGTACCTCTGAGCGCACTCGACGGGAATTTCCTAGGTTCCTTTTAACCTGTGCGTGAGCTACGGTTGATCTTGCCCTCCGATCGATACCTCCACTTCGCAGGATTTTACCCATTTCAACCTCTGTGGAAACACGGGAAGCTATAATCCATTCGGGTGTCAAGGTGGAAAAAACATCCTTGATTCTCACCGGAGACGTCACGCCAGCAGGCGCAGATTGAGATCTCCAGAGTCGAGAAAGGTCGCTTGGGCACACTAACCCGCAACCTCCAATCAGACTCGATCCTTGACTTTTTTTCTTCTTCTTTTCTTCTTTCGCTTGAAAAAAGAATCCTCCCGTCACAAGCAGAGCTACCGGCTCTCTATTCGACATGTCTACTTTTTCGTACGCACAAGCTGCCAAGGGCACTTCCGGGACACCGGTCCAAGCCAAAACACCATCAGAGCCCGAGAAGACCGAGACCCCAGTGGTGGAGCAGACCAACACTGAACCCACAACGGAGACTGTATCAGCTCCCGTCGAGGCCGAGGCTCCTCAAAAATCCGAACCCGCTGTTGAGGAGAAGGATGATGACTTCACTACCGTCACCAACAAGCACGCTGCCAAGTCTAAGGCACTGAACTCCCGAACATCCAGCCCGAACGTCCGCCCAGGCTCCAAGTCGCGCAAGACCAAGGAGGACGATTCATCAAATACCGCGAATGGCACCGCAGATGCCACCGAGAAGCAGATTTCCACCGATGGACAGACTGAGAAGGCCGAAGGTGCCGAGAAGTCAACTGAGAAGTCCGAGGATGCCGAGAAGGATACACCCCCCAAGGAATTGAAGGCCGCCCCTCTTCCCTCTGTCAACATCTGGCAACAGCGCAGAGAGGCGCAGGATCTCAAGGTCAAGGTCGTGCCTAAGTCTACTGCTACCGGCAAGGCCTCCAAGGCTGCCTCAAACGCGGACGAGAGCCAGCAGGACTCGTCTAAGGCCACTAAGAAGAAGGGTACCGACGGTGCTGCCGAAGGCACCAAGGACCGCAAGAAGACCGAGGGTGGAAAGGCACGCGATGCCGGTAAGACATTCATCTCTTGTCTGCGATGTTCATAAGCCGTATCGACCATTTTTGGCCTGGCCGGTATATGGATGGCAGGAATCGCTTAGTACGGTTGGAGTTCAGAAGCTAACTTTTTTTTGTCTCAGTTCCCTCAGTAGAGGACTCTACCGCGTGGCCCACCCCCCAGGTTGCGATTGTGGAAGAGAAGAAGAAGACCCAGGAGAAGACCGATAAGAGTCCTGTCATCAGACCCCATGGCAAGGAGAAGTGGACTCCTGTCCCATACGTTCCCACCGCCGTTTTCAACACCCCTCTCCCCTCCGCTGGTGGTGGCGGTGGTGGTCGTGGAGGCCGACGGGCTACCCGCGGTGGCCGTGACGGAGGTCGTGGAGCACACGGAAACGGTGCGGCTGGTGTTGACAAGGCTACCGCTGGCCAGGCAGCCCAAGGCGCGAAGCAGGCATCCGGAGAGCGAGGACGTCAAGAGTCTGGCACTGGACGTGCTGCCTCCCTCCCGGCCCAGTCCCGACGCTCCACTAGCACTGAAGCTGGCGCCGCTGCCGATGCGCGCAAGGCTACTCAAGCCACTGAGCGCGGCCGTGGACCTCGCAGTGGAGATGAGAACGCCAATGGTAAGCAGGTGAACGGAGGAGAGAATGTTCCTCGTGCCCAGCGTGAGGGTAAGGCCTTTGGCCGTAACCAGGATCCTCGCCAGAAGGGTGGAAACTTGGCTGTTGACTCCCAAGCTGCAGCCCGCTCCAACGACCGTCGTTTCGAGGCTGGCTCCAAGTCCGCCGATCCCACTGGCTTCAACGACTTCCCCCGTGAACGCGGCGAGTTCCGCTCCGAGCGTGGTGGCCGTGCCAACCGCGGTCGCGGTGGTCCTTACTCTGGCTTCGGCGGCCAGAACGGTCAGTTCGGCAACCCTGCCATGGCCAACTCTTTTGGTGCCAACAAGTCCTTCGGTTTCAACGACCGTCAGCGCACCCAGCAGCACGCTATCCCCAATGGATCGCAACAACCTAACCGTATGCCCCTCCGATCGCCCTCTTTGCCCAATTCTGGAAATGTTTATGGTGTTTATCCTTTCCCAGGTGACATCAATACGATGTACGGCTACCAAGCTGTGAACCCCGCCCCTATGAGCGCCATGCCCTACCAGCAGTACATGGAGCCGTACGCGCTTCTGAATCTGCTCTCCATGCAATTGGAGTACTACTTCTCGGTCGACAACATGTGCAAGGACATGTTCCTCCGTAAGCAGATGGATTCCCAAGGTTTCGTTCCCTTGCACGTGCTCGCTAGCTTCAAGCGTGTCAAGTCCCTCACCGAGGATTTCGAACTTCTCCGCCACGTTGCTCGCCAGCTCCGCACTGTGGAGTACCACACCAGCGAGGACGGCGTCGACCACCTGCGCCCCAGAGAGAAGTGGCAGCAGTGGGTTCTCCCCGTGGACCAGCGTGAGCCCGTTGCCCAGCACGACGGAGCTGCCCCCACCACCAAGACCGACGAGAACGCCCAAATCAACACTCACACCGAAAGCGCCATCAACGGCTCCGCTCCCCAGTTTGTCCCCAACGGAAGCGCCAAGACCTCCTTGTCGTCTGCCGCCCCGGAGTTCATGCCCTCCACAGCAGGAAGCGAGATCACCAATGTAGGATACCCCATGGATTCCCCTTTGTCCCCCGAAGACCTCCCTTCGTCGTCGGTCCCCTTCCCCTGGGATGACCCAAATGTTGACATAAACCCAGCGCGCGGATTAGACTCCCAGTCTGAACCTCCTTTCCCCTCTGATTTGGAATCAACTACGGGCTCGATGAGGTACGTGTTTTCTCGTGTAGGAAATCCCGTTATCTTTGACTGACTTGGTTTGATAGATATGATGAGGAATATAACCCATACTATGCCAGCAGTGCTGCTTATTCGATGGGAGATTCCTTTGCTCAAAGACATCACCCGGAGCCCCAATCATGGGGGAAGAGCCGTCCATTCACAGATACGCCCAATTATGTTCCCAATTCTTTCGACGTGTCTCGCGATGAAACTTTCAACGGCCGCGGCCGATCGGTGGCCAGGAGGTCTACTTTCGAAAACTTTCAGTCTTACGAATCCCGGTCGTCACGCTTGGCACAAAAATTCGATTCCGACTTGTACAATGATTTTAGGCGTTCAGCCCTTGATGACCTTTTAACACGACATGCTGACCACGGGTTCAATGTGCTTATGGACTTTTATCGGACATCCATGCTTGGCCAACACTGCGTTTCCAACCTGGTATTGAACGACATGGTTCGCCTCTCACAGGAAGGGCCCGACGTTAGCACCATCGTATTGAATACGGTCAACGAAGCCCTCACCAGTGGAAACATGAAGACCCACAATCGGAGAAAAGTCAACAAATATTTCAATACCCAGCACGGCAAGACGCCCAAAGAAAAGTTATCATGTTGAGCCCTTTCGCATCTTTTTCTCTCTCAATCTTGCTCTTTTTTGCCTATTTCTTCTCTTTGCGACTCATTTTCGTTGTTTGTTCGATCCATCATGACCCGCATTCTTTCTTATCCTGTTCAAAAGGTTTTTTTTTTGCATGCATATTCGCCAACTTTTCTAGAGTGCCAATGGACCTGACCTTGCTGCAACAAAGCTTGGATCTTCGGTCCCTGCGAAGCCTCGGGTTCTCTTGTCCTTTCTGCGTTATTTTTTATCGCTTGCTTTTATGTCATGGGAGGCTCTCAAAACGTTACGGCGTCTGGTCATGTTTTTTTTTTCTTCTCTTTAACCTGGCAGTATTTTTTTTTTCGACAACTGCCGCTACGGTGTGCTGGTCAACAAAAATGTTTTATTTCCCTTGACATAGAGATTTGCACTTGTTCCACCCTCTAGGGTTGTGGTCTTTTTCCCCCCATCTATCGATTCAATGCATTCTCGACTCCTTGATTCGACTCGGATCCTAATCAGTATCAACACGACAAAGACCCAGAAGGAAACATACGGCCAACGGTGTTTTCTTGCTGAGGGTGCTATTATCTTCTCATACTTTTCCCGTTTCGCTGTCCACCGGACATCGACTGATTTCGGCATTGTTACGCTTGGTATTTCCCGGAGACCGACCAAATGAGCCTGCCACCGGTACAATATCGAGGATGGATCCAATGCCATGGCAATAATTGGCCCTGGTCACTTTGGCGTTTCGTTTTTATTGATTTGTCACTTCCTTCTCAGCAGGATGTGTTCGTGTACCTTGTTTTTGCATCAACAGGCTTGGGGTCTTTGTGGAGTAACACGATTGATATGCATATTATGAGCCAATTGACTCTTTATGATCAAGAAATTACTCCGTAGAGGAATCTTCGTAGTAGCCTGTAAAGTATCCAATGTATCTATAGTACGTCGGTCACGGGAGATGCCTGAGGCGCCAAGACCACCGACCAAGCGGAGCAGACATAATCAATTCCGCCCGAAAGCTGACTCCGAGCTCTCCCTCCTCGTCTCATCATCTGCTCACCTTTCATTCTCGCGTCAAGATGGAGGGTGTTTCTCGTCAAAGCTCACGGCTCCTTCGGCCCAGTGGCCAACTCCCCCGGCGCCTTCCCCGAACCGCGACATCGTTCGTCCAGACCCAACGCCGAACCCTGTCAAATTCCCCCTCAACGCTCGCCCCAGAATCCATTTTCAATAACCTCAGAGCTAGTGGTCCCTATAGCGATGGCCCTACTAGCTATTTTTCAAGCCGACAGACCCTGCCCGCAAACACCGTGGTGCGATTCGTACCCCAACAGACAGCGTGGATCGTCGAGCGCATGGGTAAATTCGACCGCATCCTGGATCCCGGTCTGGCGATCTTGGTGCCTTTCTTGGACCGTATCGCATACGTGAAAAGCTTGAAGGAGGCCGCCATTGAAATCCCCAGCCAAAACGCTATTACAGCCGACAACGTCACCCTGGAGTTGGACGGTGTGTTATACACCCGAGTCTTCGACGCATACAAAGCAAGGTGAGTGTCATATGAACACCCGATAGACGGGCTTTAGTCTGCAGAAGTGTAATCGCTAACGCCTGCTTGATTACAGCTATGGAGTCGAAGACGCAGAATACGCTATTTCGCAACTTGCACAAACCACCATGCGTTCAGAGATTGGTCAGCTCACTCTTGATCACGTCCTGAAGGAACGCGCCAACCTAAACACAAATATCACCAAGGCTATCAACGAGGCTGCCCAGGAATGGGGCGTTGTCTGTCTTCGTTACGAGATCCGTGATATCCATGCGCCGGAGAAGGTCGTTGCTGCTATGCACCGCCAGGTCACTGCTGAGCGGTCTAAGCGCGCTGAGATTCTCGAGTCTGAGGGTCAGCGTCAGAGCGCGATTAACATCGCCGAAGGTCGCAAGCAGTCTGTTATCTTGGCTTCTGAGGCGCTGCGCGCTGAGCAAATCAACCGCGCTTCTGGTGAAGCCGAGGCTATTCAACTCAGAGCCGAGGCTACTGCCCGTGGTATCGATGCTGTTGCTAAGTCTATCGAAGAGGGCGGCGAGAACGCGCACAATGCCGTTAGCCTTAGCGTGGCTGAGAAGTACGTCGCGGCTTGGTCGAACCTGGCCCGTGAGGGTACCGCCGTTGTTGTTCCTGGAAATGTGGGCGATATGGGTGGTATGATTGCCAATGCGATGGCTGTCTACGGCAAGGTTAGCGAGACACAGGCTCGGGGCCTGGCAAAGAAGGCCATTGGTGCCGAAAGTGCTTCCCAGTCACCCGACGCGCAACCAGTGGACCAAAACATCTTCGAGCAAGCGGAGACACCTGATGTCGTGTCACAGACTGTGACCGAGGGATTTGACGCGGTTCGTCCTCGCAATGATTAAGCTGTCTATATCTCACCCAATCGAAACGAGAACGACGACTCTTCATCTGTGGTTAGATCCACCCTCTCTACTTATGTTTCAATTTTTTTAACACTCTACTACTCCCGGTCTGCATGGGACCGTTGGAATTTTTACTCGCCACTCTGGGCTGAGGTTCTCGGAATGTGTCTTTGGGCATCCTCTCCCATTCCCTGTCCCTTTCTCGTTACTTTCATACCTCCTGTCTACTGCTTTCCCTTGTTTCTTAGCATTCTCCAGGAGTCTTCAAAAGCGCATGAGCTCGCTTGCATGTGATTCCGAATCCATGGTAATGCATCCTATGTGTGTACATTAAGGAGTTACCATCGATCAGAAAGTCCGTGGAGGAAGGGGACAGCTCAATGTACAACTATTAGTATCTCCATTGCATTATTGGAATGGTAAGCGATTCGCAAAATTGGTGACATGATCTCATCCCATGGATTGCTTGCTTCATAATTCTAGCCGTGTCAAGATCTCACCGACAGCACTACCTGCTGGTCCCATATCGTCGACAACGTGACAGCCCTTGAACATCCACTTTAAATCAAGCAATCACACACGTCCGCGTCGAAATTGAAGGCTACTGATCTACGTGAAAAGCCCCGAACCTCGGTGCTGACACTGCGAGAAGGCTAAGATTAGACATACTACCATTTTACCTCGACTAATTAGACATCCTTTGTGATATCTTGCTCCCGAGAGTAAAGATCTAGAATCTGCGGTAACAAAGAAGCTACCGAAAGAGCCATCTGAAAGAACAAAGGGCCTTCAATTTGATAAACAAACGACAAAGAGAGGAATCGCCCTTAATAGCCCTATTGTCCGCTTTGATGGGCTGCCAAATTTATCCATATCCGCTACAGGACGGCGATGATAAATAGCCTCGTGTTTCCTGTCATATCGAGTCTCTCATCGGTTTCACAAAACCAACAAAATCTACACCAATCAAACATGTATTCACCACTACTACCAGCCATGGCTGCTCCCATGGCTTCTGCCAGAGCAGCAAAGACAGCTGAGGATAATTTCCACAAAGCCTGCGAGGCTGTCAATCAGTCCATCACAAGAGTGATTGACTGTCTCAACAGTCGTGCAGACCGTCTTCCCGATATGATTGAAGCAATCAACGAACAAGGCATTGCAATGCTTCGTATCGTGGACCTTGCTGAGACTATGACCAGGAAAAGTCCAAGGTGTGCTACTATTCTTCGTAGCCCACCTGGCTACTTCGTCAACGACTTCAAACACACCTGCAAGGACAAGGTTATTCCAGGACTGTACTTGGCTGTGCATGCACTTAAGAAGTGTGACAGGGTCAATGCTGACACCAACTTCAAGGTTTCGACTATGCTTGAACATGTACAGGAGGAGCTGAGGTTTGCTCTTGATAGCGACGAGTAGTTTGATGTTAGTATGATATACCGCATACTGAAGTAGTTGGAATTGTTATCAAAATATACCGTACAAGTTCGTCGCAATTTCAAAAAAGCATGTAATCCGCTGCACAGGGTGTATATGAGGCCTCGCCCCCTGGCTCCTAGTACCTGTATGGACGTCACCTGTACTCCGTATAGAATCATCATTCCATACCATGAGTATCCATGGATAGCTGGGCTGAAGTCTAGCAATATACAGCCTTGGAACGTCATTGGTGTTGGTGTTGGTGTTCGTTATGGGCTCTTTCTAGATTGGATCCCATTATCCATACTTCCCCCAATGGCGACTACTTTGTACTCCAAACAACGCTAGATACATTCCATAGATATGATGGATTCATTGGTTCACTAGTCCGCGATCTTCCGGTCTAATCGACTCGGCAATTGATATATCACATATTCGTGTGCTCAAATTGAGAGATGGCCACAATCACACTACAACGTACCCATGGGGCTGCACGAACACAGAGTAGACACATCCAAATGCAACACCATCACATTTACTCGTAGAAGCTGCACCATTCCGTACTCTCATGCCAAACAAGCCAACGTCATCTACCCGAAGTGGCAATGAGAACTGTGGATCCTTCATCCCGCTTCGCATGCCCCGCGGTTTATAACCTCTCTCTCTTCCCCAACTTTTTCTTTTCTTTACCACAGCTCAATCCAAGTCTCATATACAATCTAAACTTCATCATGCCTGACTATACCTACAACAGCTCCGGCACTAACAGCCAGGTAAGTTCCAGCCCTACAGTGACAATGGCCAACACAACTGTCCCGTGTCTCCATTGAGCAATCAGAGGAATCCAGACTCATCATGCTTTTCATCATTAGGGAAACCACTATTGCTCCCGTGACTATGGCTCCAGTGCCTCGAACTCCAACAGCTACCATTACTCTAACTCGTAAGTCCTATTGGAAACCTTGGGAAGGCAGTTTAAACGAAGCGTGAATCGTCCACTCGCTTTTACTCGTAGCAACGGCTCTTACTACTACTCAAACCCCAATGGCAGCTCCTACTATAACAGTGGGTCCGGAAGCTCAACATACACTCCCCCCTCCGGAGGCTCGGGAAAGAAATAAGTGTGGTATCCCAATGCCTGTTGGCCCTTGATTTGGGAAATTGGGTCAAGCGAATAGCTCCTAGTATAATACTATTCACATGGAAGAGAGTATGAAAGAGTATTGAAAAGAATATTGAAAAGAATATTGAAAAGAATATTGAAAAGAGTATCCAAAAGAGTATCTAAAAGAATATCCAAAAGAGTGTCCAAAAGAGTATCTAAAAGAATATCCAAAAGAGTATCCGAATGGACTCTTCAAGAACAATCAGATGGGAATTTTCTTCTGAGAGAATGAAACATCTTTAAAGTTCCTTGCTTTTGGTTCCTCATTACTTGATCCCAATAGTATTCCGTACCACTTTAGCACTTGGTTGATGAAGGCTGGAAAGTTGTATCTTGGAATATTAGCTTATTGGAGTAGTATGTGAGAGCCTCAGACAATACTACTACAGTCTGTTGTCTTCTCTCTCAGCTCAGCTGCTCGTTTTAGCTCCTATATCTGTGTATCTCAAGAGCTTGTTGATCGTTTCCCCGTAACTCAGCAGACTGTTACCTGTGGTCGTATCTGGCAATTTAATAACAAGGAAACAAACGGAGAATACACATATCCATTAATGGTAATGTTTTAATCAAAAAATGAATCTGTCATTTGAGAATCAAGGGCTAATCGTTGCATGTTGTTACTAAAGAGTGTAACTATGTACGAGTAAAGAGTATGGAGTGAGCAATGACTCAGCTATTAGTCCATACAGACATCAAAAATAATTGTAGATCAGTAGACAAGTAAGTAAAAAAGTATTCAGGTGCATACATACTTAGACAACAGCCAGCAAATCCCCATGGCCTTTCAAGCAGCCCTCTGTAGACGTAAACTGATCTATCGCGGGAGCTCGGACCAAGTGAATCCGGAGATCGCGACTTAAGCATCGCGCCCTTTTTTATTTCCTCACTAGTCACCTGCGAATTCGGTCATGCCCAACACTCTCTGAACCGATTCAAATCTGAGATCCATACGCGTTAGAACGTGCAACAACTGTTCGACACCGTCACCCAGGGCTCCTGACAAGTGAATTGCGCGCGCGAGGCCTGGCGCGATGCACATCATCAAGCCGGTCTGGCTCACCCACGGAGGTATGGTGCTTCGTCCATATTGATCTGCTTCATGGTGCCAGGGGTATCCGGTCACCGGAACCGCGAGCGATCATCTCTTGAAGCCAGAGTCGCTAATCCCACTTCTCTCGGACAGGTGAACGCAAAGATTTCGAAGTCTACAGCTGTGACGTATCACCAGATGGGAAACGACTGGTTACAGCGGCCGGAGGTGAGCATCCTTCTTTCTGAACTGGGGGTGAAAGCGCACTACTCGGCGTGCGCCTGAACCGCCGATCGTGGACTTTCTGACAATGAACAGATGGATATGTGCGTATCTGGTCGACGGAGGCTATCTACGGGACTGGAAACGCCGAACTTGAAGGCAAGCCCAAGCAGCTGGCGTCGATGAGCAACCACTCCGGCACAATTCACACTGTGCGTTTCTCGCCGAACGGAAAATACCTCGCATCCGGCGCCGATGACAAGATCGTCTGCGTGTATATGCTGGATGCCAATCCTCCCACGCACTCGTCGACTTTTGGTACGATTTGAAGATATTGGAAAAGGGGAACATCGGACGCTGACATCTGTTGGGAAATGTATAGGCTCGGACGAAGCACCCCCCGTCGAGAATTGGCGCACGATTCGACGATTGATCGGTCACGATAATGATGTTCAGGATCTTGGCTGGTCGTATGATTCTTCGATCTTGGTTTCCGTGGGACTGGACTCCAAGATCGTGGTTTGGTCTGGACACTCGTTTGAGAAGCTGAAGAGTATCTCCATCCACCAGAGCCATGTGAAAGGCATCACCTTCGACCCGGCAAACAAGTTCTTCGCAACCGCCAGTGATGACCGGACTGTTCGCATCTTCCAATTCACTTCCCCTGCACCCAACTCCTCAGCGCACGATCAGCTGAACAACTTTGTCCTCGAGCAAACCATCACAGCACCATTCGCCAACTCCCCGCTGACTGCCTATTTCCGCCGCTGCTCTTGGTCCCCCGATGGAATGCATATTGCTGCGGCAAATGCCGTGAATGGTCCTGTTAGCTCTGTAGCTATCATCAACCGTGGATCCTGGGACGGTGACATCAATTTGATCGGACACGAAGCTCCTGTGGAGGTCTGCTCGTTCTCGCCGCGACTTTACGCGACGGAATCTCCCAACAAGAAGCAACCCGACGGTCAGCCAGTGGCGCAAAACTTCATCACTGTTATTGCTTGTGCCGGTGGTGACAAGTCCCTCAGTATCTGGATCACGAGCAACGCTCGACCCATCGTTGTTGCTCAGGAGATGGCGGCTAAGGCAATCTCTGATTTGGCTTGGACCCCCGATGGAAAATGTTTGTTTGCTACAGCTCTAGACGGGACCATTGTGGCCGTTAGGTTTGAGGATGGCGAACTTGGATGGGCTGTGGAAATGGAAGAGAACGAGAAGTCACTCAACAAGTTTGGAACCAACCGAAGGGGTGCCGGTATCACAGAGAACACGGATAGTTTATTGCTGGAGGAGAAGAGTAAGGCAGGTGAAATCAAGCACGTCGAAGGAAGGATGGGTGCTTTGATGGGAGATGGCGCTGAGCCAACTGCCAACGGAGACAAATCATCTCGTCCTTCAAACGGAACTACACCTGCTCGTGCCTCATCGCCACCCCCCGAGGCTCCCAAAGCGCAGACCAATGGAACTGCTTCAACACCCACTGGGACAGAGGCCGACAAGCCGGATCCCTACCAAGCCAAGCTCGAGAGACTCAAACAACGACCAACATACACCAAAGAAGGAAAGAAGCGAATTGCTCCATTGTTGGTCTCCGGTGCTGGCGCTGGCGAGTCGTCCCTTCCCCAGGCTCGTTTGATGGCATCCGTCAGCAGTCAAGTCAAATCTGACGCCCCAAGTACAATTGTGGACCTGTCAAAACCCTTCGATGGCTTGCCGAAGGGAGGTCTTACTGCACTACTCCTGGGAAACAAGCGAAAGCTAGCTCAAATGGACGGCGACGAAGACAACAGTGTGGAAAAGCGAGTAGCGCTCGCCAGTCAAAATAACGCAACCCCCATCATGACCAACACCACAGAAGGCCTCCTGCCTGCTCAAGTACAGTCCGCAACAACTGGCCAACAACCAACGCCGAATTTCATCCGACCCGCAGTCACCAACCCCTGCATGTCAGTTAGCCAGCTGCGGTTGGCGGTTCCCAAAATTCGCAGCCAGATCCTCCGCGCCTTGGACTCCAGCGGGAAACCAACTGAGCCACCAGCTCCTGGTGCAGATTCAAGCACCACCAAAGGCCGTGTAGATGTGGTCTTTGAAGCCAGAAACCCATCGCCAGCAAGTTTAACCGGCCGCGCTGTGGACCGCGAACCAGTCCGTCTCACACTCTTCCGTGGGGATCAGCCGTTGTGGCAAGACTTCTTACCACGCACTGTTCTCCTCGTTACTGGTAACCAGATCATGTGGGCAGCTGGCTGTGAGGATGGATCAATCTATCTATGGACCCCTGCAGGTCGTCGTCTAGTCTGTGGACTTGTTCTCGAGGCACAGCCCGTCATTTTAGAGTGCAATGGACCTTGGATCCTGTGTATCTCCTCGGTCGGTATGTGTTATGTCTGGAACGTGAAACATCTATCCTCCCCTCATCCACCTGTCTCTTTGCAACCCGTGCTGGACGCTGCCATTCACACACTCGGTGCAAATCCCACCGCCGCTCCTGCGGTGACAGATGCGCGTATCAACTCAGAGGGTCGGGTCGTCATTTCTCTATCGAATGGAGAAGGCTATTCTTACTCCCCATCATTGTTTACATGGCAGCGGATCTCAGAGGCCTGGTGGGCGGTTGGTAGTCAGTACTGGAACACGACAGATGCACCCATCAGCAACCTGCAGGCCAAGGATGCCCAACAAGACAACAAGGAAGCCAAGGCAGCCGTTGCTGCCGGGATCATTCCTTGGTTGGAGCGTAACACCACGAACGAGACCCTTCTCCGTGGTAGGGCATACTTCCTGCAGCGTCTGATCAAGGTATTGCTGTCCCGTGAGGGTTACGAGACCTTCGAATCCAGCGTCTCCATCGCCCATCTTGAGAACCGCCTTGCTGCCTCCTTATCATTGGGTGCCAAGGAAGAATTCCGCTTGTACCTGTCTATGTACGCCAAGCGAATCGGTGCCGAGGGATTGAAGCTGAAGGTCGAGGAGCTACTCAAGGGATTGATGGGTGGTCTGTTCGACGACGAAGATGATGCCAGCGAAGGCATCACAAAGCTGCAGGCCAACGAACGCGAAGGCCGTAACTGGCGCGAAGGATCTGACGATCTATGTGGCTGGCCGCGAGAACTTCTGCTGAAGGAAGTGATTCTAGCTCTTGGTATGTTTTTCCTCCGATCTCTTTTCACTGGTTAATACTAACTTCGAACCTCCTAGGTAAACATCGTGATCTTCAACGTGTTACTGTGCCTTATGCCAAGCTTCTTGATATGGTTGATTCGGCATCTGAGCAAGGTGATGCGATGGACCTTTAATGACCTTTCTTTATCTATACCTTTTCTGTCTCAATGTCTTTTTTGACTGGCGTTCAATCAGTGGCGGCGACCTTGACAAAAGGAATTGCGATACTTATCAAGGCGTTGGAAATGACAAGCTTCCTTTCATGCTGTGTATTTATAGACTTATCAATTTGCTACACAATGGCAGAACTACAGCTCTCAAGTGCTAGACACGCAGTAAATAAGACCGCGAAGCAACAAACAAAATTACGTAAGTGATTCGATGACGTCGCCAGGGCTTGACCCTCACGTGGGCGGTCACTTCTCTGCAGGCAGAAAAATCCGATGACATCTGGCGCGAACTTCAACAACTTTGCATTTGCCTCGCAAAACACGCGTTCATTTCGTCCGTACGCTCTCTTTTTTGTCCATTGATCGTGTCCACTGCGTTTGTGGACCACCGCCATCACGTCTTCCTCGTCAGCCCTCTTCTTTCGTATCGTCGATCGATCCGCAGCTGGTTCTGCATTTGGCGCGCTCCATCCTTTCCGCTTCCGCCTTCAAACATCCCCCCACCTCCCACCTCTCTTCTGTCGCTTCTACTCAAGCAAGAAGAAAAAATCCAATAAAATGCCTCCCAAGAAGCAGCAAGTTCAAGAAAAGGTTCACCTGGGCCGTCCAGGAAACAACCTGAAGAGTGGTATCGTATGTGAGCGCCCCACCCTTTTTTTTTTTCCTTTTTGCACACAGCACAGTCCACTTTTTAATTCCACAGAAAAAACTATTTAACCCCCCTTGCCCCCTTTCTTCCTCACTTTTTTTTCTTCTTCCTTTTCCATCCATTCTAACCATGGCATGATTTTCTTTTAGGTTGGTCTTGCCAACGTCGGCAAGTCGACACTCTTCCAGTCCATTACCAAGTCCTCCTTGGGTAACCCGGCCAACTTCCCCTATGCCACCATTGACCCCGAGGAGGCCCGTGTTATTGTCCCCGATGACCGGTTCGATTGGCTCTGCGACCACTACAAGCCCAAGTCTAAGGTTCCCGCCAACTTGACTGTGTATGATATTGCCGGTCTGACCCGCGGTGCCTCTACTGGTGCTGGTCTTGGTAACTCTTTCTTGTCCCACATTCGCGCTGTCGATGCCATCTTCCAGGTGGTTCGCTGCTTCGATGATGCCGAGATTATTCACGTCGAGGGTGATGTCAACCCTACCCGTGACTTGGACATTATCAGCGAGGAGCTGCGCATCAAGGATATCGAGTTCGTCGAGAAGGCCCTCGACGCCCTCAAGAAGCAGACCCGCCGTGGCGGTCAGTCTCTTGAGATGAAGAAGCTCAAGGAAGAGGAGGCCACCACTGCCGAGATCCTGGAGTACCTCCAGTCCGGCAAGGATGTCCGTTCCCGTGAATGGAGCCCCAAGGAGGTACGTTTTGAAAATTTTTCTTTTCTTTCCACCAGCCCCACCTCCTACCCTGATGAATAAGAGCACTGCTCGAAATTTAACCCAGCTCGTTGAGTGCCCTCATATATAAACTCACGAAGAGGGCACCTTGAGAAAAACAGTTATAAACTGAAAATTTGGAGACACTTCATTATCATGTCACTCAATTATTTTTTGAGACATCATGCTAACCATTTCGGTTATAGGTTGAGGTTATCAACCCCTTGTTCCTTCTCACTGCCAAGCCCGTTGTGTACCTTGTCAACCTGAGCGAGAGAGATTACATCCGCCAGAAGAACAAGTACCTCCCCAAGGTCTTCGAGTGGATCAAGGAGCACTCCACTGGATCTCCTATCCTCCCCGTCTCTGCTCAGTTCGAGGAGCGCCTCACCCTTCTCGGTGACGAGGCTGCCGCTCTCGAGGAGTGCAAGAAGCTCGAGACCAAGTCTGGTCTGCCTAAGATCATCACTACCATGCGTACTGCCCTGAACCTGGCCAGTTTCTTCACCACTGGTGAGGATGAGGTCCGTCAATGGACTATCCGTAAGGGTATCAAGGCGCCTGCTGCCGCTGGTGTCATTCACACCGATTTCGAGAAGACCTTCATTCAGGCTGTCGCATACAACTACAGTGTTCTGCGTGAGGTCGGCGATGAAGCCGGTGTCAAGGCTGCTGGTAAGATCATGACCAAGGGTAAGGATTACGTCGTCGAGGACGGTGATATCCTCCTCATCAAGGCTGGTGCTGCCAAGCACTAAGTGCATATACGTTGTAGACAATATTCAATGATACACAGTCTTAACGACCATTTGTTCCTTGTAAACCTTGTGATTGTAATTCTTGTAGAGTGATAATGATGTCAGTTCTTGTAGCTCATATTCTGCGTGTCTTAACTTCCCTACAGACACGCACTTGACGTGAAAACCCAGAATAGGCCCACGTGACCGCTCCCCGCGCATCCCACCTGCGTATCAAGAGCTTCATTCGCATAGCATCATAGACCCATACAGCACCATGTTCAAGAAAGAGTGAGTCTACAGTCTCTGCCAACTCTGCCACCAACCCCTGCCGGCAAATCAACCCCCTCAGAGTCTTCTGTCTGCCAAACTGAACCCGGCCTCCGCGGGGTACGGTCACAACCGCGGAAGCTGCTCGGGCTACGCATTGGAGCTTTATAGCCTTATTTCTGAAGACTGGGGGCATCGTTATATTATTTCGTTGAGATTAAAGACTAATCACTCTGCTCTCCAGTATCCCCCCAAGCAACCGGTCGAAGGTCAAGTCTTCCGTGCAGCGCGGTCTGCGCCAGAAGCTACTGGAGACATACCCCGGCTTCGAGCCCGTCATTGAGGAATTTATGCCCAAGAAAGCTTCATTGGAAGCTGTGAAACTGTACAGTCTACCCTTTCCAAACTCGCCCAAGCACCAACATCACCATACACATCCACATCCACATCAAGACACAAGCTCACACATCCAGACCGGACCGTGTCACCCTCTACACAATAGACTCAACCCCCCTCTTCTTCCAACCCATCGACGGCCCCCCAGTCCCCCACCTCCGTCTCATCCACACCTACCCCTCCGCCATTCCAACCATCCAAATCGACCGCGGTGCCATCCGCTTCGTTCTCTCCGGCGCAACCCTCATGGCCCCGGGCCTGACTTCCCCCGGAGGCAGACTGCCCGATGCCGAGAATGCACTTGAGGCAGGCCAGATTGTTGGCGTTAAGGCTGAGGGCAAGGAGGAGATTTGTCTTGTTGGTATGTTGAAGGTTGGTACTGAGGAGATCAAGAGTAAAGGCAAGGGTGTTGTTATGGATGAAGGCCATTATCTTGGCGATGGACTTTGGAGAATGTATTTGGATTAGGGGATAGGAGATACAATATACCATGTTGAATGAAATGAATAACATAATGTCTGGGAGTATTTGTAAGTATTGGGCTGGTTTATGATTGTCAACGTGAGTATTTAGATGAATTACTTAAGTATGGCTCTCCTGGTGTCTGTGTCTATTCAAAGCTGTTGAATTTGTGTTGATAGAGACAACATCGGAGGAATAAACACAATATCCTGTCTACTCAAGCTGTTCCTTCCCAACCTGGCGTTGTCCTATTCACCAAAGACTCCAACACTTCACGGCTCCAAACCCATACTTACCTCGAGTCTATCAAATCCTTACCCTTAAATCACTACAAACCCTTATATAACAAACCATGAACCACACTTACAACCCAATGACAGGCCAGCAACCCCCCAACACCAACTTCAGAACCCAACTAACAAAACAACAGCAACATCAAGCAGAACCATATTCCGCCTCATAGACGACCACTCCCCAGTAATGGAGGCCTACCCCACAACCCTCCGCTGGCTCTCAGTCCACATTGCCGAAGAACTATTCGGCTGGACGGACCTCGAGATCATAGATTATGTGGGCGCATGTATCTTGTGTGGTCGATACGAAATCACCGAATGCACGGAAGATGTACGCAATACGCCTTTCTGGGTCCCATTTCCGATGGTGGAGCGTACGACTGGCTTGTTTCCGACTGTTAGAAGGGTTCTTGCTTTGTTGGATAGGTATCGGGAGGATATTCAGTTTGGTTGGATTGGGATTGATCGGGATTTTGTTAGGAGTAAGGATCCTTGGTGTTTTTGCTAATGCTCAAGTGGTGCTGGAGATTGTTTATGTCTTTCTTGCCAGTTCATGTTATTCTAGACTTAGAAGTTGTTGACCGGTACTTAAGTAGATGTATATTTCCCCACTGAGCCATATTTATACTCCCGAGACCGTTGCTCACCTGGGCATAAATCCATACTTATGTACACCCTTTGCAGCGATTACATATTATCTAGTGAAACGCAATCAATTTGTATTTTCTATTATGATTCCAAGACTTCTATTCCAAACGTACTTAAGTAAGTATTCGACAGCCTCTAAGACTAACCTCACACGACGCTATTCCTAAAGTGGTTACGATCAAACCTCTGAACATTTCTCAATTCGTCCAACATCCCACCAGAGATGCTAAACCAGCCCACGACTCCAATATCATGGCTGAACCAGATAAACCGGAATTATATCGAATGCGAAGTGGGCTCCATCCCGCTGAAGGGGTGAGCTTTATTCCAAGCATTTCGATATGCGCGTCCGATTGACTTATAACAGTATGAATTACCCGGGAGTGGGTTTATAAGGTGGAAAAAAATTGGTCCTGATGACGTTGATGCATTTGGCTGGTATCGCGTCCTTTTCGAGAATTCAAACCAGAGTGTAAGTCATTCTAAAGTTCAATCCCATGATAGCGGGCCTTTCTCACTGTGAACTCATTTCAAGGGTCAATGGTACTGCAAACATAGATACATAAATGCGCCTGATGCGAACTCCTACCATTACATCAACAGGTGAGATTTTGTTACATTTTATGGCTTCCATGATGATTGACCATGAGCGCAATATAGACAAGCATGCTCCAACAACCCGGATGGAAGTGAAGAAAAGATCCACATGGGCCTGCAAAGTTCCTGTTATAAACCACCAGGGACGAATATCTGGTATGAGCATAGTGCGATGATCGATTGGGACTCCTCGTATAAGATCCCTGATACTTGCATTCGGTTATATAGCAACCCGGGCACAAGATTTTGGGAGGATATGGAGGGATAATCGCAGAGATACGTAGAGAATCACAAGCAAATGATTGCTCGAGAAGAGGAATTTGCTGGTACGTTCACTGACGATGTTGCTTCTGGAATGTGTCTCGCTAACTACAAGAAGCCGAACAAGCCAAGGAGGATGCAAGGATGTGGCAGTTTCATGTGGGACGTATTCAGGAGGAAAATGAGCAAGGGGAAATGCAACAGATATTATGGGACCAGAGAAAAAAGAGGCAAATGAGAAAGGAGCAGTACCAAGAGGAGCAGATCAAACTGTTACAGATGTCATTGGACCAGCTGAGAGATACTCCGATGTTCGACGAACAGAAAATCGAGGAGCAGATCAAAAAGCACCAGATGAAATTGAAACATCTGAGAAAGAAGCGGATTTGGGAGGAAGAGAACGACAGGGAAAGGGCGAGAATCAGCGGGAAGATCTATCACAAGATCATGCTGATGCAGATAAAAAGGTATCATGAGGAGATCACGGAGCAAGGTAACAGTCTTCCACCCTAAAATGATTCATATTACTTACATTTCCCAGAACAAAGAGAAGCGGCCTTTGAAGAACCAGGCGATAGAGACACGCAGTCTGCACGTTCAGACCCGGTCATCAAGGAGGAGGTCAAGACCAAAGAGACCATAGTGGAACAATACCAACGGGAACGAAAAGAACGACAAGCCGCCAGAAGAGCCAGAAAGGAAGAAGCACGCAGGCTCAGGGAACAGACCGAAAATTGAGACCTTAGCAGTTCAAGTGTCGATCGATGCTACTTTACATTCGTGCAGAATCCAATCGTATGATTTTATATGAGCCTTGCAGTATACAAAACTACAAGATATCCAAGCATGTACTCCAGAGACTTAGTATAATTCTCCAGTCAGTTACAAGTACACGAACTAAAAAACGGAGTAAAACAAAGCTGCGTATTACAAATCATATCAAAAAAAAAGCATAGCTCATGCATCGTCCGGCTACCTAGTTTACATCCATAGATGAAGTCCCGCAAGACCGACTAATCAGCCCGGACTATCTATCAATTAAATTCCTCCAATTCCATTCACAACAGGGAATGCCGAGCCAAAGCACGACAATTCAATCCCAGGTGCAATTTACAGGAAAGCGAGAGCACCGACAACGGCACCGGCGAGAGCCATAGGCTGAGCAACCAGGGACATGGCAGCACCGGTGGAGGGAGTGGGGGCAGCAGTGGAAGAGCCGCTAGCAGAGCCAGAGGCAGAGGCGCTGGTAGCAAGACCGGTCTTGGTGAAGGTACCGGTGGTGGTGCCGGTGGCGGTACCGGCGGTACCGGTCAGAGTGGCGACGCTGGTGACTGTGGAAGATGAATCAGTATGGGGCTTTGAAGATGCGCTTGGGGATGCGCTTGAGGTTCCATGGGATCCAGAATGGGATGCGGAATGGGTTCCAGAATGGGTTCCAAGGGATTCGGTTGTGCTAGGGGAAAAAGTACCGGTAGTGGAAGTCTCGGTGGTGGATCCAGTGGTGGAGGAACCAGCAGTGGAAGAACCAGTGGAGACGCCAGAGGTAGAAGAAGCAGAAGAAGAAGAAACAGTGGATGATGTACCAGTAGAAGTAGCAGATGAGGAGCTCTCAGCGGGCTCGGTCACGTTGAATTGCTGGGACTGGGCGAGGATGCCGGTGTTCTTCTCGGAGGTGGACATCAGGTTGACCTGGAAGCCGGAACTGAGGGTGGGTGTTAGTTGTGTGTCTTCATGAGACTATGGCGTGACGTACCCCTTGGCGACGTCCTTGAGACCAGAGGCAGTGTAGGTGCCCTTGGAGGTGTCAATGTCGGAGGCGATCTTCTCCTCAACGTTGGGGTAGATGTTGTTGTTGACAAGGATGATGTTGACAGAGTCGGCATCGGTGCTGGGCTGGGTTAGCTTGCTTGTGCGTGTTGTTATACGTGCTTCTAGTAGACATACTCGACGCTGTCCCACTTGATAGTGAAAGACTTGGAGACATCAAGCTCAGCACCCTTGGCAGGCTCGGTGACCTTGAGGGCTATAGACGTGTTAGAGACTATGCATCACGCGGAGACCAATCAACATACCGGCCACGGAAAGGGCCAGAGGCAAAGCGAGGGCGATAGAGAAACGCATCTTGTCGATAAAACGAGAGTGGGAAGATTAGAAGTTAGATGGAGTAGTTATTCAAAGCGAGTGTATGAAGAGAAGTGAAGGAAAGATGGAAGGTTCCGTCGACGTTGAAATATAAGTAAATCCAGTTTGATATCAAACCAATGTCTCTCCCACAAATCAAAAATAAATAAAACCGAGGCAAAAATTACAGAAATAGAACTGACACCCAGTTTCCCAGTTTTCAACCTCTAATAATAATCCACTTGATTTTTTTTCTGTTAGCCCCGGAGTACGGCATTCAGGGTCTGTGAAAGGTGGGAGGATCGTCATGGTTCAACCTGGAGCTAGTTTCAGGGCCCGAGTCCCGCAGTATACCAGAAGGGAATATAAAAGTTGAAAATAGATGCCATTACCCAGAATAATCGAACAATCCCAGAATATTACACGAGAAGTGGCTATAGGGCCGATAAAGAAGAACACTAAGGCTGTCTTGGCAAGCCACTAGTGAGATTTTGGCGGAACCGGAATGTTGCGCCACGTTTTATTACCACGTTAAGCGTGGTGTATTTTTGCTGGTTTGCAAATTCTGTCTGTATTTGTGCCTTTTACCCGGAACGGTCATGGACCCTGATCTTCTGGTATTTTTCACTCCCTCATACCGGGCTCTCCGTAGTACTCCTTGCCTATCAAGCCACAACAGATAAGGTAACACCTGGGCTTTCACCCGCATAATCTACTTCTTTTTACTTTTTTACTTTCTCATGCAGTGTGCGAGGTGCTAGAGTGTGCATTTTCATCTGCCTTCTTGCGCACACTCGCTACTCGCTAGCTACTCCGTAATCGTACAATCGTATCCGAATCTGTCTCACACCAGTCCCAAAAGGGCATTGTACGAGCCCGGTGTTTCAAAGACCCACTCGCGTACAGGTCCAATTCCCAAGACATTTCGACGTTGTATACGCTAAGAGCGAATAAAATTAGTGTCTCACCGAGAATCAACCGGCAATTTTTATCTCTCGATCCCATTTGCCTCATCCGCCACGGAATTATTACCCATCTGCCCAATGTGAGATTATACGAGACCGAGATACGCGAGCCCAACTAAAAGTGATATATGAATTCCTGACTAGTGTCTATCTTGTAGCTATACGAGTACTTTCCACAGTACGCCCAACTAAGAAATTAAACCCATTAAGTTTTGTAAATGTTGACATCGCTGCAACTGTTAGCTCATCATAAATCCAGAATACCTTAGAAGGCACTTACAAATCCCGGATAATCGTCTCCCGGTTCACAGCTGCAGATTCAACCCACACGCTAGCACTCATCGCTTTCACTGCGAACCCTCCGTATCCCTTTTTGTCAATAACGACAGCCTTCATATCAGGATGCAAGAGATCGATCCACTCCTCGTAAGCGTGGCGTCGACCAACATACATCCGTTGCACAGCCGAACCAGAATTACTGATAACGCAAGCCAATCCGGAGAGGTGACGGGCGTTCCCGTAACGGACGAATCCTGTGGCTGTCAGTTGCCAAGACCTTCATACACAAGACAAATCCGATGGAGGATGGAGGAGTAAGGGACGAACCTATGCAGTTTGGTTGGTCGAAGTAATCTTGCTGTTCACCGTTCGCGTACAGTTTGCGGGCCTGCATCAGGATGGGGAGGAGTCCGTCGCAACTTGGTGTCATTGGGTTCTCCACATTAGCTCGTATTCCATACAGGTCTCCGTAGAAGACACATGGGTGGCCCCCTTTGCGGAGGAGGATCAGGGCGTATGCTAGCAGTTTGAAAGATGGGGCGACCGGGGTCTGTGGTTTGATTAGTTGGGTTTTTTCTTGTGGGGGATCTGGAGAACTTACTTCGAGCATCTGTCCTGCTTGCTGTGGCTGGGTTAGATTTACTTTGGTACTCCGTAGATTGGATGTCAGCTTACCGTATCGTGGTTCGAGACAATGGTCTGTGAAAAAGTCAGTACTGGTCTGGGTCTGAGTCTTTCGAGGGTAACGAAACTTACCACTGCGTGGTCTGGCCGGCAATTTACCAAGGTGTTTTTCAGGATAACGCGAAGGTCAGACCCCTTCGCGTGTGAGATCCGGGAAAAACTCTCGACCAAGGGGACATCGTATGCTGTCAGGTTGTAGTCGACTTTCTCAAGGTAGCCAATTAAAGATGGTAAATGGCCTGTCCAGTACTCGCCTATAGCGAAGAAGTCCGGATTGGCTGTTTTGCGAACATGTTGCACGAAGGCTTTCTGGAACTCCGTGGAGAAGTGTTTGGCTGCATCCAGCCGCATGCCATTGAGGCTCAATGCTTTGGTGACCCAGGTTCCCCATTGCAGGAGATCCGCGCGGACTTCCGGGTGTGTCAGGTCGAGATCGGCGAACATCAGATAATCATAGTTCCCGTTCTCTGTGGAGACATCTTGTGCCCAGTCTTTGTTGGGTGCGACGATCTTGTAGATTGCGTTTTGCTTGCTCTTATCGTCCCAGTCGATCCCGCTGAAGTGTTGCCAGTGATACTTCATCGAGCTGTACTGGTCCCCACGTCCGGAGAATTCAAAGCCTGTCCAGCCATTGACTTCAACAGGCTCCTCTACCTCGATATCTCTCCCTGTTCATGCAGTCAGCAAATTGTACATTGCCCAAGAACGGGCGCTAAGCGGGCAAACAACGGCGATACTCACTCTTAGGATCAACCTTGACAGCCAAAAAAGGCTCATGATAATCAGCACCAGCTTTATGATTCAAGACCGCATCCCAAATCACTCGAATCTCCAAAATCTCTGCCTGAAGCATCAGATCTTCGAGTTCCTGCTTAGTACCCCATTTGGTCGGGACAGCCCCCTTCTGATCAAACTCCCCCAGATCATATAAGTCATAGATATCATAGCCATTGCCATTAACATCCATTCCTTTACACCCAGGCGGGATCCAGATCTGATCAATGCCTAAGGCTTTGTAGCCCGGTAACGCGTCGCGCAGCCGGCGCCAATGCGACCGGTCGGCCGGAACATGCCATTCAAATGTTTGAAAGATGAGTGAGTTATCTGGCGCATTCCATGATGCCTGTTGCTCTATACTGTCCGCTTTGTCTGTTGGGTGGTTAAAACCTCTGTTTCTTGACGCGTTGGGGGGCGACACACCTTCGATCTGTTGCCTCCGTTGGGCTTTTTGGCGGGATCCACAAAACCAGAACATCGTTGATATGTGAAGGGTCTCAGGAGTTCTGGATATATGAATGTAATATGATGCCTTGTACTCCGTACTCCGTTCGTACAAGTGTAGAATGGTCTCACAGCCGGGTGGGGGCCTGAGCTATTTCGGGACGGGCGATTTCTCGGTCTCCTTTTTAATGAAAAATTTTTCATTGGGAATTTTCATCTCCACTAATTCTTGAGATTTCTTCTGTATTTTCTTCTGTATTATGAAGAAACAAATGTCAATGCCAAAAAAAAAAAACAAAAGAGTATGCTACATGAAGGGATATCTGTGCGAAGCCGAGTCAACACGCCTCATAACAATGAAATGTGCAGAAGAAAAAAAAAAGTATAAAAAAAAAGAATGGAAAAATAATGTGCAAAAACGAGAGAAAAAAAGAGGTTGTGTTGCAAGGGACGTCATAGGATCATCACATAGCTCATTACTGCAGCCAACAAAGAGAACAGACCGGTACTTCCCAATCTTGTGGCGTCACTGGAATAGGTAGCAATATCTTTGCCCGTCTTGATGGAAGCCAAAGAGGCATTGGAGAGAGGGTAGCCACAGAGACCACTACCGTCCATATATTCGGTAGGGAAGAAGACTCGGGGTTCTCCCTTGTCCATGTCCACTTCCAGCGATCCCCTGTTGTCGACGGTGTAGTTTTTGCAGTTGAGCACATCCAAGAGCTCAACTCCTGCGTTATAAGTGTAGGGGAGGTGGATGGTGTAGTATGTGCTAGTGGAGGGTTGAGAAGATAGCACCATGACGACTTGTCGACCCTCGATACCCTTGGTGAAGGCCAGGACACTGCTATCCTGGTATATTGTGCGGGTAGGCAGGTCGAGGTAGTCTCTGCTGAGAATATAAGCGTGCTTCCGGATCGCGTTGAGCTTGCCAATCAGTTTGTATAGCACCGAGTTGGTGGGGTATTTGGTCAGCCAGATGGCTTCTCGGTTGTCGGGAGTTGCGTTCCCGTCCAGGTGTTGCTCTTGGCCTTGGTAGATCATGGGAATGCCGTCGAACAGCATGGTGAATACCAGGACATTCTTAGCGATTGAGATATCCTTCGAAAGACCCGCAATTCGGGGCTTATCGTGGTTCTCCGAGAAAGAAGCAAGAGCATTGACATCCGGGATCAAGGATCTCATTTCCTCGACAGCCTTCGCGAGTACGGATGTGTTTCCCAAGGTGAACGCGTTGATGATCTGGAAATAGATCGGGTAGTTGGGCATACTCTTGATGTAATTTTGCTGGTAGTCGACAATGGTATCGATCTCTCCCACAAGAACTTCTCCGGTCATGAACGTGTTGTTAATGCCCTTGTAGAAGTTCGGGAGGAAGCCCGGGCTGACGTGCTTGGCGGCATCAATACGCAGACCATCGATGGAGTAGGTTTCGATCGCCTTCTTGGCCCACTTGATCATCATGTTTTGAACCTCCTCGTGCTCCGTGTAGAGATCCGGCAAGGGTACAATGTTATCACCGGTCTGACAGATTTGTGCATTGGTCATGTTGTTCCAGTCCGTAATTTTGCAGTAAGGGTGGTAGTAGTCGGCATTATTGAAAGGAGTGATGGCCGAATAGTCAATGTGCGTAGCAGGATTGCTGCCATTCGTGATGGAGGCCATGTTGTTGATGACGGTGTCCATCATGAAGTACATGCCCCTGGATCGGAGGGCGGCCCCAAGGTCGAGCAAATCTTGATGAGTTCCGAAATGCGAATTGAGTTTGTTGAGATTCGACACCCAATATCCGTGGTATGCTTCACCGTATTCCACTCGACCCTCGACGTTCTCGACAATGGGCGAGATCATCACGGCGTCGAATCCCATACCCTGGATGTAGTCGAGTTTGTCGATTGTACCTCGCCATGTACCTCCGCAATAGAGGCCTGCCGTTGTGTTGCATGGTGCTGTGATTGATCCGTCCGTGCGAGCAAACCGATCAGTCATGGTTTGATAGATCGACCTGGCTTTCCAGTCGGCTAAGCCCGCAGCTGACGTGGATACGATCAGCCCTGTGAGAGTGCAAAGCCCAGCCAACCGGCGAAGACACCATGATGACATCATGTGTGTGCGATGGACAAAAGAAGGGAAGGGGGAAAAGGGTTAAAAATATGAAGGAATGTCAGGCTCTAAGATCAGAGCGAGGGAAAGAGGGCAGACCAAAAGGAATGAATGAATGACATGTGGACTTTAGCCGCGGATAAAAATGAGGGGAGAGAGGCAAAAGAGAGCAGAAAAATAGGAAGTCCTCGCAAAGAATCGGGGAACCTGGTTCGGCAGGGGGGTGAAATGGCCCTAAGTCAAGTGGCTACTTCACGTCGATCTCCTCTCTATCGATGGGTCCTGAACGTTTCTACAGGTAGATTGAATTCCACTATAGAATACTTTAATTACTCCACCGTTTGGCGATTTAAACATTGGATTAAACTGCATCAGATATACGAGTCTATATTGAATGCAGGTACGCGGTGCCATTCAGAAGTTGACGGAATGCCCCGGGATTCCAAGAAAAAAGATCCAAAGCCTTTGATCCAATGGTGGAGACCCAAGCTAGACATACAGGAAGCGGGGTCTGAAGAATCAAGTTTATTTGGATACTCGACCCATCTTCTTCTGGGTCACTGGCTCACTACGAGTAGAAACCTCCGACTTTCATCCACGGGGAATTCCAAAGACACCCCAGAAGAACTTTAGAACCACTTTAGCTTCAGGTACACTCGAAGTTCGAAGAAATGAGTGGCTGAGACATCAATTGCCCTAATTTCCAACAACGCAGTAGTCACATCCCCCATCACCGAGCTAGAGGTGACAAACTTCGGATGGGCCAATGATCCGAGACAACGGTCCATAGACCCAGACTAGTTTTAGGTCCTTTCTCCACAGTTGCAACCTCTACAGGTACACTAATGGTCAAAGGACTGACTACGAGTATTTTAGGTCGGTTCAACTTTACACAGAAAGGGATTGAAGTGGACAGAGGGAATACTAAGTAACTACGGAGTATATCAGATGTCTCGCATAGAGGATTGTCACAATCTCGGAGATGGGCGTTGAGTCGGGGGTTCTGCTTAAGTGCGAGTAACCATTACCAAGACCTCGGGGGAGAACCTGGAAGTGCACTGAGCACGGGCATCAAGGCAAGCCCGAATCGAACTAGTTGGGGTCTGGCGGAAATGAAGTCTTCCTTGACAGTTGGGCATCGCCATTGACGTTTCTTCAAATGCCGGGTGGCGGCCGTGGCTTCACTATGCATATGAGATATGTAGATATGAATGCAACTAGAAGTTCAGATACCCCTTGAATCGCATAAATGGGGAATATGTATTCGGAGGTAGAATGGGATATGACCGAGCGGTGGGGACGTTAACAGAGATTTTCCTTCGCATTGGCCTTGGCCAAGTTTAATTTTTCTTATCCGAAAGATGTGCCTGGGCAGGTCCGGGGTCCGAGTCTTATCGCGTTCTTTTAGTGTACGAAGTGCTCGTACCTGTTGAATGTGCATTATACGGACAACTACCGCACACTATTCCTACTATTTGCGTCTAAAAATTTAGATGGAGAGCAGCACTCCATAGGTACTCCGTAGTAACAGTTGGACGAAAAAATACAAAAAGAATTGTGGGCATTGGGGAAGCCCGAGATACCCGGGCTTCCATTGGAGTTCGAAAAGTATTAATAAACGGTCCACTTTGCCAAGTGAGATTTCTCCGAACGAAAATAACAAGCGTGGTATTGTCACACCTCGTCTCACAGCCCACGCTAGAGGTGGATCAAGTCTCACCATCCCAGACCAATCGGTGAGATCGGTAGGGCTATCGGCCGCAACCTCCGATTACAGATTGTGGTCCGTGGCCCGACACACTACATCTCTCGGCATCGCGATAGGCTGATATTTACGGGGCCGTATCTCTCCAAACACGAGTCAGACTTGAGGACTGAACGGGATGTCTCACAACTGGCACACCGTGAGATCATGATAATTGTTAAAAAGGTCAGATATAAAAACCCGCCATCAGCAATGGATCAAGGCCGTTTGAAAATCAATCAAGACAAAACACCTCTCGCTCTCGTATGAAACCCCCGGAGCCTTAGCGAAATCAGGGTCCAAAAGTTATGGGTCAATCCAATAGCGCATCAATCGGGTAGACCCGTTCTGGCCGAGGCTCCATCGAATTGATTTTTTTTTCTATTCCAGAACACCGAGTGCCCGGTTTTATTTTCCATTTACCCCCCATTTTCTTGTTTGACCACGGATAAGCACCGGCCAAGTATTCTGGTATTGGTTGAACCACAATGTTCAAGCAAATATGTATGCCAGGAACCAACACGGTCAAGACCGATGCGATGGAAATGCCAAGTGGCAATTCGAGCCCTCTGGAGTTAAAGCTGGATTAGGAAACAAGCAAAAGACGACACCAAAAAAAAAAGGAAAAGAAAAGAAAAGAAACCTAATTAAACGAACATAGAGCCGAAAAGGGAAAAAGTAAGCAATCCAAAAGGGGCCGGCAAAATTACAGAGACGTTGAATACTTGAATACCTCAAGGCTGATACTGCAGATACTACTCGTACCTACCTAGGTACTGATTACACTAGAGATACGGCAGATACGGCCATACTAACGTTAAAATACAATTCTAATACCAGATACTAAACGCCAAGACCTGTTCTATAATCGGCACGAGCCTCAGCCTGTCTCATTTACTTTTTTTTTTATTTTTATCTCGAGAGCTTCAATGCAAGCCACTAGCTTTTTAGCTCTCGTTTATGTGATCCCTTTTCCAGCTCGCTCGCTTTCTCTCTCTTCTTCTCTATCTCTCTATCGCTCTATCTCACTTCACTCGTTTCTGTCCTTCGTTATCGCATTTGGCTTTGCATTTGATTGTCCGATTTCCCCACACACTTCCCACCCCCATGGCAAGTGAGACCTACACTTTTTGAAAGATCGTCTTTGCTATTGCAGATACACGGGGCGTTCAACCATCATGAAGTGGCTGCTCGCCAGCGGGTTGATCTCGCTTTTTGCGACAACCGCGACAAGTTGGCCTTACGATACGGATTTCCTCCAATACAACCTGAACGAAAATAAGACTGCTACAGATCCAGCACACTACTGGGGAGAATGGCCAGATCACACATACCACCCTTCTCCAAAGAACTGGCGTTTCCCGTTCTACACTCTTTTCATGGATCGTTTCGTCAACGGTGACCCCACCAATGACAACATCAACGGAACTCAGTTCGAGCACGATCTTGACTCGACTCAAATGCGCCATGGTGGCGATGTGGCTGGCCTCATCGATACCCTGGATTATCTTCAAGGAATGGGTATTAAGGTTGGTTGGATCGGCTGTGAATATGGAAGAATTGTGCTAATGGTCTCTACAGGGTCTGTATCTCGCTGGTACTTCTCTGCTGAATCAACCGTGGGGTTCCGACGGTTATTCGGTGATGGACACTACTTTGTTGGATTTCCACTACGGCACACTCGAGACCTGGCGCACTGCTATCACGGAAATCCACAAGCGTGGAATGTACGTGTTGTTCGACAATACCATTGCAACGTGAGTTATTCCCTTCGGACAGAGCCAGCAGCAAGCAGCGCTAACCCGTGGCTCTTTAGAATGGGTGATTTGATCGGATTTGAAGGCCATCTCAACACCTCCACTCCCTTCTCCGAGAAGGAATGGAAGACCCAATGGAAGACAAGCCGCCGCTACGTGGACTTCGATATCGGCAACGGAGATTACAACGCTACTTGTGACTACCCCCGATTCTGGTACGAGGACGGATACCCTGTCAACCAGACTCAGACCGCGGGATTGGTTGGTTGTTTCGACAGTGATTTCGATCAGTACGGTGACATCGAGGCTTTCGGTGTTTGGCCTGATTGGAAGCGTCAACTGGCCAAGTTCGCCTCCGTGCAAGATCGTCTTCGAGAATGGCACCCCACAGTCCGCGAGAGGTTGATTCGACACTCTTGTATGATCATCTCATCTCTGGATATTGACGGTTTCCGTTACGATAAGGCCACTCAGGCTACTGTTGATGCTCTCGGTGACATGTCCGCTGCTTACCGCGAGTGTGCCCGGGCTGTCGGTAAAGAAAACTTCTTTATCGCCGGTGAAATTACTGGTGGTAACGAGTTCGGTACCGTTTACCTCGGCAGAGGCCGACAGCCTAACCAGTGGCCCGACTCGGCTGTTGCGACGATGAAGTTGACCAACGAGTCGTCCGCTCAGTACTTCCTCCGGGAAGTAGGAAATGAAGCGATTGATGGTGCGGCTTTCCACTACACGACGTACCGTGCCCTGACCCGTTTCCTTGGTATGGATGGACAGCTTTCTGCTGGTTATGATGCCCCTGATGACTGGGTTGAGGGATGGAACTACATGGCGAGATCGAACGACTTGATCAACGCTAACACTGGAAAATTCGATCCTCGACACATGTACGGCGCCACTAACCAGGATGTTTTCCGTTGGCCAGCCATTGCCAACGGTACCCACAGACAGCTTCTGGGCTCCTTCATCACGACACTGATGCTTCCTGGAATCCCACTGCTGCTCTGGGGTGAGGAACAGAACTTCTACATCCTGGATGGCACCGCGTCCAACTATATTTACGGACGTCAGGCTATGTCCCCCGCCACTGCGTGGAGAACCCACGGTTGCTTCAACTTGGACTCTTCGCAGTACTACAAGTGGCCCGTTACAGCTGCCCGCCAGGGTTGCCATGACCTGAGCGTTGCGTACGACCACCGCGATCCTTCCCACCCTCTGCGCAACATCATGAAGCACATGTACCAAATGCGTGAACAGTACCCCGTTCTTAACGATGGCTACGCTCTCAACAACCTGTCCAGGCAGACGGATGATGTGAAGTACCCTGGTTCCAACGGAACTGTCACCGTCACCGGAATGTGGTCTGTCTCCAGGGACGTGAACACTGAGGTGCAGGATCTCGGATCTGACAGCAACAACCAGCCGGTGTGGTTTGTTTACTCTAACTTGAACGATACAAAAACCTGGAAGTTCAATTGTTCCAGCACCGTCTTTAACGAGACCCTGACCGCACCCTTCGATTCCAAGACCACTGTCAAGAATCTCTTCGCCCCCTTCGACGAGATCACTCTGGAGACTGGTGCACGCAAGCTCGGTTACAATGGATCCACCGAGTACAATGGCTGTGTTTCTGAAATGAAGTTGAAGGCATATGAATTCCGTGCTTACGTCCCGAAGAGCAAGCACAAGATGCCCGGGCCTATGGTCACCAAGTTCAATCCAGGCCATGACTATCCGCAATTGTCCCAGGTGGGACCACGTGACGCGGAAGATGTTGCTATTGAGCTCTATTTCTCCCAGGAAATGGATTGCGACAGGATCACAAAGAATCTCACTTTCACGTCATCCACCGAGAGTGGCAATGTTCCAACCATCAAGGGGAGCACCGTTAATTGTACCACTCTTAAGACTGATATGCCACTTCAAACCAACTGGACCAGTGAGATCCCGACTAAATTCATCTATGCGGCGAATCTTACCGGAGTTTACAACGGTATCCACCGATTGACTCTCAACAACGTTTCCAACGCCGACGGGGATGAATTCACAAACGCCGTGGACCATTTCCTTTTGCGTATTGGACAGTTCGATAATCCCATGGTTTCGAACACCGGAAACTACTCCCGCAGTGTGCTCCAGCGTTATGACAACAATACTCTCTACATTAGCCAGCACGCTGCTGGTGCCGACAAGTACCGTTACTCGACCAATTGGGGAACCACGTTCTCTAAATGGATCGACTACAAGGGTGGTAACGCCACTATCGAAAGGGGCCCTTGGTCAGGAACCAAGAAGCAAGACTGGAAGGGCGACCACATCCGCATTGAGTACTGGAGCAAATTGACCGGTAGCAGCGATTACGTGCAAGAAGGTGACCGTAACTGGGAGAGTGACGGGCAGCGTCGTTTCCCACACGCCTTCTTCAACGGACCTTACAACCAGTACGGTTACGATGGAGGTCTTGACAACTCAATCAAATTTGACGCGAAGACTTCAACGTGGTCTTTCCATTTCACATCTGAATGGCCTGCCGTTGGACAGCTCAACATCTGGGGTATGAACCCCGATGGAAAGCCCGATCAAAGTTGGGTTCTGGGTGATGCCGACAACGATACCATTCTCGATCGCATGCCCCCCTCGTCTCTCTCTGCTACTCTGATCAACATTACCCAGGCGCCTGCGAAGGGATACCTGTCACACAAGATCTACATCAATGATGGCTCTCTCAAGTTCTGGCTCGACCCCGTTGGCCCCCAGTCCACTCAGATCATCATGTTCATCCTCTTCTGGATCATTCCCTTCCTCACTGCTTCGGCCTGCGTCTACATCTTCATGAAGTCGTTCTACAAGGTCAAGTTCAACCAGGTTGGTGTTAGTGAGAAGCAGTCCATGATTCCACTTGCCTTCTGGAAGAAGCTTAAGCCTTCTCGCGGCGGAAAGGATGCCTCCTCAAACCCACTGATGCGTCTTGCCAACAAGTCTGGCTTTATGCAGAGCACCACCGCTCTGGGTGGTGCTATGGCGGCTGAGAAGCGACGCATGGTTCTCATTGCTACCATGGAGTACGATATTGAGGATTGGGCCATCAAGATCAAGATCGGTGGTCTCGGTGTCATGGCGCAGCTTATGGGTAAGACTCTTGGTCACCAGGATCTGATTTGGGTCGTTCCTTGTGTCGGAGGCATCGATTACCCCGTCGATCAGCAAGCGGAGCCCATGACTGTCACCATTCTCGGCAGTGCCTACCAGGTCCAGGTTCAATACCACGTCTTGAATAACATCACCTATGTCTTGCTTGATGCACCTGTCTTCCGTCAACAGTCCAAGACTGAACCCTACCCCGCTCGTATGGATGACCTCGACTCTGCCGTCTACTACTCCGCTTGGAACCAATGTATTGCGGAAGCCATCAAGCGATTCCCCATTGACGCTTACCACATCAACGATTACCACGGTTCCCTTGCTCCGCTTTACCTGCTGCCCAACACTATTCCGGCTTGTCTTTCTCTGCACAACGCTGAGTTCCAAGGTCTTTGGCCCATGCGAACGCTCAAGGAAAAGCAGGAGGTCTGCTCCGTCTTCAACCTCGACGAAGAGGTCGCTCGCCGTTACGTTCAATTCGGTGAAGTGTTCAACTTGCTCCACGCCGGAGCTAGTTATCTTCGTGTTCACCAGCAAGGTTTCGGTGCCGTCGGTGTCTCCAAGAAATACGGAAAGCGCTCCTACGCTCGTTACCCTATTTTCTGGGGTCTTCGCAAGGTTGGTAACCTGCCTAACCCTGACCCATCTGATGTTGGTGAATGGACCAAGGAGCCTACTCGGGAAGAGGACATTACCGTCGATCCTACCTACGAAGCTGGTCGTGGTGAGCTGAAGAGACAGGCACAGGAATGGGCTGGATTGGACCAAAACCCCGATGCGGATCTTCTCGTGTTCGTCGGTCGTTGGTCTATGCAGAAGGGTGTTGATTTGATTGCCGACGCTTTGCCCGCGGTTATTGAAGCTCGCCCCAATGTGCAGCTCATCTGTATTGGACCCGTTATCGATCTTTACGGTAAATTCGCTGCTCTCAAGCTCGACCACATGATGAAGGTCTACCCTGGCCGCGTCTTCTCCAAGCCCGAGTTCACTGCTCTCCCTCCCTTCATTTTCTCTGGTGCTGAGTTCGCCCTGATTCCCTCTCGTGATGAACCCTTCGGTCTTGTTGCCGTCGAGTTCGGTCGTAAGGGTGCTCTGGGTATTGGTGCTCGTGTTGGTGGTCTCGGTCAAATGCCCGGTTGGTGGTACAACGTGGAATCTATCTCGACATCCCATCTTCTCATCCAGTTCAAGCTTGCCATCGAGGCTGCGCTCAACTCCAAGGAGTCTACTCGTGCGATGATGCGTGCTAGATCCGCCAAGCAGCGTTTCCCTGTTGCCCAATGGGTTGAGGATCTTGAGATTCTTCAATCTACCGCCATCACTATCCACATCAAGGAGGCCAACAAGTCTCACGGCAGTCACCTCGGTGGCCTGGGTGGTAACACTCGCCCCGGTACCTCTTCTGGAGGTAGCACTTACAGTGGTGTCATGGGTGGCTTGCCTTCTCCTGGAATGAACTCACCCTTCATGCACTCCAGAGAGAGCAGCTACTCCTTCAACCAGATGAACGAGAACCCCACGCAGCGCAAGATCAGTTACAGCACTGATCCTGCCCAGGATGAAACAGAGAAGCCCAAGTCAGGACTGAGCAGGTCTCTCTCCTTGGGTGTTCGCTCAGGACCTGGCCACGCTGGTCGTCGCAGGCCAGCTGCCGCCGCTGCCGGAATCCCCGAAACCGATGCCGATGGCGAGGAAAGCAGTGATGATGATCCTTCTCACGATCTGTTCGAGGATGATGAGTACACTCTCACCCCAGCCCAGGTTGAGGAAGGAAGACGGGCCCAGGCCGCTCAAAAGGACCGTGCCCAGGGTCTTGCTTCCCCAGGTCTCTCTTCCCCCGCAAGCCCCAGCCAAGAGTCTATCCAGCCCAGATTCATGATTCCTCCCTCCAGTCCTGGATATGGAAGTCCCCTTGGAAGCCCCGGGATGCCGCCTTCTTCAGACAACCTTCTCCTTCCTCCTCGTCCTCTTGGTGAATCTAACCGTCTCAGTACTGCCTCCGTTCTCTCCCTTGACTCTGTCGTCGGAAACAAGACGGACTTCAAGTTGCAGAAGGTCGATCCCTTCTTCACTGATAGCACTGGCGAGTACTACAAGACTTTCGACAAGAAGTTGGACATCCTTAACGGCAGCAATTCCGAGTCACAACTGTGTATCGAGGAGTTCCTGATCAAGAGTGAACAGCAGTGGTTCGACAGATTCCGCAATGCCAAATTGGGCCGTACCAAGTCCCCCACCCCATCCATCCGACTCCCCTCAAGAAACCACAACCACGACTCGCCTCCTCACTCTGTTTACAATGATGATGCTGTCTCGCACATTGCCAGCAGCGAAGACCACCCCACAGATGACGAGTTCCTTCTCGGTAAGGATTATATTGCTCCTACTGGTCTCAGGAAATGGATGCAGATCAAGATCGGTGACTGGCCGGTCTACTCCATCTTCCTCGCTTTGGGTCAAATTATCGCCGCCAACTCGTACCAGATTACTCTGCTTACGGGTGAAGTTGGTCAGACTGCCGAGAAGCTGTACGCTATTGCAACCACCTACGCGATCACTTCGCTCTGCTGGTGGCTCGTGTACCGCTACTTCAAGTCTGTTGTCTGTCTATCCGCTCCCTGGTTCCTGTACGCCATTGCGTTCATCTTCATTGGCTCTGCTCACTTCGAATCTGGTGAGTACGCCCGTGGCTGGATCCAGAATGTCGGCAGTGGCTTCTACGCAGCTGCCTCGTCTAGTGGATCTATCTTCTTCGCCTCCAACTTTGGTGACGAGGGTGGTGCTCCCGTCGAAGTGTGGATCTTCCGTGCTTGTGTTATCCAAGGTATCCAGCAGGCATATGTTATTGCACTCTGGTACTGGGGTTCGACTCTCACCAAGGCTTCTTCCGAGGGTCTTTTGAGCCCGGAAACCCAGATCTCCAACACATGGAAGATGTCCGCGATCTGTTACCCCATCGCGGTCTTCCTTATCATTGTCGGACTTCTCTTGGCCTTCGGACTTCCCAACTACTACCGCCAGAAGCCCGGTAAGGTTCCCTCCTTCTACAAGTCGCTGTTCCGGAGAAAGATTGTTACCTGGAACTTCATCGCAGTCATCCTGCAGAACTTCTTCCTCAGTGCACCCTACGGCCGAAACTGGAGTTTCCTCTGGGGCTCCAGTCACACCAAGCCATGGCAGATTGTTCTCCTGTGCATTCTGTTCTTCGGTTTCGTATGGTGCATCTTCCTGTTCTGCGTCAGCAAGTTCTCCAAGCGACACAGTTGGTTCATCCCCGTCTTCGCCTGTGGTCTGGGGGCTCCTCGCTTCATTCAAATCTGGTGGGGTGTCTCCGGAATCGGCTACTACCTCCCTTGGGCAGGAGGATACACCTCAGCAGCCCTGGTCTCCCGCAGTCTCTGGCTGTGGCTGGGCGTCCTGGATTCAATCCAGGGTCTCGGCTTTGGTATCATTCTTCTGCAGACTCTCACGCGAGTTCACATGTGTTTCGCACTCATTGCATCCCAGGTGCTTGGTTCCATCGCGACCATCTGCGCCCGAGCTTTCGGCCCCAATGCCACAGGCCCCGGTCCCATTTCCCCTGATATGACTCTCGGCGCCCACGCCCTGGCTAACGCCTGGTTCTGGGTCGCTTTGTTCTGTCAGCTCCTGGTCTGTGCTGGCTTCCTGCTCTTCTTCCGTAAGGAGCAGCTTGCCAAGCCTTAAGCTCGTCTTTTGGGCATTTGTTTTTTGTTTCTTTTTTTTTTCCTCAAGCGACGGGCATACTTGTAACGGCGAACATGACGATCCTTAGATACTTCTTTTTTCCCCATGCATACTTGCAGCATGTCGGCTATCTCTGCCATACTCTCTTTCTTTGTGATACATTAATTCTAATACCACGCTTGAACCGACTGCTCAAGTGTCTATTTACTGAATTTGATCCTGCTTCTATATGGTATTTAATGTACGCGGTATTTGACGATTATCCCTTGCTGTGTGGCTTGTACGGAGTAGTGCGTAGAGCGTAGAGGCATAAGCCATGCAATTGATGGTGTGCTCCGCAGGCATGAGTGAAGCTGGACCCCGTATTTTGCCATATCCCTCTAGGTCCTTTGAAAAGCACTCGTACTTAAGTAGGTTCATTGATGGTGTAACCGAGAGCACCCCGTATAGTGCCAATTCTTTGCTCTTTGATATTTCGTTTAAGTGATCCCTTTCAATGGCCAATGCTAATACCCGAGACTGAGCCCAGACAAGAATCAATAGAGTGCAACTTAGTGCGAAGGATCACATGAGCTGGTTTCAAGGGGAAATGGCGTCGGCTAAAGTCCCAACCACTTTTCAGTCAATTGACGGAACAAAATTAAATTGACCACAAGGCCACATGACCAATTCCAATGGGTGAGACTAGTAGGATCTATACAGACGTGAACACTCCGTACTCCATACTCCATATTTAGTAATTTAGCCGGTAAGACACTTGCGGCTGGACCTTGCAGGAAGTCAGCCTTTCGCACCATTGGGTGTATCACATTTCCATCAGATGACCCTTTGCCAATGCCTGGATTTTCAGAGATCGGAAGTTCCGGTTGACGCGGGATGGGAAATTTCTCAGAATGGAGATCTGGTCTCTACTCGTACCGAGCCGAGTACGGAGTAAGACTGTATGCCGGGCCGTGAGATCTAGTAAGCTCGTTCCGACCTGCCGCGACTATTAGTGGAGAAAAATTGGTGAAAAGTGAGCAGAGGAAGAGTATATATAAGTTAAGAAACCAAAAAAAAGGAAATGCAATGTCAAGATAAGCCTCGGGGCTCAGCTTCCTTCCCTGGAATCAGATGAGTCAGCGATGATTTGCTGTGTTTGCTCTGTTTGCATTGAGGGGGAGACTATGATAGGTGGTGACAGAACAGGACAGAATAATACAGAGCTGGACCCCTCAGACTATGGTCAGATGCAATTGACCAGCCATTAATACAGTAACCCACATACACACATAAAAGAATTGAGGTCATAATGACAAGACCTGGAGCTGCATGGCCTCTGAATTTCTTTGCTTCCTTTTTTTTCCCCCACAAATCTTCCCATTGTGCTCCAATCGTGCTCTCTCGTGTTCCAGTCATGTTCCAGAGACATTGTATAATGGATCGTCTCCACTCCCCCCATATTTTCCAACCTTGGAAGGTTGAGCCCGCATGATGTCAACTGACCTGGTGGCTACAGTCAAAACCAGCGGTGTGCCCCCCTTCGTTTCTCTACTTTCTACATTCTCTGTACACTACACAATCATGCCTCACAAGCTGAACAGCTCAAACTTGTCCCAAATTGCGGGTGACCAGGTCAAGGTCCCTACCTACCAGCGCGGTGCCGCTGTCAAGGAGGGCATTGTCCACATCGGTGTGGGTGGCTTCCACCGAGCTCACCTGGCTGTCTATGTTGATAAATTGATGCAAAACCATGGCATGACCGACTACGCCATCTGTGGTGTGGGTCTACAGCCATTCGATGCTGCCATGCGGGACGTTCTCAACTCCCAAGATCATCTTTACACTGTCATTGAGCGTTCTGCCAAGGGAAGCTTCGCCAATGTCGTGGGCAGCATCAATTCCTACCTCTTTGCCCCTGATGACAGAGAGGCGGTCATTGCCAAGATGGCTCACCCAGACACCCACATTGTCTCCCTCACCATCACCGAGAGTGGCTACTATTACAACGAGAACAGCCACGAGCTGCAGAGCGAACACCCAGACATCCAGCACGATATCGACCCAGCCAACGAGAAGACCCCCCGCACAACCTTCGGCTTCCTCTACGCTGCCCTGGCCCGCCGCCACCAGCAAGGCCTCAAGCCTTTCACCGTCATGTCCTGTGACAACATGCAGAAGAACGGTTCCATCACACGCCACATGCTCGAATCCTTTGCTCGTCTCCGCAACCCGGAGATCGCCAAGTGGATTGCTGAGAAGGGTGCTTTCCCCAATGCCATGGTCGACCGAATCACCCCGCAGACATCGGCCAACGACAAGACCACCCTGGCAAGCGACTTTGCCATTGAGGATGCCTGGCCCGTCGTGACAGAGCCCTTCATGCAGTGGGTCATTGAAGACCAGTTCTCCGACGGCCGTCCCCAGTTCGAGAAGGTCGGCGTCCAAGTCGTGAATAATGTCCACGACGTCGAGGAGTTCGAAAAGCACAAGCTTCGCTTGCTCAATGGCAGTCACTCCGCTATTGGATACCCAGGCCAGCTTGCTGGCTTCAAATACGTCCACGAAGTCATGGAAGACCCACTGTGCAGCAAGTTCGTCTGGCAGATGATGCAAGAAGAGGTCAAGCCCCTTCTCCCTGATATTCCTGGCGTCAATATCGACGAGTACTGCCACACTTTGATCGAGCGATTCTCAAACCCCACTATCATGGACCAGCTGCCCCGTGTCAGTCTCAATGCCTCTGGCAAGATCCCCCAGTTCATCATGCCTTCAATCGCCGAAGCAATCTGGGGAACTAAGCCTTTCGGTCGTCTGTGCTTTGTCGCCGCTGCCTGGTTCCGTTACATCCTCGGTGTCGATGATAATGGCAATACCTTCAAGGTTGAAGACCCTATGCTCGAGCTCCTTGAGGCCAAGGCCCGTGCTGGCGGTACTAAGCCCCACGAGCTGCTTTCCATTAAGAACCTGTTCGGCGACGACTTGCGAAACGACGAACGCTTCATTAAGGAAATCACCACTGCCATGGAAGACATTGCCCGTGATGGCATCATGAAGACCATGGCCAAATATGTGAACTAGATTGGCTCGGTCTGTTTGCACACTAAAAGAGTTTATACCTTTGCGAGCGATGCTTTTTTTTGGGCTTTTTTTTTTCTTTGGTCTTACGAGGATGTGAATTACGAGAAAAGGATATAGATGGTAGATTAATCGGATAGAGAAAATGTATTGATTCTCATTTCAACAGCGTTCCAATTAGCAGTACTACGTGGGAGCGAACTTGCTCAACCCCCCAGTACCGATACGACAGCTCAAGTCAATCTTGGAATCCGAGTGGGGGAATTATCTCCACACGAATGGAACCCAGAAGTGCTTAGCTTGATTGCACAAAGAAACTGGCTATATTGCGTGGTGTGCTGAACGGTTCATTGCTACTATTCTTCTTCGTCTACTCCCTACTCCCAAATCTTCAAAGTTGAGATAGGTATTCGTACTTAAGTACCCCTATATTAGAAGGGTCCATGAATATCGATGTAAAGCTTGCAATACGGCATTTGAAATAGAACTTGACTGTATTGTGACCGATCTCAATAATCTAAGTCTGCGGAGTAAGGATTATCATCCACCTCACCCTCCCGTATAGTCTGACGAGGCGAGATAGAGGACGTCGGAGAAAGGGACGACCACGAAGCAGTCCTAACGGGGAGATTCAGCCCCAACCCCTGGACTCCCGCAGCACCAAATCGACCAGTCGACGTATTAAGGGGACCATTGGAAGATGTTGGGTTCGAACGCAGTCCCACCTTCGCAATTGCCCGCTTCAACATCTCACCTGAAGCATCTAGGGCGATGAGGAAACGGGCAAGTTCAGCACATAGCTCCCAGTCACCTTTTTGGGATGCGAGGGCTATCAAACGGACGACGTATTCTTCAATTCGACCGTCGTGTTCTTCTCCTTCGTCTTCGAAGGCTTGGAGCACGAGGAGGTATCCGACTGCTGTTTTCAGTGCGTCGAGTTTCAGGGCTTGTTCGAAGAGATCTTTGGGTGGGGGAAGGTAGCTGAATAGTGTGCGCCATGACCGGAGTTCTGTTTTCCGTGTGCATTGCACAACGATGTCTAGATACTCTCTGGCGGGGAGTGAGGCTTGGAGGAAATTGATAACGATTGGGAGGAGTGGTTGTGCTCGATCTTGGGGATTCTCCGTCTTGTTGGCTCGGCTCTCGTTATCTACCTCGTCGTCTAAGACGTGGTGTAGCAGAATCTCTAGGCCATGGGCAAAATAGGATAGGTGGGAAAAGTGGCGACAGAGAGCGAGCGCCTCGGCCGTTCCGATGTGAGTTAAGCCATATTGGAGGAAGTAGGGGAGGAACAGGTGTGTCTAGAACAAATGATTAGCACACAGCATTTTTTTCAAGCAAGGGTCACTTACTCGAATGGCGAATTTCAGAACGGTGAATGTAACATCCCGGCGCTGCATCATTTCTGATTCAACGCCGAGGGCGATGCCCTTGTTTAATAAAACAGACAATGGGTAGAAGTCCAGAGGAATATTGAGCGGTGCCGGCACCGTCTCCTCTCTTAAGACATCTTGAACGTCGTTCCAGGCAAGCAGGTCTTGGCCTCGGAACATCCACAAAGAGTCGCTCAGAGAAAGACTGCTATGCGGGGGCGCCAATGCCATATCAGCTGAAGGGCTAGCTGGGAGGGTGTCATCAACCTGTGGTGAGAAGTTGAAAGACAGCTGGTCTCGCATCAAGATGTAATATTCCACATCATGAGAGATGACACGCATGTCATATTTCAGATCGCCTGTTTCTGAAACCGTGGGCTGCAGAAGAACTAAATTTCCGTCAACGAGGAGAATTACGGATGCGACTTTGACATCTTGAGACGGTTCTCCATTTCCTTTTTTTTTCCAAGTTAACGTTCGGCCAACAATGTTCAGATAGGTGTGGGTAAAGACTCACGCATTTGCTCTTCTGGCAACACCCAACTGATTGATCGAACACGAGTCGGTGCCCGGACAATCCCATTAAAAGCAATCTGTCCAACGGGAACCAAGGTGATCTGAGGCTGCGTAGAGTTGATGATGTAGTGGTACAAAATATTATCGTAAGTATAAACCAGAAGAGAATCCTCTCCGGAGGGCCCAATAAACACCACTGGCGCAGGAAGGTACTCGGTGAACATGACGGAATTGCTGTTTCCAAGGGAAGCTTCGCGCGAATAGAGGCGAACCTGGAAATGGAGTCAGTCGTGATGAGACAGTCAAAGGGTACCATTGCATACCTCGTATGACCCGTCGCTCTCTACAGCTGCAATTAGGATGTGGCCGTACCAACACATGCCTCCTCGCACAGCAAACGAGTTTTCAGCCTTGGAGTCTTCAAAGACTTTCCATCGGCCACTGTTGACACTATAGTGCGCAAGACCTCTTCGGCCTGCGATTGCGACGTAACGCCCATCTTGAGAAACCACGCAAGATCGAATTGGCCATTGGGAATGAAGATACGCCGGTGGATATTGCGCATGATGCCACAAAGAGTCCTTCCCTGAAATTGTCATGAGATCTGGAAGATCGTGGCCGCGGTAGAGAATGAACTCAGTCCCGGTCTGAAGCAGTCCACGGGCCAAATTTGCAGACGAGAAACACCCAGTCAAAGCACTACGTGCTGTCTCCAAAATCCACAGATGACGGTTGTTCTGTGCTGTCAAAATTATATCCGAACCACCACCAATCCAGCAACCGTTTGAAACACCAATCAGCCAATCTTCTTCATTTGTCGTCGCGAGTTCAGGGTCCACCGAGAAACTGTTCCCCCCAGGCTTCCCAAAAACACTCCATGTGGTCCAGCCATTTTCGAAACCAGCAAAAAGGCAATATCCATCTGGAGAGTAGCTCATGAATGCCAAAGCACCTGTTGTGATCGGCGAGGCTGGCAAATCAAGCTTATGTGAAAAAGGAATGTTTCCCATATAATCTTTCGCCGTGTATACCAAAACGTCGCCATTGGAGCAACTCACGGATAACAGGGAGAACCGTGCGTTCACTGCTACCTTCAATGCATATTCACCCTCGGTCTTCGGATCATGGAAACAATGTCCGTTGAAGAGCTTCGAGGCGATTCCAGGATCTTGATGTGTCCCTGAATCCCGTTGCACGGCATAGACCTGTCCACTGCTGGTGATCCAGATGAGGAGGTTCATTGCTCGGTTGTATACCATGTCCACGATGGATACTTTCTTGGGTACCTCAAGAATGCGACTCAAAAGCTCAGATTTGGTCTGAGTCGAGCCTGCGTCGGCTGTCCATCGGATACATTGGATAGCTGGTGGCTTCACCGTAGCAACTACCAATTCCTGATCCAGCGCCAACGCCTTGACAATCCCCGACTCGATCTTAATGGCCATTCGAAATCGGATAGTAATGTCGTCAACCACATTGGCCTCCTCCACAGCCGCAAATTTGGCCAGCTGTTGCCGACGATGATGTGTTGAATGGTCAAACCGCTGCTCGTAGACTCGGGTTCCGGGGTCCGATGCCACTGAGTATGTGAGGAGGTATCCATTCTGTGTCTGGACAACCAGTATTGTGGAGTCTGGGTGCATAAGAAGTGATACATTGGGGCCGTATGTCTTTAGGGAGAACAAAGATCGAGCGATTGCTGTTACAACTGCTGTGGGCTGTCGCATCAGTTAGCATAGTTCCAACCCTGGAGCTATCACCAAACACAGGTAACATACCCTCGTTTGCCAGAGAACAATCGATGATTCTGACATTGTGGCAAACATTTGTCCGGAGCGCGAGACACAAACATCCTTAATGGCTTCATCTTCCCATTTGGGTTTGCTCGTATCAGGGGACGGGTCGGTTTGCGGTTCATGCTGGTTGGCAGTTTGCGCGTGCTGGATTTCAGATTGCCCGTCATTTTCAGGTGTATTTAACGATCCAGATTCATCAATTGAGGAGGCGCGTGGAATATCGCGATCCTCAGAAACATAGGTAATATCGGGCCCATTGACCGCATAGACCCGGGGAACACCATGGGGCCAGTACATGGCTCGGGTCGAGGTAGGGAGGTTGTGCTATTAGCAATGAAGCTCACATAGAGTCATCTCCAGACAAGCTGCAACAGCTACAGCCTTCAAAATCAATAGTCAACAAAACATACGGAGGAATCAGAAGTTCAGAAACCGGGGAGGCCGATAAGCCGCGATCACGTGGAGTAGAGCTCTTCCCCCGCATTGCCTTGTTTTTTCTTTCTCTCCTGAACGTTGCAATTGTATCTTAATACTCACAGCTATTGATTCAGAATGGTAGGGTTATCCCCTTGCATTTACTGCACAGTGACTAATACCATTGTTAGGCTCCCTCCGAAAGCAATAAGCGCTTGGCTTTGGCCATCATCGACTTCCTAGGCGCCAGCCTCAAAGATGGCACCCTCACCGCCGAAGATGCCGAGTCGATGGAAATCGCCCAATCTTGTATCGCCGATACTTTTGGTGTTGACCCTACTGATGAGGCTGCTGTGAAGGATGCCGTCGGTGGTCAATCACTGTCAGGAATCTACAGCGTTTATGAGAAGCTGCGCGGCAAGTCGGCCCCGCAATCCACCGGCGCCGCTGAGCCCGCCCAAGAAGAGAAGCCCAAGGCCGGTGTGCCTACACCAGAGTCCGACAAGTTGAAGTCGGAAGGAAACGCTCTGATGGCTAAGAAGGACTACTCTGGTGCCATTCAACAATATACCAAGGCCCTTGAGATCGCCCCTGCCAACCCTATCTATCTCTCCAACCGTGCCGCAGCCTACTCTGCTTCCAGCCAGCACGAGAAGGCTGCTGAAGATGCCGAACTCGCTGCTGCTTCGGACCCCAAGTACTCCAAGGCCTGGAGTCGTTTGGGACTCGCTCGCTTCGACATGGGAGATTACCATGCTGCCAAGGAGGCTTATGAGAAGGGAATCGAGGCCGAGGGCAACGGTGGCAGTGAAGCCATGAAGCGTGGCTTGGAGACATCGACAAAGAAGCTTGAGGAGGCTACTCGCACTGAGCCTCCCCCATACGAGGAGCTTGACACTGCCCCAGGTTCTTCCCGCGGTGCTCCTGGTGGCGCTGGTGGTGGCATGCCTGACTTGTCTGCCCTGGCTGGTATGTTTGGAGGTGGTGCCGGTGGCGGTGGTGGCGGCGGCATGCCCGATCTGGGCTCCATGATGAGCAACCCCATGTTCGCCAGCATGGCACAGAACTTGATGAGCAACCCTGACATGCTTGGAAACCTTATGAGCAACCCCCGCCTGCGCCAGATGGCTGAGGGCCTTCAAGGTGGTGGTGGCATGCCTGACATGTCTAGCTTGATGAGCGACCCCAACCTTGCGGAAATGTAAGTCACAATCTTACCCATGAACTAAAATCCTGATATTCCAAAACCTCGATGCTAACAGGATGCTTCTAGGGCTCGCAACATGATGGGCGGTGGCGGCGGCCAAGGCCCGAAATAAATCGCTGACACGTTGGATAATTGAGATGATATGAAAGACACAATCTGATATACCATGTAGCAACTTCACGTTTCACGGCAGAACTTTAGAAAAACACAATTGCTGCCGATTTTGGCTCTTCAATTATCGAGTTCCCTCCAGGGCTGTGTAGATCTCTCGTTCAAAGGCCCTTCTAGCGATTTGCCACCCGGAAATGCTGGACACGGGCATACTTAGGCCTACTATGAGTCTGAGTATCGTCAAATAATTAGTTTTCAACATGACCATTACTGTCAAATGAGCCGATGGAGTTGTATCCAAGAAAGTCAAGTCAAAGGTTTCCTTGGTATATTTACACAACTTTAATAAGGTCCAGATAGAGCCCATTTGGGATTTCAATCTCACAAAAGAAACCAACATCGACGGCTCCAAACAGCAGTCAAGTATACACGGAGGCGAGAGGAGAGTAGGGGAGCAGATGCACTAAGACGCCAGCAAAACACCTCAAGACCCAAGAAACTGCCATCAGATCGAGTCCAGCGCACATTCTCATCTAGAAAGAAAAGGAACACCAAAGACGTGCCACCCAACCGGTGAGGTTGGGTATCAGATCGAGTGAAGCATTAATACATGAAATAAAGAAAAAAATCTGATTAACCAGTGAAAGCCTGGGATTGGCAGTCCCTGGAACAAGCGTAGCCGTAAACAAGTGCCAGGTCCACCTGGCTTGATATCAAACAGTCATATAGTACAATTGGAATGGGTAAGAGTCAGGATGCAAAAAGCCGAAGTCCAGAATATATATCGACGACAAACGGAGAGGGGTGGTGAGGTGATGTAGATGAATCAGGGGATGACCTTAGATGTAATCACGAGCAGCCTTCTGCAACTCGATCAATCTCCATCCACGGGTTTCGGGGTTGTTGACCTCTTCGGGGATGCGAGTCAATCCAATGGCGTAAGTGACCAGCTGGACCTTGTCATCGGTGCCAGCAGCAAGCTCGCCAGTCTTGGCCTTGCGGTAGACGTGGATCTCCTGGGTCCGGCAGGTCACGACGAACACAGGAATATCACCAGGGTCCAAGATGCGAGCGTGGGAAACGTCAACGCCACGAATATCCAAGATGCGGCCATCGGACTTGAGACCGGCGGTGGTGTATTGTTGAGCGAGGGCGGCGTAGACGTGGTACTGAGCATCTGAGAGCCAGAGCTTCAGGGTCTCGACGTCTCCCTTGACATAGGCGTCAAGAACTTCGGGCAGCATGTAGTCGCGCATTTCCCGCAGGAAAGGCTCCATCTGGAAGTTGGGGTCGATCTCACGGAACTTCTTGATGACCATGGCGGTCTCGTTCTCGGCGAAGAAGCCTCCGATCTTATCGGAAATACTGCGGGCGGTGCTGATAAGGGGATTCTCGGATTCGTTGTATGTTTCCTTCATGGTGAAGAGTCTCTGCATCATGGGGTTGGAATCCTTGAAATCCCGCCACGAGTCCTTCCAGGCGGCGTCCTTGTGAAGAGTAACGTGAGTACCGGCACTGTAGAAGTTCTCAGTCAGACATATTCAGAAATTGAAAGTTCAGTTCTTAATTGAAAACTTACTCGGGATTTTCGACCCTCTCCTCAACGAAGTGAGTCTTTCCGGCCTTACGGTCGAGCTCCTCGCGACGTTGGCGCTGCAAACGACGCTCTTCCTTCTCAACCCAGCCACCGTAGCGGGAGCTGCTTCCATCATCAATGGCATCTTTCACACTCTTGTATGCCTCGGTCTGTCGAACAGGCCTTGTGGCCTTCTCGAGTCCCTCTCCGGTGGCATTGACACCCTTGCGAACTCCCTTCACAACACCAGTGTTCCATGTCCAGGCAGCTCCCTTTCCAAGGGCTTGACCTGTTGTCTTGAAAGCTGTGGAGGTTCTGGAGGTTGTGGCACTAGAAGCAGCATCATAGGCGGCGCGCGCACGCTTAACATTCTCGTTCTCAGTGAACTGGTTGGCAGAAGACGCAAGTGCCTTGGTTGATTCCTCCCATTCCTTTGAGGCCTTGAATTCAGTCTGCAAGGTCTCGCGGAACACCTGCCAGGGAGACTTGTCTCCGTGGGGTGGGGGCGGAGCCTTCTCTTCCTTCTTTTCCTTGCCTTCTTCCTTGGATTCTTCGCCCTGTGACTCGGACTTAGGCTCCTCTTCCTTCTTCTCTTCCTGTTGCTTTTGCTGCTGTTGTTGCCAGAGGGATTTTGCGACGTGGAACGAACGGGTCAGAGGGAGAGCGACAAACGGCGACACAGCTTGGAAGGAGGAAGGGGTCTGGAGAACAACACGACTGTTCTTAGACAGTGCGAGCTTTTGCGCGGAGATAGATGAGTATGGGGCGGCTCGAGTAGACAGCCGTTGAGATGATGCTCTGAGAGTCGGTGCTTGAGACCGCAGGGAAGCGGCTCGTGCCGCAGACATCTTGGCCGGAATCATGAAGAGCGTTGACAAAGAAGACGTCGAGATGAGGTCAATGCAAGATGATGAAAAAAGGATATATCAAGAAAAAAAGACGGGGATTCCAGCCCAGCCTGGACGCGATATGAAGAGGTGATGAGAGGCAAAAGATCGGGGAAGGGAAAAAGTGCAGACGCCAAGACTTCGAAAAACTTCCAGCATTTCCCTTCGGTCCGACAACGGCTCTACACCCGCCATTGTCAACGCGACGCCTCGGAATCTCGTGTTGTGTGCAATTGGACACACTTGTTGCTTCTCATATTAGCGTCTTCCTTTCCTTATCTGGTTGCTGTACACCTGCACCTCCGCAATGAGCTCCTTTTCGATGAGCGCGCTCACCAAGGCGCTGCCCTCGGTATGCCGCCAGTCTCAGCCTCGCATTGCCTCCCTCAATATCACACGCCCCTTCTCGATCTCTAGTTCTCGCCAATTGATCCGCCGCAATGATCGCGCCAGCGATCTTGAAAGACAAATGTTGAACCGTGGGCCCGAGACGGCATCCGAGGATGCCTCGCCGCTCTCTGCCATTACACGAATGATGCAAGGCAACAAGTCCAACCCGCCTTCACAGGAATCCGAGTCTTCTAAACTTGCCGAGAACATCGAGTCCGAAATGATGAAGAACCCTTACGCCGATCGAGCTCCTCCCCACCACCTCCACGTCTACTGCCACAAGCACAACACAATTCTCACCCTGACACGGCCAAACGGCAACCCTCTCATGTCCATTGGCTGTGGCCAGATTGGTTTACGCAAAGCTGGCCGTTCCGGATTTGACCCTGCGTATCAGTTGTCTGCCCATGTGATGTCCCAGATTCAAGAAAAGGGCTTCCTCATGGAGATTGAGCGGTTGGAGGTTGTGTTCCGTGGATTCGGAAAGGGCCGTGATGCATTCGTCAAGGTGCTTTTGGGTAACGAGGGACGACACCTTCGGGGTCTTGTCACGCGAGTGACCGACTCCACCCGAGTCAAGTTCGGTGGTACTCGCAGCAGACACGAGCGTAGATTGGGTTGATTGCCTTGTCCGGCATTTGACGCTCATCTTCAACTTTGCTCAACAAAAACATACCTTCCGGGGCTCTTTGGTGGCTTATTCGCGGCACACCTGAACAGCTGTGCTGGACTCCCTGCTACGAAGAACCACGGGCAGCCTTCTATTATTGTGCTTCTATTTGTGGCATGTCTGTCTGTCGCTGTTCATTCTCTGTATATTAGAAATCTCATGACAGAATTTCGAGTTTTATTCAAGGCTATATCAAACCAGAGCTTAACTGTGCGTACTGAGTACCCAGGAGATACTTAAGCATCAGTGGGTGCGAAATTCCCCAATGTTGACTTGCAAGATTCAATTAGGAACAACCTTGAAATGACTTCTAAAGTTGATTCCTAAAATCTAACAGTAATTCAAGGCTCGAATGGCATGCAAGTCTATACTTAAGTATATCCCCGATGTGATATACCTAAGTATATTTGATGTGAAGTAAATAAACAATCTTGGAACTACTTAAGTATAGAACGAATACCAACAAAGTGGATAGCTTCAAACGTCTCCAGTCAAATCCAAAGCATTCAAGCATTTTCAAACACTCTATATATTTCAATATAATTCCATTCAGACCTGTCGAAGTGGAGTTCAATGTGAAGGAGTATGCGGGAGATCCTATGCATTGCCCAAAGCGGTATAGCGCCCATCACCTCGTCGATCACGTTCTCGAACACATGCGTCTCAGCTTCATCTCTGTACATTCGGTGTCTTATTGTCTTCGTTTTTTTTTTGCCTGCTTCAGTGGATCGTTGACGCGCCCTGACCTCATAGTTGACTGCTTTCCCGCCAGATCTCATATCCCCTGCGGAGATCTGAAACGGCTTGATGATTGCTGCAGTTCTGCGACTGGGCCGTCCAAAACCGTTTGGATGCACCCTCTAAATCCCTTCCTCCGTGCCTTCTTCCGGAGCACTGTTCCGGGCCAGTGTGTACCGGTAGAGAACCATGTAAGTGTTGCGACTCTATCCGATCATTCCATCCGCTAATTGGCGTTGCCCCTCAGGTCCTCCTAGTCCCCACGACGGACTCCCTCATCAGCTCGCGCGAACGGGAGTCCAATCTGCTATATTCTGATCTGGTCGCGTCGGAAGAATTCCTCGGCAGCCATGTACTGCGCGTCCCGATTCATACCGGCTCATCGAATTCGAAAGAGGAGAACAATGTCCGAGATAATCGGGGGAAGGCGAAGCAAGTGACAACCTTCAACGGAAGGACCGTGATAATTAAGGAAAACTCAGTGTACAGCAACAAAGGTGAGGGAGAGCTCCCCGAAAAAGCGTCCACTTGACTGTGCTGACGGTGGGCATCTATCAGGATTCAAGTCCCTCACGCAAGCCCAATTATTATCCGACGCGCTTTACTACCCCTCTTCGAACGAGTCAAGGCCATGGCTCATATATTACATCTCTCGCCCGTTGATCGGAACCTATGACCCCGCGAGAGTCATACCCGCCGTGGTCCCTGGGGTCGAGTTCAGCGCACCCAAGCCGACGAACACCGACAAGAGCTATCGAAATGGAACTTCGATCGGTACCCCGCCCAAGCAAGAGATCAAAACATTTGGAGAATTGCTCGCAAATTTCCCCATGATCGCCAGGCAGATGCAACCGGGGTTGGAAAGGTTGTTCCGCGAGTTTGGAAAGGAACTGGGAAAGCCCTTGCCCCCGCCCCCTTCACGATCGCCATCTGCATCTGGCAGCGATCGCATCCATAATCTTTCTCGAACGGAGTCCTGGACAGACGATACTTCTTCCATTCGCAGCTGGTCCTCACGAAGCAGAGGGCGACTCCCCTTTAACTCGGAGGAGTACTTCGAGGACGACGAGGACCTAATGCGCCGAAGCCTGGAGACTGCTGTGACTGCCGCGATTGATCTCTTCCGCCTTGTAGACAAGCAGCAACTTTCGTTACTCGGTGCTACCACAGATCTCACCGGTCCTTTGGTGGAGCGGTTGATAGAACGCTATGTCGCCGAGCAAGTCCATGAACCACTACTGTTCCCTCGCCTGTGTTCTTTCCGCCAACCCGAAGATACAGAGCTGGATTCCCGTATCCGACAAATGGAAAGCATTGATGTCTCTCAAGTTGGAATCTCCGTTGAGGGTGGACGTGCTGGGAAACGAGAGTTGATCCGCCGACTCGGGCGGGGTGTGGAGGAGTTCAGAAAGATCAGCGAGGCTCGATGCCCTCATGATATGCTGAATACTCTTCTCGCAACAGTGAAGGTCGTGTCATACCCTGGGAGTTATGATCAGGTGGATGGTCCGGCCTCCGAGAAAGGCACTTCATCTGTCACGATTAATGCAGATGTCCTGGTGTCCTTGCTGCTGGTTGTGGTGATTAGGTCTCAAACCAGGCATCTCCAAGCTCGACTACTATACATGCAACACTTCATTTACATCGACGACGTTGACAGTGGCGAGATGGGCTATGCCCTAAGTACCTTTGAGGCCGTCTTGATGTACCTTGTCACGGATTCAGCTGGGCTTCGACGCGCAAGTGTTCGAAACAGACGCCTGTGGCAAGCCACAAAAGCAGGCAGGATATCGGACATGAAGTCGATATTGGAACCAAATGAAGACCACGAATCGATAGATGATATAACCCCACCAGAGCCAGAGCGAAAGTCTGTCTTTTTCCAAACAGACGAAGTTGATGAATCGGATGATCTCCCACTTGAAAACTCCTTCACCAGCAGCACCAATGGCCAGCTACTGCCAGAGGAAGCAGTTGTCGACGCACCGCCGCTTTCGCATGTTTTTCCATTTCAGAATTGGAATGAGAGCTCGCTTCACGAGTCTCACCGTCCGGTCAAAAAAGTCTCGATGGATGTTCGGAGTTTGTCTGAATCGTCGGCGATATCATTCATTTCCCGAACCACAACGCTGAACTCTATGGCCAGTGGAATCGAAGGCGATAGCTCAATGGAGACCTTGACTAAAACCCAAGACCCTGCTGGTCATTCAATACCGATGATGGCGGTTGAGGGACGACAGCCGGAAGCTTTGAAATATTTGTTGACCTTAGAAGAATATTTCCCATTGGATGAGATCTTGCAAGATACCAATGCCGATGGGACAACCTTGCTGAACGCTGCTGTGCAGCTCGCCCACAGCGAGATAGTCAACGTCATCTTGGACTTTTTGTTTGCGAAAACAGATTCCAACGTCATTGCTTTCTACTTGACCAAGTCTGATGTCCACGGCCGCACTGTTGCCCACTATATCTTCAGTACACCATCTCTACTAGCTAGGCTTGGGGAGCTCATTCCATGGAAACAACGAGACAAGCACGGTCAAACGCCATTATTTGCGCTGTGTCGATCATACGACCATCCTGAATACAAGCCGATGGTGCAAGCGGCCTTGACAGCAGCACAGCGCGCGCAAGGCGATGGTAAACCGCTTCAAATCGATGACCATGTCGACGCCAAAGGAAACACACTCCTGCACATTGTGGGTGATCCAGAAATCACCCGACGAATTCTTCAAGACAGTGACAGTGATCCGAATGCAACAAACGACAAGAGATTCACTCCATTGATGATGGCCAGTAAGTATGGGCGAGTCGACCAGGTTCGCATCCTGTTCCTGGACCCTCGAGTCGATGTCCACGTGAAAGAAGCTCGTGGACTGACGGCCGTGGAGTTGGCCAAGGACGACGAGGTGCGAAACCGAATCGATGATTTGATACTGCTATCTCACCCCCCATCGGCCTGTGGAGATCCATCTGGTCGTGTCACAACAGTTGTGCGGTCATTCTTCGTCGAGGATGCAACAGTACGATTTATCCTCAAATCTGGCGCACCCTACCCTCCATCAAAATCCATGGAATCATCACGGCCCGGATCAACGACATATACCGTCACAACTTGCCGGCGCAACTTCTCTGACTTCGAACACTTAGCCAAGTGTCTCGCCGTGGAACATCCGGCATCGTACATGCCGTCTCTCTCGGATTTCCGCAACCCCTTCCAGATCCACTCCAAGCCCTCGCGATCTGTGCTCCATGATCTTCAGGAGAGACTTGATCGTTTCCTCAAGACGCTCCTCACTCACCCAACTTTTGCAACTCACGAAATGCTCTGGGAATTTTTCCTTGTTCCCGAGCTACAGCCAGAATTAATGGCCGACCGATCCCACCGGAAGGCAGCCGTTCTTTCAGAGACAATCTCGGACGAATTTGCACCAGTCTCCATCGAGGGGATGCGTGATACAGAGCAATTCGTGACCCACGCCCAGGAAATGGTGCGTGGAGTGCATGTCAACACCCGCAGTCTCATCCGCAGAGGACACGCTCTCCAGAATGGAACATCCGACCTCGCCGACGCGGTGATGATTTGCTCCTCTGTACTATCAACCCTCCGGAAACCAACCAATGCACTTCCAACTTCACACATTGAGGCCTTTGCCCGTTACGCAACTTACCTTTCTACCTCTCGCTCCGATTCCTCTCCTCTTCTCCAGTACCTCGCTGCTCTTTCCTCCATCGATAGCACCACTTCTGCAGTGCTTGAAGCTCTCTCCCGCCCACTTTCCATCATGTCCTCCCTCTCTTCAACAAACCGCCATATCTCACGCTCCCGATCAGCTCTCCTCTCTGCCTCCCTCCCCCGTAAATTCAACATCAATCTCCCAGGCTTCGAAGAATCTCGACAGAGATCCGTCCGCGATCTCGAACAAAAAATCCGCGACGGGGAAGCCGAATCCGCCCGCCTGGCAAAAGAGGTCACCTGGAACAAGGACGTTGTCGTCAGCGATCTCGCTGGCTGGACCTCTTGGCGGGAAAAGGTCGGCCGCGACGCCATTCGGGCGTTTGTCAAGGACACTCTCGTTCGTGAAAAGGAGCGCGGGAAGCGACTTGAGCGTTGTCTACGCAGTGTGCGTGATATGAATTCATGAAAATGAAGATATAGTCGGATAGATCTTGATATCTTTTTCTCTCATTTGATCTGTACATCCCATGGCGAACATGTGTTCGGATCTTGCTTTCCTGTCGAGCGTACTAGAATAGCGGCGTGGAGTTCTCTCTTAATAGCCATCTCATCGAAATATCTTGCTGACTTTCCGATTTTGCTTATGACTAGTTGCTTAGGTGTCTTTGCATGTACTTGTAGTGTCATCTCGGTGGACTGCTGAGACTTTTGCTTGTTTACGCCTTCCCCCCAACTACGTTTTTCTTCTCTCCCCTTCTCTCACTTTCACTCTCACTCTCACTTCTTTCAACTTCACTTACACCATCTCGATATCTGGTTTCCACAGGTAAGCCTTCCACCCTATCAAGTGTGTGGTGCCTTACATGAACAAGGACTGCTTCTAGTCTTCTAGTCACATCATCTACCTTCAGCCAAGATGGGTTGCGCCAACCCCGAGACTGGGAGCCCTAAGGCTACCGGCTCTGAAACCGTCCGGTCTGAGTCTATGGACACCCAGCATCTTAACCCGGAGGCTGCCAAATTTGAGCCTTCCAAGTCTGATGCCGTCGGATCTGGTGCCGTCGAATTTGAAGCTACCAACATTGAAGCTGCCACTACCAACGTCGCCAATACTGAAGCTATCAATCTTGAGTCTGTCGATCCCGAGGCCACCATTCCTGAGACTGCTACCCCGGAGGCTATCATCCCGGAGGCTACCACAATCGAGCCTACCACTCTTGAGTCTATCATTGGAACTGCCACCTCTGACACCAGCACTGAAAGCACCGCCTCTGAGACCTCCAGTTCTAACCATACCACTCCTGAGCCTGCCGAACTTGAGATTGCCTTCGACCCCGAGAACCCGCACCTTCCTCCTGTCCTCGTGTTCTGCGATGAACATGGAGAAGTCTCGTGCCCGGAGTGCACCCACAACGACAGCTGGGTAGTGCAGTTCATGAGAACCGAGGGCGGTGATGTAACAACTCGACTCACCAACCCCCATCTCACGATGGAGCCTCCCAGAATCGGCACCGGAATCGTGATCCCCCAGGTTTTCAAACCTCCCAATCCCAACGTTCCCCCCAAGACCCTGTTTCCACCCGGACTCGGAAAAAACACCTTCCCTTACGTCCACCGTTTCATTCGTGAAACCAACGAGTATGAATTCCTGGTCTACACGGATGGAGCATGCCAGGATAGTGACACTGAACACCCACGGGGCGGTATTGCGTTCGTTTACCGAGAAACCGAACCCGATGTCACCGGATCTGCAGGCTTTCCTCTTGAGAAGGAGGGCCCAACCGGACAAAGACATTTCCAAACTTCCAACCGTGCCCAGCTGCGTGCTGTGCTTGCTGCTTTGCGCTTCCGACGCTGGAATGCAGAGGGGTTCAAGCGTATGATCATTGCTACGGACTCGGAGTATGTGGTTAAGGGGATGACGGAGTGGACTCGCGGGTGGGTTCGCAAGGGCTGGAAAACGAGCAATCGACAGCCGGTTATGAATCGGGATCTCTGGGAGTGTATTCTTGGAGAGATTGAGCGGTTGGACGGGTTTGGACTGACTGTTCAGTTCTGGTGGATTGCAAAGGAGGACAATAAAGAGGCGGACCGTGTGGCTAAGGCTGCTTCACTTGAAAGCGATAGGTCCGTTGAATTCCGGGACCTGGCTGGGGTTTCTTGCTAAGCACATCGTGAATTGTCGGTCTTTGGTTTCGTGCCTATTTTTCATTGATATTCAAGTGGAAGACGACACAGAACACCGGACACGACCTTGATCAGATAGAAGGAAGGAGTTTTTATGAAACGAAGAAACGAAGAAAATGAGAAAATCGAGAAAATCACGATAAAATACTGAGATTGGATACCCAAATTCATACTCGGTTATTTTGTCTACACAAGGGCGAGTGCATTGTAGCCTTCCAAGAGCTGATTCATGAACAGCCCTAAATTTAGACCAGGAGTAGCCAAGACGCAACTTTTGTCATCGATTGAAACGGAGTGATATTAGAATTGACCGAAATACAGCCAAGCTCATGGCTGGCGCACTATTGAGAGCACAGGGTGTATGAAAAAGAATAGGCACTTATGCCAGAAGCACAAGAGAAGAATCGAGAATAACAATAACCAAAGCCGTACCAAATGTTCCATCATGCAAACAATCATGTGCTAATGTGTAGCTAAGCCGGAGAGGGAAACTGAAATGTCGATGTACTGGAGGAATGACCAGGCGTCGACGGCAATTGATCAAGATCATGAGAAACATCTATCAATGCAGGTGTTGTGAGAGCTAGATCATCTGCGATCTCGAAGCTGAAAGCTGCAGATGTCCGCTTAGGAGTTCTCATTTCACTAGACAGCCGTCCAGACTGAGATTGACCAGTGCCGGACAGGCGATTAGCGTTCCGAGACTTTGAGAGATGGGTGGATGCTCGAGAGCTGCGTGATGCGAGTGGACTAACTGGGCTCCGTGATGTGGTTTGCGAGCAAAGTGAGTGCATGGAACTTCCACTCAAAGGGGTGCCAGGGTTCCTGGCTAAGGTTGGATCCCCCGTCTCCGAGGAGCGGGTGCTTGTTTTCAGTGACGTGGATTCTCTGGGCGTGGAACTCGCTTCTACTATCATGCTCGAAGTTGGGATGCTTGGTCTTGAGTCCAAGGATATGGTCTGTGTCAGGGTGTTGACTGGAGACAGGGTGTTGTTCGGAGAGAGGGTGTTGTTCGAAGTCAGGGTCACGTCCGAAGATAGAGTGTTCGCCGGAGCCAGAGTGTTACCCATTGTCAAAGTCGAAGACGAGGAGTCGTGACTTGTCAGGTAGGGATGGGGAGGAGAGTCTTGATATGCGTCGTCGAACACCATCGTGATGGAGGGAGAGCGCCCCGGTCTGCCTATGATGGAAGTGCGTTGTGGTTGAACATCGGTCATGAGAAATTCATCCAAAGCCTTGCTTGTATCCTCGGCCAAAGAGACGGTTGACTCGCCAAATAAGAAGTTGTCTTGAGCTTGCTGACGATGAAAGTGTTGAGTTCGGCGCCGCAGATAGTACCAAATCCCCAAGTATAAAACCGCACCGAATGTCACGACGGAGAGTATGACAACTGCAGCGAGAGCAAGCTTTTCATAGGCCCAGTGCTTGGATTCGTGCTGAGAGTGAGAGATATGATAGTCCATGGCCCTCAGAGTTGTCAACGTTAAAGACGGAGTCGTTCAATGTTCATGGGAAGTACTCGGCAACGCACCTTCCCCTTCTCGATTTAGGACAATACCATCAAATACCATCAAATACAGATCTATATTTTACCATGAACTCGATGCTCTATACCCAATACTCTATAATCTGTGTTCGCTACTCAATACTCAATCCTGCAAATGTTACTATTTCGGGGAAATTGAATTGACCGGGGTTCCTTTGACGTGGAAAAAGCCTTCGAAACATGACAATGCTTCGAGGACATGGGTATAAACAAAGTGATCATAAAGACCTTTGTAGGCCTCGAAAAATAGAATCCAAGGCTTTGATTCTACATTCATTGAACTCCTGCCGCAGCATTGCGCGGCCCTCTAGCAGGACACTATAAAAGCCCCCAAGTCGCCAGGTCCATTAGATTCTCCAGACACCCCAGCTCTAAGATCATTACCATTCCAAAGCATTACACACACACTACATCTACACAAGAAACCAAACCAAGCAATATCCTAGCCACATCATCCAACAAATCTTCCCATCGAATCCCCAAGACTCGAAAATGAAAGCTTCGCAGGCCACCGTATCCCGTCAACGTCGCCACATCGTGGACTTCGTCAACGAGCTGACCTTCTTCATCAACTACCTGGAAGAGGGGATCAAGAAAATCTCCGAACTGGACCAACAGACCATTTGCGCATTCCTCAAGACCCTTACTGACCATGTTATTCTCATCTTGGGTCTCGCCGATCATATTCTCGAAGGCAATGAGCTTTCCCGCATGAAGGAGTACTGCCGAAGTCTGATTGACAAGTTGAGCAAGATGCGTTCCCGCGTCCCCAAGACTCTCAACAAGGATTTCCTTACTGAGCTTATTGCTTCCCTTAAGCACATGCTCGCTAATTTGAAGTTCTAGAGGATTCGATTGGATCTCGATTTGGGACATTCAGATAGATACAATAGCATATACGTGAATCGAGTGAAATTACCCAGAATGTCTGTGTTAATAGCTCACTTTTGAGTAGATAGATCCATTTGGCTTGAGACTTATAGAAGTAGTACTTAAGATAGAGCCCTGTAGAGCCACCAGGAGAGGTGATTGAGTGGAAAGAAATTGCTCCGAGGTTTCTATATGCTGTGGGTTATGCTCCCGAGTCTGCAAAGTGTGGGGCAGTCCTTGATTGGCTGTAAGATGGGGCTCTGAAGCAAATGATCACGTGAAGTATCCACTTTCCCAATTAGGAAGCATGGGGTCTATATCAAATGCAAACTATATCAAATGCAAAAGTTGGTTACTTTCTGTAAGCTGCTCCGGTAGCTCAGTGGGTTAATGAGTTCAGGATTTAAATACCGCGTACTCCAAAGCTCCCCTCTGGATCCTAGGGAGCACCCGCCGGTCTTAACAGAGGGGGGGAGTTCGATCCATCATTCCCACCTTCTTTTTTTTTCTTCTTTTTTTTCGAAAACATTCCCTAGTATTGTTAAATTCGGATCTGCATGCAGTGGGCCTAGGTACTTGAACTAGTTGCTGTCCGTTGCTGAGCCTCAAACCTCCGAAGAACGAGCTGCCGTCCCACTCGGCCCTTCTCAGTATGCTCTTCTAAATATTTCCCTTCTCTCTTCCGAGCTTCTGTGATTCGCTTTCGAGTCCCTGAATGCGTAACAGTATAAAGACTTTTCATCATCCCATGCGCCGGATATGCTACTAATCCCAGAGCAGCTAATTTCAATTAGTCACAGAACTGACCAAGAGAGTAAAAAACATACCAGATGAGACCTTCGTTGTCATCCCCAGAGTCCCCTTAGCCAGTCCTTTCATTACACCTTTGGCTCCTTCTTGCTGGCCCCCCTTGTAAGGCTGAGTAAATAGACCACTGAAACCTTCGCTCATTCCATGCGTGAAGTTCTTGCCAGCAAACATCGCCCCAGACTTCCAATCCCGTACATCACCGTGGTCTTTGACCTCGTCGCCGTACAGTCTTGGTACAGCTCTTAATCCTTCGCTCGCTGCCAGTGGCATGTCGACGAGCATTCCCTTGTAAAAATGGCCTACTGTCTTCCCCAAACTTTTGCTCGAGGCACCCACGGCCAAACCTGTGGTCTTCAGTCTTGACTGTCTCTCGGAATGGGTGGTAATCATAGACGAAGCACCGGTGGATGAAATACTAGGAGATCTTGCACTGGAAGATTCGGCCACGGCACCTGTCGATGGACTTTGTGGATGGCGACGGAATTCCTGGTACGGCAGTAGGAAGATATCACTAGTAGATCTCACTATATCGGTGCTGGTACCAATGAGAGCTGAAGTGGTACCTGTCACAGGATCCCAGCGGCGATTTTGAATGAAGATTGAGTGGATCGCATATCTATTTATTGTCAATTAACCCGGGAGAGTAGGCACCGAGCCAAATAGAGAGAGCCAGTGTTGACTTACGGTTCCAGATCACTTGCTTTCAAACGATGATGCTCAACTAGTACCTCGGCAGCAAGCCGAGACAGATGAAATGGCTTCGAAGACTTCTTCAATTTCCAGACGGCCGGTTCAGATGTTAACAAATGGCATCGCATACGATCGAGGGGTAAATTGCGGTGGAAAGATGCAACTGCCGTACTGACTCCCGACTCATCACACATTTGTCTCGCTACATCGCGAGCAGCAGCCTGCGCAGAGGGTTTCAGACAGAATTGGATCGCATCAGCGAGGTTTTGGGGATTAAGGGATTTGTACGGGATAGGTTTTGGCCCTAGACCGCGAGAGGCGATCAAGTTTCCCCAGAACAATTGACTGAATGCTATTAGCATGTAAGGGCGTTTCAATCCAGGAATGACTTACTCCCCAAAGAACGGCACAATAGTCGTAGCTTTTCCAAATCGTAACCCGCATGCCGTGGTCCCTGCACCACCGTGATGAACGACGGCTGAGACGTGTTGGAAAAGCCACTCGTGGGGACAATCGTCGAGATAGAATACTTGGTCATCGGAAGACTCTTCGCCTAGCTTACTCCAGCCACGGGAAATGATGGCGCGAATTCCCAGGGTTCTGACGGCCTGGAGTATCAACTTCGTCATGTTTGCAGCATCTTCAATGACAATACTGCCGAATCCGATATATACCGGTGGGCTTCCATTCCGGAGAAACGCATCCAGATCGCGGGGCGGAGTATAGTCTGGGAGCGAGCGGAAGAAAAATCCACACACATCGATATGAGCAGGCCATTCAATGGGCTTGGGCATTAGTGATGGAGACCAGCAGTATGTGAAGGGTACTTTGAGAGTATCGCATAATGATGGACCTTCGGTGGCTGGAACAGGCTCCAAGTCAAGAGTAGCTCTCCAGTCGTTGATCACGTCGCCGAGACTGATTTCGGTACAGTTAGTATTGGGCTTAATCGTCACATCGAAGTGTCAAAATGGAAAACCTACCCTTGCCAGGTCATCCATTCAACAATACCATACGAAACGAAGTTCGCAATCTTCGGTTCCGTATTCGAATACTTCAAGTTCGCCAAGGGGTGTGGAAACGCCCTCGTACTGCTCCAAGGCATAGTAAACATCATATGCACAGGGATGGAAAGAGCCTGAGCGCAATGGACATGTGCAAAGCTGGGCGGATTGGCGATAATGGCATCTGCAACAAAAGGTGCTCCTGATTTAGGATCATCACCAATGCATGATTCCCAGCATCCAGTCAACATCTCCGCCACCATTGCTCTCTTTTTTTGGATCTCCCCATCCCGTAGACTCTTCATTTGAGGTATCAAGCCGGGGTTCTTGACCATATACGCCATTAATTCGGATGGGTCTCCACCAATGGGGAAGAATTCCAAGCCTGACTTGAGAACGAATGATTCGAATGTGTTGTGCGTGGCGAGACGTACGCGATGGCCGTGTAATTGGAGCTCATTGCCCAAGGCGATAAAGGGCTGGACATCGCCTCGGCTACCGACGACTTGGATGACGATGTTCAGGTGGATGTTGCAGATTTCATTCCCCGGATATACTGGGGGAGGAGGGAGCTCGGGTTCCTCGCGCGGCGTGGGAATGAGCTTTGTGAGGGTTCTGCAAATCTTGGAGTCAAGATCCACTCTGATACGACCGTCCTCTGGTCGGCATTAGTATGGATGGGTGACAATAAATGTATAGGGCTGATCCGCTGATACCTTGAACATGTGGGCCCTCTTGAGACCATCCGGCCTCCTCTAGCATGGAATATCTAGGGGGTTGCTCATCGTGGAGCTCCGACTGTTGGGGGTCAGTGCCAGACATTCCAAAGCTCTTGAGCTCTTGAGTGGACTGTAGGGAGAAGTAGACCTTCGGGTTATATACCAAGGGTGATTACAGATCAATAAAGCAATAGAGCACCTAATAGTTTGTCCTTGAGATAAAAATCAAAACTGACTAGTTTGGAAGCAGGTCTCCGTATTCGATGGTAGTGGAGAAATGGTTGAGCCACTCATCGAACAACTTTCATGACATCAATTGATCTATAGGGACGCACTAGACTCGTTTGAATGAAGAATACGAGTACGTGGCTAGCGCAGATCAGCGCAGCCAATGAGAAGTTCTGACTTCGTGTTTGATAGCTGTTGGAGCCAACGCAGATCGCAAATAGAACTTAAAAAGAGACTATTGGGAGTGAAACAAGACAGTAACACGGTGAAAAATCTTCGCAAATCAGAGACAGGCATACTTTTAGGGTCTCGACCCTGGAAGGATTTTGAGGTATTCAATACGAATACGCGTATAGATGTGGATCTCCGACACGACGGAGTTCCCGCGTCCATCACCGTCTACCTTGACCTAACTTCTTCCCATTCTCCCCAGGGTATGACTTTCGAAGTACTGAAGACGCCCAAGGATTGCACAGGGCGGAATTTCTCGTGGCCTGGGCTGGGAATGTTAACCACACCAAAGATGTGATAGTCAGGGCCATGCGGCGTATTGCGACCCTCGTCGACCAACTTATTGTTTGGCTGGTTGTGCCGCTTCAAGCTGTTGGCCATTATTGACTAGACCTGGGATGTTTCCGCAACGTCAAGGTGGAAAATGACCAGGTCCAAGAAACCACAGACCGGCCTCAAACACTGCTGAGGAACTGATCACCTCTGTTTGCAGGAGCCTACTGATGTCTGAGGACTTGATTCATTCCAACCCGCATCTCAGATCAACCTCGCTCTCCCTTTCAGGAACGAGATCACCACAACCTTCTACAAAATCGAATTTCTCGCCTCAGCCCTTTGCTATGCCAATGGATCCATACAGGCTGGCACTGTCGCTCCGACGGATACGCGAAGAGAGATTTTTCCTCGCTACCGATCTACAAACGACTTGCGGACTCACACATCATCCAGGTCTGGTCAAGGCAGTGTGGATGATTGGTTCAGCGTTATGATATCAGGAAAGGAACAGCAACTGGCCCGAGGATTCTCTTGGTGATATTGGTTAAGCCTATTTACCAGAAACACCGACGAAAAGGGGACGACAAATTGACGTCTGCTTACAAATTGACGTCTGCTTCTCCAGGTCTGACGCTCCAAATACACACTTCTTTCATCTCCACTCTCATCGGAAATGAAGTCAGCAAAGCCACCATACATCTCGTACACTGTTTTACTGATAGTATGCGGGGCTAACGAGACACGATCGACTACAGAAAATCTCATTTGAACAATTTCCAAAATACGAACATACTTTTCAATTTCTGTCTTAATTCTTATTGCACACTATTCGCGAGGCCTTCGACAAGCATTTTCTACCCCTTTTATTAGTGAAAGATTCCAAGGTTGGTCTCTGCTTCTTCTCGTTAGGAAACCTGTATCCAAAGAAGCCAGTCAGCACAATCAAACATTCGCAATGTCAAACTGCAGTTGCGGGATATCAAAAGACCTGAAAATGGAAATTTTCGAAATCCGCTTCACACCTTGACCAAAAGCGCCGAGGACAAAATATCCAACCATCTTCCCCAGCGCCGTCCCAAGCAAAGCATTATACTGCGCATCAGCAGGAGTCCAAGAAATAATCGCATTACGCGGATACCGCGCTTCCAAACCTGCAGCATAAACATGAGTATTAATAAAGCGAGCAGTATCCTCATTCTTAACATCCGTTACCCAGATATGTTTCAGTGCGGCAAGATTGAAGTCCTTTGTATACACTGCGTGCGTAATCTCCGACATATAAGGATCCTTGGATTCCCGCGCTCGATCGATCTTGTTGATGAAAATCACGCCTGGTCCTGTCATTCCTGTCCAACTGGTTAGGGCGCCTTCGGTCTTCATGACGATTGTGCCTCGGTATACTGACTTTCCGCTCTTTTTGTCCACGTCGGTCGCGATGCCGACATTTTCGAGCCACTTGTAGTGTTCGGGGTCTAGGTGGTTGGGCTCGGAGTCGACGTCCCAATCGGAGGGCTTTGGGGGCAGGGTATCAAGGGTTAGTGTGATTCTGGCGATTTTACAGTTCGGCTCTCGGGGGTTTTCTGTCCATTTACGGATCTGGTTACCGACTGCTTCCCATGGTGGGAATGATGCCATCGTAAGTTAGTTGTGTTTATCTAGCAGACTCCTGCGCAAGTTTTGGATGTAGATTTGTTGGAGTCGATTGTTGGTTATAGATGGTGATGTCTCTTGGTATACTTCTTGGATAGCTGAACGACTTGACTATTTATATACATTCCCTGTGAATTCGAGACAAAGCTCTTTCTAAAGTTAGAGAATTTGAAAGGGATTGTGTATGGATTTGAAAGAGCGGCACAAAGAAAAGATTTGCTTTAGGCAGACCCAATGATTTAACAGAGTGAGCAAAATCTTTATTCTCAGGATAAAAGATCATCTGATCTCATGAGGCTTTGTAAAGCGACTATGGCTTTGTAACCTCAAGCAATGGGGATATACGCCTCTGAGATTGTGAATAGCAGCGAGAAAAGATCAAGTCGATGTACTGTGAATCTCCGGACACAAAGGGAAACAACCAGGGACCCACAACGAAAAACAAATTGGAGTTAGAAATCGCCTGTCAGCCCGACGGCCATCATTGACTGACATCCTTCGGCATCCCGATTGGTAAATATTCAATCGGACCGGAGCCGGGGCGCTAGCGAAATGTGAGCTGATGGGCGTGCAAGCCGAGTCAGACGGTAAGTCATGTCATAACATGTGATTGAGACAATATGATTCATTCGAGTACTCCGTATGAGGATCGAGAAATGCGATCCTCATATGCATGTATACCCCTGTGCTATGATGAAGCCTGTTGCAAGGGAGACCCACTAAACCGGGTTGGAGCTGTTGACAGCTGTAAGTACCATGCTTTCACGTCTGCAGGGTGGGCGCATTGCAAGGCATACGTAGCCCTGCTAAGTGACGCCATTGCTATGAGCAAGGAACAAGGGGTGTTAATACTCCGTACAATGACGGACAGTACCCAGATGGGCACTTGTACTCTTGCACATCAGGCAATGCAGTCTCAAAGGTCAAGATAGGGAAGTGGGCACGTGAACGATTATAAGTCAGTACTCCGTACCCGTGGACGGAGTTACCACTTTGTGTACTCCTTAATACGGAGTAGCCCTGGAGGGTCGCAAAAGCGTACGAGTAAACACCGAGCTGTAGGGAGTAATGAGCGATTTATGCACAGAGCTTTTTAAATGGAATTAATTCCTCATTAGGTAATGGACTGGAGATCCGGGGAAAGCTGTTCAATAGGCTTTCATGCAACCATGGCAATAGTTCCATTTAGATCAGGCTTGTTTCGATCCGAGACCCATCCACTCCATATGTATGTACATACGAGTAGTAGTATTCATACATTCATACGGAGTATACTCTTGATGGGACAAGACGTAATGAGAGGGAATAAGTTGATCTGCACAGAAAAGGAGAAGAAAAGCAAATATGCAAAATAATGCCTCAATATGAGTGGAAGAATGACAGGTCAAGATCACCATATGAGCTCATCCGCATTCCACGCGATCGCCAAGCCCACTCAAGCCTTTTCCTCAACGTTGGGAACTGCAGGGAAGCCCCCGGGACGCACAAGATTATCCAGTGCAATGTACGCGGTAGAGTGAGGCATACGAATTCGCCTTCGTAAGCCATAGGGCATCAAATTATTAATAGAAGTGCGACGCCTTACACAAACCCTAGTGCCGTGCGGACTCGGGATCCAATCATCAGGGGGTGATCAAATCCCTGGATTCCGAATTGTTTCTTGTTTGAAGTGGGCAGTTCCAGGCCTGAATAATCACGCACACGAGAATAAATCTCCCGGATAAGTAATCAAACCCCTGTCGGCGACCGAGGGCCATTCACACTGCAGAATAACATCAGCACGGGCGGATTCGAAACCCAAAGGTCTCACCGGTGAGTCTCCGATCGGAAGACGCCTTTCCTATCTGCCGGACTTTTGCAATGGGAGGAGACCAGGGGATTTGGGCCTACGGCAGGCTCCGTCGCCGGCCTCCGCAATTGAAGTTCTTCCAGAAGCTTTTCGTCTGGGAACCCGCAATTGGCCCAATGGGTAAAACCAACCAAACAGTAAACACCGAGTTTAAGACGTTTGGGGGAATAAGTGGGGCTCGATTCGGCACCATCTGCGGCTCTGGGAGCTCGTAGCTGTGGATTGTGGTGGGTCACGGCGGATTGCGGTGGTTGGGGTGGAGTGAGTGGATTACACTAGGGATCAATCCAGCCTAGCGGGTCTCTATTTCTTGTCTCCCCGGCTTTAACAACCAATCAGCTTACTTTTGTTAAACACAAAATTTCTTTACGACTTGTCAGCTCCGATAGTTTCAAATCTACACTGTACATGTCTGTCTTTTCGAGGTCTTCCCGATTGTTGGGGTTTTCCCCCTCACATCACCATGCGAGATCCTCCGTAGTCATACTCTGTACAGTGCAGTCTTCAGACCATCACTGGAATGAGACATAAATCCCGCAAGTGAATAGTCCACGTCAATTCGGATCTCCGCATTTGTCGGAGTCGGCGCCCCCCGTCTCCACACGGCCAGACTCCTTACCTGGATCTGCTTTCCGAACAAAAATAATCAATGAAAAAAGAAAAAGAAAAAAAAAACGAAAAAAGAAAAATTGGAGGGATCCAGATTCCAGAATTGCATTCACGCGAAACGGTTCGCTGTCAACACCGAAATATCCACATGGGCCCTCAACCCCCATTGCATGTCCGACTCTTCCCGACCTCAAATCATGACTCTTTCTTTACTATACCGTGTGGCCTTGAACCCAGCGGACCCGGTTAATTATCTGGTCATCGCCGTGTCTGTGTCGGAATGTCCTGGATGATTTGCGCACGAACGTCCCAGGGGAAATTTAATATGCTGCCTCGTGTACATAAAAACAGACTCGCATCTGCTCCTCACTCTTTTTTCTCTCTTCATTCCACTCTCACATCTTCCACAATGGCTCGATACCCTTCATTGCCTACTCAACAGTCCCGGCCGGTGCATGCCACCCCGGCGCCGTTTGTAAACCACGCCTCGCCTGCGTAAGTTTCCTACACACTGTCACATCGTGTGATAGCTTCAAGTCACAATGGCAGGAAGAACAAGCAATGCTAACGCTGTTTACAGTGATGCCAACTACGACACTGCCAACCCTTCATATATTCGCAAGTACCTGCGCACATACGGTCTCACTCCTCCCCGTGCCGAGGGCTACGAAACACAAAAGGCTCGCTGCCTCGCTCAATTGGGTCTCAAGAACACCCCCATCGACAAGTTCCTCTACCTCAGCACCCTGCGCAAGAACAATGTGCACCTGTTCTACCGTCTGGTGACAGACCACCTTAGGGTACGTTGACTTCCGAGACATGTGATTGGGCCGGGGAAAGTTGGAGAAACACGAAAACTGACCGTTCCCCGCAGGAGATGACTCCCCTCATCTATACCCCAGTTGTCGGCGAAGCTTGCCAACGTTGGTCCGAGATCTACCAGCAGCCCGAAGGTAGGTTTTGGATGATCCCCACGAATTAGAACCGGAGACGCTAACCCGCCATGCAGGCATGTACCTTAGCTGGGAAGATCGCGGTAATCTGGCATCCGTCATCGCCAATTGGCCCCAACCTTCCGTCGAGATCACATGTATCACCGATGGTTCTCGTATTCTCGGCCTGGGTGACCTGGGCATCAACGGTATGGGTATTCCCATCGGAAAGTTGGCCCTTTACACCGCTTGTGCCGGTATTCGTCCCGAGGCTACTCTGCCTCTGACTCTGGACTTGGGTACCAGCAACAAGGCCCTCCGGGAAGACCCGCTTTACATGGGTAGCCGTCGTGACAAGATCTCCCCTGAGGAGGAGCGTGAATTCTTGGACGAGCTGATGTCCGCTCTCACTGAGCGCTGGCCCGGTATTGTCATCCAGTTCGAGGACTTCAAGAACCCCTTCCCCGCTCTGGAGCGTTACCGTGACACTTTCACCTGCTTCAACGATGACATCCAGGGTACTGGTGCTGTCATCCTCGGTGGTGTCATCAACGCCGTCAAGCGTTCCGGTCTCCCCTGCAAGGACCACCGCGCCGTCTTCTTCGGTGCTGGCAGCGCCGGTGTCGGTGTCGCCCGCCAGATCGTCGAGTTCTTCATGCGCGAAGGCATGACCGAGGATGAGGCCCGCAACTGCTTCTACCTCGTCGACACCAAGGGTCTCGTCACCGCTGACCGCGGCGACAAGCTCGCTGACCACAAGGTCTACTTCGCCCGTCGCGACAACGAAGGCGCCCAGTTCAAGACCCTCGAAGAGGTCGTCGACCACGTCAAGCCCTCCATCCTGATGGGTCTCTCCACCATGGGTGGCGTCTTCACCCCCGAGATCCTCCGCAAGATGGCCGACTGGAACACCGCCCCCCTGATCTTCCCCCTCTCCAACCCCTCCCACAAGTCCGAGTGCGACTTTGAGACCGCCATCAAGAACACCGACGGCCGCTGCCTCTTCGCCTCCGGCTCCCCCTTCCCCAACTGCACCTTCACCAACTCCGCCGGCGAGACCCGCACCTACTACCCCGGCCAGGGTAACAACATGTACGTCTTCCCCGGTATCGGCCTGGGCAGCATTCTGTCCAAGGCCGTCCGCGTCACAGACAGCATGATCTATGCCTCCGGCGAGTCCCTCTCCTCCGCCCTCACCGGCGAGGAACTTGAGCGCAACCTCCTGTACCCGGACATCACTCGCATCCGCGACGTCTCTATCGTCGTCACCCGCAAGGTCATCCGCGCCGCCCAAGAAGACAAGGTCGATCGCGAGATCGCCCTCCGTGCCCTCTCCGACGCTGAGCTTGACGGCTGGATCCGTGCCCGCATGTACGATCCCCACACCGAGGTCCGCGCTCTGGAGCGCGAGGTCGGTCACCTTCTCTCCAGCCTCGGCACTGTCTCTCCCCCTCTCACTGTCAACGGTTCTCCCACTGAAGAGAAGAACGGTGCCAAGTTGTAAGAATGTGCAACATCAAAACATTTTTTCTTTCTTTCAGCGTTGAGGAAGACGTGATTGACTCACGTTGACTTCTTCTTTTTGTTTCCAGCGCATTTTGCACCTGCCTCTTCCGGGTCATGACTTCTCTTTTTTTTTCCTTGATAGAATACCCATCACTTTCTGTTTGGTCACTTTGGGCCTTTGCATTTGGGAATAGCTTATCTATTGCCATATGAATGAACAAATTTTTAAAAATACTCTCTTTCCATGACTTAGCAAGAGTGCAACATAATGTCTTTAGTTAACTCGGGAATATGGCTCGGGAATATGGCTCGGGAATATGGCTCGGGAATATGTTGAGTATGGTAACGGGCGAAATCTGAAAGCTTCTGATCGCCACTTTTCGGATAATCCGTAGTCTCCAGGCTCGGATTTCCTGTTTTCATCTCCAATATTGGACTTCTCTTTCCCTTCTGTGTGATTTGAGACGAGGTGTGTTGAATCTTCGATCAGATAGCCAGAGAGCAAGTGATTCGGATTCAAAACTGTGGAAGACAGTAAAGTCTGATTCCGCTCGCAGATTGCAAAGGATCTGGAAATGTGAGATTCCGAGAAGTAAGCTCACAGTCGACAGCTTCGAAAGGGAAGAGGTTTGAACAGAGAATAACATGAGTGGAAACAGCGAAGAGGAATTGACTTACAGTTGACGATTTTCCGAGTCGCCGCTTCTTCACCATCAGTTCAGTTCCCCGAGGCTCGTAGCCTTCGACAAAACCACTCTTTCTTGTTGGTTGTTTTCACGGTGAAGATATGTCCTGATTGGACCGCGTCCCACATCCTTTCCCACGAACAATGGAACCATAGTGCCCAGGTGATTGTTCCCGGGTGTCTCTTAGAGAAGAGGTCAGAAGCGGCGAAAGGCTCCGAGAAGATAGGGGTCTCGGAATGAGTTTACAGAAGGAAGGTGCAAAGTGAGAAGATAAAAGAAACGGTGGAACCTTCACAGAGATACGGATGGGCCTGTCTTTGGAATTGCAAGGTAAAAGTGTAGGAGACAAAAAAGACTGAGGACGATGCAAATATCAAATAGAAGAAAAGAGAGGGGATAGTAGATAGGATTGCTAACATTACATCTTTTTCTTAGAATACAGAATTCGTAGCATATAGAAGTAACTCAATCTTAGCTTTTAGAGGTCTTCACTTAACTATTCTCCAGAGAAATGGAACTGCAGGCTGCAGAATGCTCCACTTGCCTGCGTCTGACAGATACGACCTAGGAGGTTTGCTTTTGTCTCTAACAGTTTGCAGAGTCTCAATACTACTATCTCTTGGATATCATCACATCGAGAAGTATGGATCGAGCCAATCGCTCGCCAATTGCAAACGCCTTCGTTTTGATCTCGGCGCCAATCTGATCTTTCTTGATCCCCTGGCCGTGGCTCTGATGCTTTCCAGCACATGTCTTGATCCAAACAATGGAAAATACTACTTAACTGACACCATCAAACCTAATGCTAAATGATATTGCAGTCAAGGACGGGCACGGAGGAATCCATCGGGGAAACTCATGGAGGCGGGGGATCAATCTCCCCGATGACTAAAGTTCAGCCGAGGTCTCTCTGTGGGAGGCAATTTTCACAGTAGAGAGATGGGACGATTTATAGAACCTGGAATTGGTTTCTAGTTTTTACTCTGATCTAAACTGCTATAGAAATTGTATTCTATTGCGAAAAAGGGCCAATTGAACGCATGTTCCAAAGTAGACATTGCATATGCACCATGCCGTCTCCTCTTGCAGACCCCGTTAAGCTCCCCTGCGGGCTCGTACTGCCAAATCGGCTCAGCAAGGTACCATTGGCCTGTTGTCGAATGACATCAACCCAATTGATCTTATTTGACCCTGCTTATCACCGTCATTGCATGGCTAACTCCGTCTCAGGCTGCTATGGCCGAGTTGATGGCCAAGACAAACCATCCGACCAATTCACTCACAGATGCATATGAACAGTGGTCTGATGGTGGATGGGGTAGTATCCTCACAGGTAAGCATATAAGTGCCCAGTTGGTCATGTTAGTGATCTACTAGACAGACCCGGCCCTAATATCATGTCTAATATCACTTGAGCATGACTTAACTAATATCGTCCAGGAAATATTCAAGTCGACGTGGACCACATGGGCAGTCCCTTCGACCCAGCTCTACATAATGAATACAAAGACGCTGAAAAGAACGCCGACCTCGTCGCCCAATGGAAGAAGTATGCTGATGCATGCCAAAAACACGGTACCCCGGCCATTGCCCAGATCTGTCACCCAGGCCGGCAATCATTCCGTGTCGCAGGTCGCAGAGGCATGTTTGCGCAGACGCTAGCGCCTAGCGCGGTACCTATCAATCTTGGTGAGGGGTATATCGAACGGTTCATCGGGTGTTTGGCTTGGACGACGCCGAAGGAAATGACATCTCAGGACGTCGAGAGAGTCATCGGCCAGTTCGTGGATACTGCCCGACTCATGGCCGATGCTGGTTTCTCGGGTATTGAATTGCACGGTGCTCATGGTTATCTAATTGGTATGATTGAAACAAACCTACGTGTTCAACTACTAACACTCTTATAGATCAATTCCTAAATGAAAAGGTATGCCGCCAACCATAAGCACTGGCTCTACGCATTTGAGCAAACTAACAATCCCAGACAAACCTCCGCACAGACAAATATGGCGGCACACCAACCAAACGCGCCCGCTTCGTCCTTGAAATCCTCACCCAAACACGCAATGTAGTCCCGCCAACCTTCTGCATCGGCATCAAACTCAACTCCGCAGACCACAGCTCAGCCACCTTCGAAGAAACAATGACTCAAATCGCCCTCCTGTCCGAAGCCGGAATCGACTTCATGGAAATCTCAGGTGGGTCGTACGAAAACCCCGCGATGATGGGGTATGCGAAAACGCCGTCTGCGCGCACCGCAGCGAGGGAAGCTTTCTTCCTCGAATTCTCGAAGGAGGTCCGTACCCGGCATCCGGGTTTGGTTCTTATGTTGACGGGTGGGTTCCGATCGCGCGCGGGTGCTGAGGCGGCGGTTAGGGATGGTGCTTGTGATCTTGTTGGTATTGGGAGGCCGGCGGCTGTGGATCCCAAGTTCCCGCGCTTGTTGCTTGATGAGAGTGTTGAGGATGAGAGGGCTTGTTTGCCTTTGAATAAGGCACCGGTCCCTTGGTATACGAGGTTCTTGCCTGCGTATCTTATTGGTGCTGGGGCGGAGAGTGTGAGTTCTTTGATGTTGTGGTTGAGGGTTGGGCTGACTTTTTGGCAGACTTATTATGCGGCTCAGATCCAGCGCTTGGCTAAGGGGCTTATTGCGTTTGCGCCTCCTTTGTAAATTGAGCACTGTCATTTTGCCCGGGTGGCATAGTCACAGTTAGGGCTTCCCGGGGTGTTACACCTAAGAAGATGAAGGTCGAGTACATAGTAGTTGGACAATTTCAAGAGTAAATATTAATGAAAGTGAATTTATAAGAATGTATATCAATTGATATTAAAAACAATTTCAGGACAATATTTGCTATGAGTAAGCTTGCGGAGTATAAGAGGGCTTGATAGTGTCGTCATGTGCCCGGGGAAAACAGGTTGTGTCGATCCTTGGAGCTTCCATTGTTATCGATCTGCAGAGCTCCAGGATTGATACTTCGACTCACACACCCTAGCAAATTCAGTGCTAGAGCTCAATATGCCTACCGAGACAGAACCTCTACTCCCTCGCTATGAGGATGATACCTCCCGCCAGCGCCGCCTCCACCAGAAGCTCCACAGCTACCAGATGATCCGCGCCATCTCCGAGGGATACCTGCCAACCACCGAACAAACAACCGCCAACCTCCGTACCCTACTAGCATCCGATATTCTCAACCTGCGAAACCAGGACATCGGCACTGTCGGTCGCCAGCTAATCCGCGATACGCGACTGTGGATCCAAGTCTTCATCGAGTTCCTCCAGCAAAAGAACAGCCAGGACCAGCTGCAGGAATTCATATGGCGTCTATCTCGCTCACGCGTCCAGGTGGATAGTGAGCGTGTTTCCAGACAGGCTGCCCAGGTGAAGGCGCGAGCTGATACTAAAGCTGGTGGGTCGCTTCCCCTCAGGTTCCAGGCTTGGCGCATCTGTGGGACGATCGCTAACGGTCCTTACAGCATATGACAGCTTCCGCACCATCGGTAGTCTACTCTTGACCAATGCTGACTTCCGTCTTTTCGTCGACGATATCGTCACCGTCGGCCGTCAAATTTTTGCTGATACCGCCGAGTCGCTCGCCGAGTCATCCAAGCATGTGGCAGAGAAGGTCCAGCCGTCTGCGGAGGAAGAATCCGCGCTGAAAGGTGCTGGCGCTGACGAGGGACATGAGCTGTCTCAAGACGAATTACGGGAGGAAGTTGCTCATGTTACGGAAGCGGCTGGGGAAGGACTTGCTCATACGGGACACGACGCTGTGGAAAGTGCCAAGGAGCATTTGGCTGGTCGGGAGAGAGAGACTTTACTATTCCGTCTAAAACAGGCCGTCCTTAAGCTCCGCGAGAGAACGGATTACTCTGACTCGGTCGCAACCCTTGCTCAATTGCTGCAGCGCTATGCTAAAATCTACGCCGAGGTAGCGGAGAACGCCAGTTCGACTGCCGAAGAGGACGTGGAGGTCAATGTGGACCTGAAGCGTGCAGTCGACGAATTCTGGATTCTTTTGAGATCTTTTGGAAGTGCAGAAGAATGGGATCGATTGCAGCAGAAATTCCACAACGTTCTCCGACACGCCAATAAAGACCCGGAATTCGATACTCTGCTGGGAGAAACTGGAAACTCACTTCAAGATATGCTGACCGATCCTGATTTCTTTGAGTCGGCACCTCAGAAGCTCGATGAGCTAAAGAAACAGTCCGAGAAAGTAGGCCCAGAAACAAGTCTACGCAAAGACATGGATGACTTTCTGGCCCAGACTAAACAAACACTTCGAACTGTCCCTGATGACCCTGCTGTGTATAAGCTTATTAATGCCACCAAGAAGGTGTACCAGCATGCTTGGACAGCTTACAACGACAACAAGGCGGATCTCCCAGCAGACTTGGTCAATGTATTCCTGCCAGTCCTTCTGCGGACAATCCAATACATCCCGATTCCACGTCTGGAGATATCCTCCCCAGAGATGGATCTCTTGCTCGAGAACCTGATCCTCGAACCCGGCCACACAGTCAACTTCTCCTCCTTCCTTCCTTACCGCATGCACCTCCTCACACGCAACGACATTGACGTCGTCAAAACCCACTCCAAACGCACTGAAACTCTCATGAAAACAGCTTTCACAATCACCGTCCAAGGCCTGAACATCAGCGCTGAAGACTTTGGCTACTGGTTCCGCACACACACAGGCCTTCTATTCAACCTTAAAGACGAGGGAATAGCCAGTTTCTATCTCGACCGCCGAGGCATCGACATCTCTCTCGATGTCGAAGTCGGCCGCGAGAGACTAGAGCATATCTTCTCCCTGCGTGGCGTCCGTGTTCGGATCCATAAACTCGACTACCAGGTCAAGAAAAGTAAATGGAGATTCCTCCTCTGGCTGACCAAGCCATTCTTGAAACATCTTGTTCGCCGCGTTCTGGAAAAGAAGATCGCCGAGGAAATAGTTGCTGCGGCATTCACGTTGAATCGCGAATTGGTCTTTGCTCGCGAGAGACTGCGTGCTACTCGCATTGCAAATCCACAGGACCTGGCTACTTTTGTCAGAGCTGTTCTGGCTCGCTTGAAGCCTGCTGATTCTGACGTCGAAGCAAGAATCGGGATCATGCCCTCGAAATATGGTGCTTTCCAGGATGTTTATGCCCCCGGCAGCATTGTTAAGACGTGGCGTGATGAAGCTACCCGCGCACAGGAGGTTATTGAAGAAGGTGATGAGACCCATGGTCTTGGCCATACCTGGCATAATGATATCTTTGATGTTGCTGGACATTAGCTGGTTGTTTTCGTTTGCCAAATGTTTGAAGCGTGTAATTTGCTAGTTTACTATTTTATGAATCTATGGGCAATGTGAGCAGTGATCTTTCATTCATCTCGCTACTTCTTCCCGCAAAATAGTACGTCTATCAACCGCTTCGCCCTGGCGATCTACAAACTGAACATGAACTAAGTTTCGTGGCCAATCACAAGCTGCAAACCATTTCAACACGCACGTGACAACGCACGTGACTGACTATAGGCCACCTAATGTCGATCCCAATGAGGCCGCGGAGCTCCATTCACTTCAACTTCATAATATACGGTTGGCGCAAACCTCCGTGACAGCAAGAAGATACCCCCATGTCGCCCAATTAGCCACAACGCCTTCCACCTCCCACAGCCCGCGAATCTCTCCAACTCAGATCGCAAGATCTACACACCACATAGTGAGGAGCCACTGCGCCCGCAGCTCCGACCAAGATGCAATTGCTACGGCTCATGATAGCAGTGGCCATTGTGCTCTTCTCTGTCGTCGTCATTGCCGCCGAAGACTATTACAAGGTTCTCGGTCTTGACAAATCAGCATCTGAACGAGATATCAAGCGCGCATACAGGACGTTAAGCAAGAAATACCACCCCGATAAGAACCCGTGAGTTGCTCCATTTTATCTCAGCCTTGTGTAAACCGCGGGAAGAGAAAAAAACGCAAAACAAATCCAACTAACATACCCAGTGGCGATGACAACGCCCGCGAAAAGTTCGTCACAATCGCAGACGCCTACGAAGTCCTATCCACCAGCAAACTGCGCAAAGTCTACGACCAATACGGCCATGATGGCGTCGAACAACACCGCAAAGGCGAAACAGCCGGCGGCAGCCACGACCCCTTCGATTTGTTCTCGCGTTTCTTCGGCGGCGGCGGCCACTCCGGCCATGCGCCTGGCCATCGACGTGGGCCTGATATGGAAGTTCGGGCTGCGCTGCCTCTACGCGACTTCTACAATGGCCGAGAGATCAATTTCTTGGTTGAGAAGCAGCAGATTTGTGATTCGTGTGAGGGCACTGGGTCTAAGGATCATCAGGTTGAGACTTGTGATCGGTGTAATGGACGGGGAGCTGTGATTCAGAAACATATGCTTGCGCCTGGAATGTTCCAGCAGGTGCAGATGCAGTGTGATAAGTGTCATGGGCAAGGGAAGCAGATTAAGAATCCGTGTCCTGTTTGCAGTGGGAGTCGGGTTGTCCGGAAGCAGGTTGAGACGAGTGCTGTTATTGAAGAGGGGATGGATGTGGGCACTCGATTGGTGTTTGAGAATGAGGCTGATGAGAGTCCGGACTGGATTGCCGGTGATTTGATTGTTATTCTTGATGAGAAGGAGCCAGAACTTGGGAGTGAGGATGACGAGAGGACGGATGGAACTTTCTTCCGAAGGAAGGGCAAGGATCTTTTCTGGAAAGAGAGTCTTTCACTTCGTGAGGCGTGGATGGGTGATTGGACTCGGAACATCACTCATCTCGATGGTCATATTGTTCATCTTGGACGTGGTCGTGGTCAGGTCGTACAGCCTTTGGCTGTTGAGACTGTCACTGGTGAGGGCATGCCTCATTACTCTGAGGGTCACTTGCATGATCATAATGAGAATGACGACCCTGGCAACCTGTACATCGAGTATACAGTTGTTCTGCCCGACCAGATGCAGAGTGGAATGGAGAAGGACTTCCACGCGCTCTGGGAGAAGTGGCGCAAGAAGATCGGAATTGACCTGGCGAAGGATTCTGGCCGTCCGGTCGTGACTCCGCCGGCGGAGGGCAAGGATGAACTGTGATACCTACTTCTGTTTTCGATCCCCTCTTTTTTTCTTTTTTTGTGGGCTCGGGATCGCTGTACATTTCATGTGTTAGTTTTGCCGGCGTGCATTGAGGCTATGGGACTGCATTAGATCAAACCCAGGCTCCTTCTCAGTCGAGTTGAATTTGCATACAATAGACATTTCCCACATTGGTCAGAGATAGTAGACAAAGCCGGGGACACATCCGATCCATGGATTGACTGGCAGACAAGCTCATTTGAGCCGCCTGCATGTCCAGGGACTCGCCTGAACCTTGTCATTGAGGCTCTTGTCAACGCACAGGCAACCAGCTACCGCTGGTGCCGCCACACTTTTACGTATGATCAAGCTCGAAAGGCGCCTCGGCTCTTACGGATCTAGAAGCCAAGGGCTACCCGCCATACGAAGTACCTCCAACACCTTTTTGTCGCAATGCATATCCACGTTCAAGAGGCTGGGCGCAGACAAAGAAAGATATGTACAACGCAGAGATCTTGGAGCCGATCTAACACGCTTGGTATTTTTGGCCTGCTAACAGGGGTACCGGACAGGGGTTCACGACAAGGATGTTAATACTTCAAAGGAAACTCGGTCAAAACACACGTATACATCTTGACCGATACTTCATCTTCGCCTGGGCAAAGACTGCCGGGTTTGGACATGACATTGGGACTGCCATGTACTTCGTACATCTTGACCGATATTTGGGTTTCACCTGGGCAAAAGATCCGGATAGTTTGGGCGCGGCATTGGGATTGCCAGGTACAAACGGGTCGGAACAGCTGTCATATCGGATGTGCTTTCATATCGGATGCAAGCTCTAGCTCGGCTTTATGGGCGTTTGAGGTCTCTTTTAGGATAGGCGATGATCGGATACCCCACTCTTTCTAGAGTTTTCCTTTTTGAGGTAGATCTTTGGGGGCAGATAATTAAGGATCGCTTTCTGAGATATACTAGGAAATTAAATCCATTGATGGCTCATTGGTACTCCACGTATGTATGACTTGTGATCAGCTTGAGTTTCATCAATATCGACTCAAGTCAATATTTACTTCGTATCAGATAATCCGAGTAAGTCCTCGGGATGAGTTGAAGCAACTAAACCTAGTCAGGAAATCCAATTGCACAAGCCGTAAGGAGTAATTATGCATCTCCTTAACCATAACCAGCTAAACCGTGGCAAAAGTTCGGCCGAGGGCCAATCAGCCCACATAGCTCCGGAAGAATTCATGACATTGATGCGAACATGCCACGGGCCTAGATGTCTGAATACCAGTCTAGATTACTGTTGAACCCACAAAGTGGCGCTGATCACGGTGTACTCCGTTTTCTGTTGTACATATGCCCAGGTGAACATGCTCGATCCACAGTTCTTTGGGGAAACCCACTATGTGTACTTTTGGCAAGGCGAGTGTAAGAGCCGAGGGGTAAGCCAATGTACGTCTTCCACGTTTGATCTCAGAGCATTGAGAAGCCGAAGCCCAGGCGCAAAGAAAGAAACAAAATCTGAATAGAAAATTGAATAAATTGAACGGATAAAACAAACCCGGATACGCCGATCCCAAAGACAGAACCGGAATGCCATGCACATGTGGGTAAGATACTGGCTGCAGGGTACCCTGTAACTACTCTGTACGAGTACTTCGTAGCAACGGCGGATTCGCGGGGGAGCACCAAAATAGACCCTTATGTACAGAGTATCTGGTTTATACGTCACAAACCTTGCAAGCATAGTAGGGAATATGGGGACATGATGCCGCAGGGTCAAACCTACTCGTAATGAACAGTGGAAGTGGAGCCCCTGAATCACGATAGCCCTACTAGACCAATATTGCGAGGAATCTCTTTCCGTAATCAGTAATACCCCGATCCTGGTGCAAACAGATCTGGATCGTCAACTGGTTGCGGTGTGGGTAATGATTTACCGATCTCGTAGTGCACCCTTAGAGTAGCCTGTACTTCGTACGGAGTAGAGTATTACTCGTACGAAGAAGCTCCAAGTGAAACACTTCTAGCGATTCAACTGGCTTTCTTCTAGATCAGAAAACTCTGCAAGATGAAATAGATTAGATTATGTGAGACTGATCTGCGGATCTTCCTAGATAAATCGCCGATACTATTGGATAAATAGTGGCTACTAGTTTGGCAATCTTAAAAAGGTCCGGAGCATTCAGAATTAGCCATTTCCGTGGCCAATGAGAATCTCATAATTTGACCAGGACCCCCGTGGGTTTCCGGATGATTCCTTAAGCTAACGAATCAACGGCTTGGTGGGTGGCCTTTTGGCGCGTAGAAGGCAAAAACGGCTGGATTTGACAGCGATCAGCGCACGTTGGCCTCACAACTTGCATGACTCCAGGACCCGCGGAATTTGCTTGCATCGGCACAGTTCGGTGTTTGGGCTTACATGTACGGAGTAAGCACCAGGGCATCACTAAGACTTGAGATCGGGCCAATGGTAGGGGACAATTGGATGTGGCTGTTCTCACATTTCACATTTCTTTATTTCGCTGACAATCTTGATAGGTAGATTGAGGTAGTTTTCTAACTTCAATTTAGTCTTTTATTCCTGGTTTTGTTACTAAGTAGGCCTTTCGTATGACTGATCCACTGGATTATTGCATAAATACATCATTTAGTCGATCCATGGATGGAAAATTGAACCCCAACGGCTCATAAGATCGGCGTAGACGTTGTACACAAGTGGAGTTGCCGTGCTTCATCCACTGAAATCCCAAAGAGGAAATCTAGGAAGATCAAGATGCTGATGCAGGCCTAGTCTGCCTTGACCAGACTACTCTGGGCTTCTGGCTTTAGCGCCTTCGCAGATACCGTTCTCCCCGCTTCGCTTCAAACTACTCGTATGCTCGCCTCGAGGTTCGTGATATCGGCGTGGGGTAGCGTTTGCTCCATTCGCTCGATCTTATAAACCTGCATTTGCGTCCGTTCATCTTATTTCTTCCAATTCAAATACCTTTCCATATCCGAGTTTCACCTCTCTTTGTTACAAACTCACAGCCCTAGTACATCTCGCGCAGACGTGATCTCTTTTCCCTCCAGGCTCTTTGTCGTTTCATTGCTCTTTCATACTGAACCATCTGCCTAAGGTTTCAATACCTAGGGCAAAAGCTGATATTCTTCCTACCATCCAATTGCCAACCAGAGGAACCATGCGTCCTCTATCGTTGGCAAGCGCAGTCGGTGGTGATGGAGTTGCATCTCCGGATGCCTTAGAGCCTATCGCCATTGTGGGTTTGGCGACCCGCTTCCCCCAGCAAGCCACAGGCACAGAACGCCTGTGGGAGATGCTGCTGCAAGCTCGCTCAACATGGTCCGCTATCCCCAAAGATCGATTCAACTCAGAGGCTTTCTACCACCCAGACCGCGAGCATGGAGGAACAGTAAGTCTTCTTTCTCCCAAAAAGATATCTTACCTGACCAGTTGAGAATGAAACTAACGGAAATCTCTCACATCAGTTCAGTGCCGAAGGAGGGCACTACCTCTCGGAGGATTCGGCGCTTTTCGATGGCTCTTTCTTCAACATCACTAAGAAGGAGCTCTACACATTAGACCCCCAACAACGACTCGTGCTGGAGAACGTCTACCATGCATTAGAGAATGCAGGAATGCCGATGGTCAATACTGTGGGCTCTAATACATCGGTGTTTGTCACAGGGTTTAATCACGACTATCTCAGGATTCTCGATGCAGACGCAGAGATTGCCCTCAAATACAGGCCCACCGGAACAACAAACTCACTACTGTCTAATCGAGTCAGCTGGTTCTTTGACTTCAAGGGTCCCAGTATGACTATTGATACAGCTTGCTCCAGCAGCCTGGTGGCTTTGCATCTGGCCGTACAGAGTCTGCGGAGTCGAGAGTCGAGTATGGTGGGTTTACGCTGTGTAGAGCGAGATGAACATAGAAGTTCTAACAGTGAAATAGGCGGTTGTCAGTGGCGTGAGCATTCTGGAGTGCCCTAATGAATTTATCGGAATGAGCTACACTGGCCTGCTAGGGCCCCAAGGTCGATCATTCAGCTTTGATTCTCGTGCCAATGGTTACGCGCGGGGCGAGGGAGTTGGTACCGTCGTCGCAAAACCCTTACACGCTGCCATCAGAGACGGAGATACTATTCGTGCAGTGATTCGCGAGACCGGTGTCAATCAAGATGGCCGGACTCCCGGAATCACCGTTCCCAGTGGCGATGCCCAAGAGCGTCTGATCCGTGAAGTTTACTGGAGAGCCGGGTTGGACCTTGAGCACACGAGGTTCGTTGAAGCACATGGCACAGGAACACGCAAAGGCGATCCTATTGAAGCTGGAGCCCTTGCGCGGGCATTTAAATGTCGTCGAGATACCCCGCTGTATGTTGGTGCCATCAAATCTTCCATCGGGCACCTGGAGGGTGGATCTGGAGTGGCAAGTCTCATCAAGTCCATTCTGATTCTTGAATCTGGAATCATCCCGGCAAATTATGACATGCAATCTGTCAATCCTTCCATCCCGGCGGAGGACTGGAATATTGCATTTCCCACTGAAAACACTCCGTGGCCATCATCGGGCTTGCGAAGAGTGTCGGTCAACTCGTTTGGAATCGGAGGCACCAATTCCCATTGTATCATTGATGACGCCTACCATTATCTCAATGATCGCCATCTCCCAGGTAGCCATTGCACTGTGATTACACCACCAACGGCCCAGAAAATCAAAAGTCGGCTTTTAGCCGCGACTCGGCTTGAAAGCAGCTCAATTGCTCACACTCAAGATCAATCGGAGGATAGTGACAACTCAGAAAATAGTGACCTGTTCGCGGGCACTCCTATAAGCGAGTGTAACTGCGAGTCACCGCAGTTCAGCCTGTCAACATGTACCGATTTGATTGACCAACCCAAGTTATTCTTGCTTTCGGCCTTTGACGAAGAGGGCGTCAAGAGGAATGCCTCCGCTCTGTCCCTGTATCTGGAAAAAAGAATGAACAGGACGTTTGTCAATGATCATATTCTTGATGATCTGTCCTTCACTTTGTTCAAGAAACGATCTGTCTTTCCTTGGAAGAGCTTCATCATGGCTTCTTCCGTCAAGGAGCTTGCGTGGAACCTATCTGAGAACAACTTCGTCAGACCTTCGAGGGTGACCAAACCCCCAGAATTGCACTTTGTGTTCACTGGACAAGGAGCTCAGTATCAAACGATGGGCCGCGAGCTCATGAGTTACTCCGTTTTCCAAGGCTCTGTGGAGGATGCATCTGACTACGTTCGTCGACTGGGTAGTCCATGGTCATTGATCGGTGAGCTCTGCTTTTTTTTTTTTCAAAACTGAAAATTAACATACTAACATCATATAGATGAGCTTTTGACCGAGAGGGAGTCTCCTCGAGTCAATTTACCAGAAATTGCTCAGCCACTATGTACGGTCTTGCAGATAGCTCTGGTGGATCTCTTGGCTAGCTGGAACATCTTCCCTACTCGTGTGACTGGACACTCGGCCGGTGAGATTGCAGCAGCATATTGCGCTGGTAAAATCTCCCGTGAGGCTGCCTGGAAAGCGGCATACTACCGCGGCTACACGTCATCCAAACAGCTCTCTGCCAATGGTACAATGATGGCCGTGGGACTAAACGCGTCGCAGATCGAGGGCTATATCAAGCTTGTGCAGGAGAGCCAAACTGGTGAACTCATCGTCGCTTGTCACAACAGCCCTCAAAACAACACAGTGTCAGGCGATGAAGCCCTGATTGACAGGCTCAAGGAAATGCTCGATGCCGATGAAGTTTTCGCCCGAAAGCTCAATGTCAAGAATGCTTATCACTCTGCTCACATGAAGGTAGTTGCTGGTGACTACCTCACTCTAATGGGGACACTCCCTGATGGAAAGCGACTGGTAGCTCCTCAAAAAGTGCGCATGTTCTCTACGGTCACCGGGGAAGAGGTCAACGAAGACCACTTGGTCTCTCAATACTGGGTCGATAACATGGTGTCTCCAGTCCGTTTTACAAGCAGTTTAAGCTCGATGATTCCCAGATCAAGCCCGGTTTCTGGGGAGTCTGACTCCGAGTCCTTACATCTCATTGTGGAAATCGGACCTCATTCCACTTTGCAGAGTGTGATCAAAGAGACACTCACAGCCAGAGATCCAAATTTAAATTTCAAATACTTTGCAGTTCTGAAGCGGACGGAGCGAAATCTCAACACGCTACTTAGTACTGCTGGATCTCTGGCCTTGAGTGGTCTCACCTTGGATTTCCATCTCGTGAACCGAGCCACCGATTCTGGGAAGCGAAGGCGATCAAAGCTCTTAGTTGACCTGCCATCGTACAGCTTCAAACATACGGAGAAGATTCTTTATGAGGGTCGGTTGAGCAAGAATCTTCGAGCTCGGAAGTATGCTCGTCATGACTTGTTCGGTGCTCCCATCACGGATTGGAATCCCACAGCTCCCAGATGGAGACATTTCTTCAGACTGCATGAGAATCCTTGGCTGCGAGACCATATGGTATGTATTATATGAATGCTGATTGAAGTTCGGAACTCAAATCGTTAACATATTCCAGGTAACTGGAAACTGCATCTACCCAGGTGTAGGATATTTGATCATGGCAATCGAAGCATCCAGACAATTGGCCGGCGATGCTAATGTTGCTGGCTTTCAGTTACGCCGAGTTCACATCAAAAGAGCAATGATCATACCGGACACCAAAGAAGGAATCGAGGTTTCGCTGTCAATGTCCACCGTGGAAGACGCATCGTCTGAGTCGAGGACATGGCGGCGATTCCAGATCACCTCTTACAATGTCTCGAGTGAAGAGTGGACAGAACATTGTGTTGGTCACATCACAACTGACTACAAGAACGCTTCGGATCCTGTAGACAATGGCCGTGAAACAGATGAAGAGATCCAATCATGGAAAGCCAACCTCACTGCTGCGGAACAAACTTGCACCAAAGCCATCAATTTCAAAAACACATACAATGATCTTCAAACATCTGGTCTCAACTTTGGTGATTTGTTCCGAAATCTCGATGATGTCCGAGCTACTGGTGTTGGACTTGGAAAGATGGTTGGATCAGTGACTGTCCCCAATATCCAAGCGTCCATGCCAAAGCAGTTCATTCATTCTCACCTAATCCACCCTGCAACAATGGACAGCATGATCCATATGATGATTGCAGCTCTTCTTGACTTGACTGGGCAAACCACGCTCGACCGAGTTCGATTGCCGACTTTCATTCGTGATGTTTGGATTTCAGCAGAATTGACTTCGACTCCTTCGCAGAGGTTTACCGGATATGCCTCTGTGCGTCACTCTCAGTCCGACAAATGTGAAGGCCAGATTCGAATGCTGGAAGAAGGCTCCAACGCCCATATTCGCATGGATGGCATCGAGCTCACTCCGTTGGAGTCGGGTCTTGCTGAGAACAATGAGAGGAAGGTGTGCACTACGATTGAATACAGGCCTGATATCCATTTCCTGGAGTCGGATGCTGCCCGTGAATTGACTTCTCTAGCAGTGACTGATGATGGTGAGGACCTTTACTGGGTGAAACGTCTCCAGTTAGTGACCATGCTCTATGTCACCGATGCGCTGGCTGCATGCAAAGGTATCAATGTACAAGGCCTTGATCTGCATCTGCAGCGGTACTTTGACTGGATGAAGCATCAGAATGAGAAATTGATCCGAGATGATATCATCCATCTACCCTACCACGAATTCCAAGCAGTTGCTCAAGATGAGGCCTTGAAAGAATCTATCAGCCAAGAAGTTGAGTCTCACAATGCTGAAGGCGCAATCACTGTACGGATGGGCAGAAATATATCTCAGGTCCTCAAAGGCCAAATCGATCCCTTGGATCTCATGTTCGGTCAGGACTCCGTGATGGAACAGGTCTACAAAGAAGGCCTTGATATCTTCAATCTTCCACAGCATCTGCGAACTCACCTGTCTCTCCTCTGCCATCAACGCTCTGAGCTGAACATCCTCGAAATCGGCGGTGGCACTGGTAGCCTGACTGCTGAAGTTCTGGGTATTCTCTCCCCAGACCCATCAAATGGCAAAGGAAACATTGCAAACTACACATTCACCGACATCTCATCTGGATTCTTCGAGAAAGCCAAACAGCGGTTCCAGTCATGGTCGGATATCATGACTTTCCAGCCACTCAACATAGAACACAGTCCCTCTGAGCAGGGGCTTGAACTGGGAAAATATGATCTGATATTCGCTGGAAATGTCATTCATGCCACGAAGGATCTGCAAGATGCATTGCGGAACTTGAGATCTTTGCTCAAGCCGGGTGGCCAGCTCATTATGCAAGAGGGTATTCGGCAGGATTTCCTTTGGTACCCGGTTGTTTTCGGTCCGCTACCTGGCTGGTGGCTGGGTGATGAGCCGTGTCGCCAATGGTGTCCGTACATCAAGACCGAGGAGTGGAACGAGTACTTAAAAAAAGTGGGTTTCTCGGGTGTGGACATTGAATATCCCAGTTCAGACAACCCGGATCTGACTTGGCAGAGTATTCTGGTCGCTTCGAACCCTGCAGCTCCTCGAGAAGAGCCAGTGACATGTGCATTGATCGTGACGACTCTATCCACCGACGAGTTTGCTTTGTCCCTCCAAGGATCTCTGAAGAAGGCGGGATACAATCGTGTTGACATCGTTTCCCCCTCGGAACTTGATGGGGTCGTGTTTTCAAATGCTCTTTGCGTATCTCTCGTCGATTTGGAATGCAATTACCTCAATGAGATGAATGAAGCTCAATACAACAATCTCAAAAAGTTGTTGAATGAGCCTGAGAGCCTGCTTTGGGTAACTGAAGATCCTGCAACCAATGCGCATTCAAACATGAGTATGGGTCTGCTTCGCACAGTGCGTTGGGAACGAGACTCAGATGGCTCTAATATCGTCACCTTGACTGTGCCACAGAGGAATCAAATCGAGTTGGATCAAGCATCACTTGTTGATGACATCCTCAAGATCGTCAAGCATCAATTCTTGAACGAATCGAAAGCTGATCGGCATGCCGAGTATCTTTTGTGAGACGGTGTCATACATGTTGGCCGCCTGAATGACTCAAATGCTGCTGATCAGTTCCTCGGCTCACGGTCCTCGAAGCTATACCCCACGCTTCAACGGTTCGATGAAATTGCCTACCCCATTGAGCTACATAAAATTGCAGCTGGGGGTGACGGGTATCACTGGGTTGCAGACCCCCAGCATCAAATGCCATTGGCAGAAGATGAAGTTGAGATCGAGGTCCGCGCAGTGGGTTTAATCTCAGATGCTGCGGGCAACTATTTCTCTACCGAAGCTGCTGGAGTGGTCACGAAGATTGGGCCCAAAATTGAAAATACGCTTCTCGGCGACAGGGTTGCTTTCATCTCTTCTCCTTCAAAGGGGGCTCGCTGCCGGACACACGAGCGAGTGAGTCACTCCCTGATTGCGAAAGTCCCGGATGGTATATCGTTTGAAGTTGCTGCACAGCTAGCTTCGGTGTTTGCTACATCTGTTCATGGACTCGTCCATTGTGCCGCGCTGTCTGCAGGGGATACTATCTTGATTCACAATGGTACATCAGCCATCAGCCAGGCGGCAATTCAATGTGCCTACTTATCTGGGGCCATTATCTACACGACTGTTGGGACTGCCGAAGATCGAGACTTTGTGATCTCCAACTACAAAATCCCCGAGCAACATATCTTCTCGAGCAGAGATCTTGCATTTGCCAAGGGGATTCTGCGATGTACAAAAGGCACTGGAGTTGACGTGATCTTCAACACAATGACCGGCGAGGCTCTTCGAGAGACCATTACTTGTCTTGCTCCTCATGGAACATTGATCGATGTCTCAACCAGGGATGCACGAACTGACACCGCAACTGATCTAGCCCCCCTGTCACAAAATGCCAGCATTCACAAAATCGACATGTTGTTAATGACCGAGTCTCGTCCGAAAATGGTTCGCAATCGACTGGAAACAGTCTTCAAAATGTACTCCGAGGGGGAGATCAATCAGATTCAGAAATCTGCTGTCATGAGCTTTTCCCAGATCAAGGAAGGAATCCAGGATATTCAGAACGGAAGATTGGCGAAGGTTGTTCTCGTTCCTAACCCTTCTGATCTGATCTCTGTTGTTCCAAAGCCGACTACGCCGTACCAATTCGACTCCAATGCCACGTATGTTCTTGCTGGTGGCTATGGGGGTCTAGGTCGTAGTCTTGCAAGATGGATGGCATCCCGAGGTGCAAAGAACTTGATCATGCTGTCGCGCTCATCGGCTTCAAGCCCTGAGAAACGGCAAATGGCTGCTGATCTTGAGAAATCAGGATGCAGGATCATCGATCATGTCTGTGACATTTCAGACATTTCTACCTTACAGGCATTATCTGGTGAACAATTCTCACATCTGCCACCTATCAAAGGATGTATCCAAGCATCTATGGTTCTAAAGGTATGTTTTACAGCCCCGTGAAAGATGAAAGCACTCACTAACAACATATATATAGGACGGCCTCTTCGCCGGAATGTCCTTCGATGACTGGCAAATTGCCATAAGACCCAAAGTCCAAGGCTCCTGGAACCTCCACACCGTCCTACCAGACAACATGGACTTCTTCCTCATGCTTTCATCCGTAGCAGGCATCCTCGGAAACCGCGGCCAAGCCAACTACGCAGCCGGAAATACCTTCCAAGACGCCCTAGCAGCCTACCGAGTCAACCAAGGGCTCAAAGGCTCAAGCATCAACCTCGGCAGTGTCTCGAATGTCGGCTGGGTCGCAGAAAACAGGAACTCCATGCGCACGCATACAGCTACATTATTCGAGATGCTTCGCGAAGACGAAGTCCACGCCGCCATTGAATTCCTCATTGATCCGCACAATCATCCATCGCACCAGCTCGTTCTGGGTCTTCCGACTGCGGAAATTTGTCGGCAGAATGGGGTTCCTTCGCCTACCTTCTTGGAGTATTCGATGTTTGAGCATTTGCGGAATACAACCGCGGCTAGGAGTAGTGTTGTTGAGGTGATGACTGTTAGTACGGCTGCTCTGTTGGCGGCTGCTGAGGGTGATGCGGTGATGGTTGTTTCGAATGGGATAGTTGAGAAGTTGTCTTCGTTGCTTGCTATGCCGGTTTCGGAAATTGATGTTCTGCGTTTTGGGTTTGGGGGTATTGATTCTCTTGTTGCGATGGAGTTCCGGTACTGGATTGTTAAGGAGCTTAAAGCTGATGTTTCTTTGTTAGACATCATTGGGTCGGAGAATATTAAGGCGCTGAGTGGGAAGATTGTTGAGAGGAGTCGTTTGGTTTCTGGATCTGCCTGAGATGATTGTTTTGGAGCTGTCTGAGCTGTGTTGTTCTGATTCTTTAGACTCCTTACGAACGATGATGTTGCGTTACCATTGATCTTCACTTTGCCAGAGGGACTCGAAATGGTTGGGATGTATTCCAACCAACTGCGCTTAAGATATTCCATTGTCTAACATATCGCTAAAACTACCACACTAGAGTAACTGAGCAAACCTCAGAGCCCTAAAAAATTCAGAGCTCTAAAAAAGCAGGTCATAATTCATCAAATTCATAGCCAAAGGACATCCACTACCGAGACTGCGGCATATACCCATGCAAACTCTGACCAGGCATACACAGAGCCAGCTTAGGCTCCGCGCCCAACCGATCATGTCGCCACGCCCTCTCCCGGAGAGCCAAGTAGACAGAACGGAACGGCTGGAGGTCACCAGGTAACCGGGCGGGCGGGGCTTGAGGATCGAATCCTAGGTCCTGGAGCTGTGCCTCGCACCAGCGCATTGTGTCTGGGGGAAGATACTCATCTGTGTCGTAGGCGGTGTGAGTTTGTTGCATGGCTTGGACGGTGGGTGTGTCGACGGGGAGGCCGAAATTTTCTACGCCCTTTGGGGGGTGGTGGAAGTTCATGAAGGGTTTGCCTGGGGCGCGCTCTGGGTGGTTTGCTTGTTTGCGGATGTTGTGCATGTTCCATGTTTGGACATAGGATTGGATGTGGCTTCGGAGAATGGGCATGTAGATAGCGAAGAGGGCCACTTGTTCTGGAACTACGGTTGATGAGAAGAGTCCTTCGCTGTGTAGTTGGCGGAAGTAGTTCTGGATCTGAGTATTAGTGGGGCCGGGCTTGGGAATATACATTTGGGTCTTACTTACGTGGTAGAGAGTTACTACTGATTTGGCAAGTTGGGCCCACCAGGATTCAATGCGGTGCGTATCGTGGGCTCGTCCCGGCGCGCAGCATTGATCACGCTGGACGTTTGGCTCGGTTGCACGACGGAGCGTGAAGTGCGCGTCGGCTAGAAGGGGAACTTCGGATTCCAGGTCAGATCGGAGAGTTCGCGGTTGGCGGGCTTTGGCAGTAACCGATTCGAGATGGTGCTTGAGCACCCCCGTTGCTGTGTGAGCGTCGACACCGACATTGATCCAGAGAACAAATCGTGAAAAGGAGTCGATCTCGGCGTGAATACGGAAGCCGAAGTTGGCCAGCTTAGTATACCCGTTGACATGCCAGGTTAGATTGGGGCCGGCCAGAATCTTAGGCGGGGGAGGACGGCGCTGGAAGTCGCTCGTGCGGCGCTCCACGTTATCAGGGCGCAACATGCGGTAGACATTGTACAGACGGTCACGGGCGAAAACATAGCCCTTGCTACGGAAGTGGTTGTGCAAGAGCTCCTTGCCATATCCCTCAATAGTGCCTTTGTCCAATTCCTCGGTCAGTGCATCGAGAATTTCTTGGACCTGTGCCTGCTGCTGCGCAGGTGAATCAAGTCGAAGGCGAATTCCCAGTTGGTGGCGGAGTCTTCGTAGGGTCCGCTGAGAGACTTCGTATCCTTCGTCATGTAGAACTGTGATGATCTCTTGGTCCGAAAGACCCACCTCAAAAAAGAGATGTTTGATGCGAGCATGGAGCACCTGATTGGACGTATTGTTTTCTTTCTTCTCTTTCACTCCCCAACGCTGCAGGCGTTTAGTCATCGTCCTTGAAGAGATCTGAATGTCATGCTGTGCTTTCAGGTGTTTGCAGATGTCCGCGCTCGACATTTTGTTCTCAAACAAGCCAATGATCTCAGCCTTCTGCGCCTCTAAATCCACCCGAGGGCGACCGGAGGCTCTCGCCGCTGCATCCGCAGGTGATTCTTCCATATCACACGGTTCACTGGATGTTGATCCAGAATAAGTTCCGCGAGGTACCAACTGTCGACGGTAGGTTGGGAAAGAGGCGGTGGGTCGGGATGCGGCAGAACCCCCACCGCCCTGATAGCCCAAATTTTTTGTTATCGCAGCAGACGTTTGGAAAGGTCAAGACACCTCTGTATTCCACCCTGCCAAAATGGTTCGTGAACTCAAGCACCACGAGAAGAAGTACGTGACCCGATTGAAACTATTATGCACATCCAGAAATTAATCCCCTACCCAGACTTCTCCGGAAGGTCGACTTCCACAACTACAAATCCGATGGCAGCCACCGCGAACACCAGATCCGCCAACGGTACCTCCTCCAAGATCCAATGGACTACAAGAAATACAACTCGCTCTGCGGATCCCTGCGCCAGCTCGCCCACAAGCTCTCCCAGCTCGACCCGGAATCCGACCCACTGCGCAAGAAACTCGAATCCGAGCTCCTGGACAAATTGTGGCGCATGGGCATCCTGAAGCAGTCCCGTGAGCAGGGCGCAGGTCTATCCAAGGTCGAGCGCGAAGTCACCGTTTCCGCCATGTGTCGGCGCAGACTGGCTGTGTTCATGGTTCGCTCTGGCATGGTCGAGACTATCAAGGCTGTAAGTTATTTGCATCTCTGGATTTGGGCAATGCTGATGATTTGCAGTCCACTACTTTCATTGAGCAGGGTCATGTCCGTGTTGGTACAGAGGTCGTGAATGATCCTGCTTTCTTGGTTTCTCGTAACATGGAGGATTTCGTTACCTGGGTCGATTCTAGCAAGATCAAGCGCAACATTCTGCGCTACCGTGATAAGTTGGATGACTTTGATCTTCTGTGAACGATTACCATGGGGAGGGAATGAAAAACAAAAAAGCATTTTGGGTTTCTGTCTTTGATATACCCGGCGCTTGTGCATTGTGGCCTATTTCAGGTTTGGCGTTCTGATGGTTTATGAATTTTATCGATTATATGCACTCTGTGGTTGATTCAATACATAGGGGACCTTCGAATGCAATTGTCAATTATCAGCTCTTACATTTCACGTTCTTCGCCTGGGCAGGCTGGGCTGTTAACTACTAAACACATCCAGATACTATAGAGTATACCTACTCAAGCCATCGGGACTATGCGAAAATATACATGAATAGCGACAATTATGCCGAATATGTACCAGAGAAAAGTATGTACAGCATACTCGAAGGAGAGGGTATATCAGTCTGAAGCCAGACAAAAAGCAACGAGTGCAAAAAAAGGTGAGGGAGGTCACCGCTCACAGAACGACCGAATGCAAAATGCAAATTCGTCAGGAGGTCATGGTATCATAGGAGGAAAAGCCAAAGCAGCACTGCTGCTGGGCTAAAAGAGAGTTCACTGAAGAGGAGAAGTCTTACTCCGAAGCAGGGTCCATCTTCTGGACAGTCGCTTCTCGCAGGGTTCAGGGAGATCCATTCTGAATCGACGGACACTCCCTTCCCGCTCGGGTTTACCTTCTTCGAAGAAGGGGGTTCGAGCATCCCGCGTTTGGAAACAGCGGGGGGCGACTCGGCGCCAGAATCCTCGCATTCCACTACTTGCTCGGTCGATTTTCTCGTACTCTCGTCGTCGGGTGTCGTCTGATGTCCATTCCATTACTGTCGCCGGGACGTGGATGGATGAAGTTGAGGGACTGATTGTTGGCATTGTATGTGTTGGCATTGTGTTTGAGCGACCTCGATTTGTGAGGAAGTGCGGTACTGCTCCTATTGGGGAGTCTGGCTCTGAGCGGAAACTCGAGCGTGAAGAGACGATTGGTGAAGGGGGTGCGGAGCTGCCTTTATCTGTTGAAGGTCGGCCTGAGTGCATGTATTTTGTGGATGATGCTCGATGGAGCTGGGGACGCTCTGGCTCGACATCTTGGAAGAGGCGACATGATTCCCGGTGGAGGGCGATTAGGGACTCGCGCCTTTCGTGTGGGGGGATGCGGGATGATGGGACTGGCACGATGGCTCCGTTGGGTACACTCCGGCGTGCAGAGTGGAGGGAGCTGCGGCGGCTATTGGGACGTGAAGCAGTGCTGCGTGATGCTGAGCGAGAGTGGGTTATAGATGCTGTCGAGGGCTGAGAGCTGCGTCGTGATTTAGGGGACTTGGTTTTTGGTGATATCGGTAAGGTTGGTGATATAGGTGATGTAGGTGATATAGATATAGGATCGATGCGTTTGACCTCCATGTCTGACGGTTCACATCGGACGAGGGGTGCTTTTGTAGTGAGCGTCAAGGGCTGTAGAGCCAGACATGTGACGGACGCCATCTGTTCACCTGGAAGAGGCAGGTGGTCGAATTATAAAAGTAGAAATAGAAGTATGAAGCAGAGTATCCCGGAGTATATCCAGGCCTAGGGATAATCCTCCATCCTGACTTCAGGAACAAGAGAACAAAAGGAACCCAGGAGAGAGAATATAGTACTAATATAACAATCTCCAGACATCCAGGCTATTTCTACTTTTTTTTATCGTCCACACACCGCTCCTCATCTATTTTAGCGGGGTTCGGCGTCTAGAGCTGGGATCGCCATTTGGGCCCCTGCATTCGTCAGGGGTTTGTATGCGACCTTATTGACTATTATTGCTTACTCCGGACTCCGTGCAGCAGATGGCCAGTTCATCTGCGTGAAATACATACAAGAATCCAGAAATCCAGGAATATCAGCATACCAGAACGCACATGCAAAACAGAACCTCGTCACTTGGACAGTCCACATGGTCAACAGCAAGGTTTGGCCGATCATCACTGGTTGGAGTCGAGACTAGTATCATACAATGCAACAGAAACTTTTCATGGCGGCTATGGAGGGCGGGTTCGGAGTGCGAGTATTGTTAGACCCTAAACGCTGCACTAACAGACCCTAATCCGTTAGTGCGTTGGGACACCGCTCAACGATCTACGCATTCTGATGATGTCGATGTCTCAGTTCCAAGATTGAAGGATCTGACTACAAGTAGATTCCTTGAAAAAAGAATTCACTAGTACAAAATATACTACCCAAGTACAAGTACTTAAGTAAGTACTCGATCAAAGTGAATACAAAAATTCGGGGTTCTCCCGATCCGTCAGATCAAGCCACCTGCATATGTTAGCCAAGCCGTTACGGAGTAGTTCTTGCAGACCTGAAGTTAGACTCACTCTTGATTCTCCAGCCGCACATATTCCGGTCGAGCAGTGTACAGCAGTTTCTTCTGATTCTCCCGGCGATACCACAGCCACACCCCAACCAGTAAAAACAGACACACCCCCCAGCAGACAATGATAGTCACTTCGGCGGGGACGTAGCGGGGGGCGTCTTCCGGGCGGAATGTCTGTGGACCTGTTAAAACGTCAGTGCGCACGTTCTAGTTCTCTTCTCGGCTCACTCACCGATAATGTTCCCGGCACAGTATCCTATTAAATAGAGCGCCGCCACAGTCGTTTTCTTCGTGTATCCAGCCACATTGGACGAGATTAAGGAGAGCAGCGCGACAAAGGGGGTCGGACTCGCTTGCGTCAGGTAGTATCCTATCAACCGACCGACATTATTGCCCAGCGGTAGCGCAACAATAAGTAACATCCCCACAATGGAGGCCACAAGCCCGCCGAGACTCGTGAGGACCCGCTGGTTCGTGATATGTCCAATATACCCGTTCAGCAGGAGGGCGACTACCTCGACTGCACCACCTGGCACGCCAAGGATGAGACTCTGCTCCTCACTGTAGCCGAATCCCTTGATCTGCATTTCGTCAGTACTCGGTCTCGAATCTTAGACATCGGGATCTCGGGATCTGGCAGTATACTCCGTACCAATTGACTGAAGAAATTGCTAATACCCCCATTAGGGATATCCGCAATAATAGCATAGAAAAAGAACGCCCACGTCATAGGATCCAACAGAGCCTCTTTGACTTGGTATAGTTTGAAATGCTTATTTCCAATTCCCTGCTGGTTAACGCGGACTCGCGCAATGGCCAGCACTCGATCTTCCTTCTTCAGCCATCGCGCATTCAGCTGGTTATCTGGGACAATCCAGAGGAAAACCACGCCTAGACACACTGTCAATAAGCCCGTGAATAGGAAGACGATCTTCCAGGGCTCAATGGACGAGCCGTGCTTGGCGGTCCCGACGGCGATTCCGTATGCGACTACACCGCCGAGCATCTGGCCTACGCCATTGAAGCTGAACCAGATGTTGACGCGGATGCCTTGCTCGTATTTCGTGTACCACTGTTTCTGGTGTAAGCGGGGATGACTCAAGACCAGGCTATACCTCGGGATGTGTTGACTTACCTGGGAAGTTAAAAGGGCAAAGCCAGGCGTAACGGCTGCTTCGAATACACCGAGCATGAAGCGGATGGCGATGGCGCCGGGGTAATTGCTCACGGCGGCAAAGCAGCAAAGAATGGCTCCCCAGATAAGAATACATGCTGCCGAGTACTTTCCCAGTGGGAGACGTTGGAGTAGACGATTGGTTGGGTATTCCCAAGCCAGATATCCTGGAATCCATCGACGTTAGAGTGTTTCTAGAGAACCCCGGAGTGGGCTGGCAGCACTTACCGAAATAGAACAAACTGCCTAGCCATTGGTACTGATCACCCTCGAGGTTGAGGTCATCTTTGATTCCCATGACGCTGGCGTAGGATAATGTTGTCTCTGCGGGTGGATTAGATGTACTTCCAAAGTTGGCAGGAGCGAGAGAACCGCACTATCTAAATAATTCATTCCATAGATGAAGCACATAATTGGCATCATATGCCAGTCGATGATGCGGAGTAGACGGCGGTTAGTTGCCTCGTCCAGCTCGATGGTTTCGCCGTGCATTTCGTCGATGGCCTTCATGGCCTCGTCGGCGTCGTGGGCGTGCTTCTCCATAGTCGGGTCGACATGTTTGCTCTTCTCGATGTCTGTGGTGTCCACAGCTGTGGAGAAGCCCGTAGAGTTCATGATCAGAGGTTGTCTAAGCCTGAATTACAGACCCGGCTTTGAAATAACTTTAGAACATGCATGGCTACACGGAGGCGATAGCCTCTTATAAACGGGCTATATTGGGATAGTAATGCGGGGAGAGATAACCTGCCTACCAAGTAGGTGGTATAGTCCAGTCTGTACTCCAGTCTCGATAAAGAATCTGGGGAGAGGCATGATTGGCCGGACGGAGAGGGGGTGGGAGGATCGGCGGAGATAGCTGAGGCATTGCTTGTACAGTGCATGTTTTACATGATTTCCGGGTGCTGGGGCTCCTGTGCATGGTCATGTGTGCTCTGATGTGTTCCTCTAGGGCTGGAATATTACGTTTTTCACGGAGTCTCCGGATACTTTAGTATAAAATAGAAGCGAATATGCCCCGAAGGAGGGAGTAGCACGGAGTACAAATTACGACCTTCGGAGCCAGATCTGGTTCCCTATCGGACCAAAGTACGTATCAGATAACTGGCCACCCTAAGCACTTACCTAGTACCTCCCGAGGTCGGTACTTGAATACAGATACGGAGTATTCAAATGTTTGTTAAAGAAGGTCTTATCAGATTATGCAGCAAAGTAAGAAAAAGTACCTACCTAGGTAATGAGATTGTCCCGCGTCTCTAATCTCTCCAATTCTCGGAGCGGGGTGCACCCGTCAATCCTCTACATCGCATGAACATAGGACGAATCCTCGAGATGGAAAACGCTCAGGTTTCCGACGAGAATCGAGTCCTTGGTGATTGCGGATGAGGCTGTATCCACATACTACACCAATAAAGATAAACGCCATAATCAATGCTCTACCTGTATACATCTTACGGAGCACTCCGTCCACACCACACAGCTCAACCCCCTTGCATATACCCTTACAGAAACCGGTAAATACTTACAGACCCATGCCATACTCGTATAGTCTAACGTCAATTCATTATGCAAACATTCTATCACGCAACACGGGCCAGGTAAGCCTCCCACCCCTGCTGTTGGTACTGCTTCGCAGCCTCAACCGGATCCGCCGCAGCATAAATACCACGACCAGAGATAATGAAATCCGCTCCCCGTCCAACAGCCGACTGGGGAGTCTGGTACTGCTGGCCGAGCTTATCGCCCTTCGACGATAAATTCACACCAGTAGTGAAGACAACGAAGTCCTCACCCTGCGCAGGCGCAACGCTAGCCTCTACCTCGCCCAGCGAGCGGGTCGATACAAAGCCCAGGACGAAACTGGGGTATTTGCGGGCGATGTCGACAGAGGCAGAGGTGTAGGGTCCTGTAGCGAGGGAGCCCTTCGATGTCATTTCGGCGAGGATGAGGAGGCCGCGCTCGCTGCCGTATGGGAAGGATGGGCCTTGAGCTGTTTGGGCTAGGGCTTCGACGATGCCTTCGCCGGGGAGGATGGAGCAGTTGATAATGTGGGCCCATTCGGAGATGCGCAGGGTGCCTTGGTGGTATTGCTTTTGGACAGTGTTGCCAATGTCGATGAATTTGCGGTCTTCGAAGATAAGGAAGTTGTGCTTTGCTGCTAGGGCGTTTAGGCCGTCGATTGTTGCTTGGCTGAAGTCAGAGAGGATGTCGATGTGGGTTTTGATCACCGCAATGTAGGGGCCCAGTTCTGCGGGGGTTAGTTATGAGTTATCCTCTGGGCTTGCCTGCTTTGGCTTACGGTCCGCGAGTTCGAGGAGCTCCTTGGTGGTGGTGACGTCCGCGGATACGGTTACGTTGCTCTTCTTCTCTTCGGCGACCTGGAAGAGCTTGCGCGCCAGTGGGTTGGGGTGGGATTGGGCGCGGGCGCCATAGGTCTGCTGCGACTTGGAGGACATCTTGGCTATAGTGACAAGGAGAGTTGGAGGAGAAAAGAGAGTAAACGGGAAGTTTTTTTTTCTGCCGCGGGGCACCCCCGGAAACTGAAGTGGGGAATGCCATACATCAGATGTGCATGTATAGTATGCATGTGTATGGGATGAGAGTACATTGAAGAATTACAATACAAATTAATTAATAAGACTGCGTCCAACACCAAAAACACTCAATCCCCAAAGTGCACCTTGAACCAGCCAGAAGAAACCACCGATCATACGGCCCTTGCCCTGCGCCTTACCCGAGTAGACGTAACCATAGAGGAACAGCACGCGGAAGAACACCCACAAGGCGCCCAGACCAGCCGCATACTCGGGGTACTTCAGGCCCGCCACCAGGGTGAAAAGCATAGTCTGCGATGAGTTCTCAAGGAAGTTGGAGTGGGCGCGCTGGGCGCAGTTGAACTGTTCCGCCTTGGCCTGGAGAAGTGAGCATTTCATTCTTGAAATATGATGTCGATACATACATTTTCCTTGGCCAGCTCCATTGAAGCATAGCTGTTGGGGTAGGGCACCTTGGCTTGCTTACGCAGACTGCCAGTGACCATGCCGTGGACGAATCCCAGGACGGGGATGGCGCCAAGCGCCACACCAATGACGGCGCTGGGAGGTGTGAGCGGGGGATCTCCAGGAGAGGATCATATGGAGTAACTTACCCGTAGTTGCTAGGGATGATGAATGCGACCATTGTGTAGTTGAGAATAGAAGTGATGCGAGATGGTGGCTTGATGTTGTGAACCGCCTTATAAGTGAAGGGATCGGCGGCTCGGGGACGTCCAGCCCCGAGTTCCCGTCGGGGGAACTCATTGCCCCGGCGCTTTGGTCCGGGCGAGCCTTATGTTCCGCGAGCCTTATGTTCCGTAAACTCCGCAAACTCCTATGCTCTGCTACATCTCGTGTTTGATTAAATACAACTATCATAGTAGATTGAAGTATGTACCACATGGAGATATCTACGCCGGCGCATTCGGCGTCATGCGACTGACACTGCCATACTTGGCCTGCCAGGCAAAGAAGTACAGAAGAGCCCCAAGTGGCTGGCCAACAAGACAGAAACTAACCCAGAAGATGCAATTGCCTATCACCTTACCGGACGGCCCACGCATCTTTTCCAATGGCGTCGTGAGTGCAATCAAGGGCAGCTGGAACATCATACCGAAGAAGGCAACACCTGCCACACAATTAGCAACGCAAGGGGGAATGAAAGCGGCGTGGACATACCAATGAAATTGTGCGTGGGGATTCCAACCAGCATTTCATGAAGAATAGCAGACAGCGTGAAAACCATGCCACTCGCAGCCAAAGGACTCCAGCCACGACCAACCAGCGGCGAGAACACGTGGCGCTTCATGAACAGATACACAGGGCGATTCCACGTTCGCCAATACGCACCCAAACTCGAACTGTTCCACCAGTCAAGATAAAACTCTCGGTCTCCAAACTGCATCACCTCGGCCAAGGCGTTCAACAGCGCCTGGAATAGCGCAAAGAATCCGGCCAACCAGATGATAAGTGAAATGGTGGAGAGTTTCATGACTCGCTCGAGGATTGACGCAATGTCCATCACTGCAATCTTCTCCAGAGAATTGCGGAGCACCGGCGTCGCGTACTGCGCAGACAGGAGCCAGATGAACATCGCAAGACTTACGAACTCGGCCAGACGCTTGGCAACAAATGGCCAGCGAATAGATGGTGTACGCGGGTATACAGGCTGGTAGACCAGGGTCGGGGCCAGCCAGAAGTATCCCAAGTTCTTGATAGTGATGTTCCTCGGGTATGGGCACGAGGCGTAGATTTCCGGCAAGCCCGGGTCCGCAGAGGGATTCAGCATCGCGAGACGCAGATCTCGGTTTGTGAAGGCATAAGAGCAGTTCTTCAGCCACACTATGATGGCGTGGAGCTGACAGATTGTGCCAATGCCTGGGTGGTGGATGTAGAACCAGACCACAAAGCTGGTCACTGCGAGACAGAGGGTTGCGTTCAGCGTATGTAGGAACGCGGTCAGCGGCCAAGTAGATTGGAACACCTTCTGATCACGCTCTTCTTCTTCCTCTGTCTTCTTCTGGCGGCCGACGGTTCTCTTGGCAGCTGTGGCTGCCGAGAGCTCGATGATGTATGCAACCAGTAGATGACATGGCACCGAGGCAAACAGTATCGATCCCAGGACCAGGTCCTGTCTACGATAGTCGTGACATTTGATACAGATCAAGACGCCATACTATTCACCAAACATCGGTTAGCTTTGGATAATAATTGCGTCGCGCAACAACCCACTTTCATGAAGTTCTCAATTATCAGTCGCAGGTTCATCACCACTGGTGAAACATTAGCCCATGTCGTACACTGAGGGTTCCCGGTCAATCTTACCAAGCACCAACACCATCAGATTTCGGAATCCCAGGAAGTTAGGTAGCACATCCGCTTCCCGACTGAGGCTTGAGTGCTGCGACTTGGAGTGGTACGCAGCTACATGACGATATTTGCTGCGCTTCTTCGGCAATGGCCGTTGATCATTGACCTTTTCGGCCACATTCTTCAATTCCTCAGTCATGGCTTCAGTGCGAGAAGTCATGACAGCTTTGCAACCTTGGCGGTGCGAGAGTGGGAGGGTCTAAGCTCCCGGGACCCCGACGGTAATGCAATTAGAATTGACAGCCACACCTCAACATGGAGGGAGAAAGAAAAGAGCAGGACGAGCAGAGTAAGCAGTAGAAATAGATGGGAGAAAAGAGAAGAAGAAAATAAAAGAGACGGAAAGCAGCAAAAGCACTTCCCAACGTTCACAACGGCCTGGACTTGTCATGGCGCGGGGAGCATAGCGCACGCAGCCAACCAATCATCGCTCACCGATGTTCAAAGGGATCCCGAGCTTCGACTTTCTCCGTTTTTGTCGCTTCAACTTTTGGGAAATCATCGCTTTTTTCCATGGCCTACTTTGAGGAACACGATGGAGGTCGATTCGGAAAGAATTTCGACGGCCCCGTAGGGCCTCGCCGACCGCGTACGTTTATCGCGTCATTACTGGCGCTATGCTTTGACACTAACTGGTGAATACAGGACTCGTTACGGATTATGGCTCTTCGATGGTACAATGGATGCGCACTCGACAACCGCGATACAAAGGAGGACATCGATTGGAAACAGAACGGCCAAGTCCTAGCTTTGCGGTTGATGTACGTGATCTGGAAGACGAGGTTGGCGACAGCTGCTGACTTGCGACAGGTGCTTCCCCCGATGGCACGGCCGTATTCGGCCGTAGACACGATCCCCGTGCGACACCTACACCAATCGATCGGAAAATCTAAGAAGCCTATCGTCGTCGTGCGATGGACGCCCGAGGGACGACGACTGTTGACCGGTGGTCATACAGGTGAATTTATGTTATGGAATGGAACGGCGTTTAATTTCGAGACGGTCATGGACGTGTGTATCACCGACGTGGAGGAACGGGGAACGCATGCTAAACTCGGTTGCAGGCACATTACGATCAAATTCAAGCCGGTGTCACCTCACTGGCATGGGCTCACAGTCAGGACTGGCTCATCTCTGGTGGACAAAGAGGAGATATCAAATATTGGCGACCTAACTTCAACAACGTCGAGACAATTGACGACGCCCACCATGATGCGGTGCGCGATCTTTCGTGGGCTCCGAGCGATACCAAGTTCCTTTCGGCCTCTGACGACACAACACTCAAGATCTTCGACTTCACCACCCGAACCGCAGACACCACACTGACCGGACACAACTGGGATGTCAAGTCTTGCGATTGGCACCCAACTAAGGGATTGATTGTCTCCGGATCGAAGGACCACCAGGTCAAATTTTGGGACCCGCGCACCGGGCGATGCTTGACGACGCTTCATAGCCACAAAAATACGGTTACCTCCACGCGATTCTCTCGGGTGAACAGCAATCTTCTCGCCACCTCCTCGCGTGATCAGACTGCGCGAGTATTTGATTTGCGGATGATGCGTGACATTTGCATTCTGCGGGGCCATGATAAGCCGGTTTCTTCGTTGACATGGCACCCCATCCATAGCAACCTGATTTCAACCGGTGCCGAGGACGGTTCTCTATACCACTATCTACTGGACGAACCGAACCTACCCAGCGGCCAGGTTCCTACCGTGGCGCCTTATGACAGCCCGGACCCGGCCAACACGCCTCCACAGGTGATCTACCCAGCTCATCGCATTCAATATGCACACGGCGCTACAATCTGGTCATTAGACTGGCACCCACTGGGTCATATTTTAGCCTCTGGATCTAAAGATAACTTTACTCGATTCTGGTCGCGGACACGACCGGGTGAGACTAGTTACATGAAAGACCGATTCCACATCGGCGAAGAAGCTGCCGAGGCCCAGGGAACCTGGAGTCGTGGATTTGGCCGGAAACAAATGCGCGAAGATGAGGAGCAAGAAAATCAAGACGAAGCCGACAGTTTGGTCGATCAACGCCGCCCAGGTACTTCTGCTTTGCCGGGGATCCAAAGTGCGCCGCAGGCCGGCTCTCAAAATGACGGTCCCGGCATGCTCCCCGGTATTGGCAATGCTCCCCCTCCACCACCTGGCGCCATGAGCGGCATGAACCCGGACCGCTTGGCCGCGCTCATGTCCACCCAACAAGGGCCACCATAGTCAAACCCCAACCCGGGGATGCCTGGATTTGCACTTCCTGGTATGTCAGGGGCTCCGCCGATGAACATGGACATGGCGCAGCTACAAAAGCAACTTCAAGGATTCCCCATGCCGCAAAATCTCAATCTCCAAGCCTTGGCTAACACCCCGGGCTTCCCTGGATTTGGTGGACTGCCTGGTTTGGGTGGGATGCCCGATGCCAATCAGAGACGGTGAGCGATGAACCGTTGGTTTGGATGGGTTTGGCGTAAAGGATATAATAGCATGGCCACAATGATGCGGGGCAACGGCGCATTTGAGATATTATTTCCCAGTTGTATCATAGCACGTTTCGGACGTTTCCAGGTTTTTCCACGGGGTTTATAGACCGAATAGTAGGCGAGCAGATAGTGTAGACCGATAATGCGGTAGTCGAGTACACCACACAAAGTCTTTGTGTAGTCCGATGTGCTAACCGTGATTCAAAGACCACCTTGCATGGGAAAGCTGGTGACAATGAGAACCATCACGTTGACACCTCCCCATATCATCGGTAGCCAAGTCGACATCCTGAAGTTCCCTGCCTCGTATACAGCGCCGAGTCTATATGCAGCAGAGTCAGCACTCAATATTTTGTGTCGGATCTCCAGCGTTATCCAGTCCACGTACACAAGCCCAACTATACTCCCAGCCAAAAGCCCTTCGAGTCCTGCAACGAAGCTGTACACCAGCGGCACAATCCAGATCAGACTCCAATTACGGCACTGGGTTATCACAGCGCAGCCTGCGACCGTGAGATGTGTCGCAGCGTAGAACACCAGTGTCCAGAACAGCGTAAACCGCCATATATCCTTCGTGTAGTAGAGGTAATATGCTTGCTGGTGATGTGACGGCAGGGGATCGTACAAGGACGGGAAGGAAGGAACCTCATAGTTGATTGGAACCCGATTATTGGCCATCGAGCGGTTGCTGCAAGTGAGCAGCGATCGAATCACCAAAGCATGGCAGCCTTCACGCAATCTTCTTAGTCTCCGACGCGTATCTAAAAGCGTTCTGGACTGTCGGGAAATGACGATGCTTGTTTGCACTGTTTGCCTCCTGGACCCGGACCTCGGCTGGTCTGGGGTTCTCCGCGATTGATCTCACCCTGAGCGATGTGAACTTTGGGTCTTGTACATCGGTTATTTCAATGGCGACGGAACGATCTTTGGCTACCTTGCTGCGGTCGCTGCAGGCGACTTCCAGCTTCCAGGATGCTGCTACGTAAGTTCTCTCGGCAATGGGGTCGGGCATCGAGACTAATCATCTCGCAGTCTTCTTCCGACGGCAACTAGTTTCTTGTCTATGCTGGGAAACCCTTTGAATTTGACATTGCTTTCTTCGCAGCTTCTTACTGCGCCCTCGTTGTGGAGTCACCCGGTCGATTTACAGGCGTGTCGTAAGATCCTCAGCGTCTTCAATACTGCTGCTATCGCTGTCTTGCAGAATGATACGACCGACGAGCCGCGGATACCCTATGGACGGAACAGAAAGATTGAGTGCGATGCTTGGGTGAAGGCTGTTGCAGAGGGTGCGGATGATAAGTCACCACGGTGGCGGCATATGCTTCTGCTCGGTGGAATCTTGATGGGATTCGAGGGTCAGAACCGACAGGGCTTACCACGGCATATTCGGGTTAAGCTTGAATCGGCACTTTCGACCGCAGCACAACTGGCGCTCCAGGAACTGGGCCCGGACACCGGAATTGATGGCCAGTGCATCAGCATGGTGCTCAATTATACGTTCGAACTACTGTCGGACTTCGAGAGGAGCAAGCTGGACTATGATCGATTGCTTCCTGCGATGATTCAATCTGCGTTCCTGTCCTCGGAAGGGCTGGAAGGTGGATATTTCCTTGGGTCCATCGATCAGGACGTCGTTGAAGCTTCAAATAAACAGTTCAAGTGGTCGTCCAACTCTCCTACGTTTATGATCGTTTCTGCGGTGTCTGCTCGTCCGCTTGTGTCAACCCTTGGACCTTTGTCGCGGCTGATTGCGCACTCAATTGATAATGTTCGAGACCCGAGGATCGTCGCTCAGGCTGTGGATTACCTCGCAGATTTTGTGCGCACACTCATGGTTCAATGGCGACAAAACAAATTGTCGGAGATCGATTCTGCAGAGGAAGCTGAATTCCTAGACGCTGAATCACGAGAAGTAACCGTTCCTGCGCTATGGAAGACTTTACGGAACTGCTTGTACTCGATCGTCATTACTCTCCGGGCAGTTCTGGGGCGAACCATTAACGATCCAGCGCTTGCAGCCAATAGCAGTAAGTTCCTTTTCCATTCATCTAATTTCCTGATATGAGACTAACATGCATATCCTAGGCGCTCCGTATCTGTCGATGCAATGTCTGCACATTCTGCGGAATATGTACTTCATCTCTTCTCGGCTTGGTCAGAATGCTTCGTCGCAACAAACTTTCGTTTTGCTGGCAGCCATCGATATTCTTTCACAATACCCCTTGCTCGCGGAGAACTTCCTGCGAAGCATCAAGCCGAGCGATATTGGACAGATTCCTGCTCATCCGGTTGAAAGATGTCTAGATCTGTTCTTCTTGAACGTCGCAGAGCACTTCCCTCTTGTTCTGCAAACAGAAACAAGCGAGGAACTGTTCCTGTCTGCGGCGTTCCCATATCTTGCAGCAGGTGCCAACAGTCTTCTTTTGGAGATATTCGAAGCCGCTCACAGTCTGGTCCTGGTCGTCTTTGCCGTTCCCCATAATTCGGAGCTAGCTGCCAAGCATCTCCCCTTCTATATCCACAATCTCTTTGCGGTAAGTCAGTCCAACATGCTGGCTCATGTGTTTTTCTAATCGTCTATAGGTTTTCCCCAACAACCTTTCCGCACGCCAATTCCGCCTTGCTTTCAAGACCGTTATACAAATCACGGCCCCTCCTTCTCCCTTAGCGAATACCCAACCCCTGCTTCCTTCCATTCTATTAGAGGTCGTTCATGAACGTGCAATGAACGCATCCTCTACTCCAATCCCACAGCCAGCCCCTGGCCCCGATATGAGCCAGAGCCCACCTCTCTCCGAACAAGCCGTTCTGACACTGGCTCTTCTCGATTCACTCGCATTCCTCCGCGTCCCAGACCTCAAGGAATGGCTTCCGTTAGCCGCACAGCTGATCAATGCGATCGCAGACCGAGACATGCGACATATTTGCATAGATCGATTGTGGGAGGCGCTGGCTGGCGGCGAAATGGACGTTGATCGTGCCCACTGCTGTGTCACTTGGTGGAGCACCGAGGGTGGGCGTGAACTCGTCCTCTTCGGCGCCGAGACAGCCGACGCTGCTCCTGGCGAACCCGATGCAAACGGGCCTTACATGACCGGCGCTGTTGGAGATGTTGCGCCGGAAAGTAAGCTATAACGATGAAATCTGAATAATATCTAGTGAATTTACCATGCCTACGGGTGTGTTCGTGTCTATAACTTCGGTGCTTTGTCGCTGTATTCAATATCATTGAGTCCAGCTCCTTGGATTTAGATAATTGGCTTTATGTCTCAACCAACCCCTAAATACTTCTTATGTGCATGTCGGCTAAATTCCAGGGATTCCCACCGGAGTGTCCTTTCTGTACTGGACATACTCGTCGCCGAAGAAAGAAATCAAATAAGCTTCCTCGCCTGTCATCACAAATTAGCAAAAACTCCCATACCCATTAGTTCATAACTCACGTTTGATTCTGCTGGAAAAGAACCGCCAGAGCACCAGGGCATATGCAACAAAGCAAACCACATTCCCGAGCACGAGCTGAGTTCCAAGCCCCCACCAGAAAAACCCGAAATAACTCGGATGTCGCAGATATCCATAAAGACCATTTTTCACCAACACATGTCCCTCCTGGTGCTGACTCTGCACATGATGATTGAAGTTACTCGCCGCCGTCGCCATCGCAATAGTCCGCACCACCTGCCCAACAACCAACAGCACAACCCCACCAACCAGCAGCAACGAAACTTCACTCCCAAACACAGGTTCCGTAATAGTAACCAGCCGACCGAAGCTTGTCTGCCCAGGAAACAGATAATGCGAGACCACACACTCCACGACAGCAGACCCATGCGCAACATTGTACGCCCACCCATTCGACGACAGCAGGAACGCAGATACAGTCGCATACCGCGTGTTATACTGCGCCGTCACCCAAAACTCGAGGAAGTGGAACAGGCTCAGCGCTGCAATGAAAAATGGAACTCGCCATAACGTAGTGTAGTATACAGTGCTGAGCGCCAATGCCATGCTGGAGGTCAGACCGAGGGAGGTTCCGAGGAGCATGGCACGTAGGGAGATTCCAGCTAGTGACATCTTGCCTGATGGGTAGGTTGCGGTGAAAGTGGGTGCACCGGCATCGCTGTCGGAGGATTCGGTGTCGTCGCGAATGTGAGCGCGAGCTCGGGTCTGCTCCTCAGGGGTCATTCTGGATGAGGTGAAAGCTGACATCTAGGATGTTTCGGCTGGACGCATTCTCGGTGATTTAAATAGTGAAAGTTGGGGGGAAGGTTTCTTTGTTTTGAAGAACAATCATATCCGCTGCCATTGACATCGGAAATGTTTACGCTGACACATCCCACATCGGCCGAGGCCGAGCTTGGGAAGTATATTCGGGACAGCTTGACTTCTCTCGTTTTTTTTTTTCCCCTTTGTTTGCTTCTTTCTTCTCCTCTTTTAGCTTTTGTGAACCCGAAAATTACAATTATCTTAATCATGTCGGAAAGAGAGAAGATGCTCCGTGGTGAGCTGTATTGTGCTTTCACCCCGGACCTGATTGCTGCTCGGACACGCTGCAAATGGGCTTGCAATCGATTCAACCGAGCAGACGAAGCGCCTCGTCGGCAACTGGTCGAAATGTGGAAAGAGTGAGTGGTGTTGGCCTCCAAGCACAATCGTCTGTTTCTATAGACTATCATGGTATACATCTACTAAACATACCAACAGCATCACCGAGGACAAGACCCCACTTCCCCCACAATTGGACGATGCAGATGCAGATGCAGCTCTTCTTGAGCGAGAGCCCTGGGTAGAAGCTCCCGTGAAAGTCGACTATGGGTTCAACGTCAAGCTAGGTGAAGGCGTCTTCATCAACTTCAACTGCGTCTTCATCGATACGTGTCCCATCATTGTTGGTGCTCGGACTTTGTTTGGTCCTAGTGTCCATATCTATTCTGGTACTCATCCGCTGGATCCTGCGTTGCGTAATGGCACCCAAGGCCCTGAGACTGGGAGATCCGTTGTGATTGGGGAGGACTGTTGGCTGGCGGGGAATGTTACTGTGCTGCCTGGGATTACTATTGGCAGGGGATGCACAATTGGCGCTGGTAGTGTGGTGACCAAGGTGAGTCCTTCCAGGTAGTGACGCTCTATTTCTTGCACACAAACTAACTATCTCAGGATATACCAGCTTTCCATGTTGCTGCGGGGAATCCGGCCAGGGTTATTCGCCGTATTGAAACGACGATGACTGAATGAGTCAATGGGTTAATGAGCTTTATGTTGGGAACAAGGAAACTGTTTGTAGCTACGTAGTACAATTGTGGTTGATAGAATGCAAGAAACTAATGGTAATTCTGCCTAGATGGTAACATATATGCCATGCAGGCATGCAGGCCTAGCTCAGATCATATATAATATTGTAACTACTCGTACCTCCAGGGCTACTAAAGTAGATCCTCTGGAAGCCCCGAAGAGCTCTTTCCCTCACAACTCATAGGTTCGTGCATAGGTTGCAGACGGGGCTGTGCAGTTAACGCCCATCAGTGCCATTAGTACTATATACTCCGCACCCAAGACGCCAATGTCCACAAGAATGACCATAACTAGCTTTCCAATTCAAATCCAAGCTCTAAATTTGATAATCTGTAGAGATGGACATCTAGTAAAAAGAACTAAATAAAATAAACAAATAAAAATAAAAAGATTCCAGTAGAAAAAAAGAAAAGAACAAAAGAGCTGTTCAACGTTCGCAGTCAAACGTCACTGGTGTCTGGCGCGTCCCCCAAAAAAGCTGTCGACCGCTTTATCTGTCACCTTTCCTTCATTCTCTCACTTCGTTCTCACCCAACCCCATTTGCTTTTGATTTTCATTTGGACGCGTGAAAAGAACTCATCAGCGCCCTGGAACGCGAAAAATGCCATGGCTGAACCCCCGCCAGAGAGCTCTTACACCCCACCAGACGTTTCCATAAACGCTTCACCTTCTCCTCACGACTCCATGGAAGATCTTGACCCCCAGGCGACTCGCAAGCGCCCACGTCTGGACAGTGGAAGTGGTGTGAGTCCCACTCTCTCCTTGGATGGAACCTCTCGCACTGCCTCCGTTGCACCTGCCTCGGACATGGACGAGGTCTCGGATTCAGGTCGCGTCGCTAGCAAAGTGACTATCAACATGAAATCTCCTCTCTCTCACCTTGACCCCACCGAGCCTGAGCTCCCTGATCCCAATTCAAAGCTCCTGACCGACACCGATGGGGCTCCCCACGTTATCGCCCTCTCTTCCACTCCCTCATCTCCGCGGAGTCCCGAAATACAAGTCGCTGAACCCGAAGATATGGATCAGGATCCAGCTGCCTCAAACTGGAGACCACTCGAACAGGTCATGCAGGACCAGGAAGACCCCGAGGTGATCGAGATACAAGACACACCGACCCTCGCCGACACATTCCCGAAACTGGACGAAGACTTTACACACCGAGAGAACTTCAAAGCTCTTGGTGATATTCTGGAGCTTGGTGAGGACTCTCCCCCGCTGTCTATGATAACGTCAAATACTAAACTATTCTTTAGGCCATCCACGTGAAAGCCAGGCGATTGTGGCAGTCAAGCGTTGGTTGCATACATGCGCCCAAGAGCTGGACCGAATCACACTCGAGGAATACACCGCGGACTATGAGTTCTGGGACACCTTGCCACATGTCGTGGAGAGCCTGCTGCGCAGACAACCCGAGCTGCAAGTAGACAGTGTGGAAGACATTTGGACCTTCTTTGAAGAGTTCTTCCTTGATTACTCTCGCATTGTGCTCCAACTCGTTCAATTGGATAGCCTGGTACTCAGCCGACTGACTGGAGAGTCTGGGATTGATCCGCCGTTGAGCACTTCCCACCGATATCTCTTCAAGTTCTCATGGGTATTCAATAGCCCCACTGTCCCTTTCTTTGTCGTTTTGCACAAAAAATACCCCGACGAATGTCTCAGTCTTATCGCTCGCCTCAAAGATCAGCTCTCATCATCTACCTTTGACGGACCCGGCGTGCTTTTGCAATATGCCTCCCACGTCCTCAATTTACTTCCGAAAAGTCCATCACTGTTTGCGTACCTGCCCACCACCCTGTCCATTGCCCTCCTATTCTTCGACGCCAGCATTCAACAGTTGAAGAATGGTGTCGTTAGCCCCGATTCTTCCTCGACGATCGACAAAGGTCTACAGTCCTTGTACGACACGGCCCGAGCTGTCGACAAGGAATACGAGGTATTGGTAGCCAAGAAATCACCAGTGGTCACCAATGAAGCCAGCACCAACATCGTGAGCGTCCTTTTCCGCATTTACAATTTCCTTTGCATGGTTGATCCCGACTTCATGTTCCAACTTGCGGATGAGTTGAAGATGACACTACCTGAAAACACCTCGGTGGACCAAACCAAGATGTGCGTGGCATGGACATGGAAATTCGACGCGTTGAAGAGACAGATAATGGAAGGACGAATGGAACTTCGTGTGAACGGTGTTGAAACCATCCAGTCGGATCTGGTCAATCTCTGGTCTAACCATGTTTCTCAAAACCCGGACAACCCGTTTGTGCACTACCTGGTTCAGCTTCTGCGCAGTAACAAGCTACTCGAATATTTGATGGGTATCGACTCGCACCCCCAGCTGATTTCCCGCGCCAGCAACATCTTCGGGTTCTTCATTGTGACCGGTAACTACGAAAACCGCGATACTGATATGATATGGAAAGTTGTGACCGACGGCCAAGATGAAAGAACTGTTGCAGCGGTCGTTGACATGCTTGGACGTACCCTAGGCATCCACACGTCTACATCTGGTACTTTGCTTTACATTTGTGCAAAGCTACTTGAGCTTCCATTGGATCGGTTTGACGGGTACATCATTGACTTCTGCTCACAGCTTATCCCTCGAATGCAAGAAAAGCCCGGGGAACGTGACTACCGTGTCATTTCACCCGATGAGGACAACGCTATTCCATTGAAGCTGTGTGTCAGACTGATTCGTGAGAGCGCTGGGGCCGATCTCCCATCCGAGAAGAAGGAGATGATGCAACAATTTGGGAGTCAACAGCTGGTCAATTTCATGAAGGCCGGACTGAGCGAATCGGACAAGGCTGAAACCTATGAAGCCTGCATCCAAGACATTGCAGATATGAACGCTTGCACTGCGGGGAGCATTCAAGTGCTGAATGCTCTTGTATCCTGTGATGGCTCACGGGAGCTCGGGAAACTTGCAACCGAGTTTGACTTGACACACCTGGTCATCACAGAATTTCACCATTTTGTCGATCACCTCCCTATCCCCAATGACCTCTCTTCGCAGCACGCCTTCGCTTCGAGGGTGGAACTGCTGCGACGCATCATCGATCTCGCTCCGGAGACGATCACCCCGGAGCTTGGAAATACCCTCTGGCAAGAAATTCTGATGTCTGACAAATTACCTCGCAATGAGCGCTTGATTATCTGGAAAATGGCACAAAGTATGACGCTAACTACAAGATCTAACCAGTTCGTCGAGCGTTGCATTCATGAATACCTCCCAGAGGTGTCTCCGAAATGTTACTCATATGAGCTGTTGGCATTTGCCCAGCAAACTGTATTCTATGACATCCGCCTTAAGGCGCCACCTATCACAGGGGAAGACGAGGTCATCGCCGTTCCTGGAATGGATCGTATCTGGAATCTCATCCTGACCGCACCACCAAACACCATTGAGAACGAGGCAATCAAATTCGCCATCGAACTTTATCTTGACCACGTCATCATCAGCAGATCACCCAGATCGGCTATTGATGCCACTCACATTGCCCTTGTTCGCCGTTGCGTGAATCAACTAAAATCCGCAGCTCCAGCTTTGAAGTCATCCCGCAACGCAGAAGCAAATGGTGACGTGGCAATGGAAGCCGAGACCCAGAACGAGAAGCTCAGCACCGAGGAGCTTATTTTCGACCGATCGCTGTTATTCCTTCGCCAGCTACTTCACGGATTGCGCTCTCGGCCGCGATACACTTCCCCCAGAAGCCAAAGCAGCTCCCCACCCAATGTCAGCGAACACCCACTGAAAGGTGCGGCTGTCAATATTCGGTATCAGTGCTTTGGCGGGACCCCGTCAAACAAGGTGAACACGCTGGTGATTGGCGAACTCTCAACCGCAAGCGAGCTTGCGGATATCTTGGTTCAGTCAAGCCGATTCTCCAAGTTTTCGCTCATCTTCGGCGGACGAAAACTGGAATTGCTCGAAAAGCCAGATGCTTTGATCAAAGACTTGGACCTTGGAGCCGGTCTGCTCCTGGTCAGAAAGACCCCTGATGCCCACATCATCACGTCGCCCGGGATGAGCCGATCCATGACTGCTGTCGACAAGGAAGTGCTGAAGCACTTTGACGAGTTGTATGATATGCTTGATCTCAAAGATCATCTGGCTCGACGAGTACGTATACATCCAATCCCTCTGTGTAATCGAAAACTGACTTCAATTACTCCAGATCATTGACTTCCTGGTTGTGTTCCCGCCTCAGGGACAAGCCGTAGAAGTGGTCAAATCTCACAAGAACTCGGAGAAAGAAATGTTCCCATTGACGGTGCCATACAAGGCATTGTACTCTGTGAACACACTTTCGATGTGTCTTCATGATGTTCCTCTGGCCGTGGATGTAAGTGACTTTTTTTGGATTGCCAAATGCATCGATACTAATGGCCGCTGCAGGTTGATGCCCAGCAGGAATTTGTGTCCCACAGCCTAAAAGTCTTGGTCGCGTTTATCACGCTTGACGAATTGTCTAATTCACTCAAGGACGACTCAATCGTGACAGTGATTGCGGCAAAAGCCCTCGAGTGCTTGAGTTTGGCCATTTCAGGTATGTCAGGCGCTGACCTACTCAACGTTATATCTCGACTAACAATAATACAGTCTATCACCCGACTGACACCAATGCTGCTGCTCTGATATCAGACCCTGCGACTTTTGTCCCTCGTGTTTTGAGCTTCATCGAAATTGGCCGTTCAAAGAAAACCAGCCATCAACCCATGGTGTTTGTTAATGGCTTGGTTTGCTACTCCTTCGCAGTGCTGGTTGAGGCATCATTGAGCGACCAAAACATTTGGAACACCGTCAAGCAGCATGTCAATTTCGATGATATGATGAGCAGTTTACTCCTGGAACAGGATCAAAGACAAATCCGAAAAGAAACCCAGGACCGACTCAAGATCGTCAGTGGACCTGCAAAGCCACTGGAAACGGAGGTAGGCTCTGTTGAAGAGGAGAGTCTGGTCGAAAACCCCATCCGAGTTGACATGTTGGCCACGATTTGGAGCTCGATTGTGAATATCATACCCAGAGCTCGTTATTTTGTTGGCCAGTCAGAGGAGTTTTTCTCTACTGCTCTCTTTGTCTTCCGTTCTGTCGCAGGTAGATCGCCGCATGATGTGATGTTTAGCACGTACATGAAACAGTGGACTGCTGTCTTGCTCGATCACAACACAGAAGAGGTAAATGATGAAAAACTGGCTTGCAGAAATTGACGGTGTTGCTAACGAATGATAGTTTGTGGGACGCGAGCCGGTCGATAACTTGGTGATTGGGCTTTGTTCTCTTCTGGAGTGGTGTCTTGAGCTGGCCATTTTCGCTAAAGTTCCTCTAGATTCCGGGTATGTTACACGGTGCCCAGTTGAAGGAATAACGCTGACTCTATCTCGAACACAGACACATCGCCGAACAGTTATTGAACAAGTACCTGTTCCCAGACTTCATTCCTGAGACAGGAGACCACAATGATCTCCAAACTCCAATTATGCATACCTACACCCGCCAACGATTGTACAATGTTGTTACTTTGCTTTGCGAACAAAGCGACGAGACCTACGGTCGAATTTTGGAGTTATTGGATAGCACGGTTCCTCGAGGTTTGACCCCCCACTCCTGACTCCATGGTGATGGGAAACTAATATGATGGAAATAGAATCCTCCTACATTGAGCATTCATACGAGAGGCATTCGATGATTCGATCGAATGTAGGCTATGCCGGTCTCAGGAACCTCTCGAACACGTGTTACCTCAACTCCCTTACGACTCAATTGTTCATGAACATCGAGTTCCGGGACTTCATCTTGAACCTTCACATCGCGGACCCGGTTGCACAAAAGCTCCTCTTTGAGACCCAGAAGCTTTTCACATGGATGCAAGAGACCTGGAGAAAGAGCATTGAGCCACACGATTTCGTGGAAAGTATCCAGACATATGACAACGAGCAGATTGATGTCACCGTTCAAATGGATGTTGACGAGTTTTACAATCTTCTGTTCGATCGATGGGAGGCTCAAATCCTGGACCCGGAAATGAAAAAATCATTCAGGTCTTTCTATGGCGGCCAGCTGGTTCAACAGATTAAGTCTATGGAATGTGATCACATTTCGGAGAGGGAAGAGCCGTTCTCGGCTATCCAGTGCGAGATCAAAGGCAAAGCATCCTTGGAAGACAGTCTGCGGGCCTATGTCGCGGGTGAAGTCATGCAGGGTGGTAAGTTCATCAGAATGCCGAGGGCCAGAAGCCATAGCTAACAACTGCCAGATAACAAGTATTCTTGTACCTCGTGTGGCCGACACGTGGATGCTGTGAAACGGTAAGTGGTCTTGGCCGTGTGGTGTGAGGTTTGGATGCTGACTTTGATTAGCGCCTGTTTGAAGGATGTGCCGGACAATCTCATCTTCCACCTGAAGCGCTTCGATTTCGACATGCTCACCATGCTGAGAAGCAAGATCAACGACGAATTCCAATTCCCACGACACATTGATATGGCTCCCTACACCGTCGAGCACCTCTCTAACCCCAATGAGCCTGTCGAGCCGGATATGTTTGAATTAGTCGGTGTCCTTGTTCACACGGGTACAGCCGAGTCTGGTCATTACTACTCATACACACTCGAGCGACCCTCGCCCGGGGGTCAAGCTTCTTGGGTCGAGTTTAATGACTCTGAAGTCACCCGCTTTGACCCAACCTCACTTTCAGCTGCCTGTTTCGGTGGTGCTGAGCCATCATCTCAGTATGTGAATGGCAGCCAGAAAGACAAGATGTGGAGTGCGTACATGCTTTTCTACCAGCGTGTCTCCTCAATCGAGAAATGCAAGTCGATGTATACCCCGCCAAAGACAGATATTCCTGTGCACATCTCGGTTCCAGACTCTATCCAGAACCACATTGCCATGGACAACGAACTGCTTATCCGGACCTACTGTCTTCTGGATCCCCAGTATGCCTTCTTTGTGGACAGGTTGCTCCAGCGGTGGTCCCGAATGAGCCCCGGGGAGGAAAAAACCAAGGCCGAAACCTTGGCCATTAACGTGGGAATGGACACCATTGAGCAATTGATCTCACGCACCAAGTACCTCCAGGGCCTAGACGAGATTTGCCGAGACCTCAACGACATGATCGAGACCAGCTCCAGTGCAGCTCAAGCCGTCATCCGGTGGGTCAGTGACCGGCCCGGATCGATTCGTAACATTGTCACCAAGACGCCCATCCCGGAAGTTCGAGCTAAAGAAGTCTCTCTCATCCATGGTGCTTTGAAACATCTCCACTCCCTTTCGAACGATCCGACTGCTGAACCAGACGAACAGCAGCAATGGCGCATTGAGCTTGAGATAGCCATCGAACGGGTTACGCTCTTGTTGATTGAAATTTGGCCCAGCGTCCAGTGTCTACCTCGAATTTGGGACGACTACTTCGATTTCTTCAACAAGCTTTGCACCTGCGGGCCATCGGCCGTGCAGATCCTGTTGGATCGGGGCGTGTTTGTCATGTGTCTGCATATTTTGTGGATCGACCACGAAGACAAAAAGGATCTGCGAGTCCAATACCCCAATTATGTGCGACTTATGGACAAGGGCCGTCGATTCCCCTTCGGAAACTTTATGGTCCTGTGCTTGACCTTTTTCGAGAACATTGATCTGTCCCTCAAGCCGCCACGCAATGGCGACAATCGTGAATTCTCAGTCGAGACTGGCAGGTTCTCTGCCAGAGAGTGCGAACTAGAACTCATTACACCTACTGAGACAGATGGGTCGTTGTCTCTCTTGGCGAAAATACTCAGGCACTGGGCAATTTCCCGAACACACAGTGCTCGAATGATTATTGCCGAGCTTTTGAATGGAGAGCCCAAGGCAGGCCTTCTCGATGCAATCATTAAGACGTTGGAAAGTGGATTGAGAATGGAACCTGCCATTCAATGTGTACCTTTCCTGGAGGCTGCGGTGGTTTTCTGCCAGTATTCCCCTGACTGGAGTCGGATCGTCGATGTCGTTAACTACATTGCCTGCGGAATTGATACCATCGACAACAGCGGTGGTCAGGAGCACATGGACTTTTTCACACAGATCTGTGATCTCACTAACCAGAGGCTCAATTTGGGCCCCCGTGATTTCACCAAGCTTACGCTGGGTCATCTGCCGACCATTGCCCCCGTTTTGCTCATTGACAGGGACGAGATTGTTCGACAGAACATGCAAAGCATTCTGGACGAGGCTTTTGCCGGATACCAGACTGCAGGGACGGCTGAGCAGAACGACCAAGAGAATGAGCAAGAGAATGAATCAGGAAACCTGTCGCATGTCATTGTCAGAGATGAGTTGAATTTACTTGGCCGACTTCTTCAGAAGTCCTGCGCCGAGCGACTTACTGCTGCCTTCTTGAAAGAGCAGACTCGTCCCATTGATGTGAGACAGCTCGAGTCTATTCTCTCTGTCATCAACTACTGCCTCACTACATTCTACGATGACAATGACGCAGATGAGGCTGAGGTCCAAAAGACGCGTGGTATGCCCGACAGCTCCTAGCCTTACGCTTTGGTTCCATGTAGCACCGCTGACCATTTTCATCTCCAACAGAGCTGCTTACCATTCTCCGAAACATGTCTCTCCAAGAAGTCCCCGACGACCCTGCCTCTGGTACGATACAATCCCTATTACCCCTTAATTCCGAACCCGTGACTGACCCCATGACCCCAGAGTCTGAAGTTGCCTCCGGCGAAGAATGGGATGCCAACTCTGTGATCGTCTCCGACTCAGACGGTGGAGTCCGAGGATCCCCTTAGAGAATCAGCCCCAGACCGATTGACCCTAGCTTTCCACCTCGGCCGTCTTCCTTTTTCTCCATTGCGTTCATGCGATATCAAGGTATCAACGAGCGCGATATGTGCCTGCGCTTACGGACCTTCATACTTTACGGATTTCACGAATTTCGCTGTTAATTTTTTTCCTTGGATATGATTCTTTTCCGGCGTTTCCCGGCCTGTGATGGGACGGAGTCAGGTTGTTTCCCTTTCCCTTTGATGGCAAAAGAAAGTTGATGAGCGCATTTTCGATGGTTTCTACGAGATAGACAATTTAAGGGTTTCTGATCTCGTTTTGTCATTTTGTTTTTGTAGCATGTATGTTGTGATTCTTCAAACGTATCATGTAGTCATGACTTTTTCATTTGCAACGTTGGAAAGTATACGGAGTAGCTGGGTATGTTGTGATGTGTATTTTAACCCTCCTCCTCTCCACCAGCTGGAGCTTTGCCCTCGTCATCAGACCCACCCTCAATAGCAGCAAGTGCTTCCCGCTGGGTGCGCTGACCGTTGCGAGTCCGGCCCTTCGGGCTGCCAGGCTCATGGGGAGTAGTCGCAGTTGCAAGCTTAGCAGCCGGGATACCACCAGAAGTGACGTAGAGGAAGTATTCGGCGGGGAAATGATCAATGTGATTGAAGAAGGATCCGAAGCTGCAATCAAAGTTAGTAAATATCATCATGAATTCAAATATTTCAGTAACATACCCGGCACGTTCTTCCTCCTCACGGAAGATACGATCATAAATCTCCCGCTGCTTGAATTCATTCATGGCTGTCTCCCATCGGCCGAAATCAATAGGCGACCGCTCATTGCCCTGTGCTTTCTTGTTGTAAGCGTCGAAAATAGGACGCTCGAGAAGAAGACCCAGGCCCGGTGCCTTAGGGATGGCAATACGGTCTGGTCCGTATGTCTCGGGGATGCGATCTGGGTGACATCCTGCGCGGACGACCATGGCGGCCATTGCGACCATCTTGCGGATCTGGTGCATCATGAAACTTTGACCGTGGACCTTGAGACTGAGCCATTCTGTGCCGTCGATAATGATGGGCGTCGGGTTGACTTTGAAGGATTTGATGTGACGTTTGGCAGATGGGTCGTTGTGCGCCTTTTGGATTGTGTAGTTGTGGAAGTTGCTGGTGCCGACGTACTGAGAGAGACATTCTTGCAGGCGGTTGATTCGGGTGGCCGGGGCGCGGTACGCCCGTCGGGCTTTGAGGTAGGCGGCTTTGACGGCTTTGGTTGCGTCAATGATGGCCCTTTGTCGAGGCTCCAAGACGAATGGCAGGGGTTCCCCTGATTCATCGACTTGAGGCTCACTCGGCTGGGTCTCCGCAGGCGTCTCTGAAGCAGGCAAAGGCTCTTCAGCCTCTGCGGTAGGATCGAGGGCATCGCGAGACTGGTCGTCTTGGAACAGGGACTTCTCCACGATGGCGCGGATGTCTTCTGGTAGACTTTCGAGGATTGGCTTGATGTATTGCTCATCAACCTCATTCCAGTAATTCGCGACCTCTTCCTGTCGGCTCTTGACAGCATCCAACTCGCCTTTCTCTTCGGCGATCTGGACGATCTTCCGGCCGAGGTATGTACTCGGGTGAGGCGGCAGAAGGCAGTGACTGGGCATCAAATATTCGTACACGCGTGAATCACACATCTGGTAGCAGCTGAAGCTCTTGCTGGTAACTTCGTAGCCCCACACGCGGATTTGGGGACTGAGCTGGTCGTTGATCCTCTGGACAATATCCTCATCTTCGACAATCATTTTCAATGAAACCACATTGCCAGCTGCATGGACACCCTTGTCTGTGCGGGCACAACGGACGAATGACGATTTCTTGGGATCCGCTGCGTTCGCTTTCGAGACCGCACCGACTTTAACTAGGGCCGAGAAGAGGTCCCCCTCGATGGTACGTGCTTGCTCGTTCCTAAATCGCAACCTGTCAGAAATGAACCTCCAACACCTGGCGAAAACCAACATACAGCTGCATTCCGGAGTATCCAGTACCCGAATATCCAAGCAGAAGCGCGACCTTCTTCTTCGGGCGCCGCTCTTCTCCGTCAATCTCATCCTTGGAGAACTGAGTGGCGTAAATAGGCAGAGCGGCCTCTTCACCATTCTCTATCTTGCGGCGCTTCGCTTCAGCCTGTTGCTCAAGGCGCTGTCGCTTGTCGATTCCTTGACGACTTAATTAGTTAGCTGAGCAATGCGACACATGGGGTCGTCAATTGTCAGAACATACCTCCACTCGGCTCGTCCCATATCGCGGTTCTTACGCCTTCCACCACCTCCGCCTTTTCCTTCCTTGTTGTCGGCCATTTTATCCGACGGAATATCTCTGATAGGTCTGCACGGGGCGTAGACGGATCGCGCCAGAAAGATCGGGCGAATGTACGATTGACGAGGCTTTGAGGAATCAATCCAGTAGGCCTTGAGGTCCGAGGTGTGAAAATAACGGATAGGTTCCGCGGGAGTATGGTCGAGGTACGCATGAAATCAATGCTTGGGGGAAAATTGCCTGGTTCATTATCTTTTATATCGCGACTAGGCCGGGACTGGACTAGCGTGGGACATATCTACACTAGTCCATAAGTAGCAATTTAATGCCTCAGGCGTAAATTCGCATGTGACGTGCAGCTCAGCTTCGACTTGCGGCTTTCAATCTCAACTTGGCGCCGTTGTTCAAGCCCACCTTCTTTTACCTTTCGCATCCACACTCCTTTTCGGCTTCCAGACAAAGCATGCTTCACTTCTTTGAGACCTGAGCTTTTTGATCTGACGCCTTGTGCTCCCGTGAATCCACTCTTCCCATTTGTGTTTTGCTCCGAAGCCCTTCTCACGATGGATCTTTCCAAAACACTGATTCGGACGGTGGCGCGCGCATTCTACGAAACCCGTCACATATTGGTGGTCGATGCGCTCTTTTTGCACTCAGTGTATGAAGCGTGATCGATTCCGTTGAAAAGTGACTTTGCTGACCAGCCACAGCCTTCACGCCGAGGACCTTGCTTTCTTGATGGGCATGCAGCAGAAAGATCTCCGGAAGCTCTGCGCCAGACTTCGAGAGGACCGCTTAATCGGAGTGTACGCCTTATCCTTTCCGATGAGACCGGAACCTCAAGAAAGTCCAGCTAACACTTCATTGCGAATTCCAGGAGCACCCGCGCTGAACTCCGTGATGGTTCTACTCGCCCTGTCAACCGTGAATACTACTACATTCCTCTCCACCCGGTTGTCGATGCCATCAAATACAAAGTCTCCAAATTGACTGCCACAATCAAAGCGCAATACACACCCAGCGAGGAGCGCAAAGAGTACATTTGTCTCAGGTGCTCCAAAGAATGGACTGAACTCGATGTGCTGAGTCTGGTGGGAGAAGAGGGATTCGAATGCCAAAATTGCGGAGCGATCCTGGAACGCACCGAGGATGTCAAGGGGCTGGAAGGCATTGAGAGTACAGGCCACGAAAAGAACAGCAAGCTGATGGCACAACTTGACAATATGCTCAAGCTCTTGAAGCAAATCGATTCGGTGGAAATTCCGCCAAATGACTTTGAGACTGCTTGGGATCACAAGGTGGAGGTTGCCCGGAATCACAGCACGCATCCAGTGCGCGCCGCGATCGCTGTTCCCCCCAAGGCACAGGATACCACACGCCCCAATGCAAAGACCGATGCAAGTGCCTTGGAAATCTCTCTCACCTCTAGCGAGGAGAAGAGTGCCGCGGAGCAGGCCGACGAGGCAGCTCGCAAGGCAGCAGTTGAAAAGCAGAATGCTCTTCCAGTTTGGCATACCCACTCTACGGTCGATGCGAACAATGCTGGAAGTGTCCAGGTGAAGAACGAAGCCGGACAACTGGTGAAGCCCGAACTGGCGGACGAGGATCAAAAGCCAAGTGTAGATGCCCTGGACGACAAGGTCGCTGCATACTACGCAGAGATGGAGCGGGAGAAGGCGCTGCAGGCCGAACAAGACGCCAGCAGCGCAGAGGAAGACTCCGATGAAGAGGACTTTGAGGATGTTTCCGCCCCAAGTGGAGCAGGGACCCCTGCTGCAGCTGGTGGGCCTACGAGTGCCCCGGCTCCATATTCCGGAGGTGCTGGTGTTAAGCGTGAGCTTGATTCCGGTTCCAGCGCCCCGCAATCATCTGTTGGAACACCCTCCACAACCGCGGACGATGGTCCTTCAGCCAAGAAGGTGAAGGTGGAGCCTGATATCAAGCCTGATCCCGATGCCAAGGCAGAATCTCATATCAAGACAGAACCTCAAATCAAAACCGAACCTGATACCAAGGAAGCCGAGGAATCAGATGAGGATGACGAGGAGTTTGAAGATGTTTAATGCAACGAACATATCATCCCAAAAGGCAAACACTGGCGCTGGCGTCAAAAATAATCAGAGCCCATGGCTCCTTTTCAACATTTTACAAACATGCAGATCATTTGATTTAAAAGATCGCATTCCAACTTTAGAAGGTTCCTGAGTACGTCTTTACAGGGTGTACCCCAGAACGGTCACATTTAACTTCAATGTAGTCTCAAGCTGCTGGACCGAAACTCCAGGCATACTTCTGGTCAGCGTGAGCTGCAATGGCAGGATGGAAATACATGGCCCTCCAGACTATTTAAGTAGTTCTGTTCGCAACCACTCATCCTTTTCAAGTTCGTTAGCAGAGCTTCGTTTCTCCAGCTCCCACTGTAAATCTTTCGTACGAGGCAGAGGAACTTCTCTTTTTCCCGTCCCTGAAGAGTATTTCCCTTCCTTCCAAGCGGAGTGTGTTCTTGTACTGGAATTCCAGCGCAAAAGTTACCTAGAAAGTTAGACACATGTTGAAATGATGGGCCCGCTTTGAATATTAAGACAGCAATTGGCCTACCTTCCTCTGTAAATAATTTTTGTGTCGGATTCCCTCGCGCAAGAAGGCCAGGTGGTGGAGGGCCGAGAAGACGTATCATTTCAGCGAGATGCGCTCGACTTCGGTAGGTCTGAAATTCAGGGTCCTGGCCTGTGAATAGAGATACTCACTTCGAAAATGTCCCAAATCTGCGATGGAAGTTATAAGTGACCATTATTACTGAATTAGTTGCCTTACTATGCATCCAACATTCCAGATATCAACGCTGCATGCCCATGGGACTTCCAAAATCACCTCCGATGCTCGATAAATATCAGGTTGAATGTCTTCCAAGTGCTTCTCGTCACCGAATACACTCCCCCATAATGGAGGATGGACGAGGCATCGATGTTTGTCTTCAGGTCCTTGAACATCAAATGAGTCGACTTCAGGAGCTACCATGACTCGATGTGCTGCCAGTGCTGGTAGGTAGATTCAAGATACAAGTGTGATTGTTTCCATTATCTCTCATTGAATAGACTAAACGCGCAGTATTCACATGACCAACTCTTGATTCCAGTCTTTCTGTACGACCTACCAAGTGCAGGAAATCACAGAAGATAGACTCGTTACATGTGGAAACGAAGATTCCAAAATTTACAGATTTGAAGTCTATGCCACGGCCAAACCGTGGATCGAAAATTACATACCCAGGTGGTATGGTCAATATTACAGTACCTGAAAAAACAAAAACAAAAAAACAATGACAGCCGACACGTCGATCTGGCTGTTTCGGTCTCACTTCAGCACCAAATTTACCCCCCCGCCAACCCTCTTAGCACGAACTCAGTTTACTATTCAGAACCACCCAATAGCTGAGCCGAGATTCGTGGCTGACTTGCTAACCTGCAAAAGGCCTGGCATCCCAACGAACCCTCCTCAAGTGTCTCATCGGGTCCCGCACCTCATTCCTGGCATGGAGCCATCGTCGATTCTCAACCAAAACAATCGACCCACTGGGTAGCACTTCCGGCGAAAGAGGGATCGTGCTAGATTTCGCCTCGGGGCTCCGCAACATACTTTTCAGCTCTTCGAACGCCTGGCCCGCACTTGGCGTTAGCGGTGTGATGATATCTTCACGGAATCGCAGCCCATCACCGGGATTGGTCAAAAGGCTGCCAACGATGGATCTCTGATCATCTTTTTTGATGAACTCGGGCGGGACAGCGATACGGTATTCAGCCCTAAATGAATACTTCCGTGCCGTCGCGGAGAGAAGTGGCAGAAGGCGCGAAAGCTCCATTACAGAGAGTGTGCCGCCACCGCAGGCATCAGCGTGAAGAACCTGAAGTGCAAAGAAGCGTGGTGGACTTTCTTCATAACTGCAGTCTGTGTGCCAGGGAAATGACTCAGATGTCTCTGAGCGGGCTGGGGCGTTTTGAGGTGGCGATGTCTCAGACTTCGACGTTGATGCTGATGCTGATGCTGCCGTCGACTGAGGTCTTACCTCCCAAAACCAGCCTCGGCTGGAGCTATGTGTGATGGGTACACCGTGGCCGTGACTCGTGCTCAGGGCAGAAATCAACTGTGTGAGATAGGAACTCGACTCATCCGGAAATTTCAAGTTGATCTTGAGAAGTCCATGGCTTTGGAGTATTTCGTGGATCTGACCAACATGGCGGGGGCTGCGTGAGCTTTCCAGCTCATTGGCATCGAGCTCTTGCACTCCGGTCGAAAATCCTGTGATATGTGGTCAGTTGCCAGCGAGGCAAGAAAGTAAGATGTTTGAAAGAAAACATACGAGCTGTTGATCTCGGAATATGACATGATTTCATCGAAAGACAAGCAAGCGGTCTATGTGCAAGTTTTGGCATGGCTCTGATCTGAATTGAAAAACAGCTACCAAGATATCCGGTCAAGTTCTGGGTCGTTGGAGGCTCACAATAGACGGAATTCGCCCTAACTTAGTGACACTTGAGAAACCATGGTTCCACCAAGATCTGACAAGATCGCGGACTATCAAGCTCCCGGGGTACCTCAAGATTCAGTCCCACTGATTATTGGATCTTTAAATTACAGCTACTCGGGGTTCATTGCCCTTTACTGATACTGCCCTGGGCAGGGATTCATCGTCCAGATGAGACAATCAACCCATGACCAGCGCGCATTTTATTGAGACGTGAGACTCTCAGATTATGGGTTTCTTTGAGCCACGCTGTTCTTTGAGTCACGCAGTCTCAACACATAAGCCAAACACTGTGGTCTTGGAATTGAATTTGACACTATGAAAGCCACCAATCACTAGAAATTTTGCCACAGTGGGATTTAGCGCGACGGGCTAGGTTCTGAGCTAACCAAAACGAGATGAGAAAAAAACAAGAACAACAGACACAGCTTGAGCGGTCGTACAGAGTTCTGCGTATGGAGTATTTAGAGGATTTACAAGCGAAATGGAGCCTCCCGAGGTCCCGTGGCAAACAATTAATGCTCAAAACACAAATCGACGTTGCTCTTGCCCATATCCAATTCATCAGCCATGTCCGACTACTATTCCATTCGAGACATTCTCTCGGTAGCCTCCAGACACCCATTTTACAACCGTGAAGTGCAGTATCCGCCCAATGCGGAGGAAATAGCTCGGCTTCTCGACCCTCAAACGCAGACAGCAGTTCCAGAGCTTCGCAGTCTCCCTCTCACTCAAAAAGAAGACCTGTACGCTACACAACCCAGTGGTATCTAACTTTACAGTGGCACAAGTAATTAATGCTGCGTTGGACAACAGTTATGAGCAAATCCAACGCCTCTCTGCGGATGATTCTCCGCAGAATGATTTCCGGCGAAGTGTCTACACCAGTATCACCGGTGGAGGATCTGGAGGTGTACCAATGCTGTTTTTGACCGACTCGACAGAGAATCGGAAGCATCGACTGACAGCTGGTCGATTCCTGAAGACATGTGGACTCGTCGATCCTCGGGATTGGATTGTGACGGTGCATGTCTCTGGCGGTTTATCGCTCCCTCGATCTTCTCTCGGAGATGTTCGAAAATGCAGGCGGGAGTGTTCTTGCAGTTGGACATACAATGCCCATCAGTGACGTCGTGAATGCATTGATCAAATACCGAGTGAACGTCCTTAGTGGAGGTAGCAGTGGGATCTTGCAGATTCTCAACTACATTGCCTCCTCTGCAACCGAGGACCAACGCAGCGCGCTCAAGGTCGACAAAATCATCTATACATCAGAGCCGCTTGGCCGGCAACAGCGAGACTTTATTCGCTCTGTTCTTGGCTCTGTGAAGATTTGTTCCGTGTTGGGCAGTTCTGAGGCTGGGCCTTGGGCAGTTGCCAATTTGGCACTCACCGGTGAGCCAGACGACGATGCTGTTGAGTTCATCTATGACACTCGCACGATGGTCATCGAGATCCTGCCTCTGGAGGCCGCGGAAACGCCCAAAGAGTCTGTTCAGAGTGTGCCCGGACTTCCGGAAGGAAGTGTGGGGTGCATTGTGCAAACTTCCCTGCAGCGCTTGAGAAACCCGCTCGTGCGCTATGTCACCGGTGACATAGGATCGCTACACCCATTGCCCGCCGCAGCAAGAGCAGCGATACCCGCCGAAGAAGCCCAGCATCTACGAATGATCCGAATGCGGGGACGCGACAAACGGTTCAGCTTCAAATGGGATGGGAAATATTATGAATTCCACACTATCAGGGAGGTCCTGAGTACAGCCGAGTGGGGAGTATTGCAGTGGCAACTGATCCTGGCCGTGAAGGAACCGTCTCATTCAGTCAATTTTGAGGTGCGCCTGTTGCGCTCTACTACGGAAACGGCCAATCAAATCTCTGAAGCCGATTTGATCGAAAAGCTAAGGAAGCTGTTTCACGTTACCCCAAATAACAAACACCTGTTCAAGTTGACATTTGTGGGAGACAACGAGGGATTCATCCTCAGTTCTACAGGAAACAAAGTTATGAGTTTTGTTGATCGAAGTGTTCCGTCTTGATCCAAATTGAAAAATTGAAAATATTTACTGGATTGAATCAATATATTCAATTTTGACGATATCCGTTACTGTTCACTGCGCTGACCCGGCACCTGGCGATGGTTGAAGAAACCCCAAAGCCTGTCCCTGCAGGATTTCCTGCAGTTTCCACGTGAAACTCACAAAATTCAACCAAAATATGAGCCGGTGGGTCTGTTCAATTGTACAAAAACGGAGTGCTATGTATGATCCACACCGAATTACTTGAAAAAGGCAGGAAGCAGTCTAAAGATCATCGCATCGGGGTTGGCAAGTCTCCACTGTTCGATGCGTATTGTGTCGTATTATCGTGAGCTTGCGAAGGTATTTGATATTCAAGTAATTTTCAATACAATCTATAGCGATATCAATTGATGTATGCAGGTGTACAGGTATAGACTTGACCATGTCCAATGTCTATCTAATTTCCTCCTATAACAGACACCATCCATGCGCCTCCATGGCTGATGGCACATACGCGCCCTGGGCCACTGCGCCAACATCCAACGCCTAGATATTTCCCGTGGACAGACATGTACGTCCCAACAAGACGATTGCGCTGCAAACCTTCCTCCTCTCTCAATAATACTTCATACAGGGGTTGTTCGACCTGACGTTGTACCACGTAGGTAGTGCCTCCCTGAACCAAACCTGCATTTCCAAGTCCTCGCAGCTTTTCGTTCCATTCTTCAGGCGTTAAATCGTCACCGAATAGGATTCCTTCGCCCTTGCCCCCGCGCACAGGTTTGAGGATGTATTTGTCCTTGAAGGTCAACTCTTTCTGGCATTTCTCGACGAAGACTTTGAGCTCTGGAGAGCCGGGGAGAATGGTATGCACAATGCCTCGGCGCAGAACATCCGCTTGACGCCTGGTAAGAATACCATGCTTGTGAGACAAAGAATCCAGCTCCTGGTGAATAATTCCTAACATCCTCTTGTCGTGTACCAAGAATAGGGATCTGAATTCGTTGAAGCAGCGCTCAGAAATATGCTGGATCATATCGGTCGACAGTGCCCGAAGTTCATGCTGGTGCAATTCAAGTGCTACCTGGTCAATCACTTCCAAAACCTCTCCTGTCTCCTGATCGGTGAATACCGAAGACTTTGGGTGTTTTGTGTTTTCTGACAATGCTTGCTCAACATCAATCACACAGCAGAGCTTGTAACCGGTCTTCGAGGCTGGATCCGACACCAGTCGCAGATCCTGCGGAGAAATTATCCTGGGAATAACTCCGGTTCGTCGCTCTGCGCACTCCAGAAACATGAGGATATCGTGGCCTCCCTCGGTGCCTTTGAGGAGATGGAGTGGTGTCTCAGGATCGAACAACGTGAACAGTCCGTCAACTATCTAAAAATCCAATTGTTATGATCTTTTCCACTCATATGAACAGCGGAAAAATCCTCTTCAATGAGATTTTGTTACTCACTTCTGCGGACTCTGCCCCTCCGCTGAACCCATTTTCTTCAGCCCCTAGAGCAAGTAAAGCTTGCTGCCCATATGCAGTGATGAGGAATCCATTGAAAGCAAATCGGGCGTTAATTTCGCAGATACGAAATTGCTCTTTCGGCTTTTCTTGCGCATCGAGTGTCGGGACCTCTTCGATCAAAAAGTCTGGTCTCCAAGAGCCTTGATGTTTTTCAAATGGACGGGATGATTCCTTACCACTTTGTGAATCGATCCACTGCCACTTGTCAGCCTTGCAATTCCAGCTCTGGTTAGCTTCTACCGGGAGAAAAATCTTACCCGCAGAAGAAGTTCTTCGTGTTCATCAAGCGGCATTCTCTTCCAAAAAGCCGCCTCTTCGTCCCTCCACCATCTTTCCACAATATTGTTAATTGCTAGCACCAGCGCCTCGTGCAATTCTTTCAGATCATCCGTGTGATCTTTGGTCATCCGCATTGGATGCGGACAACTCTGCAAATGCGCATCGTGTGGCCACCCAAACTTGGGACAGGGCACTCCGAGCGTCTTCGTATTCAATTCTCGCTCTCGTAGTCGGGTGGATTTATCTGTCTGTGCTGGAGATACAAGGTGTTCTTCGGCATCGCAGGTGTTATTGCTCAGCGCGAGAGAGATTTGACGGAGACGACTCTGGGTTTCAACTGGCATTTTGTTTTCGTCGTGATATCTGAAAACCTTGGGACGAGTTAGTTTCGGTAGTGGACAGATATGAGAAAAATTAGAGGAATAGAAGAGAACAGTACATCGCTTCTTTTCCCTTTTAATACTTAAGTATGCCTAGCCTAGACTGGACAATGGATACTTAGGCAACGAATGGCAAGTTTTAGTTTTCTTTCTCTTTTGTGACCGTTTGGTAATGCAAATTCCGGTACGACACCTGTTTTGTACATAACGAAGCGCGATAAATTACACGGCTTGTGTTAACTCCTACTGCTCAAGTGTTATATTCTAGTTGTCATTTCATCATATAGATCTATTCTTTGCTTGAGTACCCACGAAATGCTCGTGACTCTAGATCATAGGATTCATCGATCTTCGAGAGACGGAAAGGAGGAAAACAGAATCTACATAGTGGTGAACTATATAGGGCATATAGTCGAAAAAGTAAGAGTCCTATATGGCAGAACTCACAAGTGTCCTGCTGTACCTGTTTCAACCTCGACATGTTGAAGCACGTTCTAACTATGAAGCCCACCTTCTGGCTTCGATGTATTGTTGGGCATGCCTGTGGCCTCCCAATTGTGGTTTCGTCGGACTCTCAGACCTGATTGTGAGCAGTATAATACCCCAACGTTCTTGGGATTCCCTCCTGGAAACTTCATCCTTAGCACCCGCGATTGCACGAAAGGCCCAAAGAACCAGAAGCAGTTCACTGAATCTGATGTTCGACTCGAGTTCCGACACCAAGTGAGCCTGTGAGCGTCCCAATCACAGCGACACGGACGATAGGATCCAGGAGTATGTGTATGAAGCCAAGTTCAGATTGGGGAGGCAGCACCTGTAGGATGTATGGGAGTTGCCTATTCGTTGCCTATTGTTCGATCATGTCTATTGTTCGATCATGTGTATACATGTTCACTTCACCCTCATTCCCTCGCTGTCTGCACCTTCGTTGCCTAAACTTTTCCCTTACCCTTTGTTCTCCTACCCTCTTCACTCTGATTGTTCTCCCTTCCGAGGTCGACATCCAACTTTGACATCCAAACTATTTCAACCGAACTCTTTGCTCAACTCTTCTCTTCCTCTTCTCACATCTCTTGCGTGTTCTCGCTCTCCTACGGAGCCTCTGCTACAAGCTTTTGAACTTCCACCTTGACGCTTTCTCGAAGATAACTTCATCTCATTATGCCCAACGTCCTCGTCCTCGGGGCCACCGGCTACTTGGGGCTTGCCGTCGCCAAGGCCCTGAACCGATCCGGAAACTACCACGTCTGGGGTCACACACGCTCGGCCGCCAAGGCCAAGCTGCTGGAGGTCAATGAGATCATTCCAGCGGTAGGAGACATTACCAATGCATGGAATCTCACTTCAATCATTGCCAAATACCGCATCAACGTGGTCGTCGACGCAACCACCACCGCCGGCAAAGAAGCAGACAAGATTGCGGAGGCCGTCATGCGCGTTGGAAAATATCAACAGGACATAATGGCTGACATGAAGACCTGTGGACCGAAGTTGGGATTTGTCTACGTCTCTCGAGCTGGCGTGCACGCCCCTCCGGAGCTTCCAATTCTCAGCAAGCCGAAACACTCGGACACGACTGAGGTTCAAACCATCAAAGCTGCCCCCCGTCGTCCCCCGATTGAACGCATGATCCTGGCCGCCCGAAGCTTCCTTGACGTTGCCATCATTCGACCTCACGCGGTTTATGGTCACGCAACTCCCGTTCTGGGCCAGCTGTGGAAGGATCTTGTGAACACCGACCCACAGAGCACCGAGCCCATCGAGATCCACGCAGATGCAAATCTTCACTTGGGAGTGGTTCACCTTGACGATGTGGCTGCAGCTTTTGTCACTACGATTGATGGAATCCACGGCCGTCTGGGCGATTGGCCTGTCTTTGATCTCTGGGCAGAGTCGGTGCGCGTGGATGATATCATGGAAGCTGCCAAGGCGGTACTGGGGATGGACCTGCCGTTGACCTACCATTACAACACTGAATATCACAACTTTGATACCTGGGTGCTGGAGAATGTGTCTGACGTCTCCAACGCGAGGTGCGTGCTTGGTTGGAGCCCAAGGAGGGTGACCTTCCTGGCTGATTTGCGGATTTATCTGCGGGCCTACATTTCGGCTCACTAATTCGTCACCAAGGACTCGTGAGGAGGAGTCTGATGGAAGCCGGGTCGTTGTACTGGGACTTCAGAGGTTATATGGGGGTTGAGACTGCATTGCGTTTTCACGTTTCACGTTTCCCATTTCTTTATTTTTACTTCCAATTTGGGAAGAGGCATATTTGCGCACTATCATTATCATTATTTTTATCTTTTGGACCGACTTAGCTACATCAATTGAACAGCATCAAATTCGCATACAAGGCTCAAACCTTGGAATTCCGGAATCAATTCTGTTTTGGGGTTCGCCCCAGGCTTAGTGTAGACAGTTAGCCAACTCCCCTCTCTTTCTTTCTCTCTGTTTCTATGCCACCCCAAGAGCCGAGGGAGTGGGCTGTTTCTGTCCGCTTTTCATTTGCCGGTAGGTTCAGGAGCTTCATCACGACAAAGCCCAAATTGAGGACCCGTAAATTGAACGACGACAGGAGATTTCATTGACACCATGAATCGGATTGTGATGGCAGCACTATGAAACAATCTGGTCTCAGCGTGAGGCTTCAAATGCTTTGCGGTTTACAGGTGTCAACGGCTCCCCGGCAAATCCCCCCTTCTCTCCAACAACAGCCAAGATATTCCGCATGGCATTCAGCTCGAAGTTGATTCTCGTGTCAAGGGCTCCACCCCCAATATGAGTTGTCAAAGTGACATTATGCATCCCAGCTAGGACGGGAGATACTTGAGGCTCACGGTAATGCACATCCAACGCTGCCGACGAAAGATGACCAGACTGCAGAGCTTTGATCAACGCCTCCTCATTCAGAACCTCCCCTCGAGCAGTATTAACAATCCGACTACCAGGTTTCATCAGTCCAAGTGCCCGCTCATCGATCAAGTCGAAAGTATGCGCGTTAAGCGGCGTATGCAGCGAAACACAATCAGCGACCTTCAACAACTCATCCAGAGAACCATGAAACGTCGCCCCCAGTTCCGCTTCGACATCCAAATCCGCACGAACAATATCGAAATAATGAATCTCCATACCCAGCGCCATACGCGCTTTATACGCAAGTTTTTTGCTGATATTTCCAAACCCAACAACACCTAAGATATGACCGCGCGGGTTCTGCGAGATCGTCGCAATCAATTTATGCGTCGCTGTGAATATTTCCGGGTCTGCTGTCCGCGCTGCAAGTTGTGCGCGAGTGAAGTTTCGGAATACACTCAGAATCATATAAAGTGCTGTGTCTGAGACTGCCTCGTCTGATGCACCGGCCCCGTTGGTATACCAGATCTTGTGCTGGCCGAGAATATCGACGTCTGCCCAGTTGAAACCAGCCCCTGCTGAGGCGAAGATTCGAACGCTGGATGGGAGGTACGAGATGAGTTCTTTGTCCCATTGGCCCATGAATCCGCCTGTCTGGAAATGGGGCCGGAAGAGGGCTGAGAATTCCCCGTATCTGCGGCTCGTTAGGTGGTTTTCACTTGAATGGGCTGATGAAATTCATACTTGTTGCTTTTGAGTGCTTGGATGAATGTCTCTCTGTCTGTTTCTGTTGCTTGAATGACCTTGAAGCGAGACTGAAAATCATTCTCATAGAACTCATGGTTGTACTTGATGGCATCTCCAAGGTGGAGGACGATTGGTTTGGGTGATACAGATCCCATTTTGAGTTCGAAATGGACAAGGCAATAAGTATTTACTTTCCAGACGCTGTCTCTATTTATGTTCAAACTGGCGAACTGATTTCCGCGCTTTATCCGAAGACATCGAAGATTACGGAGAGAAAGCCGACTCAACCCCAAGGTGAGCGTTCAAGGGTTCCGGAACACCTCACCAATGGCATTCGCCACATAATCGATGTTGCTCTCATTCAATCCACAGACACTCATTCGACCGGACGGCAACAGATAGACATGATATACCTCCCGGAGACGCGAAACCTGCGCCGCGGTCAAGCCGGTATAGCTAAACATGCCGATCTGCTTCTCAACATTCGACCAGTCACGCTGAGTCTCTTCCTCCAGCTTCTTTCTCAGCAAATTCCTCATGCGATGAATTCGTGAACTCATGGTATCCAGGTCCGCTTTCCACTGTGATCTGAGATCCTTATCACCAAGGACCGTCTCAACAATACTCGCTCCATACCGCGGCGGGTTCGAATACTCCGCTCGTGAAATCAGCATTAATTTAGACCGCGCGCCCTGGGCGGATAGAGACCGCGGCACAACTAAATGCAACGCACCAACACGCTCGCCGTATAGTCCAAAGTTCTTAGAGAATGACTGGGCAACGCACAGACCCGGGTGCGACTCTGATGCAAGAACAGCTTCGGTGAAATATCGAACAGCCCATGCATCGCCATCCACATCACCCGTTGCAAAACCCTGGTATGCACTGTCGAAAACGATGAACAATTTCTTCTGTTGCACCAGCTCGGCCACTTGCTCCCATTGGGCTTTTGACAAATCGACGCCTGTGGGATTATGCGCACAAGCTTGCAGAATGACGGCATCGTTAGGCTTAGCCTGTTCGAGGGACTGCAGCATCCCAGCCATGTCTACTTCTTTCGTCGAGGGGGAGTAGTATGGATACTCGACAATTGGAACCCCGGCCATCTGCCAGATGGATTTGTGATTGATCCACGTTGGAGAAGGAATGAAGACTTGGCTTGGACGCAGGTGATTGGCTAAGAAGGTGGCTGCGACATGGTTTGCACCTGTCCCAGAGACAGTTTGGATTGATGCTGCATTTTCCTGAAGGTAGGCTGCGAGAGGTCCGAAAACAAGCTCTTTGGCTTGTTTCACGAAGCCAGGAGATCCTGCTATACCGAGGTATTCATGGGTGGCGTCACTGAGTCGCTTCTTTGCCTGTTGTTGTTGTTAATTGCTGTTTTTCTTGACACGGTGGGCTCAGTGGTACCTCTTTTACACTTGGGAGAACCCAAGGATCCCCATTCTGGTTGCGATATGCTCCAGCGATCAGAGATACCTTTCTCGGGTGAGAGTCGGCTTCAAAGTCGGCCATCAGTCCGAACGCAGTATCTGCGGGCGCAACCGCGAGGTCGAGGTATTGTGCTGACATTTTGGTATTGGTTGCTAACAGAGAGTATTGTTTGGCTTTATTGCACCGATAAGCGGGAGAGAAGTACTTGGACTGTAAATTTATGAATATCCGGTGAAGCGGCATGGCTCTCGGTAACCGAATGAATGCCGGCATGGTGGTATAACACCGTCGTCAATTTCCGGTCACTGGAGAGAAACCTCAAACAGCTAACAGTTCGGTGACTCAACCACCCAAGTGAGCAACCAAAATAGCCCTGGAAGGGCGTGAATCCGGACTTGAAGCATTTACTTGACTGGGCCAACTCGGCGTTATGACAGGTTGCCGATATTTGCCTCTGAGCCAGAATTTCTTCACCGAATTATCACTTCGGTTCAAGGCTATAATTTTGAACTTTCGGTCAGATTGTCATTTGCCGACATTATGAAGCGACATGAATATTGGTCAAGCATGGCGCGCACCACCAGTCACCTACATATAGCACCGCCCAAACTCTTACGCACATCTTCAATTCTGAATTACTTTTGGCTTGCAATTCTTACCGATCTGTCCACCCTACTCGGAGCAAAATGAGTCAATCAATTCTGGATCGACTATCTTCCTTAGATACCAACACAGTATCTGATGCTCTAGACTTCCTAGGCCTCAAAGGAGCCACCTACGGCCTGCAACCACTATGGGACTGTCCAAAGATTGTCGGACGCGCCAACACAGTGAAAGTGGGCCCCAAAACCGAAGCTGCGCCTGCAGTCCATCTTCTCACGCCCGTGATCGATGCGGTGACGACGAATGATCGTATTCTCGTCATTGCTGGTGGCACAGAAGGTGTTTCGTGCTGGGGTGATATCATCGCCAATGCCTCCAAAATGAAGGGTATTCGGGGAACTATCATCGATGGTATGAGCCGGGATATCGATGGTAGCCGCGATGTCAGTTACCCTGTTTACGGTCGCGGTGTCACGATGATCAGTGCTCGCAACCGGGTCGTTCAGTATGATTCCGGAAAGCCGCTGGAGATGCGGGGCGTTACTGTCAATCAGGATGACTATGTCATTGCGGATCGATGCGGGACGGTGTTCGTCCCTGCGGACCGTATCGAAGAGGTTCTGGATCTGGGAGAGCGGATCGACCGTCGTCAAAACCTGATGGTCCAGGCAGTTCGTGCGGGTCAACCTGTTTCTGAAGTTATGCACGATTCTCAATTTGAGGCTATTCGCGCAGATTCATCAAAGTCTGCCGTCTCACTTCCACAGACTTCAACCCGCAATCCAAAGAAAGCAAGCGCCGAAGACGAAGAGTTGGTCGCGCTTTTCGCCGATTCAGATACCCCCGGTGTCTCGGATGCACTTGATAAACTTGGTATCTCTGGACAAGCGTTCGGTATCATGCCTTTGGCCGATTACAGCAAGGCCACCGTCGGACCGGCCTTCACTGTCCGTTACGTGCCGGCCAGCGATCCACCCGGCAGTGTTGGTGATTTCATCGACGATGTTGCCATTGGCGATGTTGTAGTGATTGACAATGGAGGCCGCACAGATTGTACTGTCTGGGGCGATATCATGACTCAATACGCCGGAATGAGGGGGATCGCCGGCTCTGTAATCGACGGGGTTTGTCGAGATGTGAACCGGGCCCTTGGCGATGACTACCCGCTCTTCACTGCAGGACGCTGGATGAGAACTGGGAAGGATCGCGTTCAGGTCGGTGGAGTCAATGAGTCTATTGGCATTGGCCAAGTGCGTGTTGCACCGCGTGATATTGTCGTTGCCGATGCCAATGGTGTTGTTATTGTTCCCCGGGCTCGGGCCCGAGAAGTCGCCGAAGTTGCGAGAAAGGTCGAGGAAAGTGAGGCTGGGATTCGGAAATTGATTTCTGATGGAGCTACTATTGCTGAAGCACGGGAGAAGCTTGGATATCATACACTTCAACGTAAGGCATAGAAGGAAATCACTAGATGAGAAAGGCCAACTGATGTTTTCCACGGACTTTCAAAAGCCAGAGTCTAAATAAACAAGGGAAACGAAATCAAACTCACAATCCTGTATCTCTTTATCACCCATCTCGTGTGAAGATGTGTCACTGTTCAACTTTTAGCTTGGAAAATGCGCTCGGAGTGGACCAGGAGCGAAACACACTGAGGGATAAAGGTTGGAGAATCAGACTGAAGTTCAACTGAAGATCGGAGAGAGGCGTCGGAGTATCGGGGAGAGTCACTTGTAAATATTGGCTTCTGATTGGCTGCAAAGCTCTATGGTTCTACAGCCATTCAATCTGTTTGACCTTAGTGGGCTGATTGCGCTACCTAGGCACATTGCAATGATTACCTGGCTCTCATATTCGAGACTCAATGCTAAATGTACAGTGCACCAATATCGTCCCCATTATAACACATTCAATGACTATAAAAAGAAGCCTTTATCCACAATGCCATTCTGATGTCCTATATATCCCATCTCTGTTTTTTCACTCTCACTCGCGAGCAATTTGCAACTGAGCCGTGTACCAGTTCTGAATTGCACGAATGTCATAACTCAGTGCCACGGTGTCAAACACTTTCAAATGCTCCTTACATAGAGCACCATTGTTGGATAGTCGGCCGACCCATTTTCCATGGTTGCGCGCAGCCCTGACGATCTTCTCAATCGCATTAACAAACTCAGGCTCATCTCCCCTCGCCGGAACGTATCCAAGTATCGACAAGGCGAGGTCATTGGGTCCAATGAAAATCATATCTTGGCTCAAATTAGCACAACCACCCTTCCCACGGGGTTGAATCACTTACCAATACCGGGTACAGCACAGATTGCATCTACATTCTCGACTCCCAATTTCGATTCAATTTGAAGACAAGTGATGATTGTTTCATTTGCTGTCTTCAGATAGGTTGGGATATCAACGCCATGAGCGATGCCCGGGAACGCTGAGCCTTGGCCTCGAACCCCTTGAGGAGGGAATTTCGAATGCGATACAACGGCTCTGCCTTCCTCGGCGGTGTTTATTTGAGGCACGACGATACCGCTTGCCAAGTTAGTAATTGACAGCTGGGCGGGATATCGACCTTACTGTGCACCGGCATCTAAGGCTCTTTTGATCAAATCTGCGTGCGTCATTCTGAGACGAACGAGTGGTGATACACCCATTGCAGCTATAGCAGCCGTGGAACTGTGCATAGAGTCATCGCTGATGTTTCCATGCTCACAATCGATGATGATGCCCTGCAGGTTCCAAGGTTGTTAACTGAAGACTCTTGTTTTGAAGAGAAAAACTCACCTCCAGTCCGGTCTGAGCCACGATTTGCGCTGACCGGAAGGAAGGCAGTCCTAAAAATGTCATAATGGGCTTAGAGCCAGCTCGGAGAGCGTTGAGAAGGCGTAGTTGAGGATTGTGAATCATTGTTGTGATAGGGGATCTATACGGCGTCAGGTCAGTCATGAAAGTTGTGCTAGATGTTGAAATTCAGGGTATAAAGAGATGGGATCCAAATCAAAGACTTGGAGCTTCTCGATATTTCTGGACTTTTAGTTCTTATCTAAATTCACCACTACATCTCTGCGTGCCCAGGTGTCGGGAAAACAGAATTACCCCGAGTGGACCGCCGGTGCTCTTTAAGGGTTAGTAATTCGGTGCGCCTTCTAGAATCTTGAGCTAGAGTTGGATTTATACGAGCAATTTTATGACTCAACCTGTACTTAGACAGAGGCCGGAGTGATGATATCCTTGACGGTTGGGGGACCGAATGGTTGCATCTTCTATACTTCCATCCTAATTGACATTATGAATTCAACGCCAAATGCGAAAGTCGATCATTCTATATTTGTACGTTCTAATTTTTATTTTGTATGTATTCTATTTCAATTCATTCTTCGCAAAAAAATTCGCAATCCGACGCCACATCTCGACCGGGTTGGAATACATGGGGAAATGTCCACTCTCCGGGATAAGCGCCAACTCCACACCCTCCTTTTCCAACTGCCCTAGATACGACAATCCGCGGTTTTCCTCTCCAAACATGAACATCTTCGGACACGGCAGTGCTAGGAACATGCCCAGAAGATCTCCACTATCCGATAGCTGCACCATGGACTCGAAGATCGCGCGCACAGCACCGGCACGTACTCTCGCACGCAAAGTGCTCGCATACAGAGGGTTACCGAAGGACTTTGACTCGCGAGTACGAGTGATAAAGGCATCGAGGAAAACCTCCGGGTCATCAGAGGGGAAGCTGAAAATTTGCCGGCTGAGGAAACAATCCTCTGACGCGAGGTTGCCTTTGATGTCCACGAAGCTCAGGACTCGATCGGGGTGGCTGTGCGCAAGAAGCAGCGCAGTCAGACCGCCCATGGAGTGGCCCATTAGATGAAATTTGGTGATTTGGAAGTGGGACAGGATTGCCTCGGCGGTTGCCACAAGGAATGGGATATCCGTCGCGGACAGGTTGTCACTGTCTGAGTGCCCGCAGCCGGGCGCGTCAAAGGCGATGAATCCATGGTGCTGCATGCGTGGGTTGACAACAATGTCGGCTAGATCTTCCTTGCAAGAGCCGAAGCCATGTAGAAACAGGATTGGTGGTGTTTCCTTCAAAGTGTGGATTGTGGCGAGGTTGAGGTTGACTCCTTCAACTTGGAGTGGGATTTGCGCGTATGTGAGCGCCATGATGGGTAGCACAGACTGGGATGGGAAGAGAAATAAGGGGGTATGTATCGTGAGTAATTGGTCTTTAAATGAATGGCTGATATTTAGGCGCGAGAAGTTAAATAGAAAGCGAACTTCGATGAATTGACGATTGGTTTCGGCGAAAAGTCTCCTTGCCGAGCAGATCTTCAATTTTCTGTTCCGTAGTGAAGGGATGCGGACACATGGGATTATAAAGGAATTGGTTTCAAAATTCATGCTCGCGCTGCTCTCCAATTATTCCAATATGTGTTTCCATTTACTCCTGTTGCACCGATCCTTGAGCTGGGCTTATAGATCAAGATATCTCTCTCTCTCACTCTCTCTCACTCTCTCTTACTATCCCTCCCTTCCTCTTTAGCATCTCCCCCGCATATACATTCACAGTTGTTTCCTTGTTATTTTCTCTTCAAATTTTTCACTCATGTTTTCTCAATCCATATTCGATTCGAGAATCGGTTTCTCCTATTACCTGAGACTTTGAACAATTTTCATGAATGACGTCATTGAAGGGAACCAGACGAGGGCAATCATAGAAGTTCGAATGCTTGATCAGCAATATCAAAGTCAAATTGCCTGCATCTTCAGTGAGATCAAGCATGCCCGATACGCTAGAGCTCTTGCATGTCTAATAGCCTCAATCCGTTGCGGGCTAGGGAGTGGTCTGCTTCGTAAGTTTCTTCTTTCCTATTGGTTCGCAAATAGTTGAGCTGCACCAGTCTTGAGCCAATCAGAGAGCTCGTGGTAGACTGATTATTCGCCCAATTTGGAAATTGGGAGATGCATTTCTAAGATGGCGCTTTATTCATCAGGCTTTCATGGCAAGTATTTGAGAGTAAGTACTATATATTGAGGCGAATATCCATCCATTCGCTGTATCAAACAATCCCATCAGCTCAAACAACCTCCCAATTCAGATTTCATCATGCCTTCTTATCTTGTTACTGGTGCCAGCCGTGGCCTCGGGGTGAGTGAACAGTGATATCGCCATACTAATTTGCATGCATTAATCAAGACACTAGTTCGATTTTATCCGACAGCTTGCTCAAAATCCCACCAACACTGTGATCGGTCTCGTACGCGACAAAGCTGCGGCCGAGAAAAAAGTGCTCGAAGAGGGGCTTTCCAACGTCCATATAGTGAAGGCCCAATACATTGACTACTCTTCGCTCAAGGTGCGAGAAACATGGATCTTCAAGCGCATTATGCTAACTCCAAGCAGCGGGCTGCGGAAGAAGTCAAGGAGATCACCGGGGGTGGTCTGGACCACCTTATCAACAATGCAGCTGTCGTATCTCACATCAGCGAATTCAAAACTTTCAAAGACTTGTATGTGCTAGCTACATGAACCTGCACTAGAGATCAGCCAAGCTAACTGGTCATTGTCACAATCTTAAGTGATCACGACTTTGAAACTTTGGAGAAAGACCTTCTGGAATCTCTAGAGATCAACCTTTTGGCTGTCATCAAGACAGTGCAAGCCTTCATCCCACTGATCCGCCAAGGCAAGCAGAAGAAAGTCCTTTCGATCTCGACTGGAATGGCAGATCTAGACCTGATCAACGCAACCGAGGTTGATTTCGCTGCTCCCTACGCTATTAGCAAGGGGGCGCTCAATGTGACTGTCGCAAAATACAACGCGCTATACAAGAAGGAGGGTATCCTCTTCCTCGCTGTCAGTCCTGGTTACGTGGCAACTGAGCGAAACCAAGGTATGTGCAGACGAGCTTGGAATGCTCATTCACACTAACTTTTGCAAAGTCGAACCAGCGAAAGAAGATGCCGACAAGGTCGCAGTGCTCGTACAAAAGTTCGTTGAATATGCCCCTCATTTCGAACGCCCCTTGGCGCCTGCAGAGTCGGTTTCAGCAGTTCTTTCGGTGTTGGAAAAGTCCTCAATCGCAAATGGGGATGGTGGTGCATTTATCTCGCACCTTGGAAACAAGCAGTGGCTATAAATGGGCTTTTGTTGGTAATTGTTTGCAGTCTCAACACCAGAATTTATAAGAATCGATGATGATGAAGCTACTTTGTTTTTCTGTAAGCCACTTTCGGTTTCGGCTTCCTTGCGGAGCGCCCGCAATCATTATTAATTGTGACGCCACGTCAATCTCACCGGTTCAAATGGCCACCTTTCGTGATCCTTGATGTTTTCATATAACATCCGAGCTTTTCTCAATCCTAGGCGGGTCGCTGTCAAAATACATCTGACGGCAAATTCTCCGACATGGGAAACCCTCGAGGTCCTTATCGTGTCGGGCTGCCCTCTAAGCGGGGCTGTTGGACATGTCGCGGTAAGAGAGCACGACCATTTCAGAGCTGCGAGACCGCTTCATTTTGAGCCCTGTATATCCTAACTTCTTGTTAGATCGGAAGATAGCTTGTGATCAGGGCCGACCCGGTTGTCAAAACTGTGTTGCAGCGGGCCGTAACTGTCAGGGCTACGGTCTGCGCTTAAGCTGGCCAGCTACCAAGTCTCGGCGGTCCATTGAACATGTTGTTCATATTAATCACAAGAAAGATTTAGTGCTTAAACACATAAAGGACACGCACTTCATCAATACCCTGACTGAGCATATCGAGCGTCTTTATTTGCAGGACTCTGCTTACATAGGTCGGTTAATTCAGTCTGATTTGTATTGGGATTTTCAGTTTTCACCTGCGGACTCTGTGCTTACATCCACGACTATATTTCAGGAAGAGTTCCGATATATGCATCTTGCATATTTCCCCTGGCAAATCTGAAAAATGCGCGACCAACCGTAGGCGACGAGCATCACCTGCTGACATTCTGTGAGAGCCCTGGGTTGTGTCATGAAATATCGTGGTCGATGCTGACATGACTCCTCTTCGAAAAGTTATGACCACAGTCGTAGACTCTATCATTCCAACCCGTGAGGATGGAAATAATTTTTGGAAACTTTTGTTCCAGCTCTCCTTCTTCGACGACTCACCCTCATCAATGGCAGTGCTTCGAGCAGTTTTATCCTTGGCCTCATTATATCGATATGGATATGGAGAAGAGCCACTTCGACTTAAAGTCGCTGCCATCAATTCACTGAGGACTTCAATGGGCGGACGAGTCACGGGGACGACTGAGATTTACCAGCACACAGCAGTGGGAATGTTGTTGTGTGTGTTTGAGGTATTTTCCAATCACCGTCTTTTCTGCACAATACTGATCTTATAAGACCTTCTGGCCCTCCGAGAGCTCTTTCCAATGGCCGCTGTACGTCTCCGGGGCCAAAAGCATGCTTCATTTCATTTGCGAAGGTGACCATCCCAAATTGATGGAGGTTGATATCCTCGTTCTTTGGGTGCATTATCACGACATCTTGGGAAAATTCACCTCGGTGCATTGGAGGGTTGAATCTACTGGAAATAAGCCCTTGTATAAAACACCCGGGATGGCTTCCGCATTGGTGACCTCCGTGGCCAAGAATCAAGTGCGTACTATCTCGAGTCAAATCTATAACCCGATTTAATGAGCTTGGTAGGTCCTGGGGATCTTCGGCTGTTCAATAGAAATGATCAATTTGATCTATCGAATGTCGAGCATCCAATCACAAGATGAAGCGGCGGACAATGGCGATTCGGAGATACCAGACACCTTGAGCTCTATTGAATACGACCTTGTTGAACTCCAACAAGACACAAGGGCGATGAGCTCCACCAACTCTCCAATGGAACTTGAACACAACAGCCAAATATCACAGCTCTACCGACTAGCAGGGTTGATCTATCTTGAACGTGTTCTCAAAGACACCCCCAACCAGGGCCGGCTAGCAAGATGGTCTACTGAAGCCTTTCACATCATCGGGCAATTAAAAATTTGCGAGCGACCCTTTCCAATATTCTTTGTCGCCTGTGAAGCTCGAACCGATGACAAGCGACAGTCAATCCTAGCGATATTGGACAGAACACAACAGACAGCACAAGGTAACGGGCTATGCGCCACTCGACGGATGATAGAATCGATGTGGGTTCAACAAGATCTGGCTTCAGACATTGAAGATTTGAAATACGTGGATATCCTAAACACCACCATATCATCCAGCGAATCATTGCCAACACTAGCATAACGGAACATAGACCATGGTCTGCAACGTCGAACCCGATGTCACGCCAGCTGTCTATTTCTTGTGCTCATATTCTTCTTCTGTCACAGCATCATGCCATTCAGTAGTCCCGAGCCCGACAACGAAATGCGTCATGATACTGTTCTCGTCCGCCCCGTGCCAATGTGTCGTGCCGGGCTGAGCCCAAACAACATCACCAGTTCTCAGACGCTTTGGGACCCCTCCTTTGTCACAAATCCATCCGTTCCCCGCGACAACCCGAATGAGCTGGCCTTTCTCGTGAGTGTGCCAGTGCGTGCGGGCGCAAGGGGTAAAGGTGACATTTGCGATGGATGCGTTGGTGTCGAAGTGGATGGGATCAAGGTAGACGTCGCCGGTGAATGTTTCGGTCGGTTTGATGCATTTCGCGGTCTCTTGGTGGCCGCCTTTGATGACTATTGACTCTGGCATGGTGGGATTGGCTGTTCAAATTGAATAATCCGTTAGACTGGGTGATCTATACTGTTGATAGCCCATACCTTAATAGTGATGATGTTGTCTATGCTCTTGGCAAGCACTTGTAGTCTCTGATGAAATATGCGAATTCATGAACTTATAATGATTTTTAATTCTGAGGCTCACTTGGCCCTCCTGGCTAGTTTAAAGGGAGGGAAATCGTCGTTATGCGTGCGGCACGCAAGCGCCCCACTTGAAGTCATCACGATGCTGGGGCATTCGGCTAAAGCAGTAAATCCACCTAAATCCGGGCTGCTTACCCTCAAAAAGAAGCAAGAAGTCGATTCTTTCTGATGAAAAATTCCTTGCTTCTTGTTGGCTCGCTTTGTCAAATGCAATTTATAAAGTGTGATGACAGTTTCGGTGGTATCGGATGTATAGCGTCTTCCGATCAAAGGCCAGTGTCATCGCTGCAGAATATTCAACTTACTGCTATTTCACTAAGGTAACTCTATAATGCAAAGTAAGCAGTTCTCCACTTCTAAAGTTAGGTCCGGCCGAAAATTGTAATGAATGAAGATTATAAATTCGGGTACAACCTTGAACAGACTATAGCATCATCTGCGACAAGCAGATATAATCTCCCAAGACTCCCTTTGAGCACTAAAATACATTGAAATCAGATCACCAGATTGCATGGAAGAATCAAGGAAGCCGCAGCCTATACCGTGACTCGGTTAGCCTTGAGGTACTCATAGTCAGGCATCGCATCCCGAGTAGCCTTCTCAAGCAATTCAGCAACGTCATCACCAAACTCAGCCCTCCACTTAACGACCTCAGCATCAATATCAATGGATGTCGGTGCCTTCTCTTTATTGATTCCAGTCGAGCCCTCCAAAGACGAAAGCATGATCGCAGCCGCCTTCTGCTCCCTAGCCAACTTGGCAGGATTATGCGCGCTCGCACGATCAGGAGTCCAAGTCTCCGACTGCCTCTCATTGTCCTTCCACTCGAACTGCATGGATCCAGTATCCATACCAGCGCGCTCGCAGAATTTAATCACAGCACCGGGATTATGAATCACATCATTTGCATCGATGACAAGCGGCGTGACGGGTGCATCTGGTTGTTCGAGACACCAGTCGAAAAGCCGGCGCGTCCACTGCATACTCATATTCGTCAGACTAACACCCTTTGCGTCGTCATCTTCGAGGAATCCGGCTTTGCACATCTTCTGCATGGCGCGGTACAGGGATGGCCAGGCGAGTGCCGGGTGACGGATGATAAAGGCAAGCTGCCATGTGCGCAGATATTCGTCCGGTAAGACTGTGCTGTTGTTTTGAGAGAAGGTCTGCGACGACCCGTATGATTCGGGGACAGTAACTTGGAAAGACTTGAGGTCTTCGTCGGATACGGCGCCGTGGGTCATGCCGGAGAAGAATCCTGGGTTTAGGAACCAGAAGGCGTGCTCTTTGGCGAACATCATTTTATTCTCGGCGCGGGCGCGCGCCGAATATTCTTCCAGGTCGGTGACGGCGTGTTGGAAGGCTTTGTGGACTTCGGACTTTTCTTCTGTGGTCCATTCGCCTATGGCTTTGTTGAGACGGCCATCTTTGCCGGCCGTCATGAAGGCATCGTAGAAAAAGTAGCCGCCCTTAGGGCTTGTGATCACATTTGGTTGTTTGGGGATGTTCAAAACCTTCAGGAGAAGATTGGAGGCCGTGCGAGGCACACTGACCAGGATCATTCGATTTGGGGTATTTTGCGTAGCCATGATGTTTATCGCTGAGATCGATCTGAAGGATTCGGTGGCTGACAATAATTAAGCTTAAGTCGGTATGAAGCAATGAGAGCTGTACAAAATGGCTACATTCCGGAGACAGATGGCGTGCTGATTAAATACATCTTGAAAATCTCCGAAGATCAGCGCAGTTTTTACCCCGAGAGCCTTGAAAAACCCTTCTAGCCCCTCTTAACGCGCAGAGTGGGTCATAATCTGACAGTTAAGGGAACTTTCGATACTTTGCCGACATCGTGCGATGCAGATCATCGCTGAATTCCCACATGGAGTCGGAGGCCGAGCTCCGACCGCTGTTTGTCGCAGTTTGGCGGATGGTCGTGGGGTGCATTCTTCACAATGTATGTACGTAGCCTGTTATTGGAGTGTGGGTAGTGATCGGCACTCGGTGCGGCCATTCATGGAGCGCGATCAGGTTTCAGACGGGCTTAGTTGTCTCCGACCCGAAGTTTTGTTGATAATCAGTTTCCACTCTGTAGGGGAGTACGAGTATAGAGTTGACTTTCCGGGTTTGTCGTGCAGCATTGGACTTTGGCCAAGACCCAATGTGGGAACCAAAGGCGAATGAAACTCAATCGGCAAATGATCTGTCACGGCGTAGTCACATCGAGACTTTTGCTTTTCAGTCCTTAGACCGGACTATTTAGTCTGCGTGCAGCTTCTTTCTAGACTGAACATCTTGGCGTTTCATGGCCAATTTCATCCAGTCTGGGGTGCCACTTAATGTTGTCAGTGGTAGTAAAGCAGACGAAACCGAGGGTACAATTACGGATAATTTGTGCCACAGGCTATCTCAAAAGCAAAGATCGTGGGTGAAATACACCCTCGGAGGGATATCATTGAACTTAAAAATTACATTACTACCATCCTGTGAGTCATCTGATCCCACATCATTTGACATACAAGCAATATCACCCGAGTCCGAGATCACTCAGAGTCGCTAGTCTCCTCGGCCTTCGCCAAAGTCTGCTCCTTGGTAAGGATCGGGTTACGAATCACCATAGCAAAGGCGATCAGCGGCACCGTGAGACAGATACCTGTGATGCAAAGCAGACGCTGGGTGTGTTGGTAGGCCAAAATAACGTTGTCGCGATCGGCTGTGCCAACGGGCGTAGCGGCTGCGAATTCAAGGGGCTTCGCATAGACATATGCGGCCAGGGTCTCGTTGCCAAGCCTGTTGATAAGCTCACCGGGCAATACCTGGTTCCAAATCGCACCCGAGATGGTGTTTCCAAGAGCACTGCCAATGTTGTAGGCGGCAAGGAACAGACCGGTGATGACGGCGAGGTCTGAATTTGGTTAGTTGGGTTTTTCTTGTTGTCGAGAAATTACTTACTTTCATGCCTTGAGGCAACTTGGATACTGGCTTGAGCGGGGTATGGGAACATTCCACCAGCTACTCTCGTTAGATATCTTCGACACCATGGTGGGTTATTTACTTACCAATTCCCAGAAGGACCTGTGCACCAATAACACCGGAGTGGCTGGAGCCGGAAGTTCCACCTCGGAAATGAATCAAAAGTCCAAAAGCAACAGTGAACAAGACCGTTCCAGCAACAATGAAAGGCTTCAGCTGGCGGACTCTGATAACGATGAAGCCAAGGATAACACCGGTGATGACAGATACGAAGCTGTAAAGTGAGGTAATGCGGGTCGCACTGAGAATCGACTCGTCAAAGCTGACGTACAGAACAGTGTAGAGGAAATCTCCCTGAAGGTACCAGGCTAATAAATGTTAGAGATGGAGTGGGGGTCCGTGATGAGATCACATACCAGTGTTGAGCCAGATAGGAATTGCAAGCGCACCCCAGACAGCACGGTCTTGAAGAAGCTGGACAACATGTTAGCCAAATCCCAAACCTGCTTGCGGAAACTATTACCTTAAATGGCACCATGGGGTGCTTGCAAGTTCTCTCCCAATAGACCCAGACGGGAATCAGGAGAATTCCAATAACGAGTGGTGCAATAATCTTGGCAGTCTTCCACTGAGCAGTCACGCCACCAGCAAGTGTGAAAGGAACCAGGATGCAAGCCAACATGGCAATCATCAAGATCATGCCGACAATATCAAGGTGCCAAAAGAGCTCTGCTGCCATCTTTCTTCCGCCCAAAAGCTCAAGTGAGCTTTTGTATGACTCCAGCGATCCGGCCTTCTTCGAGCGACGCTGAACGATGAAAAGGACCGTGACAAGGGGAATGGCGCAGATAGGGTAAATAATGGCAAACATGCCAATACCCCATTGCCATGTGGTAACCTTCAAAACGGCCTCTGTCAGGTTTCCGCTGATCCAAGTGTTGATCTATAGTTTCTTAGCATGGACTCGTCTTGGTTTCGGTAATTGTGCACTCACGATGAAAGGCAGCGCCGGGACGTAAGAGAACAATAGACGAGATCGAGAGGATGTAACGTCGGCAATCAATACTTCGACCAGAAGCATGATACTGGTGTATCCGATCTAAGTTCGTTAGATGAGGCTCGTCGGGAGATAAGATGAAATCTCACCTGATAGATCACAGCACCGGCCGCAAAGGCAGAAACATTCTTTGCGCATGTCTCAACAATTGTGCCCACAGTATAGAACACAATGGATACAATGATCAACTCCACTCTCCCGAACACATCTGCAATCTTGGCCGCGGTGGGCTGCGCAGCGGCAGCAATAACAGCTCGAAGAACATTAATCGTAGCAAGCAAACTGTGCTGGCTATAGCTCTGCGTGGCATATGGCTGTACCGCAAAATGTTAAATTCTTATCTCATCATGAGTTGACGACTTTCACTGCGACGAACCTGGTATGTATAGCGAACCGTTCCGTCCAATCCATACACATAGGCGATCAGGAAAATCGCCAGAAACAAGAAGACCCGATCGACCAGTTTGAAATAAGAGGTGATTATCTCAATGCGACGGACACCCGGGCTGCCCTTCCCGAGGAGATTGATGTCATGCACGGGAGCGGATTCATTGTGGGGGTTCTTCTCGGAGGAAACAACGGGGATTTCAGCGACCGACGACATTGTCAAAATTGACCAGAAGTTGAAGAGAAGGATTCTTCGACGCGCATAAGAAGAGAAAAAAACCTTTTCAGCCAAGACTCCCAAGAGAAAAAAAAAATGTCTCGCAAAAGTCACTAAGATGGTCCAATCTTATCTGATTGCCTCGTGTGACCTCGTGGCCGAATTAGGCAACTCCCGTGGCACTAGCGCCTTGGTATACTTGTTCTCCGCCAATCATCTTCCTCAACGGCCACCCGGGCTCGTATGTTACCATGGGATCTGACCGTCAAGCGGGCTCGGCTGTCGCTCTAGGCCCGGGAACCCACTCAGGGTCGCCTGTTGCAGCATATAGACGCGATATTGCTATGGGACTACGGACATGAACACCCTGGTGGCAAATGGCAAACTACAAGTACTCGGAGCTGCCGAAGGCAAAGAACGTGAGCCCACAGACAAGGTCACCGGAATGTATCGCAATTTCTCGGCAAGGCAACTTCCGGTCGCCATTTACTCAAGTGAAGAGAAAAGCGACCTTGCCGCGTCAAAAATCACTACCGCGATATTATTTGAAAAATCAGGCTAAAAGACAACATATATTCAAAAATGATTCATAGATACATAAATTCGTTACTGCAAGTAGATATCATAGTCTCGATCTAACAGACGGAGACCTGACAGCAACCGCGTCCTGAGTAAGGCTACCCATCTCGGGGTCATAAAGTGACTCCGCAGCAACAGTCGCTTGAATCTTGTTTCCAAAGTATTCAATCTCGACACTTTCACCGTCCCGAACACCAGCCGGAAGCCAAGCATAGGCAACTGGCTTGCCAATCGAATACCCAAATGCCGCGGAAGTGACATAGCCAGCTGCCTTGCCCTTATAAAATACAGGCTCCTTGCCCAGAACCACCGAGCGACCATCATCAACCGTGAGCGGTCGAAGTCGTCGCGCAGGCGGCTGTGCAGAGATACGCTGCAGAGCAGCCTTTCCAACAAAGTCGTCGACCTTGCTCACATCCACGGCATACGAAACACCCGCTTCGAACGGATCGTGTTCGGTGGTCATGTCCGAGCCGTAGATTCGGTATCCCTTCTCAATGCGCATGGAATTGAAAGCGCTCCGACCAGCTGCAATCAGTCCGTGCAGTTGTCCGGCTTGCCAAACCCTGTCCCACAGGCGCTGGCCGTATTCAGCGCTGGTCTGAATCTCCCAGCCTAATTCGCCGACGTAGGATTTGCGGATCAATGTCACCGGGATACCTGCCAGAATTGTTTGCTTGAGACTGAAGTATGGCAGGCCCTTGTTGGAAAGGTCTTCGGTTGTGATCCCACTTAGGACCTCGCGGGCACGAGGACCCCACAGTCCAATGCAGCATGTGCTGCCAGTGATGTCGCGAACTTGGACCCAGTGTCCGGGGGAGTTCTCTCCTTGGACTCTAGCTTCTCGCTCGAGGTAAGCTAGATCCGTGGCTGTGTTGGCGCCAACCTGGAATACATTCTCGTCCAGTCGGTGGGTGAAAATGTCGCTTCGGATTTTACCGTGGTCGTTGAGAAGAAGGGTGTAGGTTACTGAGCCGACCTTGGTAGTCATGTCGCTGGTGGTCAACCGCTGGAGCAGGCGGGTTGCTCCGGGACCGGCGACCTCGAAGCGATGGAAAGCGGTCATATCGAACATGGCAACTGCATTCCGGGTCTTCCAGGCTTCAGCGGCAGAAATCGGGGAGTGGAACTGGGCGGACCATGCATCCCGATCATGGGGCGTCCACGTTGGTGGTAAAGCCTTTACAAGATCCTTGTTTGCCTCATACCACCACGGTCGCTCCCAGCCTCCAGTCTCAAGGAAGAACGCACCGAGTTCCTGTTCGCGGGCATGGAATGGGCTTACGCGAAGGGCCCTGGGTGATGTTCGTGGTTGGAGAGGGTGGAGAATATCGTAGATCTCGACGAAATTCTGTTGCGATGTCTCACTAACATAGTCCGGGCTAGTTTGGATCTCCTCGAAGCGGGAGAGCTCACATTCCGATACATCGATTTCAGAATGGCCGGTTGTGAGAATCTGCGCGAGAGCTCGGGCTACACCTGCTGAGTGGGTAACCCAGACTGCCTCTGCGACGTAGAAGCCGTCGAGGTGGGATGGCTGGCCAACGATTGGCCCGCCATCGGGGGTGAAGGAGAAAATTCCATTGAAGCCGTCCGCGAGTTCCGTTTGCTGGAGCATCGGAAGAAGCTTCTTGGTCTCCTTCCAAGCGGGATCAAAGTCTTCTTTTGTGAAATCGAGACGAGAGGGCATGTTCTTGTCATCGACATGTTGAGGCGTCAATCCGAGGGAAGAGGCGACGACAGGCATGGGGCGATGTCCATAATATCCGATACCGTACTGGTCGCCATGCTCCCGGTAATACAAATCCTGATCCTGGTGACGAAGGATAGGAAGCTCGGCGTTCAGTCCATTGATTGCGGAATTGAGCGAACGCCCAGCGAGTTCTGGTACGGTCGTTGTCTTGGCGTATTGATGTGCGAGGGGAAGCAGAGGAACCTTTACACCTACCATAGCTCCCAATTCCACGCCCCAGAACCCAGCGCAAGAGACCACAATGTCGGCGGGGATGATTCCCCCCGGTGTGGTGACTCCGGTCACGCGACGGCCCGCCCGCTCGATCCCGGTCACGGGAGTATGACCCAGATACCGAACGCCGGCCTTGGTGGTTCGCTCGATGAGTAGCTGTGTCGCACGGGCAGCCAATGCAAGACCATCACTTGGAATGTGTAGACCTCCGAGCACCATATCTCGGTTTAAATGGGGGTATCGCTGAAAACACTCCTCGGCGCTCACCAATCGCGCCTCAATGCCCCATGATGTGGCATAGCCAAGTTTGCGCTTGAGTTCTTCCAACCGCGCGGGTGTAGTAGCTACCTCCAGTCCACCCACTTGGTTGAAACATTTCTTTCCGTCCTTTTCTATCGAAAGGAGCTTCTCGACTGTGTATCTGGCGAGATGTGTCATGGTTTTGGAGGTGTTCGTTTGGAAGACGAGGCCGGGGGCGTGGGAGGTTGACCCGCCCGGCATGTGTAGCGGGCCCTGTTCGACGACGGTGATATCTGACCATCCTCGCGAGACCAGCTCGTCAGCGAGGTTGGTACCCACGATACCGGCTCCGATAATAACAACACGCTGGGAAGACATAGTGAAACGTTAATTGATACCATTGACCAGGCCAGAGCCCTCTATTATATAGTTCCATACTTCATACACTGCGTGACCTTATCGTACCAAGCTCCCCGCACCCCGCAGAGTGATAGAGTGGCGAGAAGGTGAAGTATGAAGCTCACGATAAAGTTGTTACGCCCCGCACGGGTTCCGGGTATGTAAGGCCGGGGTACCAGTAATCGACTCGGGTTCCTTGCTCTCCTCGGAAACCAAAGCTGTTAATGGTGGCCTTGCTCCATGTTCATGGAATGCATCTCGGCTCATGGGATCAATCATCGTTGGCTGATCACTTCCATGGCACCATGATTCGTTGAAGCTGGACTTGTTTTCCCTTTTCGGTGCCCTTTGGTGGGGGTCTAGACGTCGTAGTGGTGGAACGTCATATGTGTCAATTCACATAAACAAAACCTCTCGCAAAATTCAGTTTCGGCATTGAAAAGAATCATTTCTGGCATTGGCAACATTCCAAAGGGGAGCGATAGGGAGAGGGAGCGGTGATAAGCCCTGGAGGGGACTTGGATCAAATACATGTTTGTACTGTTTGCATTGTTTTCACTATACAGGCTGTTTACACTCAACTGCCATCCGCGCTTTAACCAGTTCCTAGAAGATGTGACTTCTAATCGGGAGGAACAATTTTGCATACCTTGCATGAGCCCCCAAAGAGTAGCCAACCTCGATTGGCTTTGGTGACAGTAGCTTACCCTCTGCTCTCAAGGACTTCACCCCGTCGCGCCTTTCTTGTCTTGCTCAAATATGATCGCGCCACGTTACAATGACCACAAATCCAGTTTTATCCCGGCTCAAGCGCCAGTGAAGCCTCATCGGGATAGAAATGATTCCAAGGATTGGGCCACGCCAGTCGAAGGCTAATTTTTGAATATCCCACCGAGCCCAGCGCTTCCTTCGAACTTTTTGTCGGTTCATATGCGACTAGCATATTCATGCGCTCGGAATGAATCGCCAAACTCACGCGCCGAAGAACAAACAAGAAGTGCACGGGAACGGATAGGCAGTCTCAACATTCTTACTCTAATACTGGGTTCCAGTTTCCTGTTCGCTCCATGGGTGATATTGGGGCTGGTATGGCGAATCAACGACGGCAAGATCACGAGCTGGGCCGAATGACGTTTGGACACAGATGGTCTTCGCAAATTGGACCTCGAGGCTCGTCACAGTTTGCACAGCAGCCATACGGGTAAAACTGGCCCTCCAGGCTAGTCTGATTACCGCGATGGTTAGCAGTGTCGTCCTTGGACGGATCGTACTTTATGTATTGTGCTCTATTCCAAAATTTTGGGCTCCAGGGGATCACTACCTGTGGACTCCGTCTTAACTCGAAGTGCAAACTGCCTATGTATTCTCCTTCGCGACTGCCGTTACTTAAAGTATCACTGTCTACTCATCATCTCACTGACTTTTGTTTTCAAAATAAACCTCTACCGGTCGGTGTATATATACCAGGGCCACTAAGAAACATCAGAATACCCAGATCATCATATTGGCCTAAACAAGTAGCTATGGACGGGTGGGAAATAGAAAGAGATGAGGTTGTAGTACTTGAGTACTGAGTAGACGACAGTGACAAGATGAAACGGCAATGCCATCATGACCCAGAATGGCGCAATCGTGGATTTGTGGTCTCTGATTGGTCAGAATGCAAGTAAAGCACTGGGGGCGTTATGGAGACCGTGGGGAAAGCAATTAGCTTATTTATATACTTCTTACTGTTTTCTCTCTCTCTCCAGAGCTTCAATTAATCTCTTCTATCGACATTGAGACCTATTTCCACATCTTCACGATGTTACAAGTCCGATCACGGGCGGGGCAGACCCTGACGGCTGGACCCGATCCGTGAACCAACCCCCGTGCCTGTGACCGGCTGCACTCAACTCTCTCCTCTCCCCAATGCAAGGACTCCAAGTCAGCATGACAATACATACCCATCTCAATTCATCATGACGGACCGTGATACCGTCTCACAGCCTCCTAATGCCCTCCTCACCGACTCCCGCCCGTCTTCCGGCTCCGACCGCTACTGTGACTACAGGGAGGCATTGGAGCTGCACGAGATCCAGACACACGAAGATAATCAGCTCGACCTTTCCGATCCCTCCGCCTCCTCAGGAGAGGAGTACGTAGTCCACCGGACTCCATCTCGTACCTCCCGCGCCTCCCGTACCTCTCGCTCCTCGCGCGATCGCCGCCCGGGTATCTGGGGTCGAGTGTGTCACTTCTGGACCAACCATGTCATTCTTACGGTTCCGCAAAAGAGTAATCGTGACCATTTCGGTAGGGTTTTCATATATATGTCTTGGTTCTGTGGCTCTGACAAAATTGAAGCACTGGAAAGAACGTTCCTCGCCTATATTCGTACGTCCACGGTTATTGCTATGCAAGGGGTTTTGGTGGCTCAGCTATTTCGCCTGCAAAGGCCAACGGGTCCCGTTGATCGTCTCTCATTCCATGATGTTGGTGTTCCATTATCGGTTGCATGCCATTTCGTGGCTGTTATTGTCGCTTTGATTGGTGCTTTTCGGTTCTGGAAACAGCAGAATGCGATGGCGCGGGGGAAGATATTTGCCGGTGGATGGGAATTGAATTCCGTGGGAGTTTTCTTATTCATTGTGAGTGCAATTGCTCCGTACTCCGTGGTTGTGCTAAAATTAACATGCGTCTAGATCATTATGGTCACTTTGGTGCTCTCGGTCATCATTCTTATACAGATCGACATGGTGCCCAGGGCATTGGTCAACAGCATACTGCGTCTATGATTCTCATTTTTCGAGAATTGTTTCGGCGATATCGCATCTTGTAGCGGACACGAAAAGCACATGTTATTTCGGCATTTTTCAGTTATTGTATATATAGCCTCGCGATCTTCATTGCATAATCGATGTGATATTGGGCGAACAACCACTGCAACACTACTGCACTTACGTCCCTGTAAGAGCAGACTCTCCGCCATTGAGAATGGGTAATGTGGGGATCTACTTCGGCGGTACTCTATACTGGACATACAGTTGTTTTGGTTTTACAGATTCAAAACAAAATTTTGTTGATGTGAGTGCCTCTGCGAGATACGGAGTACCACCCAATTATCTATATTGCTGTTTGTGCTTAAGTCAACCCAGGGCTATTCCAAGGTTTGACCTGAGGCTATTTGAGCATATTTTCGAGTCGCTGGCTTAAGAAGACCAGTGCTTCTTCACCAGTTCCATTCTCAACGACGACCCAATGTCTGCATCATTAGCGTCGGTCTCCAACATTGCCGAAGATTTGGATCCATGCTCACAGTTCTGTTCAACTTCCTCTTCCTCCACCTCGGAAGACTGAATAGTCTTCTGGCCGTTGACGGTGATCATTATGATCTTCGCGATACTGGGAACACCATCGCGGTCCATGACGAAGAGCATCCAGTATCCAGGAGTCAAGATACCAGAGTCAGCGGGCAATCGGGTCTTGAATCGGTTGCCGAAGATGGAGGTGGGGACGACGTCAAGGGGAATGCGGCGCTGGTCGGTGTTGACGGTGTGGGTAGCAGTACCGAGACGGACCAGGGAGGCTGAATAGATGTATCCCGATGTGCGGAATCTGAGGGTGTCACCGACAGTGGCGTGGCTGTTCAGACCTCCGGTAATGGCGGGGCGGGATCGGGGCTTTCCGTCCTTGGTGAGGAGATAGGGAGGGGTGAAGAGCTGACCATCGTAGTGGTTGGCGGTGCAGTTACCACAGAGACCACCACCGGCGTTCAGAACGCGGGCGTCGGGCAGGAGGATGGAGACGGTGTGGTACACTCTGACCATGTTGTTCTGCTGCATCTTCGTGAAGGTGTCAGTCTTGGGGTCGTAGATCTCGGGAATGAATCGGACGTTCTCTTCGTTGAAAGCAACACCGTACGACTGGCCACCGGCAATGAAGACCTTTCCATCAGGAAGAACGACAGAGGTGTGGAAAACACGGTCGAAGTGCATCTCTCCCTTTCCGGCGAGCTGAACCTTGGGCTTTTGGCCTGGCTCACCAAGGGTGATGATGTGTGCGGCAGGGGTAGCCCACGACTTGTCGTAGTCAGGAGAGCCTCCGATGGTGAGAATCTTGCCCTTGACAGCGTCGAACATGACAGCATTGCCAGACATTGAATCTTCATCTTCCATACGGAGTCCCGCGGGCGTCACAGTGCCATTTCCGTGAGCAGAGTACCAGTTCATTTGCTTGCTGGGTCCGGCCTGGAAGACGCTTAGATCCTTCCATCCAAACAGCCAGCCGTGGTTGTCCGCGCGCCAGAGACCCTCCATGTCCTGCGTCAACATCTGCTCAACTGTTGCACCCGGGAGCATAGTCCAGTTCTGGGTCGCAGGGTCGTAGACCTCACCATCCTTGGCAACATTGGAACCACCAGCCCAAGATCCTCCGATAACGAACACCCGTCCATCGGAGAGAGCGGTAGATGACTGGTATCCGCGACGAAGCTTCATGGGGCTGGCGCTGGTCCACTCATCATTCACAGCGTCGTAAAGACTAGTCTCCGAGGCATCATTACCACCGGTGACAACAATCTTACCCGTGCCATCGTAAGCGATGCCAGGGCAGAACATGTCATGGTGAGTGTTGGTAATATTCCGCTTACTGACCTCATTGGTCAACGGGTTCCAGCGAGTCATCACAGTCTGGCCACCGGGTGTGGAGTGGAATTGATCATCCGCCCAGGAGGACCAAAGAGCGAGCACGCCGGATCCCTCCTGAGCACCCGAGACAGGCACGAGAGGGAAGTCGAGGGTCGGGCCCCAGACACCGAGCGCAGGATCACGAGGAATCGAATAGAGGGTACCGTAGATGTTCAGCTCGGAGATACCGACCCAAGGGTTCTGGTCATCGGCCTCGGTCGTGATGCGCAGGTATCGAGCAGACAGAGGGTCGAATGCAGACATGCGCTGTCGGTTGGTGTTGGGCCACATTCCGTATGCGACGGGGTCGCTCCATTTCTCCTTGTCATCGCTGACCCAAACCTTGTGTTGAGTGATGAGGCCTTCAACCCCGCTGTCGACGGGAGGGAGAAGGACGACGGCGCTAATTTGGTACAAGGCACCAAGGTCGACGAGGAAGGTGTGTCCCTTAGTGGAAGGGTCACTGCGCCAAGCAGTGTTGCTTTTGCCATCGATGGCACGCTTGCATGGGTAGCCAGCAGCAGAGCTACTACAAGTCAAAGTCCAATCCGTACGCGGGATTCGAATGCCGTTGTATGGAGGAGACTCGTCTGTGAACTCGGGTGTGAAAGAAGGGTTATCGACTTTGCCAAAGCCGCTGACACGCTCTCCCCTCATAGCTTCGGCCATGTATTCAGCCATGCCATTGACTCCGCCAACGGAGGCCCCCAGGAGGAGCCCGGCCCATTGAAGTTTCATTTTGGGTGGTGTCCGACAGAGGAAAAGTAAAAATGAGTGCAGGAGCAAAGAGATCCCACTTCACCTCTGAGTGATGGACAATTTTTGGTGCGAGACCCAGCGCATATAAGTGCAACGTTCCAAATTCTCTCCTCGAAGAGAGGAGCCACATTGCTCAAGGGGCATTGAAACGATCTTCATTGACGCAGCTCAAAATGTCAACCCCATTACGCAAATGGTGTCCATCCCAGTCGATCCCTCACAGTGTCCTCAATTGAGGATGCTTTTGGCGCGGCTGAATGTGGGGACCTGCATCGCACAGGTGAGGTCATGGTGCGCATTATGCCACGACATTTTTATCTCAGAAAGAAGCGAAAATCAAAGTCACACCGGTTCGAGGATAGGTCCAAAGATCGGCATCTCCGCAGGCATGCCGATCCACCCCGAGGTGGTACAGACGCTGCAAGTGGCTGATTTTCAGCTTTCTCGCGTCCGTGGGGAATTTTCAAATCCCTGCACGGATCGGTCGACAAATTGCTTCCTCATGATTCGTTCAAAGTACCGTCGATCGTGGACTGCAGAAGTGATAGTTCATCTCTGTAAAGTAGCGCGGGTGGAGTGCGGCCCGCATCCGCTGGGACGGGCCTCGACCCAAACATTGGCATTACCACCTCGTATGTACCAGTACGTGCGGTATGCATTTCACGTCGCACGAAACATGCATGAGATTTCACAGATCTCTTTGTGGGGGAAAATTGATCGACACCCCTACCTCAATTGTCTCTCGATTTTGCGTTGCTGGATTGCAGGCCTTGGCACTGTTCCATTTCAATTCAGGTTTTTCTTTCTCGCTCAGTACAGAATACAAATTACATCCGTCCTTTACGCGGTGAAGCTGCAGAACTGGGGAAGAAGCAAGAACCCAAATATTGACCCACTGAATAATACTCGTACCCAGATCCAGGTCCACTTCTCTTTACAGGAATGGCGGCAGGTGGGAATGGTTACATCCGACGCCAATAGGTTTCAAGCCCGGTCCACTTCATCGGGCCAATGGAATGTGGATACATGACAGAATCGATTTTTGGGAGTGCATCATGACTTCACAATAGTGCTTAGCTGAACTGCGGAGTTCTCAATGATGAATCTGCAGGGACCGTGAGTGTGCGGGTGTGGAGTCGTTCGCAGTTGCACAGAACCAATGCAATTTAGGGAAAGTTGGGCGACCGAATGGATCCAATGTGGCTTTCAAGTGGAGAGTTTGAATCCATGTAAAAACCGAGGTAAGGAGTACCCAATACCGAATCAGCTGTCAATCTGCTATCAATTCCAGGTGTTCTCTGCGCCACTCGTAGCATTTCCCAAGCTGAAGCTGCTGAAGCTCGGCAGGGGTGTGACCGCAATCCAATTTCGAATCAAGTAGCTCGGGCGAGCATATTGTCCAATAGCAGCTCAATGATTGATGTACACATCCCTCACACTGTGCAGATGCTTGTGTGGATTTGATCCACGTCGTCGATCTTCTACATTTAGAGCGGCTTGGAGCTACTCGTACGGGGTATTCCGTACTCGTAGACAGAAGAATTCCAATCATACTGTCCAATCCAATATGCCCTGTTTCTAATTGACGATCTGATCTACTTCTAGATTACCCGTAGTACATGGAACTGATCACGAATCGCGCTTTCCACAGCTTGCCCCGCTCTGGTTTTTTGCCTGGAATTCGAAGCTCTTTCTTCGCAGGTGAAAAGTCCCTTCCCGGAGGCTCATAAATGCTATCCTCCCCCGGCTCTCTTTTGGCTACACAATAATTCTATTTCCCCAGAATTATAGGCTCTCGCAAGCCCCGACTTCACACAATGAGTCTCACGCCTGCCATTAAGGCAAACATCCAAGGTGATGTTTGGTATGCTGCACCAGACATTTACAAGCTTTGAAGACGCTGACCAAAATTCACAGGCCTGGTCTCCCGAAGAGATTCCAATCGTTCTTGTTCTTCCGAGTCCGGAACAAGACTGACTTCAAGTCCCGTCTGAAGACATTCATTCCCAAGATCACCACTGCCCAGGATGCGTGCGCGATGAGTGAAGTCATGAAGAAGGCGCAGGCAGAAGCCCGAGCTGCGAAGCGATCAGCCAAACTCGAGCCTTTGCCCGGAGTTAACATTTCATTCACATCCACCGGTCTGGAAGCGGTAAGTCATTGATCTATTTCATCTCTCCCACACACATCATGACCCCGATATTGATGATACATCGCAGCTTGGTGCCTTTGTTAGTGTCGAGGATCAGATGTACGTCAAGAAAGACAGGAAGCTTTCTGGCATTTTCCGCAAGAAACAACTTCTGGGCGGTCTTTTCGAGAAGGGTATGTTTGCTGATCTTACGGGTGAAGGATGGGACAACCCCGAAGAACTCAGCAAGCATTACCACCCCACTAGTGATAACAAAAGATCCATCGATGGTGTGATTTTGGTCACCTCTAGTGTGAAGTCTGATATGATCAATAAGATCAGCGAGGTCAAGCAGCACTTCCTGGCCGAAGAGGGAGAGCCCCTCAACCCTGACACGTACCGTGTCAGCCAAGATCCTTCTGTCGAGTTCACATTCACTCGGGAGGGAAATGTCCGCCCCGGAATTCACAAGGGCAAGGAGCAGTATGTGTTGCCCAACGCACCTAGTTATTGACCTCTCACTAATTCTCTTTAGCTTCGGGTTCAAAGATGGAATCAGTCAGCCGCTCCTTGAGGGCTGGGATGACAAGGTGCCTCAGGGCAAGGAGCCTTGTGCTACAAAGCCGGGGTAAGAGCTCATTATGTTTGGCAACAGAGATACAAGCTAATCAAACGCAGAATGATTGTTTGTGGATACGAGGGTGACGATATGAGACAGCCATCGTGGGTAAAGGACGGCAGTTTCCTCGTTTTCCGTGATCTTCAACAGCTCGTCCCCGAATTCGACGAGTAAGTTCTCTACCCCTTGTTGTCCATCAAATCCCAGTTTTGACCTTTTCTTCTCAGGTTTATGGAGGAAAATGCAAAGCATGCACCTTTCGTTCAGGATCATCCGAAGCCAGGCGAGAAGCTTGCAGCTTATCTCATGGGCCGGTGGAAGAACGGTTTGTCCATCGTATCGTATCCCATTGTCCCCTCGCTGATCTAAAATCTTTCTAGGAACTCCCGTTGATGAGTCCCCTCATGATGACTCCGACGAAAGTCTGTTCAACTCCAACAACTTCGATTACGGCCCCGTCGATCAGCATGACAAGTGTCCCTTCGCAGCACACACTCGCAAAATGAGGCCACGAGCTGACTTGGAACATGACCACGCCGTCATCATTCGTCGTGGAATCCCTTACGGCGAAGAGCTTACAGCCGAGGAACTAGCTGAAAAGAAGTCTACCGTGGACCGAGGTCTTCTTTTCGTTTGCTATCAGAGCGACATCCGAAATGGATTCAACTTCCTTACCACTCGTATGTTCTGGCCCAAAGTCCATCTCCTTGATATCCAAGGGCGCATCGCTGACCATTTCCACTTCTAGGCTGGGCTAGTAACTACAACTTCCCCGACCGCAAGAACGCCTTTGTTGGTGGCACTGGACCTGGTATTGACGCCATTGTTGGCCAGAGACTTGACCACCACCCACCTCGCTCCATTGGTCTGCCCGATGGCAAATTCCCAACTGAAGCCCGCATGCCCTTGGAAAGTTGGGTGATCCAGAGAGGTGGTGATTACTTCTTCACGCCATCGATTGACGCGCTGAAGAACGAGCTCACTGGACCTGGAATCTTCGATATGGAGGCGATCAAGCGCCTTCGTGAGGAGGCAGAGGACGAGTAATGGCGGGGAATATATATCCTGTCTCTGACAATATTTCGGGCGCGAATGTCCATCTGTGATGGTCCTAGATTGACCTTAAGCAAATCAACCAGTACATTTAGCGACACCATAGAAAAGAATCGAGGATCTCCGTATACGGAGTACTTTGGACAAGATTAAGCTATCGAATGTGTAATCTGACACGATCTACTCGTCTTCTGATAAGATATAAATCTATCTCTCGCATTTCAATGAATAAAACCATGCCACCAAGGCCTAGGACGGCAATTTCCCCATTTCATTGGTTCTGTTCGCTTATCTCTCATGCGGCAGAGGACAAGGATAGTTCCAGACCAACGCATCTCAGTCTCGTTTCCGTTGATCGGCAAACCACCGAGACGGGTCCATTTCTTATCAACTTGCATTCAACAAGAGGATATATATTTACTCTTGGCTTGCGCCTGAATTCAGGAATCTACACGTCCAGCTTTTCATCGCAAAAGACAGCCAAAAACCCAGCTTACATGCTGCATCCACTATGACAATCATCTACCTCCGTTTCGCGACAAACCCCGCGTCTGTCAAAGATGTCATCCTCGTCACTACTGCTCTCCAAGATATCAACCCAAAATTAAATGACACGGCCCGCACCGGAGATAGTATCACTTTTACTTCTCCGGACGAGAGAATCGATATATACGGCAATATTTTCGAAGAGTGGAAATCCGCAACCCCTCCTATCATTACGGCTTACAAAATGCGGGGCGACTCGTATCCTGTGCTTTCCGGCTTATAGCCATTTACCACTCCAATGCCGAGCCAATTATACCATTGCCAGGTCATCGCTCGTGTGCGCCTCGCTTGGCTTTCGGCTTTCGTTTGATCGGAAAAATTGAGTTGATAGGAACATGGCGTTATATGTAAATTAGCATTTCGATTTTTTCAGCGTCAGTGAGCGGGCTTTTTTTTTTTTTTTCCCTTTATTTTTTTTTTATTCTTCCAAGGTGCTTCGACTAGGGATATGATTGTCCTTTCGAAGACGGGGCAACACCTCAACAGATACAAGTGATGTCAGTGGCCAATGTTTGAGTGTCCAGGTGGGGATTGGCAGGGATTACAGGCTCGGGAGAATGTACACACTAGCATACACTAGCCATGCTAAGCATAGTGAATTAAGCTATCTCAAGGGACCGAGAATTTATCAGAGTAAAGCTATGACACTAGTGATCTTAATGATAAGGAAATAACCCCACATCGGACTGTGGACGTTCACGTCGTGACCACTTCAGGAGACAATCTAGAGCTCGAAATCTCCTGAAGTTGCCTGTCAGCCCGGTCGCAATGCATGTTTGCCTCAACCTTGACTTCCGGTTAATTAAAGGGAAATTAGCCTAATGGTCAGATGGTTGTCTGTACGAAGTAATTCTCACCCTGATATTGATGCAGGAATAAAGATGATGCGGACCGAACTAGTCAATTAGCGTGTTTGCATTGTTTGCACTTGTGATCTCTGTTTCCATCGCTCAAATCACTTCGTGTTTACTCCGTTGCTTGCTGCTAGCATCGTTGTATGTAAGTATCAGGCACAACACAGATCTAGGGAGGGTGGATATGTCTTATAGCCTTGGAAAGGGAACTTTCTCTGGCGCTTTACGCGGCACAGACTTCAGGAGTATCTCATTCTAATAAGTTGGCAGATGGCGAATGGGCTTCCAAAATTGGCTGCAAGTGGCCGTTTTAAGCTGTTTATTTGCCAAATATCTTCTTGCCACGTACTTATATCTTAAGCCATGGCTACGCGATCTTCGCTTGGTGCAACAAGCACCCCTTAGTTTCCTAATGTTCCCTAACCTTGGAATTGCGCTCTCATTTTTGGTATCCACATTTGGTACTCCAGGGCTCAGGTTACGGGTTTCGTTCGTGTTAATTTAAACTGCAACCTTCTTTTCAGGTCCCACTGTCTGCTTACTACCACTGCGACTGTTACGCATCGTCGCTTGATCATTGTCACCCTTATAATGGGAAAATTATAAAAGATGTTTGGCAGCTGTGCAATGCGGTAGGTAGCAGACACGTTATTCTATTTATCCCCTCGCCGCCACTTGAGACTTTTAGACTCGCATCTTTTAACTTTCGGAGTGGCTTTTAAAACCCTATGGCGGAAAGGCTTAAGATTAAATAACATGTAGGATATCACAGGCATAAGCTGACGTGGAACAAGCTTTCTTCATTCAAAATTGGTCATGAGAGCTATTCAAGTTGTGCAGCGACACACTTTGTTCTTCTTTGGTTGTTGCGTCGCGTATTACACAAATCTCATATCGAGCTATAGCACGGCACACAATTGCCGAACCCATGAACCTGAGCACAATGGTGAGGGCATCCTTGATCGAAATGAACAGTAAGCTGGAGAAAATCACAGATCCCCATACAACATTGACTGTACCAATAACACCTGTGAACCACGATAATATCACCTCCGGCAGCGAACAAGGGAGGAATTTCAGTTCAATTTTGTCGATTCTTCTGGCTGGCGAAAATTGCTTTCTTGCCCACTGCCACCAGTTTAACACGGAGAACGCTTGTCGCAAGTTCACTCGTTTTGGTCGGTCTCTGATAATACCGAAGATATACGCTCCAAGAATATGAGTGAAGACGCCTACGAAGATCCATATCCCAGGAAGGTACTGTACACTTTGTGTTATGGAAGTCACTGATTGGACTCCGATCTCGTAGCATAATTCGCCTACATTGGAGATGGCGGCCAGCACTAGAAGTTATTCCGCACAAAGGGTCCAGACGTTCGGGCCGATCAGAAGACTCATGGATATATTATCTTCGGAGGTCAGGATATCTGTGACCTGTTGATGGAAGCCGTTAATATTGTCGAAGAGTACAGATGGACTGCCAAGTAGGATCAAAAAGCCTAGAAGGTGCCGTTCGCCATACAAAAACAGTATAGACGTTTCGTGGATACTCGGACCAACGCTGACGAGTATGGAAGGCATCAGTTCTAGCATAACCTGTGCGCTTGCGATGGCTGACTTGTAGATGTCTGGGGTTTTCTCCATGAGACAGTCAATGAGTGGAGATGCAACCGAGTCAACATTCCAAGCTTCGAGTTTCGGGAAAGTTGTTGCATTTTGGCGTGCGTTGCTTGTATAGATTTCGTACTCAGAGGAGCAGCTTCCATGAGTGAGATTGGTGAGTGCAGAGCTGTACCGTGGGAACCAGGAGGAGAAACGTTGAACTTCAGCGCCCGCGTGTGTGGGAACAGTGAGCGTCAGGAGAAGTGATAGCATAGTCGATAGAAGAAACATCGTATTTGTCTCACACGGTGGAAGTGTCCCACGAACGGCAGATCTCCAGTGTCGTTGTTGAACTTTCCACTCATCTGATATTTTTACAAGTCTTAGCGGTTATCATCTTTTTTCTTGTCTAAATGGCTGTTGCATATACCTGGGGTTATGCATGTCCGAGTCCTGCACATCATGCAACTCATAGCACAGCCCACCTCTCGACATCACCACTAATAATATGCAAGTATCGATAGAAACTGGATTATACCAGCTCGTCTAACAACCAAAGTCATACAATGAATCGTATTGACTGCTATGAAATACTCGAGCTAGTAACCAAAGGCATAAGCCTCGCATGAATACGAAGGATGCGTCGAGCATTATAATTGGGCGGCGTGAAAACCCAGCCGTTGACATAAATTGTTGTTGCTCAAGTGGCACCTCATCTCATCCAACCCCGCTAGAGAGACTTGATCATGACAATCACTCATAATCCTTGTCTGCAGGTCTTCGCCTATGCCTGCAATTCGGCCAGTTGTCGGCTGAAATTTCTATATCTCGCATCCTCGGCCTCTTGGGCGGCGAATAATGGGACCGGAGGGAAATGACCCGGTGATAAACGCCTTGCACATCGGGTTATCTGTCTTCAGCCAGCTTGCCAGAGAAGGTCTGTTTCGGAAGTGTCACTGGATAAAAATGGACCGAGCCAAGCTCCTGAATCAGCTTATCCGTTCTGTCATTCTAACTTTTGATGATCTGCCTTCGGTCCCGCTTTCCTCGCACGGGCCTTGTACCATGCGTTGAGCGATATCATTAGGTGGTTAGCCATTTTATTGAGCTTGTGGGACAAGAAAGGGACGCGGACACAAGCCATTGATTCACTACTCCTGTGAGAGGAAGGGATGTGAGACAGGAGAGAGCAGGAGAGCGAGCAGCCCATCTAGATCTGTTCGCCCTGTTGTCTTATTAGTAGTCCTACTTAAAGTATCGCTCTAGCTGTGGGATATGCACTTAAAGTCCATTCCACTCATTCAGCTTTAGAACTTCCTACTATGCAGCTTTTAATCAATCTCTAACAGTAATCAATTGCCTCGTTTCCAATCCTATACTGGAGAAGAACCCTGTGGCCCGTCCGTTGAAACGACAACAATGTATGGCAATATCCAGGCAAAACACAATGAGTACGAGCTTCCAATTACTGCCAACCGAGGCAATTCGAGACAACGCCTAGTCCCACCTCGTCTTTCAAGGCTATTCCCTCCCAGTCTTGGCAGCGTGCAAGCAGTCTCTCACATACGAGGTCCCCGGACATCTCCCGAGCGGATACCGGCGCGGCAGTATCAATGTATGCGGATCTCGTAGCGAAAACAGAAGCAGGGGAACCATTATCCGTAGCTCGCAAAACAAGCTATCCCAGTGCCGTCAACCCGCGTCGTATTCCATTGATACCTGTTTAGTGGCACTTGGCACGCCGCTCTGGGCCGCATGTCTCATACAAGTAGTTATTTTCTTCAATGTCTCCGCAGTGGGTTCTTCACTTGGCAGTGCAATGCCATACTTCAGAAGTCCGGATTCGGGTTCAGGGTCCTTGGTTGAGAGGCCGGGTGCCAAGACTTCTCGGGGTGGGAAACGCCCGAACCAATCAGAAGGCAGTGGCTGGACATGTGGCTTCAGCGCGTGAGAGAACATACCACGTTCGCCTCCCCCTTTTCCCATTGTGGAAATTCGTTCTGGGGGTTTTGAATCAGGAGAATTTTGTTGGCGATCGGGTCGTTCTCGTGTACTTGTATCATAATTCAATGGTTTCAAGGTTGTAATGGGTATATTTGGCCTGATCTGGTTTCGGGGTCTTGCTTTGAGTTTATATGTACATCCAAGATTATCCACAACGGTCAGATGCCGGAGAAGAATGTTAATTGTGAGCTGGTTACCCCCCATGAGGTGGGGAGGCATAAGCTGACGAAAAAAAAGATTGAACGCTAAGCATGAGTTGAAGAAAATGAGAAAAAGAAAGGAGATAAGAGAACGGAGTGAAGGATCGTAGCCTCCAAAAGATGACCCAAGAATGATAGATCGACAAGAAATATACTCATTGAAATGAATGAGATGTAAATGTAACACAAACCCTTGGTTTCGAGCAAAGGCCACCAGGGCATTGCTTCGAGCAGGTCGCAGTAGTATCTTTTTTAAATAGAAGGACTTTGAAAATCAAGCAGTGGTCATAGGAATGCTTGTCATCGGCAGCTGCGGTGGAGATTGTTCATCTTCTTCAAACATGAACTTCTCCAACTTTTGCGCCATGCGTGCACAAAATGGGTCGACGTATTTCGTCCACATAGAAGCGACGAGATATACAAGTGCAATCCATGCGGGGATACTGATCGCCACGACCCAAGGGGCGCGCAATGGAATCCAGTGCGGGTGAAGGGGCTCGCCATCATCGCCGTAGATAGGGTTGCCTTTGTCGTCCACGATGTCGCCATCCCAGGGCTGACCGGTGATGCCGTAAAGCATCCAGCAAAGAACTGTGCGGAGCATGGTGCCGTGAACCAAATATACAGCAAAGCTCTGCTTTCCAAGCCACAGTAGAAGGCTGCTGGATAAGAATTCCTTGGTAGATGGGGAGATGTAGATGGCGAAGATGATGAGGTCGACTCCGAGGGCAGAGTATCGCTTCCCAATGTTGACTTCTGGTGGGAAAATGTAGTGTGCAGCTTTGTACATAAAGTTGGACCATGTGGCCCACTCGGGGTGCTCCCCGGGATATGAGCAGATGAAGAGACCGATAGCGAGCAGTGTCAATGCCACAATTTTGCGACCCCAGCTGTGGCGCTCGACGAATTCCTTGAAGCCCTTCTCATAGGCTAGATCGCTGAGGAACATACCGTAGACCGCTTGCATCTGGAACGTTTCTGGAGAAAAGCGTTAGTCTCGGAAGAGGATGTCAGTTCAGAGGTAGACAAACCGGTGTCCTTCGCAGGATCTTGGTGGAAGTACAAATACATTCCGAGGTAGATTGCCAGACGGAAGCGGAACTTCACAAACATAGTAGCACAGATAAGGACATAGATTAGCATGGAAGCCTTGAGCAGCGGCAGCAAAGCCCACTGGTGATCATCATAGGCCATGTATCCAGTAGTCCAGACTTCAAGGAAAGTCTTGAATAAGCGAACAAACTCACCCCAGAAGGTAGGCGCCAGATCGACGGCGGCGTACCGGCACCACCAACAATCCGAGCGATTCGCCACAACAAATGCGCCGAACTGGGCCATGACCCATGAGATGAGGAGTGCAATGGTTGCCGGGAAGATGAGTCGGGGCGGGCGACGGAAGGCGCTCTTGGCCACCGAGGTAAACGAGCCCAAGTAATCACCATTGCGAGACTGTTTGAGGGGCTTGAGGGCGCAAACGTAGCCGGTCAAAAAAGCAAAAATGGTGACGCCCAATCGGCCTTGCCAAGGTATACGGAAGACGGGCCATTGCAGGATTCGGGGCGCTATATCCACATCGTCGCGGGGCGCAAACAGGTCGTAATCCCAGGCTCGAGCAAGATGTGTGAGTACAACTAGGAAGGATGCGATTCCTCGGAGACCCTATATTTGTGTTAGTATCATTTCAGTCGTATGGAGTTCAGATGCGGCGCACATCAATCCATTTCACGCTCTTCCGCGGATCTCCCTTCACTGATGGATCTGCGGACTTCCAGGGCACATTGTCCAAGAGGCGAGAGTAAAGATGTTGAGGCTGTATGTATTCCATGATGGCTGTTGTAAGGAGCAACGGGGAGGCCTAGCAAGTCGGAGAAGCGACCTGGGGTGCCTAGCGAGTTGGTCGGATTGAAAAGACGAATGTCACCATAAACTTTGACAGCTGAAGAGAAACCCAAAGAGGATGCAAACGCAGCCAAACGTAACGAATGAGTGACCGACAAAGACAGCGATCGTCTATATGCGAGGGGTACAGGAGTTCAGAGCACCAACCCCATGAATCAAACACGGAGAACAATTATAAAAGCAGGGAAGCAAAGATAAGCGAAAGAAGGCGGATTGGGGTATATGTAAGGAAATTTGAGGCAGCTCATATGCCGCGGTCAAAAATCAGACCTAGCCAAACCGAAAACAGTCAAGATGGGACGTCTACTCGTACGGAGTACCGAGTGGATACACACGCAGTGGGCCTTGAATACAGGCCCATCGCACTTGATGGCAATGTGGATCAAGGCCTTGGAAGACAGCTATTTTAGGGAAGACCCCGGATATTCAGCAAAAGCAATTATTCAACTCCAGCCCGCTCGTTTATCGTATTCAGCCCTGGAGGGGTTTACACTTGTATTCTTTCACTTCAATTGATAGTGATGTCTAGCATAATTATTGATCGTTGTCACGAGTACTCCAGACACTTCAACGACCACGTACTCCGTAGTCACAGAAATAATGACGAATTGGGAATTGGCAGCGTTGTATCCGTACCCCATCCTCCTAGATAGTCTAAGGGGCAAACGGAGTGTATCCAACAGCCCGTAATCCGTACATGTACGAGTACTCGTAGCAGATTGAAGCTATCCAGTGCCTCCTCACCTGAAAAAGCCATTCCAGGCGAGAACGCTGACGACGCTCCCCTGAATGAGTACTCCTCCCTGCCAATTAAGAAGAGCTGTGCATTCCATCTCGACCGTGGCTAAAACCCGCCTCAAATTGCGCCAGAACTTGGCGCCGATCGTAGGGAGTCAAACTATAGTGCAATCGAACATGGTGTTCTAACGGGTCTGAGCCACGTTGGCGGCGAATCGGAATCTGTGTTTGGAGTTGATTGTTATTTTTATTTCCTGGGGGAACCAGGGTCTGTAAGAATACTTTAACATTAGACCCAATTTACCCTGTACAGTACAGTGGTAAGGGGACGGAATTTCGAACTTAAATAACCATCATATTTGCCCCTATATTTCCGCCATGTACGAGAACGAGAGAACGCGCTCATACGTATCACTATGCAGCTAGCATTGCCTAAGGGTAGTTTATTTCAGACGCGTTATCTTCATTGCACAACTTGGTAGGCGGATGGCGCCATTTTGACACCCCCATATTTCACTATTTGACGCGAAAGATCAACCTAGTCTTCGGACTTAGACTCCTGAAAGAGTAGCATACTCGTATGCCTCGGAAGGAATGAACAACATTCCCATTTACTCCGTGGCGGTACGGATACGTTGATGTTTGCTGTATGAGTCGTACCGCCACAGTGAATTGTGACCGCTCAATAAAAGCCTCGGCCAATTAAATGGCATTTGAGTCTTGGCTTTCGGATTTCTAGGAATAAATGACGTCTCATACCAGCCGTAGGCGCTATTGAATTGGCCTTCTAGAAATAATGAGGACAAATTATCGGCGCCCTTTGATGCACGTGAAGCATAAACTCTTGGCGATCTGCGGATCCTTCAAACATTCCTTGGTTAAAGTAACTTAATCAACTTCCTCGCGTCCTCTGTTCACGGGCCGCAATTGCCCTGAATTCGGATTGGTTTCTGAAGTTTCAGCTCTGTCAATTGCATAGGGAGTTAATTGACGTACGGAGTACGGAGTAGCATGTATGAAGTTGGATCGCCACACCAAAATCCAGCTAGGCCCTATAAGGTTGAGAAAGCCGGGATCTCCTTTCCGACAGCAAGTCGGTCTGTATCCGCAACTGGTCAGCTGCGTCTTGGCAGTCTGTTTGAAGAAAATCATTTTCCAAATCCCACTATGTCGGAGCCCGGCTAGATGCTCCGCTGCGAGCGGAATGGTGGGTTCCCCTGCATCCGAGACTTCGCGTTACGAACTTGCAGGGGTCGTATTTATCCTTTGGCCGATCCCCGTTCCAAAATACGTTTCGATTTTATTCCTTTAGAGGTTAGACGTTCTGGAATTTATTCAAAGTTCTGTCCATGGTTCGTGGCAGCGGCCATGTTCCGACGTAGATCTTAACACAACTTTAGAAAATATTCCCAAGTGTTAATAGAGATACCCTACGAGTATCTGTCAATGTCAATGTTTCAGGGTTACACCGTACAGTGACGCTTTTATGTCAAACGAGCTTGGCAGCAGAAAGCGACAGGTAATCCCGCGCCAAGATCACGCAATTTTCGGTTTAGCTAGACACTGGAATTATTGCCCCTGATTCTAAAGTCCTGGGGACTTCTTAGGGCCTTCGAACGTGGTCGGATCAGAGCCCATCTGTGTACAATCACATCACCTTCAGAATGCGGGTCATACATCGCTTCCTGGCCTTGTTCACCCTGGCTTTGACTTCGGCCACGATCCTCCAGAATGGCCAAGTGAGAGAGAATCCATACCCTGGCCAAGTATCAGCCATCGATCTGGACGATTCATGGAATACTTACCCACCAGATTCCCCGGAGATCTCCTACAAGGGCCGCTGGGATAGCAAGCACGTTTCCTGTATGTCTACGCCACATCCCTTCCCCGGATTCTTCCTGTTTGACTTCATGCTAACAGATGTCAGGGTGGTCGTATGTCTCACTTTATTTCCGGTTCACTGCATTAGTTGACCGTTACTCTTAGCGCGCCGGGACTTAAAGTTGAATTTTCCGGGGATAAGGTGCGCATCTCCAATTGTGACCAACTCTATCTTCGGGTCCACATGCTAATCATTCTCTAGCTGGCTCTCAGCTTTGGTCAAAGCACCACTCCAGGCGTACTGGTCGCTTACCGGTAAGAGGATAATCCATATTCTTAGCGATTTCATCATCTAAGGTTTAAAAGTATCGGTTCTCTCGATTGGCAGTTCTCGAACGTCACTGCCGACTCCACATATCAATTTGTTGGGCCGTGGTCTGAACTGAATGATGGAGAGGAAACCCCCGAGAAGAATGTGTTTGAGATGCGAGGTATGCAAGCTACTCTGATCTTATCACAACTCATTCGCTGACTGCATTCCAGTGACAAATTGGGGCTTTGGATAAGTTTTCACTAGCCATTGGGTGTACTCCATTCTTACCTTGCATACAGTTCAAATTGCCGGTGTCGCTGTCGCTAGTGATGCCGCTTTATCCAAGCCTCTTACGTTTGAAAAGCGGATCGAGGTCATCGGTGGCTCGTGAGTTATCCCTCTTTGTTCTGCGGCAAAGGAGTTCCGCTAAGTTGTTTCAGTCTCGCATCTGGTCAATTTGCAACTTATGAGACCCTTTCTTCCTGGTCTTTCCTCTTTGCCAATGGCCTTGGTAACGTCGAATACGGAATAACGGTTAGTCCATCCGGCACTGAATTTCCTTTACCACGACCTAACCCATCACCTCTAGGCGTATCCCGGTGTTTGCCTTGCCGATCTTCAATGCTACGGGGGTGGCACCCATGGTGTGGTATGTCCAGACTTCAAGCTTCAAGGATTACGCAAATTCTAACAAGACACTAGCAATGGTTCTGGCACCATGCCTCTGATCCTGGATCTCGCGCTTCTGCAGCTTACGGCCATGAGCCCGAGGAGTGGGACGTCGGCGCAGAACAGCCTGCTGATTTGGTAATTATCCAGATGGGTGGCAACGATCACCGCCATCCCAACGATATCCCAGGGCGAAATTACTACCACGCCTACGTCGATCTGGTGGATGATATCCACTCCGTCTGGCCTCATGCCGTGGTAATTCTCATGGTACGGCCATCAAGCCCTTATAGTCACTCAAGTGGACCATTCTAACTAACTTATCCAGTCTCAATGGGGAACATTCACCAAGCAGAACAAGAAGTACGTCGGTAGTACGTACTACCTCGAAGAGACGAAGCAGGTATACGAACACTTCAAAGACCGTGGATTCGTCTACTACTTTCCCACCGAGGGCCTTCTGGCCCACAATGACATTAACCCCAAGAATCATCTTACGGATGTGGGTCATGTCAAAATCGCTAGTCATTTGCTGCAGTGGGTAAAGTTGGTTCTGAGATGGAAGATTGAGCCAACGAGCGAAGTCCAGTCCGGAACGACTTATTGGAATGATCAGCAGGAGTATTGATTTTTTTTTTAGATTGCATTAAAGCTGAGTCTTTGCCTGTGGCTGTAAATTAGTTAAAATTTTTGTCCAAAATCAAATCGTTGGAACTGTTTATTCCCTCCTTTGTGTGATGCTCGAGTATTGTTGGGGATTTGGGGGATGTGGCCTGGTCAAGTTCTTGTCGAGAAACTCATCTCCCTCTTTTCTTCTTTTCTTTTCCGTTTCTCTCCCTCTATTCTTCCTTTTTTTCCGTCTCTCCCTGTCTCTCTCCCAGGCCACGTATCAAGAGCCGAGTCACGCACGGAACGGGGCATGCCCTGGCTCAACGCAGGCAACTCCTCCTGGTCTCGGGTGAATTTAGCCTCCTTCTGCAAGGCCACAGCCTTGTACATTCGGCCCAGTCTCCTCATCCCTCTTCACGGCCCTGCTTTCCGCAGTGAGTTGAACCAACGGCTTCCGTCCGCTCTTGGTTCGCCTTGCAAGCTCAAAAAGAGTCCTTGTCGTTGCTAGGCTCAAGTCCTTGTACTTGGCGGATCCCGTGGCAGATGCGGATAGGACTCCTGATATGGACTACCTCTGACTAGTAGCCGTCGCGGCGCGAAGAATCCCAGTCAAACAGGATCTCGTTAGCTTTGATGTCGCTAGCTGTGTTGGAGTCGCCCGTCCAGCCATGATTTGTTTCTTCTTTAATTGACAGACACTTAGTCACTATTTAGAAATTTTTATCGCTGAGCTTGACGGTTTCGGATGGCGTTTAGCTCTTTCCGTGACGGGCGATGAGGTCGCGGAAAGTGGGTGTGTTGATCGGTGATGGTCTTATTGGACCGTATGTTCGCGCAATTGATTCGAAGCTCGACTTATTTTTCGTTGGATTGCGCAAGGAACATGTAATTAATATTTGAAAAATCAGTTTCCTTCTTGCTCAACGTCAGTCTAGCTACCAAAGCGTGGCGCATGGACAGAAATACAATAAAATATCAGACTCTTTCTTGTCGAATGCAACAATGGATTGAAAAATAAGCGCGAGGTCCAAGCAGGCACACGTTCTGCCCATGATGTTGAACAGGGAGCTGAGATAGTTGGCAACTCAGAGCTCATGGCAGTGATCAACGTACTTCTTTGCGCGAGCCGGGAAGCTCTTCTCCCACAGCTCCGAACTCTGGAAATACTCGCCAACTTTCCTGCAGCGTTCTGCAGTAATGTAAGGAAAGAGACGAGGCGCCGCGCGAACCTTGGCGAGCTGGCTGTAATCGTCGACACAGCGCATCGCTTCATCCAACTCCGGAGAGTCTTGACAGCCATGTGCGTTGGCTAGTTTGGAACCACATTTGGCGCGCATGTCCTGGAAAATGCTATCCAGAAAGTTGACAAATGCATCCTTGCCTTCCTCAATACCCAGGTGTGATGCACCGTCATCTACCAATCCACGCATGGTTTCTTTGCCAAAGACATCCCAGTGATCTGGGTGCGGCTGGCAACTTGCTTCGCAAGATTGTCGTTGGACGTTCTCAATGAAGACCCGAGGGCTGATGATGTTGATAGCGTTGACACAGTCGGTCAAAATTGTTGCACTGACGCCTTGAGTGAGACAGAAACTCACGAGGGCGATGACCGGGGTGACACGCATCTTGTACAGTCGGGAGTGATGAGAGTAGAGATGCTGTAGACTCAACGCGTGAACTTTGATGGCAGGGATGATGTACCGTAGAGTGATAGAGTTAAGATTTGCGAGCTTTGTGAAAGGCTGGTGTGAACATGGTGTGACCCATAGGAGAAATTTTGTTTAATAATGATCCTATGCAGCATTACGCGCTGCAGGCACGGCAGGCAGGGGTGCATGCAAGCAAGGGGTTGGGTAGGACAATATGTAAGGATATGTAGAATGATCCTAGAGCATTCAGTGCATATATTGAACATACTCGTAATATTCTCTGGGTTGCACAACATACCAAGAAAATCTATAGATAAATTTGTCGAGTTAGCGATATGTGGATGAAGGGGCTATATCCACCTATATGCATCCAGTGATTCTTAGATTGAACGTTTGCACAATCCGAGCCAATCATCTTCTCTAAAGCCTCGGAGAAAGACCCCGAAGCGCTACCCCTTGCTAGCCATGCAACTTCATCTTACATATACGAAGTACATACTAATCGAGCTGATCATCGTAAAGCCCTTACCTTTGAATGATAGGTACATTGTCTAAGTAGCCATGTCAATACTTATATGTTTGGCCCATGACCGCAACATAGGACAGGATTTAGGTTTTAGTTTTCAAAATTTCTTTCACTTGTATGCGTTGTAGGTCCTCTCCCGATAAAACTGGTTGGTGACCGATTACTGTGATCTCTCCGTCATGAACGATTCAACTTCTAGCACAGGGTCACAATTCCCAGTGATTATCTCGCCGAATCTGCAAACCCCTCCAACCGACAATGTCGAGTACGATAAGCCACGCCCGCTTTGCCAGGAAGTAGTGTGTAACGGCGATGCCACGGCTATGTCTGATGACATTGGAATTGCCAGTAGCCCTAGTGACCCTCTGATTGCTATCACAGGAATGGCTATGCGACTTCCCGGGGGTATTGGAACTGCAGAAGAATTTTGGAACCTGTTGATTGACAGGAAAGACGGCCATGGCGAGGTACCAAGCTCACGATACAACATAAGCGCATACCAGAGCCAGTCAAAACCCCATGCGGTCCGGGCCGAAAGTGGTTATTTCCTACATGATGATATAGCGAGATTTGATACGGGCTTCTTTGATGTACGACCACGACTTGCTGCCTCACTGGATCCTCAACAAAGGCTTCTGGCCGAGGTGGTGTGGGAGTGCCTCGAGAACGCCGGGGAGGCAAACATTGCCGGCAAAAGGATTGGATGTTTTGTTGGAGTTTTTGGGAACGATTGGCAGGAGCTTGCACTCCGAGACCAGCAGGACTTTGATCGGAATCTCGTGGGCTGTACTCATGACTTTGTCCTGGCAAACCAAATCTCACAGTTATTCGACTTGATGGGCCCTAGGTTGGTTCTTCACGAATGAAAAACGTTAGTAGAATATATTGATTGACCGATTCATTACAGTCTCACGATCAGAACTGCTTGCTCGTCTTCAATGACCGCATTACACATGGCCTGTGAGGCCATCAAAGCAGGCGAGTGCGATTCTGCGGTCGTTGCTGGCACAAATTTGATATTGACACCCACCACCTCTACAACGATGTCCGACTACAAGGCCCTATCACCAAGCGGGATATGCAAGACATTTGATGCAGATGCAGATGGCTATGGGAGAGGTGAAGCCATCAACGCCGTTTTTATCAAGAATTTGGATGACGCATTACAAAGAAGCGATCCGGTTCGAGCTGTGATCCGAGCCACTGCGATCAACTCGGATGGCAAGGTAGCCATGACCGGAGAACCTCGCGCAGAAGGACAGGAACAAGTCATCAGATCTGCCTACCGAAAAGCTGGTATAGATGATTTCTCGGAAACCGGGTTTTTTGAATGCCACGGAACAGGAACCCAGAAGGGCGATGTGATCGAGACTTCAGTTGTTGCAAGTGTCTTCACAGATGGCATCATCATGGGATCGGTCAGCGACTATCTCTCCTCTCCATGGATCTTGCTAACTCATCCCAGGTCAAGCCAAATCTTGGTCATTCAGAGGGTGCTTCTGGTCTCACAAGTCTAATCAAGGCCGTGCTTTCCCTTGAGCACCGAATGATTCCGCCCAACATTCATTTCCACCATCCTAACCCAAAAAGTAAGTCGGAAGCTCCCGGCCTTGCGACTCTGACACAGAACTGATCTTGCAAAGTTCTTTTTGAAACTTCGAAGCTACGAGTTCCTATCGAGCCAATTGCCTGGCCTGTCGACAAATCAGAACGAGTCAGCATCAATTGCTTCGGAGTGGGTGGCTCCAATGCTCATGTAGGACAACCAGCACGTTTCATACTAGCCTGAACTAATCTTGTCAGGCAATCCTTGAGTCGGCAAGATCTTTCACGGAAACCAAACCCGAAACGAATTACTCTCGCCGGAGTGGGCAGCATCAGCTCTTTGCGATCTCGGCCAAATCAGAAGAATCCTTGAGTCGTCGTAAAACGCAAATTCTTCAATATCTAGAGAGCCATCCAGAATCAATGCCGGACCTGGCTCATACACTTGGACAACGAAGGGAATTTTTGCGCAATCGGGGCTTCATGATCACCGATGGTACATCTGTGACACACGGAGGCACTCGAAATTTATTTCAAGCACCAAAGATCGAAGCTGTGACTTTATTATTCTCCGGTCAGGGAGCTCAGTGGTCAGGAATGGGCAGAGGTTTGATCAAACACAGTGAATCTTTCCGGAGTGACATGAGGAAGATGGACAGCGTCTTGCAGTCACTCAAAGACGCTCCCCGCTGGAGAATTGAAGGTATGGAATCCGCTTTGCCCAGACTCAATGTTATATGTCACTTACCGACCCGAACTTCTGTTCACAGATGTACTGTCTCAGCCGGATTGTCCTGATCTCGATGATGCTCAGGTTGCTCAGCCATTATGTACAGCACTTCAGATTGGGTTGGTCAACATGATCAGGGACTGGGGAATTCAACCAGAATCAGTGGCCGGCCATTCTAGCGGAGAAATTGCCGCAGCATATGCAGCAGGCGCAATTTCAATGGATGTGGCTATCATGCTCAGCTATTATCGTGGTCAAGTGACGAAGATGCAGACAAGCCCAGGAATGATGGCCTCTGTCAGCCTGGGCAAACTTGATGTTGATCCATATCTTGCAAAAGGCGTTGTCGTGGCTTGCGAAAATAGCCCTCGAAGTGTGACTCTCTCTGGTATACGAGATGTGTTGTGTCAGATCCTCGACCGCATATCCTCTGATCATCCAGACGTTATCTGCAAGTCTCTGCCACTTAACGTTGCGTACCACTCAGGTGAGATCTACCACTCATACTGAGATATATCTACTCAACATACTAAGATGTGTCCATTCTTTAGAATTGATTACGGAAGCCGCAACCCAATATTTGCAACTCATTGAGCCTCATGTCAGCTCGAATGCTTCCATGATCCCAATGTTCTCCTGCATTTCTGGGAAACAAATATCTTCACCCGCAGATCTCGATGCTGCGTACTGGCGTCGTACGATGGATTCACCGGTCAACTTTAACGAATCTATCAGCAAGCTTATTGAAGATAGTGACAGAACCAGGTTGTTCGTTGAAGTCGGCCCACAGTCCGTTCTGCTTAGCCCTATAAAGCAGATCCACGAAGCTTCCAAGGCTCAGTCAAAGATGGTGTATGTTCCCACTCTGATGAAAGATCAGAACTCGATGGAGTGTGCTCTACGGACGGCAGGAGAGCTATACCTGCATGGTGTCACGTTGGATATGACAGCTATAAACGGTAATGGCAAAGTTCTGACCGATTTGCCCCCCTACCCATGGCAGCATGAGAAGCGACTTTGGTATGAGTCCCGCATTGCTCGCAATTGGAGAACATCCAAGTTTGCACATAATGAGCTCTTAGGACACCGTTCTCCTGAGTCATCAGATCTTGAGCCCTTTTGGAGAAACAGGTTGCAGCTCAAATGCGTTCCTTGGCTTCTTGACCACAAAGTCAACTCCGATATCGTGTACCCTTGCGTCGGGTATATTTCAATGATAGGCGAAGCAATTCGTCAAATGACTGGATCAAAATGCTTCGCGATCAAGCGGCTCTTCATAAGTGCCCCCATGGTATTGTATGAAAATGTCACGACGGAGATCATCACAAATTTACGCCCTGCAAGATTGACAGACAGCGTCAAATCAAGCTGGTATGACTTCACTGTTTCTGCGTATGATGGTACGCAATGGTCAACACATTGTAATGGGCAAGTCAGAGGAGAGAACGAAGATAATCTGTGTGCCTTGAATTCTAGTTCTCAAGCCTTTGTACGTCAAGTCGATACCGATGTGTGGTACGAAACAACGCGAAAGGCGGGCCTGGACTTCGGACCTAGTTTCCGCAAGCTCACAGCAATCACTGCTGATCCCATCGGCTACTACGCTTCTGCTACTGTTACTCAAAACGAACCGAAAGAACAAACCGATCGAGATGGCATCGACCCTGTGGTCATTGATCAAGGTCTGCAGCTTCTTGGGATTGCTGCATGCAATGGACTTTCGCGGCGCATGTCTAAGCTCGGTGTTCCCATGTCAATTGATTATCTCTATATCTCAGATGCGCACAAAATCACAGAATCCGAAACTGGGATTGCCCTTCGAGCTGAATTCCCAGCCTGTGAAAATGGCACATTGAAAACTTCACTGGGAGGGTGTGTGTCGGGAAATTTGGACGAAAATCTTTCATTCAATCTCAAAGGAGTCAAGTTCTTCCCATTACGCCAACCCAGGGTGTCTACGGAGATCCCATTGGCAACAAGACTCGAGTGGAAGCCAGACATCGATTTCTTGCCAGCCAAAGCATATCTGTTCAAGTCTATGCCACCTAACCCTTCCATGGCATTGCTCACAAAGCTCTCGGTGATTGCTGTCATTGAGCTTTTTGACCAGATGGGCTTAAGGCCGTCGAGCTTTTCTTCTGTCACAGAATACCGAGACTGGACAACTTCCAACCTTGGCCGGCTTCATGATATCCTACAGTCGTACTTCCCAGATGCCTTCGATTTGAACCAAGACCCAACATCTCTCCAGTCCATGCTGATAAAAGACGTATCTGCAGTAGTCGAATCTACCGAGCCTTGGGCTCAGCCTGTTCGTGACTATGTCACAAGGATACTGGATGCGATCGACGACCAAGTTCCAATTTCGGATCTTTTGATGGACAATGGGGGCTTCAGATCCCTGTGGGATTTCGCAGCTATCAATGTGAATTATGCGCAGATGTTGCGTTTGCTCGGACATTCCAATCCATCGTTGGCGGTCCTCGAGGTAAACCCCAGTACTTGCGGCACCACTTCGGCTGCACTGGTCATTTTACAATCGGTCGATGGAGTCCGATTATACTCAAAATATACCATGGCTTCAGACTCCACTGACATTAGAACAGAGGCTTTGGACAGATTCGGTGAAACAGAAGGATTTTCGTCTGTTGCTCTGAGCCCCAAAGTCGCCATCGGGGCACATGACTTTGCCTCCAAGTCCTATGATTTGATTATCCTTCCACATGACCTCCCATCGTTCTATGAAGTAAAGCCTTTCTTAGCCGAGATGAAGACTTTACTTGCACCCGGTGGTCGCATTTTGATTCGCCAGTTGAACCCGCCTGTTCCATTCATAGACTTTATGATGAGCATGATCCCGGCTCCATTATCCATTCCCAGCGAGCTGCAGTTGCAGAACCCTTTCTCTCCAGGGTTCTGGACAATGGAACTAAATGAGGCGGGGTTTCTCCCACCAGAGTTCTCCTCTTTCGATCTAAACATCTACCCTTGGACACTTGAACACGCGATAATCTCCAAGGCCCCCCACCCAGAAGCCGAAAAGCATAATATTTTCCTTCTTGGTCCAGCACAGAGTCATCCATGGATCGAGACTGTGAGACACCACTTGATTGAACGAGGATACAATGTCGTTGATGCCACACTTGAAGAGCTTCCATCCGGCGAAGGAGACATCATCTCTGTGCTGGACATACCGACACCGACCTTGAGCAATTTCTCGCAAGAAAATCACGATGCAGTGATAAGGCTTTGTTTGCAAGGAAGGCGAACAATCTGGGCTACCAAAGCTTCGCAGATGAGATGTGACAATCCGTCGTTTGGACTAATAAATGGATTCGCAAGAACTATTCGGCAAGAAACTATGTCAGAGTTTGGCACCATTGAAATCGATAATTTCGATCAACATGCTGCAGGAGCTTTAGTTCAAGTATACGAGAAATTCTGTCGACAGTCGCTAGCCCCCAGTTGGGCACCAGAATGTGAATTTGCCTTGCTCGACAAAGTTGTTCATATCGGCCGGTTTCACTGGGCACCGCTCGAGAATCTTTCTCCACCTGTCCCACAGGACTGTCACATAGCCCTAGAGGCTGGTGCGCCGGGCATTGGGAACTTGCTGACATGGAAAGAGCAGCCCGATCTTTCACTGAGCGAGCACGATGTGGAAGTGGATATGAGTCACGTCGCGATCAATTTTAGGGTATGTAGATCATTTCGCATTTCCGAATGCTGCTGACAAGACAGGACATCATGGTGGCGATGGGTATCATTGATGGAGAGCATGGCTTGGGTCTAGAAGGAAGTGGAATCATTCACCGCATTGGATCTGCTATTACACATTTACGACCAGGCCAACGAGTTAGTATTCTCGGTACAAGACTTCTCGCCACTCGAGTTGTTGTTTCCAGTGAAGCCTGCTTCCCTCTACCAGATGAAATGTCTCTGGAGGATGCGGCTACGATCCGAGTTGCGTATCAAACTGCCATATACTCACTCCTTACAGTAGGGCAACTGGAGCTCGGACAGGTAAGATTGAGTGCAATTGATACCGAGAAAGAAAATATACTGACTACCACAAGTCTGTTCTGATTCATTCGGCATGTGGTGCAGTTGGCCAAGCGGCGATTCATATTGCACAGACCAAGAAGGCCAAGGTATTTATATTCTCGCCAAATAGGCCCTTTTTATCTTGCCTCTAACTCCCACGCAGATATATGCCACGGTTGGCACAGAACGGAAGGTTCAATATCTCCAGGAAACATTTGATATTCCCCGAGAAAACATTTTCGACTCTCGTAATGCCTCATTTGTTGATGGAATCAGAGCTGCAACAGGTGGACAGGGCGTTGACATTGTGCTCAACTCCTTATCTGAGAGTTTGCTACATGCTTCTTGGAGCTGCGTCGCTAGGTTTGGAAAAATGATTGAGCTTGGGAAACGCGACTTCATGGGCCACGGAATGTTGGATATGGAGACTTTTGGAGCGAATCGATCATTCATTGGTGTCGATGTGCTACAACTTGGGTTGGAGAGCCCGAGCCGAAGCCGAAGGTACCACTGCTCAGTTTCAACATTGATGACATCCATAGCTGACAATACTCTGAATCCAGATTGACTGAGCTGTTTGCCCGGCTTTATCAGAGGGGCAAAGTCAAACCAATCCAGCCAATTAAGTTATTCACCTTAGCGGAGATTCCGGAAGCCCTTGCATATATGCAACGCGGAACACACATTGGGAAGATTTTGATCAGAATGACCGATGATACGACCGCACTGAGCTTGAGTAAGAAGATAAATATTGCTCCTCTAACTACCTTCAAGCCCGAAGCTGCGTACCTGCTGGTGGGAGGCCTCGGAGGAATTGGTCGGGCTGTGTCGAATTGGATGGTTGAAAACGGTGCCAGGCATCTCATTTACCTCTCACGATCTGGGAGATCACAAAGCAACAATGCATTCCTTGAAGAGCTTCAGGTACAGGGCTGTCAGCCAGTGATAGTCAATGGGAGCGTGTCAAATATTGGAGACGTGGAACGAGCAATTGCTGCCAGCCCCAAACCTATTTCTGGAGTCATCAATCTGGGCATGGTGCAAAGGGTAAGCAACATCTCTTCGGACGATTTTCGGTGCACCCAGCTAACAATGCTTTCTTGTGACAGCCGTCAGCTCTCTCCGAGTCTACCTATGAAGATTGGTCTGATGTTCAGGATCCAAAAGTGAAAGGATCTTGGAATTTACATCAGGCATTTAGTCTGGCAGCACTTGACTTTTTCGTTGTTTTGAGCTCAATCACATCTCTATGCGGCAGCATCGGACAAGCGAGCTATGCGTCTGCAAACTCCTACCTCGACGCACTGATAAAGTACCGTCGGTCTCTGGGGCTTCCTGGCGCAACCCTCAACCTGGGCGGGGTTGGAGACATTGGCTGCTTTGCACGAGAGCCAGAATGGATGACAGCAGCTAACTTATGGGAGCTAAATCTTCTGAACGAGGAGCAGGTCATTCAGTCAGTGGAAGCAGCCATCCGCCTATCTCAGACCACATACGGCTTGCATGGTGTCGCTGCAACTGGTCAAGTCATCACAGGAATGAGTACGACCCGCACGCACACAGATCCTGCTGCTCGCATCCCATGGAGAGATGCGCGATATCGTCTCTATGCTAATATCGGAGAGACAAAGAAGGATGTACGTCAGGAACGAATTGCTGATAAGCTCAAGGGCTTCCTCCAAAAGGCTCAGCAGACCCCGGATCTTTTGAAGGAGCCAGAAGGATGGAATTTGATTGTTGAGTACATGGGACTTCATATGAATGAGAAGGCGGGGACGGATGCAGAGCGGGCGCAGTTTGCCACAGTGTCCATCGATTCCATTCTACTAATTGAGACTGTCGGCCAACTGCGTCGGAGTCTGGGCCTTGACTTAACTTTAGCAAGCCTTGCTGGCGCAACTACTGTGGGTGATTTGGGCCGAACTATTCTGGAGCGGTTCTACGAGAAACTGACCACGGACAAAAATTGATGAGATCTGGTCCTTAAATATACTTTTTGATGAAAGCAGTTTGATTTTTCGGTCACAATTCATGAGTAAATTAGTGCAGAATAAACCTTTCATACATCTTACGTGTCTTTAGCAAGTTGAACGTGGATTATATCTCGAAGTTATGATGTCTCGTTTGAAAATGAGCAGATATAGAACAGCCACATGGTGATTTGAAAGCCCCGAGGTCCATATCCATGGATATTACATCCATGGATGGATTATCACGACCTTCCTATCTCGCTTGGGCAGTCTGTCCAATTTGAGGACAGACCCAAGCACCAAAAAGCTGTCACGATCTGCATGCAGGTCACTCCTTGCTTCTCTCTCTTTCTCTCCCCCTACACCACAGATAACCAATATACTGCGTATTTCGCCTTTCCTTATTCCTCTCGTCATATGTGGACAGCCACAGCCAATAAAGAAAAAAGAAATCCAGCCGAGCAAGGTCGCAGTGGCACCTTCATCTGCCCCGCCGATCCCATCACAGCTCGGTCAACTTCCGAAATATGCCTCTTCCCCAGATTAGCCCCGCAATCTTGGCGATATGTACCGACAGAAGTCTTGTTGCGTCGCCAAGTCTAGGGCTTACCAACGGCAGTTGAACATGTAAGCCATGGTCATTTCCGTCGCTCGCGAGCTCGGCAAACCTCCGTCGATCAGATGCATTTTTCCAACTTACTCCGCCCCACTGATATCAAGCACGCTTTTGATGCGCCTGGCAGCACCTTCGCTTAGCTGAAAAGGCCCGATCACTCGGCTAACGCAATCTTCGCCGCTTTGTTGCCAGCGGCACTTGAGGTGGGATGATAAGTCTAGCCCCCTCGGTACTGTTGATACTGGGAAGAAGTCTATTGAGCTCGAGCATTGACTCAAGACCCCTGTTGACCCCGCGTGGAGCTAAACTGTAACCTTTTGGCCTCGGAGAACTTCCATGTCGGAATATAAGAAGGTCGGATTCGTCATGTGTGACCATCAGCTCTTCCATTCCTCGGTATTTCGACAATCTCGATCACCACTACTGCTTTCCATTGAGTGCGCTGTGATTCGATTACGAGATGGGTCTCTTCGGTCATCTGGGGTTGTCGGATACCCCCAAGGAGATATTCAACTATCGTCTCTTTTGGTCCGTTGGGGTGTTTGGTACGTGATTCTCCTAGACTCTTTTCTCTCCATCACTAATAAGATCGCAGGCATCCTCGGAGCGGGCAGAGGAATCGACGAAGGCCTGGTCGGTGGTATGATATCACTTAAGAGCTTCAAAGATGAATTCCCATTGGAAGTCGGTACTGCTTCCGAGATTGCCAACCGCGAATCGAACATAACAAGCATGGTCCAGCTTGGCTCTATAGGTGGCGCTCTGTTAGCTTTTGTTCTGTGCGACCGAATCGGCCGCGTGAGATCCCTCCAGGCTCTGACTTTCCTTTGGGCTATTGGCTTCGTCATTGTCGTGACTAGCTTTGGTAACATTGGGCAAATCCTCGCTGGTCGTTTGATTGCCGGACTAGGCGTTGGTATGACCACTGTGGTTGGCCCGACGTATTTGGCAGAGGTTGCTCCTAAAGAGATCCGTGGTATGCTGACCAACATCTTTGCGGGTGCTGTATATCTGGGCGTGATGATTGCGTACTTTGCAAATTGGGGTTGCTCGGAGAATATATCCGACGCTTCTCGTTCGCAATGGGTGATTCCGCAGGCAATTCACATTATGTTTGCAGGGTAAGAGACATGACCATCTGAGACTCATGTCTTGTGCTAACAGACTCCCCTCATTAAGTGTCATCTTCCTTGCCTCCTGGACTGTTCCAGAAAGCCCACGGTTCCTCGTCATGAGAGGAAAGCACGAACAAGCTCTCAAGAATCTGTGTACCCTGCGTCAACTGCCTAGTGATCACCCTAGTATCATGTCCGAAATCCTCGACATTCGTGATCAATTAGGCCACGAGCAGGAAAGCACCAGGGGATCTTCACTCTGGGGCAAACTGAAAGAGCTAGTCACAATCCCAGCTAATCGCTATCGCTTGATGTTGGGCGTTATGTCGCAATTGCTTGGACAATGGTCGGGTGCCTCGGCTATTACCATTTACGCTACCAGCTTCTTTGCTGCGCTTGGTAAAACCGGTCAAAGTGAAAAGTTATTCGCCACCTGCATCCTCGGTGTCGTGAAGTTCTGCTCCGCGTACATTTGCGCGTTCTTCCTCATTGATTTCCTCGGCCGACGCCGTTCCCTTTATACCGGCATCATCTTGCAAACTCTCTCAATTTGTTATATCGCAATTTACATGGCCAAAGTCCCAGCCTCAGCCCACGTTTCAGAAACCAGTGAGATCACCGGATCTGCTAGGCGTGCAGGCATCGGCGCAATCGCGGCTATCTACATTTCCGGCTTTGGCTGGGCCATCGGCTGGAATTCATTCCAGTACTTGGTTAATGCAGAGATCTACCCAAGTCGGCTGCGTGCCCTGGGTTCTTCAATCGTCATGTGCATTCACTTTGCCAATCAATTCGGAAACACCAAAGCAGTCCCAAGTATGGTGCTTGCCATGACGAACTACGGCTTTTTCGTTTTCTGCACTGCGGTTTGTGTCCTTGGCTTGACTTGGGTCTGGTTCTTCGTTCCGGAGACTGCAGGTAGGAGTCTTGAGTCGATGGAAGAGTTGTTCGCACTCCCATGGCATCAAATTGGTCGCCATGGGAAATCCCTTTCTCCGGTTGGTGATGGCCTCTTTGCTGAGGACCCGGAGAAATCCCGCGCCATTCACCAAGAGTAATACTCTGAGGTGCGCAAACCTTTCCAGAGAATCTCTCCGCCGATGCTATTTCAATATGCATTATCATATACGGTGGTTGCTCAGCTTGGCCCACATCATATTTTATGCTAGTTATACCATGATTTATGCTTCTAAAGTTTGCACAACTAAACTCCTCCCATAGGCTCAATGCATCCGTTTTTGCTTCCAGTCAGGATTTTCAACTTGACAAAAGGCGTACCAAGCTGTAACACGGCCCTATAGCACAGCCCTACAGCACAGCCCTACAGCACAGCCCCTATAAGGATTATATCTGCTATACCTGCCGTTTCTGCCTGAGACATCCACCCCAAATAGGCAAGTGCCTCGGCACGATCAAAAATCGAAAAAGTCCTCGCGACCGCTGATTCGCCAAGGCCAAGTGTTCCCAACCGGTCCACTTGCTGCGAAGAGATTGGCGACAAACAGTTCCCAACCGTTATATCCAAACCTTGGAAGTTATATGTACTCGTTGCCCGGCTGAATTTCCATTTCGGGCAGTGACCGATGAATCTATTTTTTTCTCTCATATAAGGCGACATCTCAACTTCTGTGATCGAACAAGCGACACCCCTTTGCATACACATCGCGGTAACTCCACAGATCATGGCTCCACAACCAATTCCATTCCCAGGTCTTACCCCGATATCTGATCGGGTATACATTCGCAATGGCAATGAAAAAGCAAAGCCCGCAGCAGATGAGCCAACCACCATCCTCATCTCCGGCTGGGGCGATGGCATGCCAAAGCACGTCTCCAAATACGTCGAAGGCTACCATGAGCTCTTCCCATCGTCTCGCATTATCGTGATCTTGTCACGCACCCTCCAGGCCTCCAATCAGCCCGAGGAAGACAGAATCCAAGCCATGTTGCCCGTCGTCGATACTATCTTCCCCACCCCTACGGGTAGTGGCGAGGAAGAACGCGTCCTTATCCATGCTATGTCCAACACGGGCGCGATCTTCGCCGCTGCCGCTATCGTGGGCTACCAGCGTCGTCATGGAAAGGATAAGACTTTCCCGCACAAATTGTTGGTTTGTGATTCTACGCCGGGTAGTCTGGACTTTGCTTCGCAGGTTGGTCGTTGGTCAAGGGCTATGGCGGTCGGAACGGCCAAGTTCTTCCCTTGGCCGTTCATCATTACCCAGGGTCTGTGGTACATCTTCCTCTGGGCAAATTGGGCTTGGGAGGTTCTGCGTGGCTCGGAGCCTTCGGGGGTGTGGGCGAATCGAGTAATGAACGACAAGTCGATTATTACTACCGAAGCCAACAGACTCTATCTTTATTCCAAGGAAGATGAGATTATTGGATGGAAGGATTTGGAGGAGAACGTGGCGGGGGTCAAAACCCTGGGTTACCCGGTCGAATTAGAGATGTTTGAAGGCTCACCGCATGTTGGACATATGAGACTGCATCCTGAGCAGTATTGGAACAGGATCTCGGGGTGCTGGAAGCAGGCGATGGCCAAGGAATAGACTGTGGATATTTACTTCAAGACATGTATGTTTAGCTAGACTATAGATAATAATCTCATCATCTCAATATGGAGTTCGCGGGTTTGGGTTTACCTGTGTAGTGCCTAGTGGAGGAGATCTACTTAAGTAGATGTTAGGCGTCCAGTCAACGCAATCCTAGCTGACAAGGATGTCAGACCGTCAGACCAGTTGTCTAGTTTAGGACCCATGCTAAAACACCTGTACAAATGCAACTAATTATACTTGCACTAAACCTGAAAGGGATTAGTGAAATCGATCAAGTCCACAAAACATGAACATCCATTTCTAAACGAAGGATCATGGCGCCCCTGACCTTCGTGACGGGAAATCCCAACAAGGTGATTGAAGTAAATGCAATTATAGGCAATGCAATCTCCATTCAGCCCCTTGCACTTGACATCCCTGAGATCCAGGGGACATTGACAGAGATTGCGAGCGATAAATGCCGACGTGCTGCTCATATTGTGAGACGATCTTATACTCTTATACATCGGAGGGATATGCTTTTAACCATCTCAACATTAGATCAATGGACCTGTCTTAGTTGAAGACTCGGCCTTGGAATTCCGGGCTATGAAAGGACTACCTGGTCCTTACATGTATGTTACTCGTGACTCACGCTTTACTATTTTCGCGCGTTAACCTTCGTCAAGTAAATATTTTCTTGAGTCACTGGGAAATGACGGGCTAAACAAGTTGTTGGATCCCTATGAGGACAAGCATGCAGAAGCTGTATGCACATTTGCATTTTCATCGGGGCCGGATATGGATCCTTTGGTATTCCAAGGAAGATTAGACGTAAATCCATCTGCAAAAGGACCGAGACGACTATAATGCTGACAGCGTCTAGGGCAAAATCGTACCTGCGCGAGGTCCACCTATATTTGGTACGTTCTTGGAAGCACATTCTTCCGTGTAAAGCATCGCTCATTGACATATCACTAGGCTGGGAACCCATTTTCGAACATAACGGAGAGACTCTCGCTGAAATGGAACATGACAAAAAGGTACGTGATATCTATTAACGGTGTAGGTTTGGTTTGCATAGGGCTAATTCAAGATCCCTGGATAGAACAAATTGTCTCATCGGTACAAAGCGCTGGTTAAATTCCAGGAGTGGCTTAGCCAAACGAAATTCGCGTTATGAGCACACAAGCAATTGCAACGCATTATATTTACGGGCGTGTCACGTCAGATATCAGCCTTTATGATCAAGAATGACCCCGTGTACTGGGCATCATTGCTCATTTCGAAAGCCAAGAGCTGGAAATCCGAGTGATAAAGATGTGAATAGACTGGCCGATCTTAACCTTTGGCAACTTGAAGAAACAAGACGCTTGCGATCTTTGGTCCAGCAGTTTGAATACAGATCTCAATTATTACGCGCTAGCATCAAGTTCAGCTCACAACATCGAAGTAAAATAAATGCACAATTCAACACTATGTCAATCTTGCGAGCTCAAGCCAATACAATATCAACGCAATTCGTCTCGAAACCTCATCTTAACCCATTACCCAAATCACTCACGATCATCAGGATGGAAAACCAAAGCTCTCACCTCAATACTCTCCCTCGGAGCCTCATTGACAGTCTCCGGGTTCGAAAACGCCGTATGAGGCACACGCCTCGCCCGACCATCAACCTTCGAATCAAAGCACTTAATCAACGTCACCAGATCCGGAGTCTGCGCATATCTGTAATACCACTTAATATTAGGATCGGGCTTGACGGTATACGTCTCGCCTTCCCGGTTCGGGTAGATGAGCTTGACGGGTACAAGATCGCTATCTGGGACGGAGTGCGCGTCTGCTACCGCCAAAGGATCTCTGAGGATTGTCTTGATGGGACGCCAGACATTGATGATTTGGTATCGGCCTTTGAGGAGCTCTGGGGCGTCTTCGGGTAGATGGAAGGGGACGCGACTTTTGGCTGCGTCGTAGGACTGGTCGATGTGGACTCTTTGGACGGGGCCGCGGAGGTTGGAGCCTGGACTGTCGTCTGGTCGTGCGCGGCGGATGGTGTGGTCGAATATGTGGATTCGGGTTGCTCCTGTGCTGTATATTCGGGGTTTTGTTTAGTCTTGTTCAATCTGAATGATTGCCTTTGATTGCGTACGCGTCTTTCAAGAGCTGCTCTGTCTCCGGATAATATTCTCTCTTGATTTTCTCGTCATCTAGGAAGTCTTTCTCTTGGCTTTCGTGGTAGTAGAGTTGGAAGCCATGAGTATCTAGAGTGTAGTCAAGCTCATGGCCACTGATGTCATGGATAGTGGCGGGAAGAGATGTCGTGGGCCGATCGTAGGTCTCTGGCTTTCCAACATAGGTTGGCTCTGGGGGAGATCCATCTTCGTTCTCTTTCAGGAAGTTGAGTGTCGTCTGTACATGATGGGGGTTCTCGGTGACGGGGACTTGGGGCTTCTCTGCGAGCAGAGAGCCGTGGGATGGAAGTTGAACAGCTGCAGATGCCATATCCGATTTCGAGTCGATTGGTTTGAATTCCAAGGTTATAATGTTGCAGGTTATCCATGGATTCTTTCATCTTTATATAGTAAGGTTGATGCGGGGGAGATCTCCATTTGTCAGTAAACAGCACGCAATCTTCGTATTACATGGAGAAATGGCTGATAAATTCAATGACTTGTTTCGCTCATAAGTACAGCATGTGATGGGGATATTATTAATGCTCGATTTATAATGCTCGTTCGGCATGGCGCAACATTCGAGCAATTACATGCCAGGTAATTGGATGTTAGGGATGGATGTCGTCTTAAGTTGTTGGCTGCCACTGTAGAGCATTTTCAGGGTGACATGCGGTTGAATCAAACATAGGTACGGTCTTGAAAGACATAGTTTGGACTTGCAAGATAAGAAGAGTGCAGCTCAAGGCTGGAGGAATTGCAAAGAATGTCTATTTTGTGACAAGAAACCCGAAATTTGTACTGATTAGTTATACTTTAACAAGGAATGTAACTGAAGGAAAGGTTGTATGCATCATTACTGGGCAACGAAGGTTCGAGCAGTAAAGGAATAAGAAAAACATGGGAAAGTCATTTGTGCTATGGGGTTTTGGTTCGTACAATTACCATTTCGCTCGCAACGGTTCAAAGGAAAAGATAATTTGACAGAGAAAGGAAAAGTGAGCAAAAGCATCATACACCGACACCAGAATAAAGATCGCAAAAAGGGAATTGAAACAAAGAGAAAAAACAAATGACTGGCAGAACACAATTCAGGAAAAACAAGAATAACCAAGGGAAAGACATTCAGTAAAACAAATAAAAGAGGTAGTTATTGTGACAACACAACTTGACATCATAGACAAAAGAAGCGAAGGGAGAGGGTGAGTAAAGCTCAGGCCTGTTTCAAGGATTATTCAAAACATGAGCGAGCGGGTCTTCTGACGACGAGCTTCGACAGATGGCATCTCAGGTTGGGAGTAGGTGTGTTTGTGACGAGGACGGGGAGATTGAGGCGCCGGCGCCCCGGATCCCGCTGAGGATGGAGGTCCCGTCAAGACGCTGTTCCTGTTTCGCTCAGGGGAGGGGGGAGCGGCAGTTGGCATGGGAATTGAGCTGGCCGGGCGACGCTCAGCGGTCTCAGACTTGGTCTTCATGGCACGCTCACGCTTCAGCACGAGGTCGGCCCACGGCTTGATGGACCCGCCACCAGAGGTAGAGCCTTTGCCGACAGCTTCAGACATAACACGAAGCCAACCATCCTTTTCGGCGGGGCTATCGGCGTAGAAGTCAATCACTTCACCATTGCCGAATCGGATGCGGAATCCTTCTTCGACAAACATGTAGCCATCCTCCTCCTCGGCAAAGGCGGACTTGCGGCGGCCACCGTTTCTCGTGCTGGTCTCCTTCTGGAGCAAAGAGGACCGATCATCAATGAGCTTGGAGGCCTTGGCCAGGTTAATCGTTGCGCGGGGCTGGCGCGTTGTTTCGTGGTAAGCTGTCAGCTTGGAGCCCTGAAGCTTGAAGAAGCGACGTCGCCAGAACTATTGTACTGTGTTAGAGAATTCGACATATCAAGAGGCCACGGGCACTTACCGGACAATCTCCACCTTGCTGGGACAGGAAGCCTTCCCAGGAGCGAGATGCAACACTTTCTGCGTCACGCATCTCACGGATACACGCATTCATGCTCTTTGGCATATCCTCATCCTTGCTTCCCTTGGGCTTCGGCACGAACAGCAACTGCACTTCAAGCTTTCCGATCTTGTATGGTGGACGGCGCTGGGTATTCACGCTGGTCGCACTCTTCTTGCTCTTGACACTGCTCATTTGTTCTTCAACAGCCCACTCATTGAAACAAGCGACGTCAACGATGTGGGGACGGCCAAATGCCTGCTGTTCGTGATCGCTCAAGGCAACATAAGCGCGGCCGAAGCTGCCGTCTCGCGCAACGAGATTGCGAAGTCGCTCGTATACAGGGGCGTTGACATCCTTGGCCTTCTGCTGCTGAGACTGCATTTGCTGTTTGATGTCAAGTTCCTTGCGACGACGGGGAGATGCAAAGACCCGGCTGAGGGCTGAGGCCTTCTGGCGAGAGGGTGAGGCGGGAGGCTCTTGGGTTTGGAACTTGGTCTCGTCGATTTTCATCTGCAGAGTCAATTGGAACTCCAAATCATTCTGGACAATGAGCTCAAATTCTTGACCAATAGGAGCAGACTTGCCCATCTCTAGCCAAGATGTGGTCACACAATGTAAGCCGTTATCCAAAGTGAGTGCAAAGTAGGATCGCTCGCCTATAATTCGATTGGAGTTAGCATATTGACCCTTGTTCAAATTTGACTTGGTATTCATACCTCGAGGCAGAGGGAGGTCACAGTATTTGAGACCAACAACCTTGACAAATAGGCGACCGCGCTCCTCGCCGTCTTCAAAAGATTCCGAAATCGCGGGCTCATGCTCTTCGATAGTAGCGGGAGCCTCTTGCACGGCACTGGCCTGTCCGGGGAGGGGTGGCACACCACCGACACCTGGGACGGGCTTCTTCTTTGGAATTCCCGTGGCCTTGATACTGGGTCGCCGTGGGCTACCATTCCATGGCTCTGTAGTCCAGGTTTGTTGACTGGGTTTGCGTGGGGAGGATCCGGCTGAACGAGTACCCCGAGAGTCCTGGGGGGCTTGGCCAGGGGAGGGCATAGGTTCTTCCTCGTTTCGGCTGCTAGCAATAATGACCTTGGTATTTTGTCTCATGAGGTATCCTCGCTGTTGATAAGGCCGGGCATTAGCTCGTGTACTATTTCCTGTTTCGACGGGGTCCTTGGGGTGGCTGCTTTGGGAAGGCGCCATATAGGAAGGAGCGAAGGGGAACGCTACCTTTTGGGATTCGATGACACGGTCAAACTCTTTGTTGAGACCAGATCCAAGGCTCTCCTCCTGGATGCTAAAGGGGATGTCAAGTTGCATTAAACTGCTCTGCCGTTGGGCAAAATCACCAGACAGCGCCAACTTGGGGGGAGCGTCACTCTGCTTCTGCTCGCCATCGGAGTGGCTGGACTCGTTGGAGTGCTGCTTCGTCAATGGAGGAACTGGGGGGATATGCTGGCCACTGATCTTGCGACGAGTGGCAGCCATGGATTGCATATCCGCGGGGGTTAGAGAAGGGCGGGTCTTGAGACCTGCGCCGGGGGCCCTGATCGTAGCGACAGGTTCAGGGACAGACTCGTCAGATGAGCTTTCATAGTGCTCGGTCTCCTCCTGCTCCTGCTTTTCCTCCTCCACATTCTCTGGCTTGGGAAGTGCCTCATCGATATTCTTTTCCTCTTGGTCATCATATTCCTCTTCTTGGTCATCGTCTTCTACTGGATGACGGATGACGGAATCTGGTGTCGAGGGCTCCGAGCCTTCCTCATCCTGCATCTCAGGAGTGACAGGGCGTGCCAGAGACTGGCTCACGGAAGTCATATCAAACGCCTTGTTTTCAGGGGCGGGTTCGTTCTCCTTGTTTTCATTGGTCTCGGTGGACTCCGCAGGTTTTTCAGCATCAGCGTGCTCATCGCGCGTTGGTGTAGTGTGCCCAGAGCCGAGGCCCTGGCTCTCGTGTCCTGCCTCTGCGCGATCTGCAGCTTCAGCGGCAGAGCGCAATGAATAGTTGCTGGCGTCATCATACTTGGCCCGCTGATCACGGGACGACAGGCTGTTGTCGGACGAGTTTTGATAGTAACCTGAAATAGAGTAAATGTCTTCTTCGTCTTCCTGGTCTTCTTGCTTCACGATTATGCTTGAGTCGTCATCGTCGTCATTTTCCAAGGATGGAATGGGAACGTCAGGGTCGTAATGGTCATAAGGATTAGGGCTGGAAGCAAGCTGGGATTCATCAAAGCTGTCTTCTTCCTCAAAGCTGTCACCCTTGCGAATGCCGCGCAAAATAGAGTCGCGAGATATTCTTGGTGGAGAAAAGAAGACGTCATTACTGTCTTCCTCTTCGCGCACGCCATTAGTCGGGGTGGGGTCATCGTCGGGCATAGGAAGTTCCAGAGGTTCTTCGGGGTTCTCCTTTTTGTCGTGGTTCTCGTCAGGGTTCTTCTCTTGGAGCATCATGAGACGAAGTCTATCCTCCAAAGAGACAGCGCCGGTAATGTCTGCTTTATTATATGAGGCGGCAGCCGGGGGTGCAGGAAGCCCACGCTGTCCGGCACTACCTAGCTCGAAGGCAGTGGCCAATTTTCCCGCCGAGGAGGGGCGCGCGCCGGACATGCGGCTCATCGACGGCAGAGGGGGAAGTGGACGGCGCTCGCCGTTGGAGTCGAGCGATTCAACACGCGGACGTCGAATTGCGCCACCTTCACGCGAAACCGGCCTCTCCTCGGCGCTGTCATCTTCGACGTGCTCGGTGAATGAATCACCCTCGTCGTTAGAGTCGGGGCTCATGAATCGCCAGTCTTCTGGCAGAACCACAGGGGTCTTTTCGATATCTTCCAACGAGGCATCAAAGCTGTCGTCACGTTCGATGGATGACTCTTGCTCGAAGCTTATATCGCCCTCCTCCTCAGAGTCGTAGCTATTTTCACGCGATCCAGAGGCAATGGATGACGGATCGGGAGTTGTCATTACATATTCGTTAACTTGAGGGGGAGCATGGTCAAATGTCACGCTCTTAGCATGTCTATGTCCCATACTTCCCTGTTCGGACCAGATATCATGCTGAGGGTCAAACCCTTTGCCGAATCGGCTGCCCTTTGACAGTGATGATTTGCCAGGGGATGAAAGATCCTTGCTTGGGGAAGGGGGGCGACCGAACTGGGCGAGGTCCTCGTCATGAAATTGCGACTTGGCGATATTCATCTGGCTATCCCGCTGCGGAGACCGTTCAGATGCCAGTGGCCTGTGTGGGACAATTACTGAAGCTGGATCATATTCTTGACTTCCTTCGTGGAAACTGTGGTTTTTGACCTTGGAGACGCGTTTCAAGTTTTCAAGCGATGCACGCTTCGAGGGGAAATATGAACCCTCGGGGTCGTATGGGGATTTGTTCTCGGCTCCCTTCGAAAATGGTGATGGGGAATCGCGACCCTTCCAAAACAGTCGTGGTGAGGCTTTGCTATTCAAGGATGAAACATCGTATGCGGGCGATTCACCGTTCGGCATCTGTTGTCTATGTTAGTCTTCCAGACCTTATCAATCATCGCACTCGTGGTACCTTGGTGGCTTGGTTCCAGCTTGGCGAATTGCGCCTCTGGGCCATGGGACTCACTTCGGAAAGCGGCCGCTGGCCAGATCCATTGCCCATCCTGACGATGGTAATACAGGGATCAAAAATTTAGCGGTGACCGATATTCAAAACAACAAAATTGCTGTTGTGTGTTAGTCCTTGCTTATCACCTAGGCACTTCCGTTTCGATGGGTGGGTTCACGAATGATAACCAAAGAAGTCGCGCCGATATCGTGGGTCATACCTTTGTTGATGGATACTGAGATACGCGTGGAAACTGTTTGCCAACGAGCGGTGGGTTCGCTAAAAAAGCGTAAAAGTCGTGTCGATCGTGGCAGGAATGCTGGGTTCAAGGGCACCAAAACAAGGGCGAGTTCGTCCAATGGCAAAAGTAGTCTAGTAACGAAGGGACCAGACTGCCAACTCTGAAGATACGGCGGAACAGTAACAAAGAAAGAGAAGTAGTGAAAACAGAGGAGTATGTAGAAACGAAACTTGATAAGTCCCATGGATTCAAGTGGATTGTTACCCCAAGCAGTCTGTTGTCCCGGGAGTCGTCATGACAACCGCGCATCAAACGGCTGACATAAGCTCGTTTCAGCGTCCGTGTTGCGTCAGGTGTCCACGGCACTAGTCTCAGTACGGTATAGCCGATATCAACATCTCGATTGGCGCTAACTTCCAAGGAGGAACCCCTCAGCTTCTAGATTCTTGTTTGTGTGACTCGGCCACGGCACTTCTCGTGATATCTGCACAGTACATGAGACAGTACACCCGATATTCCCAACAGCTATACCTTTTAGACAAGTCCCTGACAGCAATATGTTCCTCTCACAATGACCATGTCGACCTGTCAGAGACATCCTGGCAAATAAAAAGTCCAATACTGGGAAGTGGGGTATATATCACCTTCCAGTTTCATCTATATTGTGGAGCGACATAAACAAACCCTGGGTGACCCAATATTGTTACGGCAACCTCAGCTCTTCTCCTCAGCTGAGTACCTAGAATAGTCAAAGTAGACTATACATCCCTGTGTGGATGTCTGTTGATGTACCACTCGAATCTCTACTGAGTACGATCCAAGTTACATTTAGGCAACATTCAAAATTGGAAAAAAAACATGGGGCGTCTCCCAGCCATTGCCCATGGTGCAATAAGCTACGAGTACAACTGAGATTGACAACCTTTTCTAGTTAGTATTCACTTCCAAGGTTCACTGTGTGGATGACCTCCGGAGAAGAATGGATATATTCGCTTCAATCTGTAGTGTAGCTCTGTGTCTACTTCAGTGACTGATCAGCAAAATTGGGGCTCTTACAATTTTAGATGCACCGAAAGCTTGGGTGGTACCCGATATATATTGTCCGCTACTTGAGTGCACCAAATCTTTTTCAAGATCGTAGGAAACTTTTTAGAATGTGTCGCAACCCAACTCGACAGCCTTTGAATTGATCACCTAAGCATAAGATGTCAAATTGACCAAGAAATCCCAATTGCGAGATTCGCGATCATATCTTGTACAAATCTTGGCAGTCACGGTCACATGACTTTACGTCAAGGATCGGCACTAGTCCAAGAAAGGAACGGCGCATTGAATCATCGCAGAAAAAACAGTTGAACCTGTTCTGGCCTCTCCTTTTGCGATTCTTCAAAATTTTCAAATTCTTGCATCGTATTGCATTTGATTTAGGCAGAATGCCCCTGCCGATTCGCTCCTCGATATGCTGCTTGTGTCAGACCAAGGCGAGCCTGATGGCCCCGTCCATCCTGTCAGTGTCAGCGCAGACCACGCGCGGCATGGCCACAGTCCGACTCCGTCGCAAGGCCTCTCGGATGGCCCTCTCACCCGATGTATCCAAGCAATCATTGCCATCAGCCACTAAACCACGAAGGGAACGCGCTGGCCCCTTCGCCCAGATGAATCAGACACAGGCACGCATTCGAGACACAACACGACCCCGTTCGCAAGCAGCCCTCAAACGCTCAGGAGAGGAAGGCAAAACGGAAAATAAGAAGGAGAGCCCGCTGTATAAGGCATTGAAGATGCAAGAAACCTTAACGCCCATACCTTACGGCCGACGCTCTTCTATTAAAACCCGACTGGCCAACATCACTAGCTTCGATCACTTCCCTTTACTCCCCGCAGTACGACAGTCAATCTTCCTGCAGGCTCTCCCAGGACTGAGTGACGTTACCCCAACACCCATCCAAAGGCTTGCGATTCCCGAACTCTTGTTGGACGAATCCAAGAAGAAGAAGAAAGTGAAGAAGGCAGGCGAGGAAGAACCTGAATACAACTTCGACCAGTACCTTCTGGCAGCAGAGACCGGCTCTGGAAAAACTCTGGCATACTTGCTCCCTGTCGTTGATGCTGTCAAGCGCGCCGAAGCACGTGAAGCGGAGGAGGACAAAGCCACCGAGGAACAAAAGGCACGAGAGCGGGAGGAAAGAGCGAAGAAGCAGGCATTTAGCCTGGAACCGGAGGAAGCACCAATGACAAACGCTGCTCGCCCCCGCGCTATTATCCTTGTTCCGACTTCAGAATTGGTGTCCCAAGTAGGCGCTAAGCTGAAAGAGCTGGCCCACACAGTCAAATACCGCTCCGGTGAAATCGCATCGACCTTCACACCTCGTCGGATTCAGAACACTCTCTTCAACCCAGCCGGCATCGATATTCTTGTCTCTACCCCTCATCTTCTAGGCTCTGTCGCCAAGACCAATCCCAACATCCTCAGCCGAGTCACTCACCTCGTCCTCGACGAAGCCGACTCCCTGATGGATAGATCTTTCATCCCAACGACCACCGAAATCATCGCCAAGGTCAACCCGTCTCTCAAGAAATTGATCCTCTGTTCAGCTACCATCCCCCGCAGTCTCGACAACCAACTACGCAAACGCTTCCCCGATATCCAGCGATTGACGACACCAAACCTGCACGCCATCCCTCGTCGTGTGCAGCTCGGTGTTGTGGATATTGAGAAAGAGCCCTACCGTGGAAACAGAGACCTAGCCTGCGCCGATGTCATTTGGTCCATCGGCAAGGCTGGTGACAGATATGAAGCCAGTGAGACTTGGGGACCCCTCAATGCCTACATGGAACAGAAGACAAAGAAGATCATTGTGTTCGTGAACGAGCGCGAAGAAGCGGAGGAGGTTACCAAGTTCCTTCAGTCTAAGGGCATTGACGCTCTGTCACTGTCGCGTGATACCGATTCCCGAAAGCAGCAGGACACTCTGAACCAGTTCACGGAGGTCAAGCTTCCTCCTACTGCGGAGGAGATCTTGCTCAGCAAAAAGAAGAACCGTGCTGGAGGCAGCATTCCATTCGAAGCACCTGACCGTGCCCAGGAGAAGGAGGCTGCCTCTCGCCGTCTCGCAGATACCAAGGTCCTTGTCACCACTGATATTGCCTCACGTGGTATTGATACCCTGGCCGTGAAAACGGTTATCTTGTACCACGTTCCCCACACTACCATTGACTTTATCCATCGTCTTGGTCGTCTTGGCCGCATGGGTAAGCGTGGTCGTGGTGTTGTCCTGGTGGGCAAGAAGGACCGCAAGGATGTCGTTCGCGAGGTTCGCGAAGGCATGTTCCGTGGCCAAGCTCTGATCTAGTTGTAGATCCATGCAACCGTCACGTTGTATAAAACAATGTAACATATACGGCGTTGGTTTGAGGTTTCACTGTCTTGGAAACTGGAAAATGACTATACCCATTGTCACGCAATAGTCATTGTCTTTTTTTGGAAATACTATGTACGATACAAACTCATATATGATGAACTTAATTCTCCTCTTGCCTCAGTCCCCTAACGTATAGCGTTGTCTCCCAAGCTGTCCATGGCCATGAGGTTAAACTGGTATCTGCCTACCCAATTTACGCCAAAAGTCACATCTACTCTTCAACTCCACAAGCTCGACGTTCTCAAACCCATCATCCACAACAACAAATTCTTTCCCAGTAGCCTTAAGCCCAGGCACACCTAGTACCGAGGAATTGGTAACCTTGTGCGCATTCGGATCCCCCGTCTGAAAGAAACTCGCAAAAGCACCCGCATACCCTTCATACACGACAGGATTTGTCTGCTGAACAGAGTTGACACGATTCCACTGAAGTCCAAGTTAGCATCTGCGCGGATCAAACATACTCAAAGAACTTGCATAAATAGTATCACTCCCATGCTTCGCCGGTGAAATCGTATATTCCCCCAGATACCCCTTCTTTGAAGCAGCAGACGCAATCCAATAAGCCGGACAGGCAAGGACGACGTCTCGATAGACCAAACCAGCCCGCACATACGAGGTGTTATACTCCGTGGTTTCTGTAGTTCCAACAGCCGGGTAATAAACAGTTTCAACCTGGTCGATTTGTTCCTGTGACAATCCAGGCATGAACCCAATCAACCAATCATGGAAACTTGCAATGGAGGAATTGAATCCATCTCCATCTTCACTCGCCAAGCCAGGTGGGATGAAATTCTCTCCTTCATGGGTATTGAACATTCCCCAAACGAACTGCGTATTCACGCCACCGCGATTGACTGTTTCAGTCAGCGTCTCGACGAGAAAACTCCCATCTATAACTGGTGCCCAGGTATACGAGCTCGTTGTCCAGGTATTGCTCGCAGAGATAACGAGGTTCGCATCCCGGATCTTCTGCACATCCACTGATTTGAGACAAGCAAGTGTCTTGTGTTCATGCGTGCTGGTACACCCGGTTAGATTGGCTAGCTTTGTGTAAATAGCTTCTGCTTCCGGGGCGTCGTAGGCGTAAGTCTTTGGCCAGAATGGTGAGCTGGCAAGAGCCTTGGAGAAGAGTTTGGGTTGGCCGTTTCGGCCGTTGGCGAGGACTTGGGCAACGACTGAGCCTGCTCCAGCTGATTGACCCCAGATCGTTACGTTGCGAGGGTCTCCGCCGAAATGGTGGATGTGCCGCTGGACCCATTTAAGAACGTATTGTTGGTCCAGTAGGCCAGGGTTGAGATCCGAGGTTCGGGAGTTTTTGATTGCTTTTCCTGGGAGAAACCCAAAGGCGTTGACTCGGTAGTTTGAGTAGATGACAACGTAGTCGTTGACATTAGTAACATTGAGGATGGGGAATGACGATGGCGGCATTGTGAATGCTGCACTTCCTTGGATGAATGCGCCGCCATAGAATACCACCAAAACTGGCCTCTTAATGCTTTGAGAGACCTCCCATGGCCGTGAAAATAGACCTAGATAGAGACAGTCCTCGGTACCATTAAATGTGCGCTGTGGGCACATATCGAAGTCTTGGTTTGTATCATAGACGCCGGTGACCTTCAGCGGTGGCTGAGGGGCGCGGAACCGATTCTCGCCAGTGGGCTTTGCGGCAAATGGGATCTTGCGGAAGTATGAGAGATTGTATGTGGTGTCATACTGACCTTGGAAGGATCCGTAATCGAGGGAGACTAAAGGGTTATCGTATGCTTGGGCAGTGAATCCCAGACCCAGAAGGGTCAGGAATGGACCGGAGAACCTCATCCTGAGGGCTTATTGACTACCAGTGCCAAATCCGATGCTCGAGATATACACGCTGACATCTTCGCCACTTATCAGATTGCATAGACCATATATAGTCTTCCAGGACCAGGGTCAGTCACCCCCATTCGGTTTAGTTGAACTCGGTAGAGCAACTCCCGAGCCTCTCTTCATGACACGCAGTTCGGTCAGCCACTGGAAGGCAGGTAATATCGAATTTCACCATCAGTCGCTCATTGGTGCAGTTATTGTTGAGGCGGCCGGGGCGAAATGCGGGGGACAGGGACGAAATAGCTAGCTCGGCGAGGATCATCCCGACATGGGCTTAAATTTGAATGCCGTCTTTCATTAATGGAAATTCAAAAGTGATTAAACCAGAATCATGTGTCCGTTCAAACCTGAAAATGCATCGTAGGCCAAAAACACCAATTCCCATGTTCGGGAAGCAAAATATTGTCACAAATCCCTGAAAACTCCTTCTTATCTCATACATCCAGTACTCTTTACATAGTCATACGAAGCTCTCTAGTTCGTCGACGAGACGCCCTCGCATCGCGCTTAGATTCGTTTGCATCGCTGTTCTCCGTTTCGGGGGTATGCGTGTCAGACAGCTCCGGGGTAGGGGTGATGCCAAAGCTGACACCACGGTCTCGTCGGCTGATGCGAGATTGTGCATCTGGGGACAAGAATCGATGGATGGTCCGGTGGTCCATGACTCGTTCGTCGCAGTCGGGGTTTTTGTCCGTGTAAGGCCACTGGAATCCGTAGAGCTTGGAGTGGCGTTCACAACGGGGGCATTCACGCCGAGTCAGGTATGAGTTGGATTGTAGGAACCATGAATCGCATGTTTGGCACTCGACCCATCGATCGTACTTCTGAGCGAGCAATCGTGATGTCTTGGTGTAATCACCGGGGACCCGAGCGACATGCGAGTCACTCTCAACAGAGTCGACTATGAATCGCCGCTTTGTGTAGGACCTTTTCGTCCTGGGCTTTTCGGTTGTATTTCCCGTATGATCATCTGCTGCAAGAGAGTCCGGTGAGTCTGGCTGTCCTTTCATGGCATTGTTGTCGAGGGAGTGTGTAGAGTGCAACCCACCTTCTGGGGAAGCTTCGGCCTCGATTGCTTCCGATGTGCCTTCCTCGGCTTTGATTCTTGTTCCAATATCGTCAACGGTAGTGGGCGATGTCGACAACGACGAGCGATGAGATTCGTCGGCGTTGGATGCGGGAGAATCACACTCCGTGGGGACAGCTGAGTTTGGTTGGGGTTCCTCAATTTTATTATTCGTTGCCAAGTTTACTGCCTGTCTCGATTCTACATCAATTGAAACCGGAGTTTCTGAACCGGATGATGCATTAGCAGTCAATTCTGAGATCTCTCCCTTCAGTTTGTCCACCTGGGCGGAGGTATGAGACAATATAGTAGTTGGGATGAGCAGAGTTTCCGGGACAGGGGTGGCGTCAGATTCAGGCGTGGGCACTGAATCCCCGGCTAATTCAGAAGCTGAGATCTCCTTGCGAAGCTTGGAAACCTGACGCTGGAACTTTGCGCGCTTGCGTGGAGTGGAGTTCACAGTGGAAGAGCTGTCAGAATCGTCCGCCGGTGGGCTGCGACGACGTTTCCTGCTTGTCGCGGTATCTTCCACCGGCGCAGCGTCAGATACAGGGCTGGATTCTTTACTATGAGCGTCCGAATCGGCATTCTGTGACCACCCGTTTCGAACAAATCGTTCACAGGTCATGCATAAGCACTCGCAATTATCGACGCCAAAATAGTCTTCACCGTAGGAGACTGTGATTTCCTCACCCTCGTGAATATTGCGCATAGCCACAACAGACATGCCCTCATTACCACGTGTTGTCAGACTACCATTGGCATCACAGTCGTGGTTGGCGAAGCGCGCGGGACCCAGGAAGAATGAGGGGGTTTTGCGGCGACTGGACATCACGATGCTAAAGTCCTTGCGAGTCAGGCCAAGATCCAGCTCCTCTTCATGCGTCATTGATACGAGTGTTCCACTCAGGTATTTGATCTCCTCGCCCTTCTTGATGAACCTCCGCGCGCAGATAGCAGCCTCGTGCTGTGTGATGATGTACCGGTTGGTGGTGGTCACCTCGAAGGGGGAGTCTGGGAGGTACATCTGGATGTATTTGCGGAGGTGTCGCCGAAACCACTCCTTCTCTCGGGGACTGCGGAGGTTTGCCATGTATTTCTTGAGGCCAGAGATATCCAATAACTTGCTCTCGGCGGCTGGGAGATCCTTCTTGACGATGACATCGTGGAGGAGAATGCGTCCAATATCGTCGTCGTGAATGCCGCGAGCAGGACTGTACTTGGTCCGATTCTTGCGAGTGGTGGTCCAAAAATAAGCCTAGCGGTTAAGACAATTAGTGGGTGCTCCGTGTTGGGATTGCAGAAGGGCATACATGATCCACCAGCGCATCGGTTGCGACGTCGTCATAGCTGGCTAATTTTGCCAAAGTCAGACGTTCGCGACGTTCAGCCGCAGGCGACTTATTGCGCGCTCTCCTTGGGGGCATTGTGTAGTGAATTGCGAACGAATGGGTGGTGTGAGAGAATAGGTGTCATGGAATGCAGGGAAGGGTCGCAGTAAGAATAATCGAAGATCCGCACGCGAAAGGAGGGCAATGTCAAGATAAAAGAGTGTAGCGAGGGACTAAAGAAATCATGTCTGGATATGTCACCATGGAGGGCTCGGAGACAGGAGAGGTTCCTCCGCAACGCTTTGCTTTTAGGGGCGGAACCGCTGTCTTATCCGCGCATCTGTCGCGCAGCCGGGTGTACTCGCATTGGAATTGACCAAGGTACATGCAGAGAATGATATTTAGCTTTCGGACTACTGTTAAAATATACTTCATTCATGTATTACTATCCACCTGGGAATTTTCCGTCTCAATTTACCCAGTTTCCCGAACTATGAGATCAATTAATATCGCAATGTGATGATTACAGAGCCTTAGGATGGATCTTACCAGGGTCAATCCCAATCACTAAAGTAGGAATTCTAGATATATCCCGAGACCTAAAAATATCAACATCTATCTCCCAAAAGTCTCACGGTGTCGATTTGTCGACTGTATATCGACTCCCGGAATAACTAACACCCGAAGAGGGAAGTCCGCACTCGAAACAAATTGCGGACAAGCAAGATCACCATCCAATCCACATCATGATTCAATTAAAGGTGAGAACGATATCAAACCGAACTGCACAGCATACTGATCCCCTTTCAAGACACTATTAAGTTGCATCGACAACTCCGGCGCCTCGATCGTCGAGTGCGTGAACGTCCTGAAGAAGAAGCGGCCCGCGACAATCGGTCAGTCTCCGACCTAATCTCCATCAGGGGGAAGAACGCATTTTAACAAGATCCCTCATGCAGGTGACCGAATAGTCGTCGTCGTCCAGAAGCAGCGTTCTGCTGGCTCCGAAGCCACCACCGCCGCTGCGCTTGCAAACAAGGTCCGCCGTGGTGATATCCGACATGCCGTCGTTGTGCGCGTGAAGAAGGAGCTGCAACGACCAGATGGGTCGCTGGTTCGCTTCGGTGACAATGCCTGTGTGCTTGTGAACAAGTCCGGGGATCCCATCGGAACAAGAATGAACGGTTCGTGCTCTCGGTCTCGGCCTCGGCCTCGGGCCTAGATCTACGTTCAGGGATACTAACATCTCTACAGGAGTCGTTGGACAGGAGCTACGGAACAAGAAGTGGTCAAAGATCTTGTCCTTGGCCCCAGTCCATGTGTAATATATTTCGTTTCTACCGTTGGCAAAGCGTTTTGTGTTTGGCAGGATAAAATTTTACTCCATTGTATCAATAGAAACCCAAATGTTCAAAGATTTGTGCTTTTATCTGTTTCCCATCGCCGAACTCCACTATGCATCGAATTGAGTAAGTACCGCGGAACGCAAGAACCATTAAAGGGGTATCGAGAAGATAGACTACGAGAGTCGTGGTCACATGTACACATTACCGCATGCGCAGCAGACGTAGTAGAGTTTCTAAAAGTACGAACACCAGTTAGCGCATGATGAGCGGGATTTGATAGTATCGGAGGGTCATTACCATTCCGGTCTCGGCAGATCGTTGTTGGGACTGGAAGAAGACGGCCTCCGTTTCAAGACAACTAGGGCATGTTTTGTTCGCACGGGGTAGCTGGCGTTGTCGTTAGTCTCATGTTGTGGGAGAATAATCAGTGTAGACCGGGGTGAAGGTCGCGCGGGCAATCTTGGAAGGGTTCAAAGCCCCCCCCCATCTGATGGGAGGGTGTATTTGTGACACCGTTCGACAGAGCTGTCGCCGCCTAGGAGGCAATAACAGTCAAGGGGACTAACCGTAGGATCAGAGCCCACATCCTGTGTCACACCAGCCGTATCTCCGACTTGACTGTGGAGCTTGTTCTGGTAGACACAGTAAGAGGTGGCCGGCTCGCCGACGTGACAGGTGCGGCAAGTGAACATGAGCTGGTTGGTAGCGCGGTCTTCCTTAGGGTAGAGCAAGTTGGAGCTGTCCATTTGTTAGCTACTGGTCCCCGCGATGAGTCCTTGAGCTTGACTATCACACGTCGCAAAGGGATTGCCCCTCGTCTTTCAAGACCGAAAGTGCTCTCCTCTTGAGGCTGATGCAATAGAGGCCAGAACCTTGGAAGGAGATTATATTACTTACCACTCGCGGCAGAACTTGAAATGGATCTGCTTGCCTTGCTGAGACTCGCCGTTGGCGGAGGGTGAGGGACTGGCCATGTTTGCGGGATCGAGGGTTTAAAGATACGACAAGGTAGTGGGGGCGGCGAAGGAGAGGAGGGATTTGACTGCGACAGAGGGCTGAGATGAGAAAAACCAAAATGCCAATCGATCAGTCTGTAATGCGGCGAACTTGAAGTCAACGAAGGATTCTCTATTAGGACTAGCCTTGTTTGGCACGTGCCCTTCAACCAATCAGCCAATCAGAAGCCAGTACTCCTAGTATAGAAGGAACGATGCTCAGTACAGGTCCGCGTGATTAACAGTGACCAGGTACTGAGTTCTATAAGTCTCTGCATATCCAACTGAACATCCTCAGCATGGTCATTGCTTTTAGTAGCTCACAAGGAGTGCTAGTTGATACTTTTACTGTAGATCCTTGAACTGTCAGGGAGCTTAGCTCCGTTTGCAGCGTTTGCATGTCCCTCCCCCGCAGTTTCCATCCGCATAGATCGTTTACGTTAGCTACTACAAACATTCACGTCCACATTGCAATAGAACCCCCAAAAAACCTTCAATCAGACAATCAAAATGGTGCGCTATTGTCAAGTCCTTCAATCTCAAATGGCGCTAACCTAAATTGCAGGCTGACACTGGTCTCCCCGACACTTGGGAAGTTCGTCATTCGAACTCCAAGAACCTTCCCTACTACTTCAACCCCAACACAAAAGAATCCCGCTGGGAACCTCCTGCCGATACCGATACCGAGAAGCTTAAAATCTACATGGCGCAGAACCACACCCCCGCTGCCCGCCCCGAGGCCTCGGGCGAGGGCGAAGGCAAAATCCGCTGCAGCCACCTGCTCGTCAAGCACCGCGACAGCCGTCGCCCCAGCAGCTGGAGGGAGGCCGATATTACTCGTTCCAAGGAGGAAGCAATTGAGATCCTGAAGGGTCACGAGGCACGTATCCAGTCCGGCGAGATCAGCCTGGGTGAACTTGCCGTTGCGGAGTCCGACTGCAGCAGTGCCCGCAAGAAGGGTGACCTGTAAGTCAACATCGATATCTCTATTCTATGTCGTTTACTAACTAGATCAGGGGTTTCTTTGGACGCAGCGAGATGCAGAAGGAGTTTGAAGATGCGGCTTTCGCCCTCCAGCCCGGCCAGGTTAGCGGGGTTGTCGAGACCGCCTCTGGTGTCCACCTCATCGAACGGTATGTTGATTCTACGAGTGCTACCTAAAACCCGGGATGCTCTGGTATCTGACGAAGCCTACAGCGTTCAATAAATTGAAACATATGACTCTATCTACTCCTCGCTCTCGGCGAGTGAGACTGGCGGGGCATTTTGTTCGCATTTACGCACTGGATCTTTGATTTTGTCCTTCGGGAAAGGGGTTCAAAAATAAACCTCAATGAATGAAATGCCGTTTCTGCTTTCTTTGTATTCAGAGCACCTAGTCTCAGCTAGGACAATGGAATTACATCAAATTTGCAGTAACTTACTTCTACGTGTAGAAGCCCAGGCCAATAACGAGATATCATATCAAGTCATCAATAGGGACTTGACACCTTGAACGTGAGGCATTGTCTATTCATTGTCAATGAGCTCTGTATTGAGACCAATACCTCGGCCGCCTCCCTTTTTGTGAAACTCTAATAAGTAAGCTTCTGTCACATCCATGGGACTCTCCCACTCCGCATTCTGCATATCAAAACTCGGGGTCGACCCGACATCCGAATGGCTTCTATTCACCTATAGCATTGTTCTATTTTCTTATTGAGGCAGCGGGCCAAGATCTATGGAACACAATGAGCTGCTGAGTGAAACAGCCAATAGTGTATTGTTCAAACAATGGGTACCTCTTGCTATTGGGCTTTCAATAGAAAGTATACCATCAATTCTTCCCTTTTGGGGACGGAGCTCACCTATATCAAGGCCGACTCTCCTCCAAGCTCCCTATCCTTCTTCCTTATTCTCAAGTACCAAGTCTTTCTTGCTCTCATCCAAAACCAGCTCTCATTTAGCTGATAGCTTCTTGCACTCCATTGCATACCACCAAACACCCATTTACCTCATTTCTCTACGTACCAACGTCTCAACCAGGCACAATGCCTCCCACTATGTCTCTTCCAATTCGGGCCCGGCCCATGATGCCCGGCTTCGAGCAACCTACTATCTTTAACTACCAACTCAACCACGCCGACTTCAAAGTCCCCGCGGATATTCGAATCCCACCCGAAATCCGTCAAGCCATCTTCGATCTCGAGTACCAGGCTCTGGATGTCATCACCACCATGAGAGTCCTGATGCAGCACTACAACGACCGCTACCAAATTCTGTGTCCCAAGAACTCGGCGAGATTCCAACAGCACGTTTCGTCAATCGAACGTCTCATGGTCTGGAAGGAGCAGTGGCACCCCAACGATCCCACCCTTGTCGACTCCGCCAAAATCCCCTTTGAGGGCATGGACATCTACGCCGACGAAGCATCCTACAACCACTTCGCCTGGCAACACGAGCACATGGTAAAGGCCTTCCTGTGCGGCCAACTCTACTGCTGGGGCCAAACCCGATCGGCCATCCTGCACCGAGCTCACGAGCTCATGTGCAACCCACGCTCCCTCCGCTTCAACAATGTGGGGGAGCACAACGCATTCCGTGCCTGGTTCGAGGGCGACTTCACCAGCGCCATGACAAACTGGGAATGCTTCTGCGGGGATCTTTCCCTGCCAACATTTGGGGAGATCCTCCTGGATCTCCGCGGGAAGATCATGACCCGCGTTGAGAATGGGGAGAGGCTCGCACGGAGCCTCTCCTCCACTCCAGAGAGTGAGCCGGAGTGGGAGCCGGAGTGGGATTTGTGAGGGGGAGGGGGGGAAGGGAAAGGAGGAGGATGGGGGAGGGGGGGTCAGTTTTTTTTGTTTTGTTTTTTATTTTTAACAGAAGAAGAAGGGCCAATGAAGCCTTTGACATTTCACTCTTTCTTGTAGGATACTTTTAAATGTAGAGCAATCGTAGACTGAACTGAGAGGAGCATGCATTTAGTTAAGATATCTTAGGAGGTAGTGGTGTAGGCTTACCTAGTACATCTAGATACCTAGGTATAGATTAGATTCCTAACCAATGCACGTTCAGTGAATATTTACTATGGATTTAACTATCATTAAGATCTAAACATTCAATTCATAGTTTCATTTAATGTAGATCTTCAGATATAATTCCCTGTATACCACCACCTAGTCACGTGTGAGCCTCAGCCCTATATCACCAAGTAAGTGGCTCTGAGATGCCATTAAAAAAAGATATAAAGGGTGAAAGGCTGAGAATTGATAGACGATGTGAGTATAGTGAGGTGAATTATTTCTCTATGGTTCACAAAGTGCCAAAATGTCTGAAACAAAAGGATTGATACAATGAGTAGAAGATACCAGATCTTTGTTCAACTTAAAGCCTTTCGCGAAATCCCTTGTTTTCCCCATGAGGGATAAATCAACATCTTTTTTGATCAAGACTTAATTTAGGCAGCTCTCGGCTTTTGACCTCTTATATTAAGTACTACCAGAGCCAGCAGCTGCCATTTTTCAATATAGCCTCAACTATCCCCTACCACTGTCCACTATAATCCAACCAGTTCCGAATTTCCCGAAACCCAGCAGAATGTGTCTATTCTGGACAATGAGATATACCCTCTGTGGCTGTATTTCCGATAGAGCAACATTAGCATGCATCGACAAGTCACATTGCTTTGGCCCACGGATGATAATGGTCGAGTCCCACACAGCCACCTGTGCAGAGTGTTGGACAAGAGGTGATAAGAGAGTAAACAGGGACCACAAATCCAACACCGACAATCTTGAGTGGAAAGAATTCGATTTTTTGGGATACCGTATACCTAAAAGCAAGACAAACTGGGGTGATAGCGATTCTGAAGACGAGGATATCTTCTTCGACGCCCTTGAGTTCCAACCCACGTTCTCGCGACCTTCTACCCCGATTATACATGCCAAGATCAACCCATCTTCGTGCCCGGTCTCAGAGGATAATTATTTCGACCTTGATCGAGTTTGTGATCCAGTGAAATTGACCTCTGTCCGGTGGGATTCTCGAGCAAGACTCCAGCGGAAACGGAATGCTCTGAGTACTGAAAGGGGACTAGAGTTTGATACGGACTCCATTGCTTCCTTCACAAATCACGTTAATGAGCAGGATAAGAACCTTGAAATCGGGACTACATATGAAGACTCTGCTTGCGTGGAAGCTTTCAACGAGCCTGATCGAGTCAGAAATTCGCATTTTGGTATTATTGGATCTCATAGCAGGTCCAAGACCGCAATGGAGCATCTTGAGGATGAGTGCTTGGAGTTTTACGGCATAAGAAAGGAATATTAGGGAGAAGAATAGTTTGACCAGGTTCTGTTCTTGGACTAATGATATTGACCTGGACGGAATTTGCGTGGCAATTTGCGAACGACAAAGTAGAATAAAGCGAGTGTTCCTCTCAAACTCAACAACACAGTCCCTAAACCTAAGCTATATCGGCATTGCAGTGAATTCGTTTCTTGCTCTTGTATGGAGGCATTATATCGCGCGAGGATGGTCAAGGGTTGGAGTTCGATACAACGAGGCCGACAGGCGCTGTGAATCTCGGTCTAGCAACAGAGTCAGTGACTTCTGATAGATATAATCAAACAGAGGCTTACTACATCAAAAGACTTCCTGTCTGGGCTTCGTGGTAGTTGATTTTCCCTTCCAGACAGAGGGTCGAAGTGCATTGGTAGCATGGTCAATTGGGTAAGTGGTTGCGATGGGAGATCATGAGATTTCACGTGCCCAATGATTCAACGGCGAGCTCCATTACCCGTGTAAATGGACGGGGTGGCCCTCGGAATAAAACCAATGGGTCCCCGCCAGCGATATGAATGCCCCAAAGCTGGTTTCGAATTATCAGACTATATATTGCTAGCGGTAAAGTCCACATGGTGACGACAGCTGGAGTCGGCGAACTTCCGGTACTCGCGGTACGACTCAGACTACATACCGTTAGACGAATCGTAAACGATGCTCGAACGAACCACTTACCGTCCAGCGAGTTCCAATACCATACAACTTTTGGTGCTCAGTCACGAAATGGTCCAGCGACGCGCACGACCGTTCCAGGCCTTGAGCAACCAGAAACAGGGTATCTTCATCCAGAAGCAGGGAATGCTCAGTACCACCAAAGGTATCAGATGGGTCATCCGCTGGCATCATAGTCCAGCCCTCAACGGGAAGTGAAAGGAGTGAATTACTCGATGTATCGTGACATGAGCTGACAGGACCTCGGGACCTCAATGTGATTAAGAGTCAGCGATTCTTGGCCGGCCTTCAAAAATTGATTCCGATACTGGGAGGGGTTGACACCCGGTAGTATCCGTTGACTGGATAGAAATTGATTGGGACAATGTAATGCCCGATGATGGGGGAATGGGACCAGTGACCATGGTCTGGCTATCTGGGAAAAGGTTGTTGGCTCCCGGGCTTGAAGATTCCGGGGAGGCCATGAGGGCCGTTGCATTGCATTTTAAAACCAGCGGAGTCCGGGTTAATGCAAATTGCCCAAGTATCATTTGGACCAGTCTGATTCGACTGGGATTGTTTCCCTCGAAATCGGGTTATCAAATAGCGAGTTCGACAGACGCGGCTAGAGCTTCTTTCTGCTCGTTTCTATAGTCAATCGATAAACAGGGCCAGTGCTTCAATGATGGGGTTCGTATGAGCCCACTGCTTGCGAGGAACTCTCAAGGTTTCAAGTACGAGTCCCTCGAAGAAGAGTCCCTGGGATTTCGCAGTTTGAGAAAGGAACATTTCATAGGTGTTGATATCTGGCATTTTGTGAAGCCAGTAGAATTTCAAGTGTCGCTACAATGTTCATAGTCTATTCATAAATATGGTTGTGTCAGAGCATGGTCAGAACCAGGATGGACTTGGAATGGCTATTAGCACAGAGATGGCGATCATTTCAAAATGGAAGAGACAATCTGACTATCCTATCGCGTCCAACGGTAAGTTGATACTCTACTCAAACAAAAATAATAACGTAAAGCTGAATACTCAGATGACTCCAAGTTGGACCCGATGATGATTATTGATCCTTGATGGGATGCATAAATGTGAGATTCACAGGCTGGTGTTAAGACGTTCCAGGCGCGAAGTAATAGCGTCAATAACAGCAGACCTAGAAAGTGGTTAGTCTAGGCTTCCATACATAATCGGATGGAGAAATGACTTACTCTCGCTCAACCATCCTCATGGCGTCAGCAACCCTGGCCCGCTGCAACCGTTGCGGGACCTTGGGCTGACCACTGGGAGAAGCCGGGCTGCTAGGGTCGGGAGAGGGCATTTTGCTCGAAATGGACTTGGTTTGGGCCATCAGATCCAATGCAAGGCGTTTGACCTATTTATGTGAGCAAATGAAGAACCGTGCAGGAGGTCCGGACTTACAGTTTCAATTCGTGGGACGAGTTGAGAGTCTTCTTCTTGATCGTTGTCAGGCCGCAAAGAATCGGACAAGGCCTTGACTTCTCTGACCCAGGACTTCTCTTTCTCGCTCAATGGGCGCCCACCGGAATTCAACACCTTCGAGCGCAGAGCCTCATATCGGCGGTTGAGCTCGCTTTGCTTGTCCTGGGCAGCTTGAAGTCTCTTGTCCAAGGCATCACCGGACCGAACTCCTTCTTTGCGACGTCCATCCTCGCCAATTTCGCTGGTGACTCCCTTGACACGCTCTGCGACGTCTGAAAGTTGCTTCAGCTGGTCCTTCATCTCGCCCTGCAACCGTTCGCATCGGCGGAAGAGGTCTGAGGCAGCACGCTCAAGAGCATTGGTGTGCGCAGACAGAACACGGTGAGCAGTGGCTACGAGGTCCAAGGTTGCGGGTGACAAACGAACTTGTTCCTTCAGCGTATGGCGCTGGCGGTGCGGAACGTGTTTCTCGATGAATGAATCTAGCGGAGAGGCTGCGTAGAATACAGCGGGGACTTGGTATGGGACTCGGCTTGGGGGTGGAGTCGGCATACTGGGTGCTGGTGCCCGTTGCTCATAGATTGACTTGTCCAGCGCCACAGTAAGAGAGTCTTCCGGCGAGTTCATTATGGCTGCATGAGGGCCGGATGGGTGGTATGTGAGGAGCATGTAGCCGAGGTCAAAGTCATTGAAAATCAAAGACCCAGCGAGGTGCTCATTTTGAGAGGTGATATCAGTGTCGGAAATCTGCAGGATTCGCTCCCTCTTGGTGACGTTTCCATCACAGAGGACTTCAAGACGGAAAGCGGAGCCCGCGGTGTCTTCAGCCTGCAGTTCAGCTTCCAGTCTCTGAACCCAGCCGGACAGAGATAAGTATACAACGTTATTCGCGGTCGTGACGAAGAAAGAGTATCGGGAATGGACATCCTTGGTGAAGATGGGCCAGGTAGTTGAGTCTGCAGGGTTTTTGGCAGTATCTAGAGATTCTACCAAGACCAGGTCAGCAGGCTCTGAGAGAGGTGTTCGGAAGGTGTTCTTTTTGGCCTTCGGGAGCCACTGTCCCTCAACGCCGTCAAGCTCAAGGCAAACGTGGACGCGGCCATTGGTGCTGGTGAGGGACAAAACTGTAGCCGAGAGCTTTTCTTGGTCTGTAGCCTCGACTGCTAGCTCCTCTTCTTCGCCCATCATAAGATCTTCGACGTTAAGTCCGGCAGCAATGACTAGAATATCGCAGAGATCCAAATCATCAATCTCGTCCCCAGTTTCGAAACGGAATGGTCCCTGTAACCTGGGGATGGCACTGGGGTTGGCTGGACGAGTGAAAACCTCTGCGCCTTGGATAGTTCCAGCGCTGGAAGGTAACGCGAAGGATTCTTGCTCGTCGATTTCAGCCAACCAATCGTACTGCTGTCGACAGGCAATCAGTCCCTCGTCTGAGTCCTCAGGATCCTGCTCTAGAATCCCAAGCTTCGGGACGATCGTCGCAGAAAGAGAGGGGATGGTGGTGGGAGGAGCCTGCCACTTGGAAGGCAACAGAGGACACAGCGCATATAAGTCACCGGGTTTCATAGCTACCCACAGAGTCATGGGTGCCCATGCATCCTCTTTCTCGCTTCCGCTGCCAGCAAAACAGGCTGATGCAACCTCCATATCGATGAAATCGGCCGAGAAACCCTTATTCTTTCCGAATCCAGAAGGCGCGAAATCTTGATCGCAAGAAGTTCCGTCAACTAGTTTCTTCAAGTCGATCGCCAGTGTCGGCTGGTCGAATGACCAGTGGTTGTTGCGGTCCAACTCCCACACACGCACCGCTGCATCTGCCGTCACAGTGACAAGACATCCTCCCAAGTTGCTGTGGAGGCCCAGTGGGTGCCATAGCGCAGAGATCACGGGTGCTTCGGGAAGAACATGGGTGGTAGGTCCCAACTGGTAAGTCTTTAAGCGAATGGAGTCGAAGGTGGAGGAGGAAAGGTGGGAGGAGTCAGGTAGGACGGCAATATTGACCGTCTCTGGGGTGATGATCGCGAGAAAGGCACCATTGGGGGAGGGAATGATCTGTTTGATAACTCCATAAACAGGCACAGCGAGAACCTGCGAAGATGTTAGTAACTAGGCCAAAACACAGTGACATATTGATATGGGGCTTTCGGGATATTCATACCCTATATCCGGGGGCCTCAGAGCGGTCACTGTTGACTTCAGGCTGGCTAGCAGATCCCTTCTTCTGCTTGGCCTGCTGTTCCCATTGATCTTTGAGCCGGGCAAGGTTTGACCACCGGATCTGGTTGTCAATCACAGCGAACACCTCATTTCCCCTCTTAGCGATTGTTCGTGTAGGTCCGTTGGCTGAAGTAGACTTGGATCCGCCTTGCAGGTCCTGTTCTGGTGTTTGGGTTGAACTGGACAAGAACTTTGCGCCTGGCGAGGGCCGGCATAGCCAGGCAGGCGCATAACTTTGGACCTTCGGCATAACTCGTGAGGATAGAATAGACAGTCGTAAGAAATATGCGAGAGGTTTTAGACCATGTTCGACGGTCGGAAATGGCGGGAGACGGGTAAGAAAGCAAAGTTGTTGATGAGTGGAATTCCTGCGCCAAGATCTTTTTGGGAGCTCCGAGCTTCTTTGCTCCCGTCAACTCCTACACACCAACACCCTTTCCTCCTCAACTTTTGCGCCATGAGCTTACTAGCAGTCAACACTGTCGACCGCTTGGACCGACCGAGCGCATACTTCGGTGGCAAGGTAGGTGTGCCCTTGGTTGCGCTTTGCGCGGAATTCGGTTTGCAACAAGCTAAATGATCGCCGGCAGAACAAGCGACGCAGATATAATGAAGAGGAGGAGCAGCAAGAGCAAGAGAAGGCCGACAACAAGTTGAAGAACGCAACTACCCTCTATGTGGGTAATCTGTATGCAGCCACGTTACAAATCGTCTTCGCCGCAGTTGACTGACCGTTTCAAGCTCTTTCTATACTACCGAGGAACAGATCCATGAGCTCTTTGCCAAGTAAGCAATATCTCGACGACTCTTACGGGCTGTGGCTGATTTCAATTGCAGATGTGGCGAGATTAAGCGACTGGTGATGGGCCTCGACCGTTTCAACAAGACACCCTGCGGGTTTTGCTTCGTGGAATACTACACTCATCAGGATGCGCTGGACTGTTTGAAGTATGTCGGGGGAACTAAGCTGGACGAAAGAATTATTCGAACAGATCTGGACCCCGGGTTCGAGGAAGGGCGACAGTTCGGGTACGAGATCACCTCAATTCTTGTTATGACCGCCGGCTAACGTGATCGCAGACGTGGTAAATCGGGTGGACAAGTGCGTGATGAATACCGCGAAGAATACGACCCGGGTCGTGGTGGATATGGCCGCGCCTACGATGAGCAGCGCCAGCGTGAAGAGGATGAATACGGCGCCGGAAGGTAAGCCAGGGCATAATGGAAAAGTACTGGCTTGGACAATCAAAGGCGTTACTTCACGGAAGTGAATCAATTAGCAGAAACAGGAAATGTCTATTCACCAAAGAACCTATTTACAAGTGTCTTTCCCCGCCTTCTACATGGTTATGGTCTATTGCTTCAATTTGTTTCGCTTCAACACGGCAGCTTGCACCTGTTGAAGCCACCAGGCATGGATTCGTGCATCGCCTGTCAGCTCCGGGTGGAAGCTAGTGCCGAAGACATTGCCCTGTCGAACGGCCACAATGTCTCCAACTTCCTTGTCCGGGTCGCCATCTTGGCCTTCCGTGGCTGAGCGGGCTGCTGGCCCGACTAATGTTGCCAGGACCTCGACTTCATCTGCCGTTGCAGCTTGCGCCACGGAATCCCGCACCTTTCGGGATGGCGCCACGATAACGTCTTCTTGCTGAGTCTCTTCCGTCTGTACGCCCTCATGGTGTGGGAGAATCTTCTCGACAATCGGGGCTCGAATGAAGACTGATGGGAAAGGCGGTGCGTCTGCGCCCAAGAAGGGTAGATCCAATGGACCTTGGAAACTCTCCGTCTGTCGACCAAAGTGATTGCGGTTCACTCGAACATCCAGGCCTCCAATCAACTCCTGACCGCCCTTCTTGGTCTTGTTGGCGGATTCGGCGAGCAAGATAAGGCCAGCGCAGGTACCCCACGTTGGTTTGCGATCCACTCTGCGCATTGTGTTAGATTGAACAACATATGTTGATTGGGGGTACATACTTGACGAATTCCCGCAATGGCTCAAGGAGATTGGACCTGGCTGCAACCAAGGACATGGTGGTGCTCTCCCCTCCAGGTAAGACAAGACCGTCGCATGTTGCCAGCTCTTGTGGCGTTCGTACTTCAATGAACTGCCATTCGGACGGGGAAGCTTGCTCGGTGGCTTTTTTCAGTAATTGTATATGTTCAAAAAATGCGCCTTGCAGTGCCAAAACTCCAACGGTGATAGTCATTTTGAAAGAAGTGAATTGGGAAATTCACTTTGCCTCGCGACTCGTCTGGATGACTCTTTTGGATGCACGTGACACGAACTTTCCCGGCGGGGAACTTATCGCCACGTGAGACCTTATCTCCTATCTAATCCGCCACCAGAGCCTCTTCCACCTCGTCGGACCGACCCCAGGACACTATATGGCTTATTTTGTACCGAGAGTGCACTGCATGAACCAGTTTGGATCCCCATTGGTACTGGCAAAGTCTGCTGATCATTCCCTCCCGAGGGTACCTCGTCTCATCATGACCCCACGCAATTCACCTTATCCTCACGTGCCGATAACGCGATAGGTTGATAAGATCGTGTCGTGGCTCACTGTGTTGTGTTCCATTCAGCGCAGCTCAGTTCTAAATACATGAGTGTGTCCAAATCCAGTCATTTGGGAGGGGATATATTGGAAACCGTGGGAACATCTCTCAACAAAGAGCATTTGGCCAATATTTAACCAATAACCTCTCACATAGACAGATATGGAGAGCAACTCGATCACCCACCAAGATGCCTCTAAGGCACCCAACTCAGAGAAGGTTGATCAATCGATGATCCACCACCCGACCCTGATTCGGTGGTATATTGATATTAGACGCTGGGAAGACAAAGGGTTCGACCTCCCTCTGGTCCACACTCTGACCCAGTCTGACCAAGAAGCTGTCAAGCGGTACTTCCACGCTTCAGACAAGCGCATGTCTCTGGCTTCCCAGCTCCTGAAATACTACTTTGTGCACCAAACTACTGGGGCAAGCTGGAATGAGATTGAAATCCAGCGTACTCCCGCTCCTGAAAAGCGACCATTTTACGATGCCAGTGTTGATTTCAATGTCAGTCATCAGGCTGGTATTACATTATTGGCAGGCACACGGGTTCCCAAACCTTCAACCTTTGGTCAGAACTCTGCTCCTCGTGTCGGTGTTGATATCGCTTGTGCAGATGAACCCGCGCGTCGTCGTTCCGATCGGCCCCCAAAGACCCTCGCTGATTTGGCAACATTTGTTGATGTCTTCGCAGAGGTCCTCTCTTCTACTGAACTTGAAACTATCAAGAAGCCTCTCAAGACCATTCGAATGGCGCACCAACTAGGTCTGACCAAAATCGATCCGAATGACCACAGTGAAGAAATACTCGCAGGCTACGGCCTAAGACTCTTCTACTCAATTTGGGCTTTGAAAGAGGCCTATCTGAAAATGACTGGAGATGGCCTTATAGCCCCCTGGATTAAAGAACTTGAGTTCTCAAACGTCATTCCCCCAGTGCCTGCTCTGCGCGATTCTTACCAGGCTGAGCCTGCCACTCAGCCTGCTTTCACCATTGCACCCTCCGTGCACAGCTGGGGTCCCCCATATAGCGATGTCAAAGTCACCCTGAAGGGCAAATCGATCGACCATGTCCGCTTACAACTAGTCGCTTTTGAAAACGACTTCATCATCGCCACGGCCGCTTCCGGCTCTAATGTCGGCACTGTGTCCAGTGGTATCGTCAACAAAGACGACCATCACCTACCTGGATATATAAATATCATCGATCCTGTGCAAGGATCACAAAATATTCGCATTGCACCTGTTGCAGGTCGAGACATCGGGGACCGAGATCCTTGGCGTGTACTCTCGGCTATTAGTGACCCTTGGCTGCCGATGCAGGAGGTCGATATTGACATTGATATTCGGCCTTGTGCTGAGGGGCTATGCAGCCACTCGCCGAGCCCCCACTCTATTTTTGCGTGAGCACACCCCAAGTCACAGATCATCTCCAGACTACATTATCTTCATGGGATGAACAGCTAACCCTGGGTTTCGCATTAAAGAAACATAGATTTGGAGGCAGCTGGCCTTTCTTCGCTTGACATTTGATGCCCCATCCTCCAGGGCTGAACTGGATCAACGTCTTACCTCCAAGTGTCTCACATTTGCATCTTCTGAATATCTTAGCGGGCTTTTCAAAGTGATGATCCCACTGTTTTGCATATTTTTGTGCATCTTTCATAATCTGATTGCGGAATGAATAGTGTATGAAGGGTATGAATGAATAAAGCAGAAATGAAAATGACCTCCAAGGCCTTCGGGCTCGGGAGGATCTTTGTTTCCTGTACAAGTTGTGTGACCCCGTTCCAGAACATCCTCCAATACAGCCGCATGATGAAGGGAAGAAAAGAAAAAGAAGAAAAACAAAAAAAGAAGAAAAAGGAGAGAGAGAGAAGGAAAAAAAAAAAAGGTATGAAGGCTGGATCGAACTCCCCCCCTCTGTTAACCCAGGTAATCCTGACAGAGGGGAGCTTTAGAGTACGCGGTATTTAAATCCTGAACGCCTTAACCCACTGAGCTACCGGAGTAGCTTACAGAAAATAAGGAACTTTTATATCTGATATAGACCTCTGGATTTCCTAATCGGGAAGGTGGGTCTCTTGTCTATTCATCACGTGGTCATACCCCACAGAGCCTCATCACTCACCAGTTGACGATACCTAGGTTTTGTTGAACAGTCGTAGGAGCCCGGTAGCAGTTACTGGTAACTACCATTGGTGTTTTAACAGAAATTCGGCTAGAGCTCATAAGTATCAATCATGTACCAGAGTATTTCTACTTAAGTAAAGTTCATCCTCGTCTCCTACCAAGATAATACCATAGATTCAAGAGCACTTAGAATTTGATCTTATACCCTCGACTTGATTTATATCCAAAACTAAGTAGTAATTTGTCCCTGACCGGGCGAGTTCCTTTAACAATTTGATCGGTGGTTTCAAGGTTTTTCAGGTTTGTACACAGATAAGCAGGAACCAGGAAGTGACATGCCTTCAACTTGAACGGCATGCCAAAACGTCGGGCCTTTTCGATGGCTTGAAGTGTGAAATTGATACTTGGCAGCGTGTCTCTATCTAACAGACTTACGCGTTGGTATGACCATATATATACCCTATGGGGGAGGAAACTCGATGGGCAGATATCCCAGAAAAGCGGATTCATGTCATGCGTTCGCGCTAAAAATATACATTTCAATTACAGGTAAAGCCCCGAAAGTCAAGGGGCTGCAACAAGATCTAGTGTGATGAGCTCCTATTGGAGCGTAAAGCTGAAGAGTAGGTCTCGAAAACCCAATCTCAAATTCAGTCTTGGTATTTCTTTGCGAAAGGTCACGGGCTTTCACGAGAATCAGGCTGGGGTAGAGTCCCGGAACCCTCATAGACCGCCTCGGAGGCTCAGATTAGGGTACGACGTAAGCAACAAGATGGGAAATTGCCAAATGCCGCAGGTCACCCTGGTAAGAAGTGACAGGTTTGTCCTGGTTCTTAGATCTCGACAGCACTGGAAACACCGTTGGTGCGAGAGGCATCAACTTCGTCCTTTTGCGCGTGAGACATCGAAGCAAGAGTCGCTAGCATTGATGCACGTGTGGACTGTGTCAGATTGTCCACATCCCCTGATGTCAGATCAGTGGTTTGGATAGGGGGCAGAACTGTTGGCAGAATTGTTAGCGCTCCTGTCAATAGAATTGGACGGTCTCTACTTATACGAACCCTTAATTTTGATGGTACCGGCGTTGAACCGCCAGACACGGGGCGACAAGATGTGGGAGTAATTCTCCGTCACAATTGGCACGACTGGTACACCAGCCTTGACCGCCAGGTGGAAAGCGCCCTTCTTGAAGGGCAAAAGTGTAGGCTCGTCAGAGTAGCTTCGAGTTCCCTCCGCGAAAATGAAGACACTCTGGCGGTGGTCGCGCATCTCGGCAGCAGCACCATCGAAGGCCTTCAGGGCAGTCTCCCGGTTGGCACGGTCAATAAAGACAGTGCGAGAAAGAGACATGAACCAGCCCAGGAAAGGGATGTTGCGCAGAGACTTCTTGGCGGTCACACTGCAGTATGGTGGGAAGACACAGCCAAGCATAAGTACATCCAGCTCAGTTTGGTGGTTGCCAATGAAGACAGCCGGGCGGGTGGTGAGGTATTCTTCGCCCTCAACGATCTCGAACTTGACGCCGGTGGTGAAGCGCATCATCCACTTGAATCCTCGACCCACTGCCCATTGTGAAATGCGTCCGTATCCTACTAATCGCAGGCAGGCCGAGGCGATAACACCGTATGCTGCCACCACCAGGAGGGAGCCATAGGAAGCGAGACACCGAGCGACAAAGGCAGCGCGAGGCACTTTCTGCCCGATGGCAAAGAGTGAGACTGTGACGACCACGAATGAACTGACACCCGAGACGATATATGAGCCGAAAGACATAATGACGATTGTTGGGTGCAAAGAGATGAGCTGAATGCGATTAGAAATTAAGTCTTAATAGCTCGTGTAAAGACATACTTTGGTTACTGATATGGGCAAACCCGAGCCCACGGAGGTCAAGTAACGAAATGAATCAAAAAGCGAAGTGGAACAAAGACAGCAGATCAAGGCCAAGATCAAGACTCCATGACTGTGGGGAAGAGCAAGTCGGAGACGAAACGTTGAATCGTTTTTCTGCCCCGATGCCGACTCACCGCCCTCTTTGCGCAGATGACGCTGTCACCCGTACAAGGCCCTTGCGGGGGAGCGGTATGTGCGAGGATTAAGCATATGGATTAGAATTGAATACAATGAAGGTGCCTGGTGCTCTCGGAAGATACCTAACGAGGTAGGCCAATACTAAATCAGGTATCATCTCGTGAGTGGATGGTGTTTTTCAATAAGATATACTCCGACAGATGTATGCACCAATCTCGTGATGCATGGGGATATTCATTCAACTAATGTACAGTACACCTGAATGCCAGATCTCAGCCTGGAAAAGAAAACTCCACAGTGATGCTGTGCAAATAGGCCCGTAAACGCCGCGTTCATAAAAGAAGGCACAAGGGCCCGCTAGAAAAGACCTGGAGCGTCACAGGTCTACGCTATGTCCTCATCCTCCATATCGTCATCGTCCAATGACTCCATTGCGTCCTTGATGTATTGTGCAGCCTGGAGAATGTTAGTGACTGGATTTCTGTTGGGATCTGTCAAACATACCTTAGGATCCAAGTTTAAGGCCGCGGTGAAATGCCTGACAGCAGCAGGCCTGTCTTGAAGCATTTTGTACAGCTTGCCAAGAAGGTAGTGCACATTTGCCTCATCTGGCGCCATGTCCTTGAGGGCGTTCAGTTCGACTAGGGCAAGGTGATATTCCCGCAGTTGCATGAGCACTCGAGCCTTGCGGAACTTAGCTAGTACCGAGTGCGGAGCTAGATAAGAGGCTCGACTGTAATGAGATAGGGCCTCCTGCGGGTTTTTTCTTTTCTCCAGAACCAGACCGATGCAGCAAATGAGCACTGCGTTCGTTGGGTTGATGCTGGCTGCATTGCGGAAGTGCTGCTCGGCGAAATCCCACTTGCCCAGCTTATCATACACGGTGCCAAGTCCGTACCATGCATTGTAGTGTCGATTGTCGGCATGAATGCCATCACGATAGGCTGCTTGTGCTTTTTCGTATTCTTCATTGGCGACATACTCATGTCCTTGTAGCGTAAAGGCGTACGCGAATTCAGGATCAATCATTGTAGCACGCTTGAAGCACTTCAATGCTTGATCGTGATCCCGCTGGTGAGAGAATGAATTGCCAATGGCACACCATGCCTGTGGAGACAATCGATCAGTCTCGAGCAGCCTATGTGCCAAATAAGCCAACTCAATTTCATTTTTCAAATGCCACAGCACGGTTGAGTAGATTTCCATGTCCTCGAGGCGAGAGGGGGCTATTTTCTGAACTCGGGCAAAATATTTCGCAGCTTCGGTGTAGCTTGCCTGCTCGAAATGGGCCCGGCCAAGTTGGGAAAGCACCCAAGGTGTTTCACGTTGCGCTGGAGTAAGGGTATTGAAAGAGGAGATAGCTTCTTGGCACTTGTACCGACTCAGTGAGAAATGCCCAGAGGCGAGTTTGCTGAACAGACCAAGGAGCCAATCGAGAGCTTCCATATCTTTTGTTTGTTCGGCATTTTTGGGCAACGGAGGGATGTGATATTGGGGCTGTGTCGATCCATTACGATGTTCTTTTGCATCGTTGTCGGGTGTTTCAATGGGTTTCCGATTGCCACTCACGACACGGCCGACAGTGGGCACGGATCCTGTGCGCGATTTTGTAGGCACTCCTCGCAATTTCTTCATTTCGCGACCATCCCTGCCAACGAGAGTGCTATTTGAAAGCTTGCTGGTGGTGGGTTTGATTTGATTAAATAGGCGAACACTTCGGCGCTGGGGAGCACCTGGTTCCGTGGGTTGTGATGGGGGGAGGGGGTGTGCGACTTGTCCAGAGACTGTGCGCTTGCGATCACCGAATCTTGATGTCAGTGTTGGTTCTCTTTCTGTCGGTAGTGTGGGTTGACCGTCTGGTTCTGTTCGTGTCTTGTGTCTGGGTCTGATGCCTGTTGGGCGCATCATCCGGGGCGGGGGCTGCCCTGTATGATCAAGGCTCATTGTCTGAACTGTACGTGTCTTGCGTGTTGGTGCTAGTGGTGCATCCCATGTAGAATCCGGGTCAGTGACTCCATTGGCGATGCGGAATTCTTCAGATCCACTGCTCTGTGCGCCTGGAGTCTCCATTCCATCTTGGAATACTGGCTGTGCCATTGAAGAGACATTGACAGAGTTTCCATTCAGCTTTTGCCAGAGCGAAGAGCTTCCGAAGGTGGTCTCAGGCTCGCCACGAGATGCAGACACCATGAATGGGTCGGACTCCGGGTTACCAGGAGGCTGCATAGGAACAGTTCCATCTTCAAGTCCAGAATTATCTGGCCGGTTAGTGGCTTCCTCCGGCATTGAAGATATGATTGCAAGCAGTTCTGGGCTGAGTTGGTAGATATTTGGCACTCGGATATTGACGCCTGCTCAATCGTTAGAGAGGCCCGTGGCAACCAAAGCTAAGGGAACTTACCAGTCTCACACAGCCCTGTGAATGCATCCCACATGAAGGGATTCAGTTTGAGTGCCTCTACATAACAGTCCACCGCATTTGTAAGATCCTTGTGCGCGTGCCAAAGTTTTGCTTGCAGGCAATACACTGCTGCTGCATCAGGAAGGTGTTGCCGTCGGGTTTCGCTGTGCTTATCTGTAACTTCTTTTTAGCACCTCAGCTCGGATTTAATTGTAGGTCTGACAGAGCTTACTCCAGTGATTCTTGGATATCCAGAGGTTTTTGCTGCCCTCCAGAGCTGCCACACCGTCGAGGTTCTTTCCCATGTCTAGACATGTTTGGGCAAAAACATAGGCGCAGCCAGTGTGCATTCCACGTGAGCCTGAAACCTGGCTGACATCAAATGCAGCCTTCACTTCTCCATTATGCAAGTGGCAGAGAGCGAGCAGATATTGAGCCTCATATGATCGCGGTTCAAAGGCATGTAGGCGCGCGGCGAGGAACAGAGCGTTGCGAATTAGATTATTGTCAAGGTTGTAATAAATGAGGTGCCGTAGCTGGCTGGTAACATGTCCCGGGGACAGAGTCATGGTGAGGGGCCCGCGGCAGCTTATGCGACTAGGCAGGGTATGGTAGGCGATCGTGTAGGGTTGGGGTTGGTCGGAAATTCAAGGCAAATATGCGATTGTAAAAGTTGGTTCTCCTGTGAGTCTGTCACATCAATTCCTAGCGCCTTTGTCGATGTCTCTCAAGACGCGGGGAGGAAACAACGCGATCAAGTGGATTATAGCGCGAGCGGATACTCCAGCAGCACCCAGGAGACATGGACGAGACCTCTTCCAACAGCTTCGCACACGTTTGTCCGGATGTAGTGGTTGATTTTGGTGCGCCTGCAGGCGTGTGAGCGTGGAATGTAAACCCAAGCCGGAAATGGCAAGTGGATGGACGACAGAGGGAAGCGAGGTGAGGCCTGATTACGTCATCTGCAGACGCATAATGAGTCTTTCAGAGAGTCCGAAACATATCCACCGGGTTTGAAGAAGAAACGAAGTCAAAGAAGTGCTTCAGGTCATTGAGCTTAGGCGCTCTTTCTGTTATTTTGGTCTCCGGTGGAGTCAGTTCTGCCGTAGGGCGGTGAATGTTGTGGAGGGCAACAATCGTCCGATGTGCAGCTGTCATGCGTGTCCCCTCCATCTTTCTTGAACCTCCGATCTAGATCTGCGATATTGGATTCTGCAAGAGAAGTTGTGTTGTTTCAGGTAGAATCTGGCTTGAAAATACCCTCCTTTGGTCTTGGATCGTGAGATATTGAATCGCATTCAATCATGGCTCAGGTATGTATCTTAACAGCAGAAGCTTGGGGTCTTGTGCTCCAGTTTAGCTTAGACACAGGTTGTGATGTGAGTGGAAATTTCTGACAAGGTATCAGAAAGCTGCAAAGTCTCTGGCCACCCGCAATGGCGCTGTCCTCGTCCGCACTCACCTCATCTCTGCTGCGTTGCACTTTCTCTTCCTCGCATTGCACTTCGTCTTCCAACGCCCTCGCTCTCTGAAGCCTTACTTCTTCTTGGCTGTGCCAACTCTTGCCATCGAATACTACTTGGACCGCATGGGCCGACCCCGTTATAACGAGGATGGTTCCCTTCGTTCCGCGGGCGAGGATCTCAATGCCACCGGTCTGACAGAGTACATGTGGGATGTTCTGTACTGGACACAAGGCTGCATTGTTGCTGCTTGTCTCTTCAACGACCGTGCTTGGTGGCTATGGATCGTGATCCCGCTGTACTCCGTCTATGCCGCCTATACGACTGTCATGGGCGTGAAGAAGGGATTCGCCGGAATGGGTGGTGGTGCTGGCGAGGAAGCTGATGCCCCGAAAAGCAAGACACAAATGAAGAAGGAAAAGAGAGGATCTACCATGAAGTACCGGTGATCTTGAAGATGTACAAATAACGCTGTTGTCGGATGCCCAAGTGGGAGGTCAAAAGCTGCCGTCGTGAGGCAATATTTACTATTCAAGTTGGCATCTAATTGTCTTTACTTTAGTCACTAGAACGCAACTGGTCGACTTCATTCCATTTGAGAGCCAATCCTCCCAAACTAGATAGCCCTCCAACGTCCTTTTTCGGAAAGGTTGTATTTCTGAAGTTTGGATCAATGTCTGCAGCCCTGGAGTTTGAATTTGAGACCCTTGTAAATGAGTGAGTACTTCGATTACTATGGGGGGTATCTTGATAATTTCGGTGTCCTCGCTTTCTACCAGTCCCAAATAGGGCACCCTGAATCTCTATCTACCTGCCAAGGTTACCGATATCCTTCTCATTGGGGCCATCCTTCGCTTATTACCGACACGCCTGCCACTGAATAACTTACCCCAGAGGCCGCTACCCCCAAGGGGATTAGTTGTATTCATGAACCCGAGCTCAAGTCCCCAGCCACGGGGGAGCTTTGATCTACCTGTCCCTCCAGAAGGGAAAGTTGACACCCACAAGACGTTGCTTGCCTCGGTCGAAACCCATGAACTTGCTAATGTGTAATAGATGGCCTCGGCAGTTGATGCAGCTGTAAAATGAGCCCTAAAAACGTCTAAAAATGTAAGAATAATGGCTCTAGCGTTCACAGGATAGAGCCTGTACTTAAATAACGATGTATGGATTACAGAGTTCTATTCCCGCTACCCCCTCTGCCTCCCGCTCATGTATCACCATTGACGAATCATCTATCGCCGCACATATCATCAACACAGATGATTACGACTGTGTCTATCAGGACTACGGCTGCGACTGGTGTTATTCCGACTACAGTGGGGGCGGATCTTCCTGTGGTGCCTCGCCTTACGAGGCTGGGGAGAAACTGAGTGATGGACATGTCATCCTGGCCGTCTCCCAGGATGGCTCTGGAGATTGCGTCTCAAACGCCGGTTCCAAATGCTGCACGCTTTTGGAAGACAACCCTTGCAACTCCGGTTATGAATACCTTGACTGTGCCAAGGCTTAGATTTTCAGATTGAAATAATAGCCTAATTAATTTACATTTGCACTACTTAAGTACTTGACTATTTTTGAAGACCTGAGTGGTAGGATACCGATACCTTTTGGATGAAGTTGGAAGTGAATTTAGATTGAGTGCGGCTCTGCATGAGTGCAGAGCCGCACTCACATGACTGTTACGTAGTTATAAATTACTTTGGTGCCTGAAGGTGCCTGATTTGGGACTTGCCCATAGTAGTATACCCCGTAGACGGAAGTCAAATACAGATTATGATACCAGGTAGGAAATGGTGTTTGAATAGATAGTAGTTCTACTGAGCATGGTATTACAAGGTTCTTACCTTGAAAGCCTCTACAGTTGAAGTACTAAATATGACATCGTGGAAAACAGAGGGGAAAATACATTCACTCATTATGTACTCGACATATATCGCTCCTACCAAAGCCTCGTATTCCGACCATGAAGCGACTGTAGATAAAGCAAGATGATAGCATAGAAACCGAAAAGAAAAGAGGAACTGTGCATGCTCATTTCAAGAGCAAATAAGGTTGTTATCGTGACATACTATGTGGGGAATAATGCATGGATGCCATCGAGGGCATACCGAATGCACGGGATTCAGAGCTAGGTGTTTGAGCCCGAAATTGAAATGGAAGAGCCAGGGAACACCCACTAAAGGTGATGGCGCGTCGAAATTGAAATTGATCATAACTCATCTCTGTACGAAGAAGCAGCACTCTTCACACTGCTAGTGGCGTCATCAACGTGCGATGAAGCTGTCTCGACTGCTTCGGACGCAACACTGCTAGCACTGGCGGCGAGATCAGCCAATTGAGATTTGGCGCCTTCAATGGCCCCAGCGAGACGGGCCGTGGCACTCTCTACTGCGTTGGGCTCTTCGCCATAGATGGCTGCGCTGGCCTTTGACTGAATGTCCTCAATGGTATCTCTGGCCACATCAATGTAGCCGGCCTCCTTGCCGTACACAGCACTGCTGACCTGGGCAGTTGCTGTAGAGTAAGCATCGGCAGCAGCGTCTGTGGCTTTTTCGAAAGAGCCCTTGGGTGTTCCGTAGATACCGACCTTAGCAGCGTCGACAGCAGCATGGAGCTGATCATTGACTTGCTGCATGATCTCGTCCACGCTCGGAACTTCAGATGCGACAGCAGAGGCGGCGGATGTGGCAGCTTCATATCCTTCACTGATATAGCTAGAGGCGGAAGATACTGCAGCGGCCGGGTAAGGGGTCTCATATGCTGCATGGAGTTTGCTGAGTACACTTTCCGTGAAGGAGGGCTGCTTGCCGACGATAAGCTCAGACACAAGGCCTTGGATTGCCTCGAATTGAGCGGCTCCGTTGTTGACGACTTGCTGCGCATAAGGTGTGGGGGCACCGTAGATCTGTTGACTGGCTTTTGAAACAAGAGCTTCCCAGTTCTCAGACGCCTGACTTGACAAGGATTCGACACGCCCAGTCGAGCTACCGTAGATAGCAGCGCTCGCTGAGACCGAAGCCAAGGAAAGTGAGGCGGAAGCTGCGGAGATGGCAGCGTTATATCTAGATGAAGCATCATCGATGATGCTTTGGGCTTTCCCATCATCCGCAGAGGAGATGATTGAACTCGCTGATGCGACGACCGCGGCAAGGCTGGCAGAAGCTAAGGAGGAAGCATGCTCGTATTGAGAACCAGCCTCCAATATGACTCCCTCCAAGCTCCTAGGAGCGGGTGTTGGGGTTGGGGAGCCGTACACCGCATCGGATGCTGTTGAGACAAAGGCAGTAAAGTGGTCGTGGGCAAGGCCAACGGCTTCATAGTAGCGACGCTGTGCATCTAGAACATAGGGCTCTAGACCAGATGAGCTGGTTGCCGTCGCAGTCTGTCGCACCTGGGCGAGCTGCTCAGATGCCAGACTCAGACCTTGGTTCAATCGGGATGAGGCGATGGAAGAAATCTGGACCAGAGGACCAGCGGATGACGGGGTTGGGGTAGCCCGAACGGCATTGATATTGGATTCTAGCTTCTCAGTGGCATATTGGAGAGAACCAGAATAGGCCGACTCAATGGATGCTAGAAGTTGGGCATGGGCGGGTGCACTTGACTGTGCCATTTGCCCAAGCACCTGAGACTTTGCAATATCATAGAGAACCTTAGCTTGCGCAGTGGAGTCCGCGAACGCTGAGCTGGCCTCGCCAACTAAAGATTGGACGATTGGTGTTGGGGTACCGTGAATAACCGACGAGGCACTGCAGCCAGGAACTCAGATTAGCGAGGATTCTTATAGGGGTAGTGAAATGAAGGTAAAGTGGAATGAACCGCGGCAGACACCGATTCAGCTCTGGTTTTGTAATCCAGAATTCTAGGGCGCTCTTTTTAAACCTCATTTGAAGGCAGTGTGGGAGTGGAATTTTTCGCTACTTACGCTGCAACAGCTTCGCTGTACTTTTCAGAAGCAGCACTCGAGATCTTCTCACCAGGACTCAAAGGAGTGCCGTACAAAACACCAGAGGCAGCGGCCAAGGCATGGGCGTACTGATCACCAATTGAAGAGGCTGCCTGCTCACCAACTGCAGGTGTCACCAATGCGCCATAGATGGCTTCACTGACAGCGCTGCTTGCGTCGGCGTAAGTCTCACCGGCCTTGCTTGCCAGACTGTGGAAGGCGTCCTTGTCATCTTCGCCATCGATAATGGGTTTTTGGTGATTGTTCAGCTCGGCGGCCGCGACACCAAAAGCAGGCCTCGCAGAGGGCTGCTCCTCCACAACAATGTCATCCGCCATGGATGAATCATCTACGTCGTCATACCCATCAGCATCAACGCCAACATCTGTGTCGGGCTCAAGGGCCTCTTCAGTCGGCTCAAAAGCAGCCGCTGACTCTGAGTCCGAGGTCGTCTCCGAGGATTCAGTTTCAGAGCTAGCCTCCTCGTCAGTCTCCTCAACCACAACAGGGGGCTGAGGTCGTGGCGGTTCTCCAGTTCTTGTCTCGAAATTGTCGCTGACCTCACGGGCAGCGATCTTCCAGATGCCAACATCCTTCAACCGAACAAGCTCCTTTGCAGCTTCTTCAGCATCATGCATGCCAGTGTCCATGATTTCATTGGCTACAATTCTGGCTTCCGACACAGAGCTGTGATTCACTCCGACTTCCCGAATCTCATTGCGCCATTCTTCGAGCTGAGCCTTGAGAGCGTGGTACTTGGCCCAGTCTTTGTACGTGACGCCGTCGTTCCAGGCCCAACGCATACCGATTTCTTGCAATCCTAGGTCACGGATGCTGTCGAGAACAGCCAGGGTGGACTCCACCGCCGCAGTGACTCGACGGACAAGCTCGTCCTCAAACGAGGAAGACCATTCTCGTAACACGTGGGCACGATCTCTCACGGAGATGGCAGAGTTCCGGATCTCCTGGACAAGCAGACTAGTAGTGGCCTCTTCGACGAGTCCGTCAGCTTCCTCTGGCATTGACTCCGCGAGTTCGTTGATGCGGTGCCTAATTGAGGAGATTTGCTCGGAGGAGACCGATTGGAGTGCAACTGCAAGGCTCTTGCCATGACTGTTGGCACTGCTTGCTACCAGGGCTGAGACGATCTCAACGATGCGCTCCTCAAGATCTTCAACACCCTTATCCGCAGCGAGGGAGAACTTCCTCTGCCACCGCTCAAGGTCAGAGTCAATCTTTTCACGGGCTTGTTGTGCTTCCTCAATGGGAGACAATGTGGGCTTGGCAGGTGCCTCGGTGGTAGACGTAGATGTCACAGTGCTTGTAGCCCGCGTCTCTTCGGACTTCGTGACTGAAGTGGTAGCAGGTTGGACCGTCGAGCTGCTGATTGTGGGTTAGTAAAACTTCAGGTGATCCGGGATTTTCTGGTTTAGTTACCTGTCCAGCTCCTCGACAACAGCCCGGAGTCGCTTACCCTCTCGGTAACTGGCGAGGCGCTGGCCAATCTTGACCAGCTGCGGCTCAACTTGCTCCGAGTAAAGGCCGGTAACATGCGGCCACACCGAGCTGTTGGCGAAATATACTACGGATGACCAGGTATATTGCGCGCCGGGCATCACATGGGTGACCAGAACGCCATGGCTCGTGGAGTATGCCTTTCCAATGTATGGCTTGGAATGGGTGTAAAAAGGCACCAGGTGACCCCAGTAAACCGTGAGCGCAGCGGCGTTAGCTTTTTGATAATATGGCGATACCACATCGACACCTTGCTGGACATACGGGTCCACCTCAGCCAGATAGACCTGGTGAACCTTATCTTGAGCTGTCTGTAGGCGAGGTGTAACTTGGACATGCCATTGTTGAACCCCGTAGACTCGTGCTTGTTGCAAGGCCGGGGCGCCGTACTTTTCATACCCTAATTTGGCAACTTTTGAGGCCGGCGTGTAGACCCGGTGGTTCAAGATCTCCACGTATGGGCGGGCTTGATCAACATAAGGCGCAGCATAAATGTCATAATAGGGCGTAACATAAGGCTCGACGTGTGAACGAGCGAGCAGATAAGGCTTACAGACACGAGGAGATGTCTCTGTAAGATCTGCGAGATTGGAAGGGCATTGGAAGAACGGTGAGACCAGCGCGTACCAGATACAGAGTCTAAAAAAGTAACAGCTTAGCATTATGCGATCAGCATTGCACGAAGCCTACTCACCTCACGACCAGTCCAGCGGTCCACCGCACAAATCCCTTTCTCCGTGGCGTTTCGACACTTGTTGTGTTGCTCGGTTTAGTGGTTTCTCCCACCTGGCCATTCTCTGCAACAACCATGCTGTCTGTGATTGACCCGCACGAGGCCACGCGACGTGTGAAACAGTAAGTCGGCCGTATTTCTTGCGGAGGGCTTCCCTTCCACGCTTAATTCAAATCGGCGTGACAAAGACTACCGCATCGGAAAGAAGTTCACTGCCGATTCGAGTACTGGGAGTCGGATTGAAGCTCGAGGTAGAATACCAGCAGAGCTGCAAATGGAATGCTCGCGTCGGTCTTGGCACTAGACTTTCACGGGCCGCGGTCAGACTCAATGTGCTGCCGAGGAGAGCGATTCTGAGGATTCAGAGCAGATCCAGGACGATATTGGGAGGGAAAGGAACAAAATTAAATGTGAGCAAGGGCCCTCGCAATATGACACAATCAGGGTCGATTATTCTGAGAGGCTGTGTGAGGTCATCGGTGGCTGTTCGTACTGCATATACATTAATACACCAATATTACGACCAGAGCACCACCTGAGAGGTTGTAATTTATGTCACAAAAGTACCAAATGTGGATGACATAAGACGGGTCGGGCTGGGAAGGAAGAGCAGGTTGGAACGATCGCTTTCACACCTCTTAGGATCTGCAAGCTTGACAAGGTTGGTCCTATCATGTGCTGTGGCAATCGTCGCGGCCCTCAGCTATCATACTGACCGTGTTTTCCAGCTTGACTTGGACTGCCCGCCACCCCCACGCATGTTTACACCTCCCGCCAGCCCAAGAGTTTAAGAACATGGTGAACATTTAATCCAACATCACCGTTGATCCTAGGCGAATTTCACAATGGAGGGAGCGGACAGCCATTTCCGTCACCATGCGGACCCAAGCGCGTTCCCCGACGTAATGAATGACCCGGCTTACGACGAAAGGGAAAAGGGTTTCGACGATTTGGATACATGTCGGATATGCCATGGCGAGGCAACGGACGAGGAACCACTGTTCTACCCATGCAAGTGCAGCGGTAGTATCAAGTTTGTACACCAAGTCTGCCTGGTAGAATGGTTGTCACACTCACAGAAGAAACACTGCGAGCTGTGCAAAACACCGTTCCGTTTTACGAAGCTTTACGACCCGAACATGCCCCAGAGCCTCCCCGCACCGTTGTTTTTAAAGCAAGCTTTAATTCAATGTTTCCGGACATTGTTGACATGGATGCGATTCTTCCTCGTTGCTTTTGTTTGGCTAGGCTGGCTACCATGGTCCATGCGCGCAATCTGGCGAGCACTGTTCTGGCTTGCGGATGGTCGCTGGTCCGCGACTGAACAGGCTCGGAGCCAGGCTGCCCAAGTTGCTAAAGAAGGGCTGGGACAGCTGGCCTCGAATGGGAGTGCCAATGCCGCCGTAGTCAACTCGATCTCTTCCACGATTGTCAGTGCCGCAAGTTCATCCGCAACTCCGGCACCGTCTACATCATCAATTCTCAGCCTTGCTTCCGGCGAGCCACTAATGCTCACTGTGATAAAGAAGCTGGTTCCATCTTTATTCATGCCCGCATTCACTTCCACTGTTGGACAAGGCAGCGCAGAGATGAGCTCTACGGCCAGCGCAACTAAACCACGCTACCCCTCATGGCTTTCGGATGTAAAATTCTTGACCACCTTGACGCCATATCCCACAATTAATAACATGATCATCGACACATTGGAAGGCCAGCTGATAACACTCCTTGTGGTCGTTGCCTTCATCCTACTCTTCCTCATCCGGGAGTGGGTTGTTCAGCAGCAGCCCATGGTTAATATAGCAGAAGGAGAGCGCGAGGCAGCCCTTCAGCTAATTGCCAATGCCAACAACCGCATCAATGAGCGGTTCAACGAAGAAGGTGGCTTTGGTGAACCGGCACCCCTTCCCGTGCAACCGGAAAATCAGGTTAACGATGCACACGCTGAGGCTCATGAGCTGGACGATGAACATTTGCCTGGTTATGGCCCCCACTCTCCAGCTCCGTCGTGGACCGACTCCGAGGAAGGCCTTGGCTTTGAGACAGATCCGAGAGAGCATCCCTTTGACCACGGAGACGAATCAGATGGCTCTGCTCCAACGGCTCGGGCTCTGGCCTTCCGAGATCTCGTGGCTCGTACTCATGGTGATCATGACGAGATGTTGCGTATCCTTCGGGAAGAGGCCCATGGAGACGATCTCGACTGGATCGTAAACGCCATGACCGGAGCTACGATTGACCGGGGCACAGAGGCAGGGCCATCAAACCAACCCCAGCCTCATGACGCAGACGATGGATTCGACGCTCTCGATACCGGAGAGGGAAGTGCCAACGCCCATCATGAGACCGAACTAGCCCAAGCGGAAAACCAAGCGCCAACTGATGGACAAGCCACACCTGTTGTCAATGAGCAACCAGTTGAACGTCCTCCGCAAGCTATCACAGAGCGAATCATTGATTGGTTCTGGGGTGACATCACACGCACGGAGCGGGACACAGAGGAACCAGTACCCGAAGACGAGGAACACATTGTTCAAGACCCGGCTTTGGAAGACCCATTCGTACCTTTGCCAAACCGAGTAGTAGACGAGCCAGCTGATGCCGCAGCTGACGCTGTAGCAGCCGCAGAGGCTGGCCTGGATCCCAACGACGTGGAGGCAGCTGACGGCGATGATTTCGAAGGGATCATGGATCTCATCGGCATGCAAGGTCCCATCTTTGGGCTGTTCCAGAATGGTGTTTTCTGTGCCCTTCTGATTGCCTTTACAGTAGCCATCGGTATTTGGCTTCCTTATCTTTGGGGGAAAATTGCCCTCGTTTTGCTCGCCAATCCTTTGGAACTCCTCGTTGGTGTTCCTATCACCGCAGTGGAAGTCGTTGCTGATGTTGTCCTTGATACACTTATCGGTGTCGTGGGCTACTTGATGTACTGGTTCAGTTTTGTTTTCAAGATTCTACTGAGTCCCCTCGGCGGTCTTGTGCCTCTCGGTGAATGGATTCCCCAAGACAACTCGCTCACCAGTGCATCACTTTCCCTCATTGATGCTAGCAGCCGCCGGCTCAACAAGGTCCTCAAAGCAATCCTGGTCTTCCACGAATCTGATATTCCCATGTTCTCGGTCCTTTCTCACCAGGCTCTCAAGTTACATCAGGCTCGCCTGAGCGCCGTGGTCCATTCCATCTATGCCACTGCAAAGTTCATTTTGCATGACATTCCATTACGGATCGTGACCCTTGGTGTGCCGGGTGCCTTGACGTTTGAATTTGATATCTCCTATCTCAAACATTATGTCGCTGAAATCCAACAGCAATTTGTCGACTTCGCTAACTCGTCGCTTTTCGCCCTTCCAGGCAAGAGGCTGATGAGTGCAAGTGCCGCTAAAGCTGCTTCGGCGGGAACTTCCGTTGATTATGAATTGGCAGCTTGGGATTCCAAAGATCGCGCCATCGCTATTTTAATGGGATATGTTCTCGCATCGATGGTTGGCCTTCTTTATCTACGAATCTCCGGGCTGCTTGCTGGCGCCAACCGCGGACAAAGAATCGAAGGCGTTGTTGCTGAGGTCCTCATCCAAGCTGGGGGAGTGATGAAAGTCATTCTCATCATTGGAATTGAGATGATTGTTTTCCCCCTGTACTGTGGAAGTCTGCTCGATCTAGCTTTGCTTCCCCTCTTCTCTGAAGCTACGGTGGTCTCTCGCCTTGCCTTCACGGCTTCGTCTCCTCTCACGTCACTTTTCGTACACTGGTTCGTTGGTACTTGCTACATGTTCCACTTTGCCTTGTTTGTTTCCATGTGCCGAAAGATCCTGAGAAGTGGCGTTCTTTGTAAGTGTCAAAAATCTGTAATGTTGATTCGCATGCTAACCGGGGTACATAGATTTCATCCGTGATCCTGATGACCCGACCTTCCACCCAATCCGGGACGTTCTCGAACGAAATATCACTACCCAGCTTCGCAAGATTGGGTTCAGTGCCCTTGTCTATGGTGCGCTGGTCATTGTCTGTCTTGGAGGGGTTGTCTGGGGCTTACATTTCGCTCTTGATGACGTTCTTCCCATTCACTGGTCGGCTAGCGCCCCAATGCTCGAGTTCCCAGTTGATCTCTTGTTCTATAACTTCGTGCTGCCAGTGGTCATTCAGTCTTTCAAACCCTCGGATGGATTGCATGAGCTGTACGACTGGTGGTTCCACAAATGTGCTCACTTCCTGCGCCTCAGCAACTTTTTCTTCCCAGAAAGACACATCGAAGAGGAAGGATATCATGTCCGAAAGAGTTGGTGGGGCGTTCTTTCTAGAAGCAAGGGAGATTACGAAAATCCCGTCATCGGTGCCGATCAACAAGCTGCAGCCGAACAGGAGAACCGTGATGCCTATTTCGTGCGCGATGGCCGCTACGTCCGAGCACCTGGCTCCGATCAAGTCCGCATTCCCAAAGGCAACCGCGTATTCCTGGATGTCACAGAGGACAATCAGCGCGTGGATGGAAAGCCGGATCTTGCCGATGGACTTCACGGTCGAAACAGTAACATGTTCACCAAAGTTTACGTTCCTCCTTCTTTCCGCACCCGCATCGCTGCCTTCATTCTTCTGATCTGGTTGTTTGCCGCCGCCACTGGAGTAGGTATCACCATTGTTCCTCTCATCATTGGCCGGAAGATCATCGTCTCCTACTCCTCTAGCGAGGCCCCGGTGAATGATGTCTATGCCTTCTCTAGCGGTCTTTGTGTAGTCGGTGCGTTGGCCTATCTGGCCTACCACTCGCGCACTGCTTTCAATGCCGCGCGTGCTCATTCAGGTCTTTACCTTCGATCTCCCCTCCAAGCCGGGCAAATCACACTGAAGGCTGTGATGCACGTTGCTCGGCTTGTTTACATTGTCACCATTGGTATCATTGTTCTCCCATCACTCTTCGCCCTTCTTACCGAATTATACATCCTGATTCCTGCACACACACTGTTCGGCGATGGACAGTCGCATGTGGTGCATGTGGTTCAAGACTGGGCCCTCGGGGTATTGTATGTCCAGATGGCTCTTAAATTGACCGTGTGGCAGCCTCATTCTTGGGCCGCTGCTGTGTTTAACGGTATCACCAGAGATGGCGTGCTGAATCCTAGAGCTGGCCTCGCTACTCGGGCTCTGGTCATCCCCTTCTTCTTGTTTACCGCGGCTGCCGTTTCATTGCCCCTATTCTTTGGTGTGATTGTACGCTGGTCCTTCTTCTATACCAGCGTCGGAGCGCAGCCTAATATCTACCGCTACGCATATCCTGCTTCCTTGCTCGTCGTGCTGTCCGTGTGTCTGACTCATTTACTCCTACGACGAGTGGCAGCATGGCGCACTACTATCCGTGATGAAGTATACCTTATCGGTGAACGCTTGCACAATTTCAGCGAGAAGCGGGCGCGGGATGTAGGTGTTTCGCGTGTGATGACGGGATGACGGAATGTCCGAATGATGGAATTGATGAGATTCCCTGGATGAATTCAAGGGGAACCCCCAAAAGTTCTTAATCCATAGTTTTAGTGTACATCACCCTTAAGTTTTATCTACTTGATGAGCCGTGCTTCGCACTTCGTACTCGTTTGCCATTCTTGCCTGAGGCACCATTTTATATCTGTAACCGTAATACAGTAATCTATCTTTAGATACTTGCTGCCTGCCGAGCGCCCCCACTTCCAGCCGCCTTTGGACGCTGATTGGTTAGGCAACAGGATTCCCTTCGATCTCCCCGGTTATCGCATCGCCATCCCAAGGCATCCATCTGCAATCTACTCCGTACAAGTCAATCTCTTTCAACTTCCCCCTATGGATTCTTTGCTCTTCAGCGACTCCTACGATGGATTCCTGAACTTCACCGCTGCAGTGCTGTGTCTCTAATTGATATTGTACGGAGTACTTGTGGTCCTTATCTCTCTCCGCAATCGCCAAGATGTCAGTCCTCCGACATGGTGGTGGAGGGGGTGGTTTCCTCCAGCGGCGCCTCACGAAACTCTACACCGATACGAAAACCTCTTGCGAAAGCGTGACAACGGCTTCGAAAGCCCTCGATGACCCGGAACTGGTTGCCCTCCACGGTAGTTTCCAGAAACAGAGAGATCGCCTGCTGTCATGGGGTCTCGATTGGAGCGACGCAAGCGCGGCGCAGCCCAATGACATTGATGAGTCCCTCACAGCAGCAGGATTCAGTGATGTTGTCGAGAGTGTGATGTCATCTATCCAAGAACTGCTCAATGACGCCGAGCGAGTCCAACACGTCGATGCGCCGATGCTACCCTCGAAAGAACGCAAAGTCGACCTCCCGTCAAAGGATACCCTAGTCAACACACCGTTGAAGACGCAATGGACGGAGGAGGACATCACACGCTCGAAATCAATCCTTAACGAACTCACCGGCTGCATTGATACCCTTTACGACCTGTCGCGCTCCCGCCGAACAATGGCCTCGAGCATGTCATCCACCCGAAACAGCGCGCGCCGCCAACGACCCAACCTCAACTCCCCATACGAGTCGTCTCATGGCTCTTTCTCCGAATCCAAGGAGAAAGTCCAAAGTCCAAAGCAGATGTTCGACCCATTCGCCTACTCCCCTGCAACCCCGCATCGCGACTCCGCCAACCCTTTCCTTCCAAGGAACCGCCTCCTCATCGACCGTTCGGCGCTACAACTGTATGGAGCCGCTCATGATAATTGTCCGCCGCCGTATGAACCTGTTGCGGCATCTTCGAACTCGCGCGCCATTGGGCGCTTGAAGTCTTCTGCGTCGCCGCTCCTAGCCTCGACAAAAGAGTCGCATGTATCGGTATTGGTCGAGTTCATGCCTATCTTGGCTGAGTCCAAGATGGACAACAAGAGCTCACGGATGGAAAAGTTACAGAAATCCCTCGAGCAATTGTTGCAGAATGCTAGGATCTCACACTTGGGGCTCATGCGATTTTTGGGGTACTCCATCGACCAGTCCAATGCTCGCTATGCATTCTTATACCAGATGCCTGTGGACTACTTCCCCTTCTTACAAAATCCCAGTGATCTCTTGAAAGAATTGAAGCCCAAACCATTGGTGGCCCTTCTTCCGTCAGCAGACGAGCACCGGGAGAACCGAGTACCAAACCTTGATACCCGTTTCCGTCTGGCCTATGACCTTTTGATGTCCGCGCTTCATTTACGAAGCCAAAATGCTGTCCACGGAAACATCAACAGCAGTAATGTCATCTTCTTCCCGGGTCGAAGTGATGCGAGTGACGACGAAAGCGGCCTTGCGCCGGATCTTCGTCGGCCTTATCTTACTTCCCCCGCGAGGTTCTCTGGAGATGGACCGACACCGGAGCCACTGTCTTCTGCGATGTATCGGCACCCAGAGGATAAGAGGTCTGTTGAAGACGATGGCGCATGGGCTTATGACCTCTACTCCATCGGTCTTATTCTACTCGAAATTGGACTTTGGGCACCGGTCGGACGGCTTTGGAAGATGAAATACGACCGCACATGGTTCAAGCATCGCGTAGAAGACCTCTACGTCAAGAAGCTTGGTCCAAAGTGCGGCGGTGCTTATCTCCAAGCTGTCCAGCTATGCCTCGACGCCCCCAACTTCCACCTCTCCACCCAGCCCATGACAGATCTCGGCCTTCGTGTGCCACAGATTTACCACTACCCAGTGCTTGACCTTTCGGATCCCGATGGTACATTTTCCTTCTCTATGAACTTCATGTACACCATCTGTAAGATTCTCTGGTCGTGTTGCCGCATTGATATCTTCTCGGCGCCCTCGGCAGAGGAATTGGACGATTGTCTCCCATTAGCACTCGTTCCTACACCTGAACCAGTGACCATCCAGGACAAGGTCAACGCGTACAAATCATCAAAGCGCGAGATGGCCTCCAACCTTGACAAGCAACTCCCCAGCGTTCCCACCACCGATTGGGGTGTTGTCAATGAACCCAAATCATACGAACCCCCACAAAAGAAACGAACTGTCAAGAGACTTCCGCATTTGGAGATTCCGGACGAACATCTCCAAGAGTGGAATTTCCATATGATGCCTCGACTGAGTCGTCTCCTTCAGAAGATCCTGAAGGAATCATCCGAGTCTTGTGGAGTCAATCTCATCATGACCGGAGAATCGACCGAGAGTGCCAGAACAACTATTTGCATAACTTGTGGAAGTGTGAAGAAGGTTAGAATGGCACTCAAGAAGCATTTTGCTCTCGGTCGGGATGATTGGGACCTGATAGTCCTGCGTGGTGATATTGAGCGGTCCAAGGTTCCTCGCAGACGTCGAAGGCCGGCCAAAGCTCGACCCAATGTCTCGAATGAGACGCCATTTCGCCAACGAGAGCTAAATCCTTGTCACCAGCAGCGGCCTCTTTGTGGAGCGTCCATTGGTGCCTTTCAGAATGAAGAGCACCTGCCTCCTGTCTCTTATGGTGGTGCGATCTTTGTTGATGGAATGCCATATGGTCTCACTGTGCACCATATGCTGGAAGCTCCCAGTGAAGATGAAGGTCAGGAGAGTTCCCTCGCGGACCCAAGTCAAGATGCCCCTTCCAGGTCGGCGGGGAATTGGCACGGAGACACCCCACAATATTCAAACCCCGAGTTTATGTACACTCATTCGGAACACGAGACACCAGAATCAGGCCTTGAATTTGAGTTGTCTGACCTGGAAGACGGAGATGATGGGTCATTATCTCAAGGGCTTGAGTCCGGTTACGACGAATATTGGCTCTCGGACGATGACGAGTCAGATGACGAGTCCCTAGGCCCTGACGACGATGACGACGATGCCGCATCAATTGGTGATACGGCTGGCGTTGAACCAGGCGAAGAGCCTCGTCTCCTTGTCACCCAACCTGCTATTGACGACGTTCACGATGATTTTTTTCCATCACCAGAAGACCGCGATGATGAGCACTTGGCCTCACACTCCCTTGGTTACGTCCATGCGTCTTCCGGCGTCAGGCGCTGGACGCGAAAAGGTCTTAAACACGAGATTGACTGGGCGCTCATAAAAGTGGACGAGGCCCGCATGGATCCTCGCAACATTATTCTCGACACGACCAGGTCCAGCATCGCTCGTCCTGGTCGCCCAGTTCCACCCCAGCCCATTTTCCTGAATCAAGTGGCTCAGATGGAGGAGCTCGGCGGCTTGCAGGTTCATTGCTGCGGCCGAACGAGTGGACTACAAACCGGGCAGATCTCCAAGGCGATGACCTTGGTCAAACTGCATGGACGACATTCATTCTCGACCAGTTTTTGCGTCCATGGAAACTTCGGAGGTAAGCGGTGCACTTCAGCGGATGTCTTGCTTTTATGTCTATATGATTAATTAGATACCCTTTGTTTTGTTCTCATCCTGTCTAAGCTGGTAAACATTCAGCGCATCTAAATACCCACGCTCGTATCGAGTAAAACTTTGGAAGCTAAAGCTAATTTCTCCTGCGACAGCCCCCGGCGACTCTGGCGCATGGGTCTTCGACCGCCCAACCGGTCGCGTCTGCGGCCATGTCCTTGCCTGGTCCGCAAAAAGCAACACTACCTACATCTCGCCGATGGAGGTGACCTTCGATGACATTGCTCGCACCCTCAATGCCTCCCGCGTCTCCCTCCCCGGCGACCCTACCACTGCCCTCGGCTACACCCACCCTTCCTCGCCTGCTGGCCCTTACCGTTACCAGCCTCAACGACTCCCGGGAGACTTTGGTCATATGGCGCTTGGAGGCTCCCCGGGCCCGCCCTTACCACCTCACCCCCATCATTACCCACACCCCCACGCGCGCCCGGACTATGGCCGTCCTCCACCCCCTCCACCCCCTCCAGGCTCATATCGCGGCCCGGTGCCTCCCATCCCACCGTCCCTTTTGACCGGCCCACGGAATATCGAGCGTCAGCTTGCTTGATCTTAGGCCTTTGATGTGTTGAAATTTTGATGTTGGTCTAGATTGGAGAGGTTATGATCGATTCATGTTTATGTTGATACCCTGGGCCTTGAATGTCTCATTTTTGTTCTTTCTTGTTTGTGTCTTCAATGTTCTAGTGATTCAGGGAGGCTATTTCACGGGAATTGACGTGGAATAACCGAAGCAGCCCCCACTCGACTAACGAGGTCAACATGATACACCGTGCTGAGAGAGTTGGATACATCTCCTGCAGCCCTTTTGTTTCGGGTTTCTTTCTGACTGTTTGAGCTTTGACCAATAGATCCTTTAATTGTAATCCCATTTACGAAGGAATTTATTCATGATACCCATAATGAATTTCATAAAACGCCGAGGTCTACTCCGTCCAAATGGATCGACTAGAGAAATGACGTTGAAATCCCCCGATGGACCAAGGAAAAAAATCCAAAAACCAGGTACAGTTGTAAAATGGCAACTTAAAAATGGGGCTAAACCCCAACTTCAAACCTCTCCAGGCCCCTGTCTACAAGTAAGTAGACTGGGCAGTTTCACATTCTCGTTTTAGGGCTCAGTGGAGTTCATCTCGAAAATGCGCCTCGGCCCGTCATTGGGCGTTGGCTGTCGATCGCCATAGTATTTGGCCTTTCTACAAAGTCCTTTTGCGCCCTATATAATCAGTTCTGTTTTCTGTTTTCTGTTTTCTGCTCTGTTATTCTCCAGGCTGGCCTGGATTTCTTTAATTTCTAATATATACACGTTATCATGTCGAGCATTCATCAGGTTCTCAATAAGAGTCAGCAGGCCGAGTTGCACCGTGGCTGTCATCCCTATCATCCTGGTTGGCAAACGGCTTATGGATATGTGCCATCTGAGGCAGCGGGCATTGTCTTCTGTGCATTGTTTGGTGTGTCGCTGATTGCCCATGTGGTTCAGTTCTCATGGAAGCGGATGTGGTGGCTCTGTGTTTTCCCAGTTGGGTCTTTAGGTATGAATTCAGAACAGAAGCGAGGATATAAGTGTTGCAGACTAACATGTTATAGTCGAGTTACTGGGTTGGGCAGGGAGGACATGGTCTTCAAAATGTGTCTATAATCAAAATGCATTCTTGATGCAGATCTCGACATTGATTATCGGTGAGTTAAGTCGAGCCTTTTGAAACTATACACAATCCTAATATCATCGACGTACAGCCCCTACATTCTTCACAGCTGGGATTTACATCCTGCTCGGCCGATTCATCTCCATCTTCGGTCGTCAATCCTCCATCCTATCGCCCAAGGCTTACCTCTGGATCTTCTGTACTTGCGACATCATCTCCTTAGTCGTCCAAGCCGTCGGCGGCGGTCTTGCCTCATCGGCATTCGCAAGAGAAGGCGGAAACACAGATCCAGGCTCAAACACAATGGTAGGAGGTGTTCTTTTCCAACTCGCCTCAATCACTGTGTTTGTAATCTGTGCCGCGGACTTCTTGCGCCGCGTCAAGAAGATGGGTGTGTTGCGAACGGCCTCGGTGTCTTTCATCCTCTTGATGACTGCCATGATCATTTCGGTCCTTTGCATCTATGTACGAAGTATTTATCGAACCATCGAGTTGCTGCAGGGGTGGAGAGGGTATTTGATCACACATGAGTTGTACTTTATTGTCTTGGATGGTGTGATGATGGTCGTTGCTTCGGCTATCTTTAACCTGGTTAGTCCGGCTTTCTTGTTGGACTCGGTTAAGGTGGCTACTTCTGATGATCGATCTGCCACTGAGTTGACGGAGCCGAAGCCTGAGTATGAGAGGGAAAGTTCACAGTGGATCTGAGTGTTCAGATCAAAAGTCTCCGGGCTCTGGCCTTGGGAGATTCAGCTCTTCATGCAATGCCACGATTGTCGATGTATTTTCATGCTACAAATGGTGTTTAGATGGGATCTTCAAATCTTCAGAATTGGAAACATTCGAAGCCTTGAAAGGTATATTGTGAACGTGTTAAAAAAAGGCTAGGACGTTGTCATCTTCCATGCCATCAGAAACTCCCTTATAACGCTGCTGTAACTCGGTTTCCACTCTAGCTCCGATGAAAAACTCGATGGCCATAATATCATAGTTCTCAACCATCACAAAGGAAGGATCATTTCAACCGAACTCAATATCATGTGCTCGCTGTTTCTTTCCACGGCTCAGCCGAGCCTTTGGCCGCCACCGGTTCACTGAGAGCTATATCATTCTTTGCCTCAGTCATTGGTTTCTCGCCAAGCATAACGATTATGGCCAACTTATTGAGGTCACTTCAAACCAAGTTAGTGGAAAAGTCACAATGTCATAACCTCTGGTATACCACTTACCCAAGAATGTACGACAGGGCTGCCGATGCCATACACAACTTGTAACTCCTCTGGATCGAGCACAGTGCTGCCAGGAACCAGAGCACTGATAGAACCGACCAGCAGACACCGTTGATGACGTGCATTGTGATGTAGACGGAAGTGTTTCCCCATCGCTTCAGTTTGTTGACGGCGAGTGTCAGGGTCATATACTCGCCGAATAGCATGGTGATCAAGAGCTTGAGTACCAGTAAGTAAGGAAGAGACCCAGTTCTCGAGAAAGAGGATAGCTTACTATGATAGAGCTCCAAGTGCAAGCCCTCGTGGCATGGGGGCTGGTCTCAGCGAAATATTGGATAAAGATGAGCGTACAGACGACGGAGTTGAGTAGGTTGATAATGTCCACAATCAACGGGTGCTTCATTTTGCTGGCCTATAGGGACGAAGATTGGAGTAGACGAAGAAGTCGAAGAAGTCGAAGAGGTCGAAGAGGTCGAAGAGGTCGAAGAGGTGGAAGAAGTGGAAGTGAGTGAAGTGGAAGATGGAAGGTGTCACACTCTGGGGGCAAGTCCACTCCAACCTTGGAAGGTGCCCAATCGAGAACAATACGTTTGACTTCAGTCAATTTATATGATCTACTTGGTAAAATTACCAAGAGTTTCTTAAATCTCATGATCTGTTCAGATATGAATCACTCACCTCTCAACTTGCACCTGTCTTGGTGGACCTTATACTGCTCTGGAATCTGTATCTCTGGTTTCTTAAACCTTGAAGGTATAAGGCGACTACAATTTCATGGATCGTTGATTCTTTCCACGATCCTGTCCGAAAAAGACTACGCAGTTCAGACTTGAGACATGCTGGGGGTTGGAAATATGCAGTTGGGATTCCCAGTGATCATGACTACATCTACTAAACCCATCATTTTCGTCTTGATTTCCCAAGTACGCCGATGATATTTCCTGTTGTTGTTTCGAATTTGATTTGGTCTTCGTTGGATAGCCTATGCCGGGGTTGCATTATATCATATAATCTTCCAAGGCCTTGGCTCGGATTTGGAGGATACTAATAGATACACCCTAGGTAGAACAACCGTTAGTAGTGACAGGGGGGAATCATCTTCGTCGTCATGGGAGTCTGTGTACTGTTTTAAGCATCGACTCGGCAGTTATAGCTATGCCCCTTGATCACCATTTACTTCTGACTCCTCCTCGTCACCTTCATCCACACTCTCCCACTCGTCTTCTTCGAGATCCGTCTCTTCGAAACCCGCTTGGTCTCCGAGCATGCTCAGCAGCTGCAGGAGTCCGGCTTGGGTGCGCCAAGCGTCTTCTCCGGGAATAGTCCGTCCAGAGTCATCTTCAACGTCGACTTCTTCGGTGGATGGCTTAGTTGAGGTTGGACCCGACTTGTTAGATAGGTCAGGAGCCAAGCTAACAATGCGAATCGCTTTTGTGGGGAAGACACGGGGAGGGTTGGCGCCTTGTTGTGGGGGTTGCCCGCCCGGTGCGTTGGAGTCACGCCAGCCAAGAGTCTTACGCCGGTATTGTTAGTTTATTTGCTGATGCATTATAGGGGCAGAACTTACAGTGTATGTGGACATGATGGCATCGTCACTCAGCGCCATGTAGCTAATCGGGACAGCAAGTTGTGGGGCTGAGCTTGTCAGAAGTGAGTATGAAGCCCGCGGGGGTTTGTCCACATTTTGAATACGGTCATTGTCATCAAGCGCGACGACATAGATGCGATCTTGGATTTCGAACATGACTCGGTGGTTGCGAATCGATAACCAGCCACCAAGGTCAAAGCTTGACCCGTCTGACTCGCACTCTATGATTGAGCTGTTTGCCTCGAGGCCAGCTCGATCTTGAAGAGCTTTGCGGAAATTAGAGCAGATGAAGACTCTACCCGCACGAGAGAAACCAACGAACAGATTGCCATGCAACATTCCTGCTCCCCAGTCATCTTGTCCATGCCAAACATGTTCTGGGTCCTCTGGTGGAGAAAGTGGTCCTTTGGCTACTTCAATAGGGACCAAGCAGTCCTTTCGTGGAGATCCAGTGGGGGAGAAACGATGAGTTGGGCCCAGTCGTGCGGCTCCCGCTAGCGCGGCGCCTGCGGAGATTGAATTTGCTGGAGGTGGGCAAATATGGTATTTCTCAGTCACCTGCGATGGCTGAAGAGTGCCGAGACATGCACCAGACTCCTTATCGTAGGCGAAGTAGCCCTTTTTGCCCATTGAGTAGATCACGATGTCCTCGCTCTGGTCCAAATGGCCGATACCATCGCATTCGATCTGCAGTTCGGTCTTCAGCTGGGGTGGTCGCTGGGTCATATCGTATACGAATCCCTTTCCTTCATTGGAAACGACACAGAGCGTCCAGTAGGAAAGCTGGAATCCTCTAGTCTGACAACCGTGATACAGAATGCCAATGCGCTGGAATTCTCCACGCTTGGTACCCGGCTGATCCGCCTGCCAGACCTCAATGGAATCCCCCACACTGTCAAACACGACCATGCCATCTTGATACTCTAGATGCGCGTAGGGGCGAACGCCATCTCCATCGGTGTCCAGCACTGAGGGGAGCTGCCATAGTATCTCGCCGGTATCCATATCTGTGACATTCAACCCACCAGCGTGAGAGCTGGACACGAAGAAGCGACGTTTGAAATCGGCGCGGAATCTCCAGACAGGGTCATTGCCGATTTGCAACACTGATTCCTGGCTGAGTGGGCGCGGCTCGGCCCAATTGTGGGCGAGCATTGTTTGACGCTTACACAGATCTTTCCATGATTTGATGCCATCATAGTATTTGGCGAAGCTGTGGGAATCGGAAAGAAATGAGAAGTCGCGAGCACCTCCGGGAGGCTGAGGGGTCTTAGACTCGGCGGTGTAGATGACCTCTTGGTGAGTAACGTCAATGAATTCGTGCCATGCCTTTGATGCGGCCGTCAGCGAGCCGAGGGCGGATACTGGGGTGAACTCCAGAATCTGCAGAATAATCTCAGGAGGCAGGACGGTGAGGGGGTCCGCTAATGTGTCGATGGCCATATTGTAGAAGGTGGAAGCAATTTCAATGTTCTGGTGGGGAAATCAGTATTTTGTCCCATCTCCATGATGACGTAGCCACCATGTGACTCGGGCCCCGGGTTTAAGCTTAAATCTTTTCTGCAGCGTCTGCAAGGGGTGATTATAGAACATTCCGTTCTTTTTCTTGGCCAATTACGCAGCTGGATTATCTATAGATAGATCCACGGATCATCCGATGTTGTTTATTCAGGTCTGTTGCAGTATCTTGATGGTCATGAATATAGATCTATCACCATAAATCACCCGAAGCCCACATCGGGATACAACAGCTGTCTGTAAATCTATAATTAGACATTTCTTCCGTCCAGAGGCCACATACATGTTCTTGGGTATATTTCCGACTTCAGAAGATCCTCTAGAGCTACTCTAAGTGATTTCATTCTTCTATGCACATGAGTCTTGGCGCAATATTTAATCAAGACTATTTTAAGGTCAATGAACATGAGCTTTAATTAGATCGGATGACTATGTTAAATTCCATTAAATGCACCTGCTCAAGTGGGCATTCAATGCCCCTTCCTACCAGGTATGTCTCCAATTGGAACCCTTGACATAACAAGCATCATGCTGAGGTCATGTGTTGGTCTGTACAAAACAGCAGTGGGTTCTGCATTTCTCTTTTCCCTGCCAAGGTTATACAGAGCACAGAGTACCCTGTGATACTTAAGTACTTTCTCACATCATGGAAATTCCACTTCAAGAGCTCCAATCGTACCACCCATATCCACCAGGGACTGGTACTTCTGTGCCGGAAAGCGCAGAAATATATACCATGATCAACTTGTTACACATGGAAAGGCATATCGAGGGAGGATACTTCGTCGAAACCGACCGAGATGAGCGTCAGATGACTTTGAAAGGCAATCAGTTCCAGCCGGCACAATACTCGCATAACGCAGGAGAAAACCGCGCCCTTAGTACCAGTATCTTCTACCTTCTCGCCCCCGGGAACTCGATAGGTGCTTTCCATCGCAATGCGAGTCGCACGGTGCATACTCTCCATCACGGAAGAGGGATCTATGTCATCCTGAAAGTTGGTGATTATCAAAGGTCCAACCAGGCTCAGATCGAAACATTCCGGGTTGGCCATGACATCGCAGCTGGAGAGAGGCTGCAATGGATTGTGGAAGGTGGAAACTATAAAGCGAGTTTCTTGCTTTCTGATGAAACCGAAAGGACAAGATCAAGCTTGCTCATCAGCGAGGTAAGGCTTCCAGGTTGTCCTGCAGAGCTCGTCGTTCTGTATTCGTGGAAATGCGGTTAAATAAAAGGTAGACAGTGATACCGGGGTTCGAGTTTAAAGATCACGATTTCTTGACGCTACGTGATTTGAGTCAAATGGTGACAGAAGAAGATATCAAGCATTTGAAATGGCTACTGAAGTAGCTAGGAAGGTCCAGCCGCGCAGTGACATTGATGGCTTAAAATGACAAAAATAGATATACAGAGAAACGCGAAACACTACATATTCCACGGCTCAAGTCGATATTAAATCCGGTCAAGCAACGGGTTCTTGACGAAAGTAGTATATTCAGCCCGGATAATTATCCAACATTGAACATCACCAGTCAGATCCGACGTTGCGTATTTGCCGTTGAGTCACGATATCTCCGACGCGGAAACTAATTCCCGCGTGGCTTTGTATATAACGAACTGCGGGGAGCTTTTCAATCTTGCACCTCACACTTACATTTACGAAATCATGATTTCCGGAATTGCACACATCAACCTCACCATCCCTCGGGGAACGCTAGAGCAGGCCGAGGAGTTCTACGGCACCACCCTTGGGCTCATCTCCGCGCCGGTACCGGAGCTCCAAAAGGGCACGATTCTATGGTAAGCACAGATGCGAACTTGGCCGGACGGATGTCTAACATCCTAACAGGTTCAACATTGGCTCAAGCGGGCAGCAAATCCATATCTCATTCGGGACAACTGATCCCAGTGGCACTCGCCATCCTTGTTTCAAGCTCCCCTCGCCGGAGGACCTGGAAGAGACCAAGACTAGTATTTATGAGCATCATGTGCGAGGTGGGTCGGCGGCCCCAATGGCTGCTGATAAGCCCGGTGAGATGAACTCAGGTAAGTGACTGTGGTGGCCGGGATAGCAGAGACGTGCTGATGATATCAGGTACTCAAGGGAAGGAATATCCCACACGGTTCTTTGCTCGTGACTATGCGGGAAACCTGCTCGAGTTCACTTTGTAATTTTCACTTGTCGTTCAAGACTATGACAGAGTCGACAATTCGAGCTGGAATCCATGGGTGTGTGAGCTCACTGGAAGTATTTGGCAAGACCCAAACCACACCAGAAGTTGATATTTGATGCGTGCTACATTGAAAAGACATTTATACCTACTAGCATTTGATGAAGTTCTATGAATTGGATTGATAGAATTTTGAAATTGGTCTCGATGTCCCTTGTACAAGCGCCGAGCAAGTATGCACTAAAAGTCCGAGCGATCATTAAGAATAAGTTCATGCAGGGCTAATCATGATGGTAAAGATAAAAGTCGCAATGACTCCATGCGAGGCAGAAAAAGAAAAAAAAAGCGAGAATAGCAACCGAAAAGAGAAAGATCAATGTCGCTGGCAGAATTCCACATCGGGATCACTCGACAGAAATACCGGTAGATTGAAGGAAAGCCCGTTGAACACGCCAAAGATGGGTCATTTCAAGGGCCATAAAGAGAAACAGGGGTAAGAGTAGGCAGTGAAGCATGATAGCAAGTGGCTTGGATGCAATTAAAAGTCGTCAAATGAGTACCAATCGTGCACCGTGTCGTTTCCAGTTTGCGTCCTGCGCGAACGGCGGGAAGAGTTCCGCGTAAAGAAAAGCAATTGTAGAAATTAGAAGGCAAGGATGTGGTCACAGTCCCTGGAAGAATGGGCATGCCTCGATGATTTCTTCGTCGTCGTTGGCAAAATCCCATCCCACAATGCGAGGGTCTACACTAGCACAGATGATTTTTCTCGCGTCGAACTGAAGCTTGAAGACCCTCGCAGCTGAATGGGGGGCCAGTGGGGGTCTGCGGACGTGGTGATGATGGTGGTGAACAGGAGGGGGTTGTGGTGTGGCCTGATTGGCAGGTGCAGGGGGTGCGTGTAAAGGATTGTGGTGGTTGGCAGGCCCGGCTTGCGCGTGGTTTGCATTGGGGGCTTGGCCACCGGCATGGTGTCCAGGAAGGGTCATCAGGACCTGTGCAGCTTGCAAATGCTGAACTTGGGCGGCGACAGTGGTACGCGCCACTTCGCTGAGGTTCTCGCGGCCGGCATTGGCGACTGCATCATGTTGTTTCAATTGATGAGCCTGGGTCCATTTGCCATCGCCGTCTTTGTGCCAGATCACAATGGTTTCGTCGTAAGATCCGGACACGATACGGGCCCACTTGCTGCCTCCACCACCGGGAGGGATCTTGGCCCCCAGAGCAGTGATGTCGCGGGGATCCCGTGATCCGTGGGTGTTGGTTTCATAGCCATTCAATCGTCGTTGCTCCCGTCGGCCTAAAGAGACAGCTTGTCCGGACTCTTGAGCAGCGAAGAACTCATTCTCCACAGCCTGTGCTTCTTGGCGGAGAATTTCATCGGCGCCTGGTGGGTCACCAAACCCTGCTTGGAGAGTACGAACAAGGTTGCTGTGCGCCCGAAGGCAAGCCACCTCGGCTCCTGAGGCATGGTCATAGACGCGAACCGTGTTATCGTTGCTGCCACTGATGATTCTGCGGCTGTCAAACTCAACACAGGCAATTCCCTTCTCGTGGCCCATCAGAGTTTTCGTGCAGGCACCGGTGCGAATATTCCAGACCTTTATCATGCGATCTCCAGACGCGGTCACAATATCATCGCCGTTAATCTGCATGGCATTCACGGCAGCACCATGTCCTTGCACGGTCATCAACAAAGAGTATGGCTTCAGGGCTTTGATCTGGTCATTGGCAATGCCAGCCTCGATGAAACTCGGTGAAACGTCGTTGAGATCAATGATGTGTGAGGGATATGTGGCTCCGGCTCCCCGACACATGCGCGGATAGTCACTGCTATTGGGTAGTAAATCACGACGGTTCCACACCTTCACAGTGCGGTCTTTGGAGCAGGTGACCAGGTAGCGTTTGTCAAATTTGAGATTCAGCACAGAGTCAAGATGCGCCCCCTCAATCCGATGGACTCGCTCGCCAGTGGAAAAGTTCCAAATGATGACAGACTTATCGCTGCTGCCAGAGATGATGATGTCTTCCTCGGGACTAGGGTCAAATTGGAGGCACAGAACGGACTTTGAATGTCCCTGCAGCGGCTTGTACCGCAATCGTTTTGTCGTTAGATCCCAGACTCGCAATGTCTTATCCCGACTTCCGCTGACCAGCCAGTTGCCTTCGAACTGAATTGCATAGACACATTCCCGGTGAGCCTCGTCTGGGTAAGAGGGGTCTGGTAGTTGGAAGTTGGTGTATCGACCCTGGTGCCAGTTTGCTTCAAGGCGGCGTCGCTGCTTGTACAGGTGGGTCCAGTTGATTTGAGCACTGCCATTCAAGGATCGCATGAGAATAGAAGATTGCAGGGGCGGGTATAGAGGCGAAGAAGGCAGAGAGAGGGTATTCAGCATAGTGAAGTCCGAGTCATCGGTAAACGAATCCGCATTGCGATCATGGTCATCGGTCGTGTGGTTATTTTCGTCGGTCATATGGTGATCTCCTTCGTCATCGGCTTCAGGTTGAGGGCCACCAAACACGGTTGAGGGTGCGCCTTCGCCACTCCGTGAGTCAAGCCATGTAGGGGGAACACGCTTTTTCTGTCGAGGTTCGCCGAGGTCCGGTTCGGGATGTCGCAGACGAGACTTTCGCGTTTGAGGCGAGACGGATTCGAAATTTTCTTCTTCAAATGCACGAATCGCGGGCAGATTTGCTCGCCAGCCTTCATTGGCATACAGGAACCTCCACAAGCCCGAGTCCAGAATTCGATCACGCCACGAACGAGATGCGAGTGACGCATTTAGGAGGGTGCGAGGTTCGAGGTAAGAAAAGATCTCGAGCGTGACTTCGGGCGGGAGCTTGACTACTGGATCCATGTGGAGAACAGGATTCAATCGGTCAACCACTGCGACGATGCTTGAGGTTCGGAGAGATCGGAGAAGACTGTATGCGAGCTCTGGGCGATGGGGTGTCAGTAGGGGGAACAACAAAGCGGTGAGAGAGGGCGCAATGCTTCACACCGAAGTGCTTGAAGCGCGACAAAGAATCACCAAGAAAAAGCGATATCATACCAGCTCTACCGGCCTCACTCAGGGCGAGCACCCAGTTTGGAAGTGCCATAACATTGTCCGATCCTAGATCCTTCTCCGCCTGGCTTCGTGTATCATCCGAATATCCTTCATCGAGCTTAAAAGATGGTGACAATGACGGCGGGGGGAATTCGGAGACGTTAGTCTGTAGTTGCAGGGTTGGGGGGATCAAGGCATCGGGCATCGGCTCTCCCTCCATTGATGCGGTATTTCAGAGAGAGACGACGTGGTTAGTTGTGCCGATGGCAACCGCGCGGCGCGAGATCCGCGAGATTGGAATATCCAGAGCTATCGAGAAAGAAAGGTAATAAGCGCAAAAGTGGTGTTCCTGGGGAGAGGGGAGAGGCGCGGAGAGAAAAGGTATGGCTTTTCGCACGTCACGTCACGTCGGATCCACCCAGTAGATCGTTCTTTCGCCGCAAATGTTCCAAAGGGGTTTCCCCAGCAATTTAGGGATTCTACTTGGGTGATTTTGTCCGAAAAGCCCCTCGATACAACGCGGAATGGAATGTGAGTCACGTGGGGTCGAGTCTATTGAGGGGAGTACACAATACGGAGTAGACGCGAAGATCAAATGTCATAGAACAATACAATGGACTCTATTGCATATCTTGGTGTTTATCTGCCTGGTGGGTAGAATGAATGGACCCTTGAAAATAGGGTGAAATGCGCATATTCAAGGGTTCAATTAACACAGCAGTAACTCACTCGGCAGGTACTTAAGTACTTAAGTACCCATCCATGGATGGTATACATCAGATTCTTGTCAGATCGCAGGATACGGCTTTCTTTCGCCTTCTTTTTCACTTGTTACCTTGAAACCAAATCGATACTCCCATTACTTAAGTACGAGCATGAACCTTGGAAGAAGAAGGTCGAGTTCTATGTAGCGGTAACATCTCCACAGTTTCTAAAGTTATCTGTATGTCTTCATTTTGATGATTGGGGGGTTTAAGGCCCATCTTATGGCGAGTGGCAACACGACGGGTTGTCTGCTTTACGAAGCCCGGGTATTGGTCGACATACCTTGCGTGGTCCATGCAACAAAAGGTGGAACTGTGGTGCCTTGCTCGACAAGAACATGCGCGCAGACCACATCAAATTGACCATACGGAGTACATTTTGATGAGTTGGATGGGTTGGACTTCAGGATAGGCATATCCATTTGTCCCAATAGACACCAGAGAGTCGTTGTATCCCTTCAATACCCGAAAGGTTGTCGGGTCGAGCCAACTGGTGGCAAAGGCAACCCAAGGACTCTGTGCTATGGAAGAGTAAGCAGGCCCGTGTGCCCAGGTGCCCGGGGGTGCTCTTATAAAGGGGCGGCTGGACAAGTCATGACTGTGGTCATCTGTGTGTCCAAAGGTAGAGCTGAGGTCCAGTGGCCGGAATGTATAGAGTGGGCATTTTCAGACGTACCCCGGTCTGTTCTATCGAGATCGAGTTCCCCATTCCCTGCATAGTTTAGGGTCCATGGCTGTGGTTGCATACATGGTGCGGCTGAGCTGGCTCGGGGAGAGACTGGGATTCAAATTCAGCCCCAGGGTCAAAGAGCGAACATATGCAAGTCTCGGACAGGATCTGCTGAACCCTTGCTAGCAGACATTGTACGGAGTACTCCGTAGAATGTCGTAGGTTGGAGGTTTGTATACCGAGTTGCCCCTCTCCACATCCCACCGCCCGATGGAACACACACTAAGCCTCTTTGGGTAATTGAAACTCCTTCGGCTCACCCTCTCTCCTTTCCTCCTCCATCAGCACTCATCTGTCACTTTGCTTTCCTTGCTCCCATCAGCTCTTCGGGGCCTTGTTCTTCTCTGCTGTATCGTGGTTGCGCACCTCTTGGGTCCCCTCGGATTCTCCCCATTGCCATCTCCTGGCGGTGTATTTCGCAACCGCCTCCCCTCCCCCCGACCCCGAAATTACTTTCTCTCACTCGCTTGCCCGGCTGCAGCGACCACTCACATTCTAAAACTCTCACCCCATCGATTGGGGATAGGCTGCAGGTCGGAAGATATTCCAAGAGTCTCTCCTTTTCTTCTCAAGTGACGGTGACCGCTCGACATCCCGCGCTTTCGATACATAAAACATATTCACATACTCTTCTCGCCGGTTGAAGTCGTGTTGCATACTATTTCAAACACAGGTAACCTTGGACTGTGTCTCGCGAGCGGAATCTAGAGCTCATTGTCTCAGACCTCGAAACTCCGTGATAATTGCGACGTCCAGCTTACAACCCACCCGGGGAATCCATGATCTCCACCTCCCCTCTCCCGACGCTTGGTGATCCCCCCGCGCCAATTCCTCTTGGGTCTGCTGTGCAGATTGAAAATTGAGTCTGGCTGGTCTATCTCTACCTACATTTGACCGAGGAATTTGGACATGATTGAATCCACGATGAGCGGCGCTCCGGTCGCCGAAGATAATATTATCAACCGGCGTGGTGGAGAGTCTATCTACCAGAGCTGTGTCAATCTGAAACGGAGACTATCGGAAGTTCCCGACTTTGAGCCGTACCTGCAAGAAATGGATGAACATGACGCTGAAAGGGGAAACACAGATCCGGTGGCCTCTTTGTGGAACTGCCTCCGGAATGGCTATCCGCTGCTAAGCATTTATAACGCATCTGGTCCCGATGATAGACTGGAAATCGACCCGGGCAAGGTCACGGAGGCAAAGCGTCCCAAAGCGGCAACTTTCAAGTTCCTACAGGCCTGTCTACAGGATCTGGCTTTTCCTCAACAAGATTGCTTCCTGATCACTGATCTTTATGGTGAAAGTACAACGGGGTTCATTAAAGTGATCAAGATGGTTAACCGCGTCGTGGACATTCTTGAGATGCAAGGCCAATTGAAGCAATCCGAAGTTACAGAGACACCCACTGGGGCGAAGGCCCATGTGAAGCTTACCAAACGGGAGCATATTCTCAAGGAGCTTTTGGAAACGGAGCGTGACTATGTTCATCACCTGCAAAATCTCCAAGCGCTTAAGAAAGAATTGGAGGAGACAGGTGCCTTGACGGGTGACGCTAGCCATCAGATTTTCCTCAATCTGAATAACCTGCTGGATTTTGCTCAGCGATTCTTGATTCGCATGGAACAACACTATGCTCTGCCCGAAGAATCGCAGAACTGGGGTCAACTATTCTTCACGCATGAAGACGGCCTCCGACAGTATGAACCGTTTATTGCCAACCAGATGCGTTGCGACGAAGTCTGCCTGCAAGAGTGGGATAAAATAAAGAATGCGCCTCGCCCTTCGGACCTGCAACAAATGGTTGCACAGCCAAAAACACTCAACGGATTCTTCGTGAAACCTTTCCAGCGCTTGACTCGATACCCGCTTATGCTCCTGGTAAGATTGCCCACCGAAGATGCCGATCGATTGACTGACGACTTTTTCAGGAGCTACGCAAGCAATTAGAAGATGTCCAGCTGCAGGCGGATATCACTCATGCAATTGACTGCATTCAACAACTGCTTGACTATGCTAATGAGGCCATTCACAAAGAACATCTTGCCGCGGCAGTAGTCGATCTTTCTGAGCGAGTGGATGACTGGAAGGCTCTGAAGATGGATACATTTGGAACACTTCTTCGGTTTGGCACATTCCAGGTTGTGAAAGGAGACAGTGGCAAGGATAATGAAAGAGAGGTCCGTTGTTCCGTGCTTGGGTGTTTCCCAGCCCTCTTTCGTGAAGTAGACAGTTTGCTGACTTCATCTCCAGTACCATATCTATCTCTTCGAGCGGATTTTGCTGTGCTGCAAAGACATTAACCCCAACAAGCAAAAGACAAAGCTCATGATGCAAAAAGAAAAGCCATCTTTGAACGCGAAAGGCAAGGCTCGTCTTCAGCTGAAGGGTCGAATTTACATGGCCAATGTCACAGATATTGTCTGCCTTCAAAAGCCTGGTGAGCATGAATTGTTGGATACGTGGACTTAAAGGGACAACTATCTGACTCATTGCTGCAGGACTTTATCGGATTCAAATCTTCTGGAAGGGAGACCCGGGCGTGGTTGATAATTTCATCATCCGTTATGTCAATGAAGATACCATGCGTAATTGGTATAAGGACATTGACACCCAGCGGGCGATTCAAGCGGAGCGACGTACTTTGCGCAACACGGGTACATCTGACAGCGAGTTTACCTACATGGAAGGCATGGGAAATATGCCCAACCCCTACCAGCAGGAGTACGATACAAACGATGACCCCAGCAAAGACCAGTTCTACTCCGAATTCTCCATGAGCCGGAATGCATCCAGCACTAGTCTTCGGACTCGGTCTGCCACTGGTGGCAGTACAAGCTCTGTTCCTCATCCCAACGGCCGACCGCGTTATGCGGGCACCGATCCAACGCTCTCCGTGCACACTCAGTTCTCTGGAAACGGGAGCATGTCACCCGGCGATCGAAACGGAAACTCCTACTTCTCCCCCACAGAGACTCCATCCACGCGGTCAAGTTCTCAATCTGGATTCTCCTTTGGTCGCCAGAACACCAACTCCACCAATACATCTATGGTTTGGAACGAGGAGTCCAATCGATACACAGCACCGGCGTTGTCTCGTGTGGCTTCGCGCGAGGGTTCAACGTCTGGGGGATATTTCCCCCCGCAGGCTAACGGCCGAGGTGCTCAACGTCCCTCTTTGCCTCCGCTCACGGGCCCTCAGGCCGCCCATGCTGCCAATGGCATGGCTCAACGCATGCGATCGGCCAGTAGCCCTGATATTCACCACCACAACAACGGTTCTTCCGAGTCTCGTCGCTACATGGGGGTTCATACTATGCAAACTGTCGACAACGTTCCGGTTCCCCCGATCCCCGCCCACATGGCCAACATGAAAGCGCCTATCAACCGTAGCCAGAACAATTCGCCCACCAGCCAACTTCCTCTTCGGACTCAGCCCTCTCTCCACACCACGCATTTCAACGATCCCGAGTACAACGACTCTCGCCACTCTGGGCAGCTTTCGGACCATGCCACTTCTCCCTTGACCCAAGAGCCCGAGGGCGGAGACCAATACATGCCGACCCAACTCAAAGCGAAGGTCAACTTCGAGGATAACTATGTTACGTTGGTGATTGCAACCAACATCTTGTTCCGCTCCTTGACGGACCGCGTGGACGCCAAGTTGGCTCGATTCACCGATCGATCTATTGGGAACAAGACCGTGCGTCTGCGCTATCGTGACGAGGATGGTGATTTCGTAACGATCGACAGTGACGAGGCCGTTCAGCTTGCATTTATGGAATGGAAAGAGCAACATCGGGACATGCTTGCCAAGGGCTTGGTTGGGGAGATTCAACTCTACTGTCAAGTCGTTGACTAGACCGATTTTGCGCTTCTCCCTTTTCCCTTTTCTTGAATTAATACCCTCCTGCCCTCGAAGATTTCCCTTGAACCACGCTTTGCATTCTTGATGAGCCGGAGAGATACTCCATTTCTATCTCCCATCTGACTTTTTTTTTTAGTCGACTCAGAGCATTTGCATAATGATATGTTTTACGGCCTAAATGTGCTTTATGAAGTTTTGGTGAACCGAGATCGGGATGCCGTAGAGAACGGGACTGTCCTCCGTAAGCCGATGTAGTATAGAAAGGCTTGGCGAGCCTGACAGCTATGAGATAGACTGTTTTGCTTAACCTTATACTCGTACATCCAGGCTACTCTGTACAGGCCTCCAATGTAGCGGTGAAACACCGAAATGATCGGCTTAGGACTTCCGGTGTGTTGTAAACAGACTCGGTGATTTCGTCGAATCGTCGCCCAGTATTTTCAGCAAAAAGCGTCATGGCACACAAACCGGGAAAAACACCTCCCCCCTCACTTTTCTCCCTCTTAACATCTTGCGTATTATTATTATCGTCTTGTATCCGGCATCATGTCGTTCTCCGGCCGCCGCCTAAGTCTCCTGCGCCCCTCTGACAATCGCCGCTCTTCCGCAGCCAAGGACCTCTCCACCAACGGTACGTGCAGCTGCACCTACGAGCTAAGAGGGTTAAAACAAAAAAACAACGGCCTAACCCCTCTCTAGAGCTTCACTCCGAAACGCATCGGCAGTTCCGTGCCGCCCACGAAGGCCACCGTCCTCACGCCGGTCTCGATGCGTCCCGTGCCTCCACCGGTGTGGTCTGGTGTACGGAACGAGCGTCCGAACATGGCTACGCCGAAGATCCCTCTGGCTGGGCCAACCTAGGCCAGGGTGCTCCTGAGGCCGACGATGAGATCGAGGGGAGCTTCCCCCGCCCGACGTCGATCCCCATCGCCTCCGCCTCACGGGAGTACGGCCCGACCGCCGGTATCAAGCCGCTCCGCGCTGCCGTCGCTCGTCTGTACAACGACCACTACCGCCAGGGCAAGGAGAGCCAGTATACCTGGGAGAATGTTTGCATTGTGCCCGGCGGTCGCGCCGGTCTGATTCGTATTGCTGCCATCCTGGGCAACTCATACCTGTCTTTCCCTATTCCCGACTACTCTGCGTACTCGGAGATGCTGAGTCTGTTCAAGAATGTAAGTCTGGACGACAGTGGATGATTGAATCGGGGAGCACCGTGAGGCTAATGAGAATAGATTGCACCTATCCCTATCCCTCTCTCTGCAGACGACCACTATCATATTCACCCCAATAAGATCGCCGAGGAAATCGCCCGCGGCACCCAGGTCCTTTTGACCTCTAACCCCCGTAACCCTACAGGTCACTTCGTGTCCGAGGATGAACTTATCGAGATCCAAGATCTCTGCCGTGACCGCGCGACTCTCATCCTGGATGAATTCTACGGTGGCTACAACTACACGACCGGTTGCGATGGAACGACAATCAGTGGTGCTGCCAACGTCGTCGACGTTGATAAGGATGGTAAGAGTCTCTCTCCTTCAAATCTATAGTCTCACAGCGCTGACCAACTGCAGACGTTCTCCTCATTGATGGTATGACCAAGCGATTCCGCCTGCCAGGCTGGCGTATCGCGTGGGTCGTGGGCCCCAAGGAATTCGTCAACGCCCTGGGCTCCGCAGGTTCCTATCTGGACGGTGGTGCCAACGTGCCCTTCCAGGAGGCCGCCATCCCCATGCTTGATCCCAAACTGGTTCACACAGAGATGAAGGCTCTGCAGTCGCATTTCGTCGTGAAGCGCGACTACGTCCTGAAGCGTCTGCACGAAATTGGTTTCCGGGTCCAGGACGTGCCTCAGGCCACCTTCTACGTCTGGTTGGATCTGACCTCCCTGGACCCCCCTCTGCCTCCTCAGGCTAATATCTCCGACGGTCTGAACTTCTTCAACGCTCTTCTCACGGAGAAGGTCATCGTTGTCCCTGGTATCTTCTTCGATCTGAACCCGGCTAAGCGTCGTGATCTGTTCGACAGTCCCTGTCACCACTTTGTTCGTCTCAGTTACGGACCTAAGATGGATGTGCTGAAGATGGGTCTGGACGGTATTGAGCGCGTGATTAACCGCGCGCGTGAGCTTGGTGTGGCCAAGTGGGAAGATGAGGTTGCGATCTCAGATGATTAGATATAGACATGGTCAGCTTGGACATAAATTGGATCTAGCCCTGGCGGCAATGTGCTACGGCACTTATTTTCTGGCATTTGACCTTATTTTTTGGGATTTGGACCCTTGCGGAGTAAACGGTTACTGAGTGGACCTACTTCCTACATCTGGAGTACATATACGGAGTATATGCAGATGAGATCTAGAGTCCGAGACCCTCTATGCATATGCACTGCATGGAATAAGATCTTGACTACTCTACTCGTACAGTTCTAAAGTTTCGATTGTGATCAACGTATTCTGTACTTCTAACTCGTAAGTTAGCTTACTATAGATATTTCATTACTACCTACCTATGTAGGCAATGGCTGTCATATCAACCTGCCTGAAGCAGTATCCCGAGCTCACTAGAGTCGAATCCAGATCTACGAGGAGTCCGTTTACTCCGTAAACGGCGTAAACAGCACTCGTCTAATGTTTCCCAAATAGGCTTAGCGCCAACAGAGCCTGGGGCGTCATCGTTGCCTTTCTCATTGGTGTCTGCCTTTTCTTCGTTTCTTCGCTTGTACATTTTCTCCTTTTCGTTCCTTGTTCCTTGCTCGTTTCACGTTTCCACGTTTCAGGGACAAAGTGGGTAACCTCGTAAATTTCTCACAGCCTCGCTCTAATATGCCGATCGAAAACACAATCTAGAACCCGAGCCTGGAAACTTTCTCGAGTCAGAGTCTGAGCTCGAGATGCCTCCGGATCGCCCCCCCATGTGGCCAAGACTCCCTCCACTTGCTCGGCTGTGGATTGGCGACGGTATTGTCATGTATTTTGGTGTATTGTCTGGCATTCGGCCTGAGCCGCATCTAGTCCTCGAGTCGTGCTACATTCCAATGTGTCGATCTCTCGTATCAAAGTTGCCGTTGGGGATTGAGAGGCTGGGTGCGGGTGGTATAGGGGGTAGTTATAGGGGCATGGAATACTATCTGCCCAGGTGGCTGGATAGACATAAGATATTCAACATATCAAGGTAAAGGGAGTATAAGACATACAAATTAGTATACCTCATTAAAGACAGAGATTGGCCAACGTCCTTACACTTTAATCAGAACCCAAGTCAAGGCCCGCGCAAAGGCCATGGGCCATAGCCATGGCTATGGCCTGCGCGTCTGCCCCATCCCATAAAGCTTGTTTCGTTTCTGTCGCGGGAAGATCGGTCTAAGCTGAAAGAAGATATTGGTGTGCACTCATTTCTAAAAGTTCGCGGTGTACGTCGGTGTATCCCGGCGGTAGACCAAGCCCAATGTAGACTATGCAGGTCTTGTCGAGATCCAAATTCATTGACAGGTTACATTCGAATGTGCCGGGTCGGGGTGGATCATTATATTCTGTTTCTATTTCCACTTCCAATTTCTGATTGCCAACTGCCAACGTCCAATGGATGAAGAATAGAAAATAGAGGGCCTCGTACCAACTACCGGGTTCAAGGTGTGGACCGGCGGTTGGGACCCAGTATGGTATTGTACCTGGTAAGAGCATACGATACCGGTTTATAAGATACGGTCGTATTTACCATCAGGTACATAAAATACCACGATAGGCTTCCCGTCGACGCACCCACCAGTCTCTGCGCCGTGTACCCCGAGCCTCCCGAACGGCCCAAGCTCCTTCGGATAGCTCTCATGTTTGACAGTTCCCTTTTTTGAGGATTTTTTTTTAGGGGAAATTGTTAAATTTTGACATTGTTTATTGTTCATGTCCTCCGTACGCGTAGCCGATCATTTGATAGATCCCTTTTCATTTAAGCCAAACGCACTTGAAAGTTTCCCACTAGTTTACAGTTGCAGATAACATCTGTCGTGTGACTGAGATCAATACGAACACATGTATACGAGTTTATTAGTCTATTATATTATCTTTTTTTTTCTCGAATTGATTTCCTGTTTAGATCAGAGACAATGTCTATCTTCTGGGGCTCCATAAAAAGACGCATCAATCGCAGTCCCCCCACTTTGCGCCAACGGGAAGCTCTGTTAAGCCCGGCGCGTCTACTTATACTAGTGCGGGTGGATTTTGGGTGAATTTGTGGGAATTGATAAATTAAAGTGAAAAAAAAAAACACAAAAACAAAATTCGTGATCTTTTCAGCTGTGTCGTCATAGCCTCTATACTTAAGTACTCTCCAGAGCCCAATAACTACGGAGTACACGTAAGTAATTGGATATAGTGTGCAGCTGGTGAGTAGGGAACATCCCTGGTCTGTTCCCACCTCACCCGACGTAGCCACTCACAAGACGGGGGATATCTTCTGCGGGACCATTTATTCCCTGCTTTCCCCTTGGATCGCCGTTGGGAGTATCCCCACATGGACTTCGCTTCGAGCTTACACGTTGTATGGGTTGGGGGTGATTGGCCGATCGGTTCTGGATGCGGAAACCTTTGCGCATCTCTCTAGCTCAAGCTCAAGATATAGGAGTATTGATGGAAATTGCGAACCTGAGATCGAAATTGAAATTGATACTGAAATTGAAATATTATTTCACTCGGTACGGGTGTACAATTCTTCAATTCTCGCTGTAACCTCAGAAGAGACTTGGCTGTACAGAGTCAGTACTACTTGGAAAGTACGTAGAGTGTTCTAAACGGCTACAGCCACGCGAGAGACTAACAGGCTAAAAAGACCAAGACTAAGAGAATAACTGGAGACTGGAATGGGCCTAAAGACTTGGCTTGGGGGCCAAAATATCTACCTCGGCACTATGGCTCGATCTAAGTACAGTACATACTCGTAGGGGATCACATCGCAAGTGTCGATCCAGGTCTCGCTGCGATTTGCTTTTCACCTGGTTAGAATTTCCAGCTTGCATATGAGCGGGAGAAATCGAAACCGAATTCGTACTCCGTATTGTTTCATTTCCATCCGTTACATTAGCGCTGCGACCAAACGGGTCGCCTGGCAAGTCGGTTGACTCCTCCGTACATACGACCTACTACTATGGTCTTGGTTGAAGATTTACCCTGTGGTTTTATGGCCATTTACAATGTACAACAGTGTACAACAGTGTACAATGCGATATACTATATTCCATACACAAGTATAAACAAGTACAGCGATTACCAATGCAAGCATTTCCGCATTGGAAATAGAAATCTCCAGCTCAAGCTATTAAGTACTCCGTACTCAGCCACGGTGACTTGCATGCGGGGAGCTCTCAGTGGATCACTGGAACGAGGTCTATCCCCGAGCGATGCCGTCTGGAATTAAGAGTCCACTTACGTAGGGGGGTTTTACCCAATGCACCGGGAAATGAGCCCTGTACAGTACCCGTACTCCATTGTAGCCTTGAGAGCTAGTCTACTCGTACCTAACTACAAGTAGGTAGTTATGTACACCTCCAGACATGGTTATGAACTGGGCGGGATCTACCGGCGCCCCATTATTCCCTCACCGAACTCCCTCCACTGTGCAGTTGATCGTCACTAGCATCTCCGTACATCTGGTTATTCGTGCTTTGATTCTATTCAATATCACAATAAAATCACAATGTAGATTTTGAATAGTAGAAATTAGGAAAAATCCAAGTTAAAGAATAAAAACAACACACCAAATAATAAAAACAGGTTTAAAGGCGCAGGCGGCATATGTACTCGAATGGAACTCGATATCAACGGACGTTTGAGAATTCCCCCATTCCAGGTGATTATTTTATTCTAGTTTCTCGAATTAAATTACCTCTCTTATCATATTCTAATCCCACCAAATCCCCGAATATTACTTCATACAAACCTACACCGTGGCGTATGTGTCAAGTTGGGCTTATGGCTTATGGCTTATGGTCCCTGGGTACGGAGTACTGTACGGAGTACTCCGTCCCTGTACTGCGCCCTTGTACACAGTACTCATATAGGTACTTGAAGTACGTACATAGAATTGAATTAATTTGCGATGGGATATTCTGGAAATTCTGGAAACTGAGAAAATTCTGATATCTTTTGCCACCACAAAAGACATGTAGAAATGCAACATGTCCACCCGGAGATGGCTGTAGTTCCCAAGGGATCCTGATTTGCTACTAGTGACGATGTGTTTTAGCCAGAGTGCAACATTGCTCCGAGTTACTCGCTGTCGATCAACGGTTACTCATGATGCAGCTGCGCATCCTAGTCCATACTAGTGTATTAACCTGGGAGAGATCCTGGGATCAATCAACCAGGATCGTCGAAATGAAATGTTGCATCGGAATCTCGGCTAGCGAACATGTGTTTTTACTACGGAGTACCTACGAGTAAATAGTATATGGGCTTCAGGGCTATTTTATCAAGGTATAGTTGTACCCTTATGAATAATCCACAGTTAAATCTGTTTTCAAGTACAATCTAATAATTTCATATTTCATATCTCACCTTCGAACTTGGAAGTGGGAAAAAAGTGTTCGAGTCTTGGCCCTTGGCAAATTTCCAAGCAATGGGGCCACCGCGCGTAAATAGAAAGACTAAAACCGCCTCCAACATCAAAGTGGAAAAAGAAAACAAAATTTATCCAAATTAACAAAAATGATGAGTAACGAACACGCCACGAGTCATGCATGCCATGCATTTTTCGGATCGCACGCCAATCTGGGCATGGTAAGGCAGTCTGCCACTAGTGGGCTAGCTACACTGGGCAAGGTGAAGGCTGGGCACAAAGTCTCCCTGGAGGTATACGGAAACGAGTAAGCAGCTCTGTGTTGGACCTGGTCTAGGCTGGGAAGTGGGCCATAATGCTGGAGAAAACAAGCGTGTAATGGCTTGCGTCCTAAGGCATCGGGAGGATTGCCCTCACTTGGATTCTGAATTTGTTAAAAAAAGAAAGGACAAAGTAAAAAAAAAAAGAGAGACGGGAAAAAAAAGTATAGAATCTGGAGTCTCGAATATAATGGGATCTGAAAATCTGAAAATCTGAATCTGGCGAAACCCCGTCGGGGTGCAAAATAAACGACCAATCCACGCTGGGAATATAAAAACAGAGAGAACCCAGCTGGGTATATATCAAGACATCGCATAGAAACGCCGCTGCCACTCTTTCAAATAAACCATATATAGAGTAACATCAGAGGGGAATAATGAAAGCGCCCAGGCTTGAACGGGATAAAGAGTGGATAATAGAGACCCCCCAAATAACATGCGAATGCTCGATGTGTGCTAGCGGAGCACACAGACGGAAAGAAAGAAGTCGTGATGGGCATTAAACACACATAGAGATCTAGAAGTCTCTTAGCCTACTCCCAGAAAGCCCCAGTCAGTCCCCGCCGGTTGGTTTAAGATCCTGGTGCCAGGGGGTTTGTACGCATAGTTTGGATGGTATTGAACCATTATTGGCTGATCAGACATCGGCTGCTGCGATTGCGCTGGAGGCTGCTGTTGCTGGCCCTGGAAAGCCGCTTGTTCATACGCTGCTGGTATGTAGTTGGTGCGCGGGCTCTGCTCATACCGCTGTTGTTGCATCATCTGCTGTATATATTGCTGCTGCTGTTGTTGCTGCTGATGTTGCTGATGTTGCTGTTGCTGCTGATGGTGTTGTTGCTGCTGCTGTTGGTGATGCGCATGCGGTATTTGCGGGAGTTGCGGGTGCGATGGATGTTGAGCGTGCATGTGTATCGGAGAGTTCACGACCGGGATGGTTTGCGGTAAGATCGCAGGCGCAGCTTCGTGAACTGGGACCGATCCCATCTGGACACTCTGCGGGGAGTAGAACTCGTGGGTCGGGGTAGCAGCCTGCTGGTAATATGATTGCTGCGCAAGCATATACTGCTCATTAGATATTGAGACTGGAACAGGCGTTTGGTGGTACGAGTGCTCCGAGCTCGCCTCCTCCGATGATGGCCGAGTCATGCTTCCGGGCGGGTGAGAACGGTGTTGGTGCTTAGTAAGGGTGGTCTTGCGACAGAAGCTACGGTTCCCACACGAAAATTAGACGATATTCACATCTTCGGTTGAGTGACATACCTTCGCTCGCAGGTGGGCTCATGGCAAATATACGGGCGCTTGCCGGTGTGGATCCGGCGATGGCGGGCCAGACTCGAAGACTAGAACGGGTCAGAGCGCTCTTTTTTTTTGGAGCTTGGGACTTTCAAGTCTTACATCTGAAAATGCCTTTTGACAGCCTTCATGGTCACAAACATGGGGCTTCTCGCCCGTGTGTGTCCTTGAGTGGACGGTCAGAGCGCTGCGCTGAATAAAACTCTTGTGGCAGTCTGCGACAGTGCAATGGTAAGGTCGCTCATTGGTGTGGATGCGATAATGGCGACAGAGATCGGACTTGCGATTGAAGGACTGACAGGTTAGATGCGATCGACACGGAAGACCATGATGCTTACCTTCCCACACTGCTCCCATGAGCAGTTAAAATCTCGTCCGCTGCCAGGCGCCATGATGTGTGAGAAAGAGAAAGAGGGGAAGTAAGTGCATCCAAGCACTAACGACTGGGGGGGGGAACGATAAATGATAAAGCAGAAGAGGGGGCTCAAGTAATCAAAGGGAAGTCGACATTATTATATACATGGAATTTAGTATAGTATTATTTAGTATTAGTGTTAATATTAGTTTTACAAAGTAGTATTAGTATTTAGTATTTAGTATTTATATTTATTTTTCTTTGGGGCCAGGTACTGGGTACTTCCTGTATTGTCCATATATAGAATCTCTTGGCAGTATGGTATGTTATGGGTTTTTACTTTCGATTCCACTTCCAACCTTCCAAGATTAGGATAAAACCCCCACATTACCTTACTACTGTGTATATGATTACCAGACCCATACCATAATACTATAATACCACTCCACACCCCGTACACTCCCGTACAGCCTCGTACATTAGACCAGTATGGTATAATAAAGTTCGATCTTCTCCCCCCCCCCTTTTTTTCTTTTTTTAAATTCTTTTTTGAACCTGACTCTTGGGATATCCAACATCTCAATCTCTCTCTGCGGTGAACGATACGCCAAGTGGGCGCTCAAATGAGATCATCTCATTCTCAACCGCACTCGGGGGGCTCGGGAAACTCAGGCCAAGCCTAGCCGCCGAGCTCGTCCGGACATCGCCAACTTTGTCGAGTCCAGACGTTTCCAACTCCGTTAATGCCCCGTGTCCCCGCAATGCTAATCAAAGTCAAAAGGCAAAAGGCAAAGTAAAATCAGAGAAACAAAACGATCAGCCTTTCGACTCTACGAGTAGTATGGTCAATTTGGACTACTGCAACGGCGGGATACTGCAAGGGACGTTATATGACGCGGCAACCTTTGGAGGGAATAATAGGAATAACAAGCAATATCAGTACGAGGTACTCCCATAATATCATTAACATCAATAATAATAGGAATAAATACTCCGTAAACAAGAACAATAGAGAGAAGAAGAAAAAAAGAAAAGACCCGGGGATTACGGGAATGGCTTGCCCAACCGGCTGGATCCACAAGGTTGGGGCTGTTCCCGTCTCTCCACTGCCCGCGGAGATGGAGACTAATCTACTTAGGATTCTGGTCACAATATACGAGTAGCTCTACTCGAAGAGGGAAATAGGGGATACTCGTATTTTCATACAGTGTACTCTGCAATCATATGACTAGCCATTCAACTTTAGAAGTACTCCATACTCCATACAGCATAGTACAATAGTCTTCTCAGTGCACATGCGAAATAGATTGAACCACATCCCTGGGCCCTAAGTCTCTCACCGTAGTCAGATCCAAATTGCTTTTTCACCTCAAACCTTGGAAGTCTGTCAGGCAGACGCAAATCCCTTTGTACATTTGTCTCTGGAGACTGTTATCCGCTGGATTGGAAATATGTCAGTGGCAAACCCATGTGTGAAGATCGGATGCTCTCGGGTAGCCGCGGTTGGCCCGGGGGAGATACGAGTATAGACTTCAGGAGGACTCCGTACTCTGTACTTTGTAGGACCTTCTCCAGTTGATCAAAGGAATTCTCTCATTTGTATCGAACGTGAAACATTGAACCTCCTGAACGTGGCAATCCACTCCCCGGCGATCTTGGCCAGCCTTATTAGTCCGTGGCGATGGATAGACGCCACGCATGAATGTGGTTAACCCGGGCACAAGTGAGGCTTTTTGTTTTCGTGATCGACAAGCCCTACATTGGCCCCTGTCAACCTGTCAAAACCCTACTCCGAACCTAGGTCTTTTTCCCTGCTCAAACCAAGGGAGCTTTGAGCTATTTGCTATTCCCGGCCATCACACCCGTCGACGGGAAGTACATTTCCGAGTTTAAATCCAATAACAATCCACGCAGAATATATCCGGGGTAGTCAACAACGATGATGGAAGTAAAAAAAGAAAACAAATATGAAAAACCACCCAACCACCAACCTTAGAAAATAATTAGATTTCCCGTATCCAGAAGAGTACTCTTAGAGCTACAACTGTAGAACGCCCTACGGCATTCAGCCACCTAAGCCATTGAGGTAATCGAGCATAAAACCAAGATCACGCGAAATAAAAAAAGAACTTTGTAAAATTAACCAAACAATCAGCCATATACGAGGGACGGAAGCTTAACCAGTTACGCAGCCACTTTAGAACTTTAGAATGCAGATGGCGTACGTGGACACAAAATCGCCGAGTCTCCTTCCTCACACAGCCCATGCAGACGCGTTCAAATGAACCCAAACCTAGGCAAGAAGTTCTGTCTACAGACCAGCGGCTCCACTGCCGATCCCCAGCTTGTTATGCGCCATATGGAGCTTTTGTGATGCAGGGAGATTTTGGCCTTTTGCATGCGTCGGTGCCGACTGGAGTACCTAAGTATTACAGACGCCACATATTTGTATGGGTTAAGGAGTATGGAGTATTATATCTTTTGGATAACATGGAATTCTACTTATCTAGACAAATCTGAACAGGGAATGCTTGACGCGAATTAATCGCAAATCGGTGTGCTCGCAGTTGCATATGCGGTCAAGGGAGTGAACATGACTCGATGCTAACAAGCCAACCTTGGATGCCACGGTGATTGGCTTGGCGTGAGAGCTCAAAACAGGGATATTGGGGCCAAGATGACCTCGGGAGAGGTAAACCTTGGGAGGTGATGAGAGGTGCAGCAAGGCGGAAAGTTGTCTGATAGAAGTTATAACTAATGACTTGACAACCTTTGTGCTCAAGTTCAGAGGGGAACAGCTAATAGCTAAGATACCCCGCAGGATACGAGCTCGCTGATTTGGCCTGTCAGTACCGTTTGACTAGGCTGCTAGGCTGCTAGGCTGTTAGGCTACCAGGCTAGGCCATTAAATATAATACGGTATGAGATACAGAGTACAAAGTACAAGTACGAGTATTCCATAAAATCTCATGTGAAGCCCAACACATGTCACTCTAAATTAAATCTCCGACGCGCGCATGGCGCAGAAGCTAACGGCCTTTTTTTTTCATATAAACAGAGAAAGTGTTGTAAAATGCAAACTGCAGACTGCAAGACAATGAATGTGATCTCGGATTTGGGCTCGCCACTCGATGCTCCGTACTCCGTAGATCGTCCCGTCTTAGCCAGATCCGTGAAAAAACGGAAATCAGATCCTCTACTCGTACGGAGTACTTACAAATAGCTCGCGAGATGGAGTTCAAACACTGATTACTTGAATGTCGGTCAGTCGGGGTTTGCCTCGTATCGCCAAGCGGCATCTTACCGGCCAAGACGCCCCTTGCAGGCATTGGCTCCTCATATCCTCATATTCGCCATTTGGTTTATCGGAGGATGAGTAAGAGTAAGATGTGGATCTTCGTAACTACCTGACGGAGTAGAATGTCAGCCCTTATCAGAAATGGGAATAATCATGCGCCTTCAGATAACTAAACAATCTCCGAGTTTGAGCCTTGATTCGTTGTATTTCCAGCCTGAGAGTAATTGTCCGCAATGTGTTTCATCGGGAACGGAGGTCAACGGCTTGAATGGCTGCGCTAGATACGATTCGCCGGTTGCATTTGCCCCCCTTGCCTGTTGGCGTTGCTGGCGTCTTTTTCGTCGGCCTTTGCTTGCTCATTGGGGAATCTGGCGCACCATGACGTTTGATCCGGCTTCTGAGAATGGTATGCAGCACCGGGTCGGCAATCGGGCATGCACGCTTGCGTTTGGGATTGAGGGCATGGAGTGTGCAGTGAGGGGATCTCGATTGGAAATGTCCGTACGAGTGTGAAAGGCGGGGATAAGGCGGGGTTGATTTCGAGGTCAATAACTGCATACGTAGGTTATTGAGAGATCAGGTTCGACTCTCTGGATTGGAGTTGCCAGATGCTAGTACTTGGTATATCGGCTTATTTTGTGCCCAAAAAAAAAAAGAAGCTCTGGTCAATTCAAAGCCAGAGTGTTCATGCAAAGTTGTATACTCCCACTTCATCAAATGTATAGATATCAACATGCACCCGAAATATAATCAATATACCGAAAATCACTGGGTATCAATCCCAGCCAATATCCAAATTACCAACTCGTCAATCCGCGCTCTCGGTCAAACCCAGCGCGCAATTGCTTCTCAGGCTTGAGCAATTTGCCCTGGAGCACAGTATACCGAATGATATTTTCACACTCTTCCGGCCGCACACGCGCCAGCCAGATTCCCTGCGAAGCTCCTTCGTCTTCTTCCTCTCCACCTCGCTTGTACCAATCAAAGTCCCGGCGGCGATATACAATCACATTCGCAGAGTACTTGTGACCTCCGACATGGCTGATGAAATAGATTCCCACACCGCCGGGCCGGGTGTCGTCCATGTCGCGGTATAGACCGAGCGGGCGCAGGTGACGCTCGAACTCGCGGCGCAGAAGAGGCGCCGACTGTCCACAGCGAGCGTCACGGGTGCGCTGCGAGCAGAGGAGGATCACTGCTGCGTGGGGACTAGGGTGCGACTTGAGGGATGTGATGGAGGTGGAGGTTGGATGCGGTAGGTCTTGGGTTTCGGTTGGGGAGGTGGGGCTTGTGTTTTCCTTATCGCCGGATGATCCCAGTGGTGTGGTGGTGGTGAGAGATTTGTTGACAAAGTTCTCAATCAGGTCTGGTGCTAGCTGTGGTGTGACATGCTCAACGACAGTGAAGCTGGGCAGCAGGAGGACATCGGTCGGCTGTTTGCCGGCGTCGGCCATGTGGTATTCGTCCGGTACGGGCATGTTGGAAGCTGATAGCTTGAGTCTCTGCGAAGCAACCCATTAGCTTTGATCTAAGTTGACTCCATGGAGCTAGGTATTCATCTCACCCCGTTGCTTGGTTCCAGCCCGCCTTTTTCAATCGCTTCCATGACACTGCCCGTCTCGTCCGCGACATCTCGCACCCAATCTGACTTGCCCGTTGCGACCAATATATGCGTTGACCAGCCCTTGACTTGGCCATATAATTCGTCTTCGTGATCGACATCGAATTTAGCGGGGTATTTGACGGTGCATGTCGCGCAATCATGCAGACAGTCGTCCCCGTCTAACGCAGGGTCGACGTTGGAAAACAGCTTGTCGCTTGAGGAGATGGTTTGAAAACCATCCTTAGCGAGAGCCTTGTCACCCACGGCATCGGTGGTGGCATCGGATTTGGAGGACGCGAGTGAAGCATTGGACGAGTTGAAGAGGGATGAGGTCCCCCGGCGGAAGAGATGCATTTTGAGTATAGGCTCTTCTGGCTTTTGTCCGTCAGATGTCGAGAAAGAAAAGGACTGATATGACCTGTCCGCGCGTGCGGGAAAAAAACTATCGATCTTATCAATCATTTTGCAGCCAATGCCAAGAATTCCCGAGTTCCGTGACTTAAGTCCCCCACTTTTCCGGGGTTTTGGGCGCCTAATGATTTTTGTCTATGTAATGTACAAATGCTGAGTGGCTACGACCAGCGTGGTCACACGTATCTATATGGCAGGTCTGTTGGAGAGCGCGGTTGTGCCAGGCGGATGACACTTCCCCCAGAGCTGGCAGACTGAGCTGAATAGACTCGCCGGAGAGACCTGGTGGATGGCGTGCGTCGGGGGTCTCGTGGCGCGAACCCACTATTGAAAGACAATCCCGAGACGGGGCTTTGTAGCGCGGTGTCGTATCCGGACTGGGTTTCCCAAGTAGACGCATTAGACGGTCGCAGACTGTTACTCCGCACGGGCTCTAGGTTTCCATCGAGGCCGAAGTGCTCGACTGTATCGGTTTCCCCCTCTTCATCCGACGGCCCAATGAGCGACTCGCTTTCGGCACGTCGGTAACTGGCGCTGTCTCGGATCTCCTCGATGATAGGTGGGGCAAGAGATGTCATACCCCTGAGGATCTCTGCAAAAAGATGCATCAGGTCACGAAATTCTACCTCATGAAGCTCGCGCGGTGAGAATCGCGCAGCTTCGTACAGGGACAAAAATTCGACGCCTAATTCCGGAGGGTAGATGGCACCCAGAGACGTCAGATGTCGGATATATTCTCGCAAGCCCATTGAAGCTGGGCGTTGCAGCACCTCTACCACACGCGTGTCTGGGAGTGATTGCGTGGTCAGGTCATGGGTGAGGCCGAACGGGTCCGGAGGTGTGGGGGACAATTCATCGGCCGGGGCGAGCGATACAGCTTTGGCTTCAATCAAGCTGGGCAGCTCTTGAATCACCGTGCGGTACGGCAAATCTGGCAAGTCGGGGGAGGCAGGTGATGACCAGCCGGGATGTTCGACATGACCCCACGGAGGTTTCTCTGAATCGATGAGAAGCGATTTATACCTCCGGAAGCTGTCTTCATCGGTCGACACGTCGCGTGGGCGAGCCTGATAAGCGATGACTGCGCTCCGGGCGAGTCCTTCCTTCACCAGTCGTCTGACGCTCTTGTTGACATCTTCTTTCTCTACTGGAATCCAGGCCTTTGGGATTCCAGTCAGCGCATTCCGATTCGTGTAGATTCGCGTCGCGTAGATGAGAGCTGCCAGTATAAAGGTGATTATGTATGCGCCGGTGATGAAGAAGATGTTGGTGAGTCGGTTCGTTTCGTAGCATTGGTATATGGCATCCGCCGGAGTGAGGAGAATGAGGCAGACCAAGATGAGGGCGAAGAAGAAGAATCCGGTGGTGTTGAGAAAGCGTTCAATCCTGACTGCCATGACTCCCCGTGGGCCGTCTATACGGCATCTGTATGGAATCAAATCGCCATGAAGACAGAGAGAAGGAAAGAGAGAAGAGAACGAGCAAGACCTCGGGAAAGAACCCGTGAATGACTTGCGGAGGGCGATAACGATAAGCTTATACTTTGTCACGTGTTGACCTGCTCGGTGCGATGGTTTTTTTGTTTTTGTTTCGCAAGTGATTTATATCGTCCGGTGCGTTTGCTTCTCTGGAACCGACGTGATACAACCTATTGTATAAAGGTCTCCCTGATCGTAAAACCACTCTCGGAGGTCTCCAGCTGCAATTGGAATCGAAGGTCGAGCGCATTGTCTGCATACTCCGTGCACCCCTATCTCCGATATCAACGCGCAACAATGGACCAGTCCAAAGAGCAGCAGAATATGCTGTATATGCTGGTCACAGGGGCTAACAGGTAAGAGACTCACAAATTGGTACAATCAGTACAACCGGGTGGTTCAGTATACTAACAATCGCACAGCGGTCTTGGCTTCTCAATCTGCTGTCGCCTCGCAGACGAATTCCTCTCCACCCACCCCGAGTCCGAATCTCTGACCATAATCTTCACAACAAGAAGTGCGCGCAAAGCCCAAGACACCATTCGCGGCCTGAAGGTGCATCTACACGAAACCTCCCCCGCCAACACAGCCCGCATCCACTTCGTCCCTGAGAGCGTCGACCTCGGAGATCTCGTTTCTGTGCGCGCCCTCTCCAGAAGACTTATCCACTCCCTCCCCAGACTCGATGCGATTGTTCTCAATGCCGGGATAGGCGGGTGGTCCGGCATCCACTGGCCCAGGGCTATCTGGGGCGTGTGCACCGATCTCATTCACCAGGTTACCTGGCCGTCCTACAAGCTTGCGCCAGTCGGCGTTTTAACGGCCAAACAAACAAAGACCGAAGAAGAACCTGCGCTAGGCTCGATCTTCTGCGCTAATGTCTTCGGTCATTACATGCTAGCGCATAATGTGACTCCATTGTTGAAGCGCGCTCATATCAATGGGCCTGGCCGTGTGGTGTGGGTATCTAGTATTGAGGGATCTTGCAAGTTTTTCAATATCGATGATATCCAGGGCTTGCGTACTTCTGCTCCATACGAGTCTTCCAAGGCTCTGACGGATATCCTCGCTTTGACCTCCAATCTGCCTAGTACGGCACCCTGGTCCGTTGAAAGCTTCTTGGAATCGGAATCTGAGCTCAATACCCATGCTATACACACCGATGCCCCGGATTCTTCCCCTCGCTCGTATCTCTCGCATCCTGGTATTTGCGCCACTTCTATCATTCCCTTGATTCTTCCCTTGGCCTGGGCAATGGTGGCTTCCTTCTGGATTGCCCGCATCCTGGGTTCACCCTGGCATCCTCTATCCACTTACCTCGGCGCCTGTGCACCCGTGTTTCTGGCATTGGCCTCCCAGGCCAAGCTTGATGCTGCCGAAGAACCCTATCACCAGGCTGGCGGGGGACGGGCAAAGTGGGGCTCATCTTGCTCCCGACTTGGAGTCGAAAGTCCGGCTTCAACTGAAGTAGACGGGTGGGGACATGGTGGTGTTGTTGGGACGCCTGTGGTAGAGGCTGATCGGGTTCGCCGTCGCAAGCGAGGCGCGGAGTACCTCACCAAGGAACAGAAGGAAGAGTTTGAAGAGCTTGGTCGTGGATGCTGGAAGCAGATGGAGGAGCTGAGGATGCAATGGGACGAGATCTTAGACCAAGCCGAAGCCCGATCTTGATGTCCATCTCCATGGCAGGGATTGTCTCGGCGAGGGCTAGACCCATCTGCACAACGCACATGGGAAAGGGGCCAACCTGAATGATAATGTATAAAAGTAACTTTAATAGCAACATAGAGTCTCGGCGATGTTACCGGGCTAAAAGCCAAAAAAACCCCCCGATGCTCTCAAAGACCTCCGAAGGCAACGGTTAGAACTTGGATCCCTCAATCCAAATTGAAATAATCAAGACTTGTGTCAGAGGAATGTTTTCTTTTTTGATTGCCTCCCATTATTTACATCGACAAGACCCGCCCCACGCCCATAATCTCATTAAAACAGTTATGGCCTGATTTCTTTGCCCAGTTGCCAGAAGACCAACAAATATTCGAACGGGGAAAGATGGAAAAGAAGAAGAAAAAAGAAACAAGCGGCCAGAACGCAAAGTAGCGGGGCAGGGACGAAAGCCTCAATATGTAGTAATAAAACTGGGATAGCTTGGAAGATAGACTAAAAAGGGTAATTTCTTGCAAAACGGCCGATATCGCGCGCGTTCACCATCTAGGTTTTCGAATGCATCGATCATCGGAAGACGAAAGGAAGGATATTGCGGGGAAATATGGGCGTATATGGGTCCACGCGGAAAGGCGAAAAGCAAGCTGACAGGATAACGCAGTAAACGACTCCGGTTCTATGCATCAAGGGCGAGAAGGGGGATGGTATCGGCACGAAAGTTGGAGGTATTTCAAATGACATAGCGACGTGAAGAAGGGTGAAGGAGGATTACATGATGATAGCGGGAACTGTAAATGTCGAGTTAGTCGGCGATTCAAGGCGGTTTCATGGGAGATTTGAATTGCTTACCATCAATGTTCTGCTTGATGCTCTTGTGGGGCAGGATAGAGCCACCGTTGACATATACTTCATCGGCGATAGTCACATCGTCTCCGAGCACAGTGACATTCTCCAGACGCGCCCAGCGGCCCACAGAACTGTTCCAGCCCACAATGGTGGATTTGATCCACGCGTGATCCTTGACCTTGCAGTTCTCCATCACGACACAGCGTTGTAGACGGACACCGTCTCCAATCACAACATTAGGGCCAATCACAACGTTGGGGCCAATGCGGCAGTTCTTGCCAATCTTGGCAGAAGGATCAACCATGACATTTCCACCGTGAACATATGACTCGGTGTGAGGGGCAAGCATGCTGGGCTTGCGCTTCGCGAGAGAACTGAGGTACAGGCAGGTACCGGTCAGGAAGTCCTTGGGCTGACCCACGTCCATCCAGAAACCCTCGAGGTCGAAGGAGTGGAGCTGGCCCTCCTTACAGATGGCGGGGAAGGTCTCCTGCTCGATGGAGGTCGGGCGCAGCTCAATGCGCTTCAGCACACTGGGGCTCAGGATGTAAATACCGGCGTTGATGCGGTTACCCACGAATTCCACGGGCTTCTCCACAAAGCGGTCGATGCGCGAGGCGTGGTTGGGCTTGTGGACGACGACACCGTACTTGGAGGGCTCGTCCACCTTGGTGACGACAATGGTGCCCTCATCGCCGTGGGACTTGTGGAAGTCGGCAAGCTGTTGGAAGGGGTAGTCGCAGATCACATCCGAGTTGAGAACGAAGAAGGGCGAGTCGTCCTTGCCGAGGATCTTCTCCGCCAGCTTGAGCGGGCCAGCCGTGCCCAGCGGTTCGGACTCGACGGAGAACTCAATGTTGACTCCATATTGCTCCTCGTACTTCTTCAGTGCCGCGACCATCACATCGGGGCGGTAGTTGACCGCGAGGACGATATCGGTGACACCTGCAGCAGCCAAGCTCTCGACCTGGTGCAGGATCATGGGCCGGTTTCCGAACTCCACCAGGGGCTTGGGGAGGGTGAGCGTCTATGGAAATGAATATTAGCATTGGCCATTTTCTCAACTGGTCGAGATCATCCCCCAATGGACGGAAGATAAGAGAGATCGACGACTTACCAGAGGACGCAGACGGGTCCCGAACCCTCCAACAAGAATGAGAGCTATGTAGGGGTTAGCGGAGAGTGCGGGGGAAAGCATTGGACACCATACCCTTCATAGTGAATTGATTAAAGCGAGTAAGTGTTTCAAGAAAAGATAGAAAAGGAAAAAAGGAGAGGCTCAAGGAGCAAAAGGAGAGAGAGAGAGAGATACTCTGTATTTAGGGAACACTCTGGCCGTTGATTTATTTTCGTCCCAGTGGGGGCACGTGAGTCGCCGTGATTGGAGGGGCTCTGCTTGCGGGAAAAAGGGGGGTACCTGGAGGTACATGCCGATAGTATTGAGTAGACACTGTTGGGACAAGTACCTGATGAGGTACTACCCCTTTGGATGCACATGGCCATTGACATTCGCGGCTCAATTTCACTGATCCAATTCTACGAAAAGTAATATGTACAGCGTCTTCTGTCCGAGTACGTACATTCCCAATTCCTATTCCAGTACTATGTGTATTCCGATGCGGGGATGAATGCATCCATCTCCTGTCTCGGGTGGCGACCTATACCGTCCGATACTATCACATGGCTTACAGGGTAGCTCAACGGGGAATACGAGACCTCATTCCAGTGGTGAGATCGGTCATGGGGTGTCGCCCCTGAAAGTTGAACATGATTACGTACTGGAGTCCCACTGTACTTTGTCCTCAAAGCACAAGCTTTCTCTGCATCGTACAGAGTCCAGAGTAGGCTGTCAGAGGATATGTGGAAATTGATAGGGCAATTATTCGTGTTCTGTGTGTAGTCAAAAGAGAGAGAGAGTAACAGAGAGAGAATCGAAATTCTTCAACCTGCGCTCTTCAGACTCCCACGTGGTGACCCTGACCGCCTGCTTCTTCCGTTGCTCCGTCTTGGGAAAGAGCGAACTTACCGTTCTTGCCCAGGATGCATTCGTCTCTCTGTTCTTTCTTATGAGCTTATGCAGTAATGGCCTTAGTGTGTAAGTGTGTTCCTTCAAACTGCCGAATATGCTCAGCCCGTGCGGACAAGGTCGTGGGGCCGAGACATTAAGGATCGGCCAAGCCGATCCGTTTCACTGGTCTTGGCAGATTCATCAGGTTTGACCCATAAATGGATCCTAGTCCAACTCGTGGCTCCAGTTCAAGGTCCAGGGGTTTCTACGAACAATTACTTGTACATCCAGATTATTCTGTGCTCAGGTAGTTGTGACCTTATCATCGATAGAGCCGTGTACCCGTACAGAGCCCGGAGTACTCAACTATGGGGGGGAAGGGGGGTATAGCCATGGATTATAGGCCTCGGGGCTATTCCGATCTATGTGGAGGGACCCTTACTGTGTACTCGTACATATGATCCAGCCTTTTATTCCATGCTTTCATTGTTGAATGTTGTGGCCGAGATCCATGGGCAGAATCTTCGCTATGGTGGGTCTTAGCATAACAGGCAAAATAGTATACATGTGCCGGGGTCTTGCAATTTTATCATGAAGTGTAAAAAATCCAAGTTAATCAATTCAATGTAAAATGGACTTCTGCCTAGATTAACTTGATATCCACGCAATTAAGGGGCATAGAAGCAAGATACAGAAAAACGAGAACAATTGAAGTCTTACCGAATGCTTGGTGTGTTCGAACCACGGGTTGTTGAGCATGACCCCCCACCTTCAGGGCTGGGCACATGGCTAACACGTTCTAAAGTTCTTGTTTCGTTTGTGTTTCTCAAATGATTTACCCAATCACTATGCTTACACGGTTTGGCTGTTTTTTTTTTATCATTGCAGATCGAGTGAATTACTTAAGTACTAGGTAGAGAGAAAATGTATCGCTCTGTCCATGGATATATCTTTATGATGTCACCCGGATAGAGACAAATATAAACGATCTTGTACCTAAATAAACTCAACTCCAAACTTCATATCTTCATAACGAAATAGCCACGCAGCTGGACAAAACTCCATCTAAATAGCAACGAAGAAACTCTTCTCACCCTCCTTCGGCTGCACTCTGGCGCGTTCGATAATAGGATCCGCACAGCTAACCCGAATACGTTCCGGCGTAGCAGGAGCCTCTAGAGACAGAACATCCGTGACATTCCACTGTTTCCGCGCAGCTTTCAAGGCATCACGAATAGCGAAGAAGACCGCACTACCCATGAACAAGGGTGGTTCGCCAACGCCACGAGAGCGTTGGATCGTGCGCAGGTTCCTCCACTCCACGTCCTTGAGGAGGCTCACGTTGAAGATCTGGGGGATGTCCCGGAATCCGGGGATCTTGTAGTTACCCGGGCCTCGGGTGAAGATCTGCCCTGAGGCGCGGTGCCAGAGGCTCTCTTCTGTGGTGAAGAGTCCTTGGCCTTGGACGTAGGCGCCTTCGATTTGGCCATAGTCGACTGAGGGGTTGATGGATCGACCGACGTCCATCTTTAGATCGGCGCGGAGAGGTGTCCAGTCACCTGTTAGTGTGTCTATTTGGACTTCGGCGGCGGTGACTCCTTGGGTGAAGTAGAAGAACATCTGGCCGGTGTTCTCGCCCCAGACGTAGCCGATGTCTGGTGTTCGATAGTATCCCTGGGCTGAGAGGTTGGTGCGATCGAAGTACGCTGCGTGGGCAAGTTCTTTCATAGTTGCATTGGGCATCTTCTCCCGGAAGGGGCGCAGACGCTCATTGAGTTGTTCGCAGGCGTTGAAGATCGCGTAGCCGTTGAGGTCAGAGCTTGCCGATGCCGCTGTCGATGAGGTGTTGGCGACTGTGTTGGTTGCGGTTTCGGAGATGAATACGCTGGACTGGGGCACTTGTAGCGCCTCGGCCGCAATCATGGTCATCTTTGTATGCAACCCTTGGCCCATCTCGACACCACCGTGTGCCACGAGAACACTACCATCATGGTAGATGTGGACCAAGGCTCCTGCTTGGTTCAAGAAGAGAGCTGTGAAGGAAATACCAAACTTGGTAGGCACAATGGCCATTCCTCGTTTGGACCACTTGTGCTGCGCGTTGTATTCTTCAACGGCCTTTCGCCGCTCATTGTAAGAGCTCTCCTCGATAACCTGCTTGTACATCAACGGCACATACCAATCCTTGAGTGTCTGGTTGAAATGCGTCTTTTCCTCGGGTTGATACATGTTGATCCTCCTGATCTCCTCGGCAGGAATATCCAAGTGGTCTGCAATTTCAGAAACATAGCACTCGGCGAAAAACAGACCCTGTGGACCGCCAAATCCACGGAATGCCGTGTTGGAGACGGTATTGGTCTTGCAAATCCGGCCGCGCACATGCATATTCGGAATCTTATACACGCCGTCGATGTGCGACAGACTGCGCTCCACAACGGCCCCAGAGAGATCCTGGGTGTGGCCTCCATTGGCAAATACATCTGCATCAAGTGCCAGAATCTTTCCTTCTTTGCTCACTCCAACCTTCCAGTGGCAAAGGAATGGATGACGTTGCCCAGAGGTCAAGATATCTTCGTCTCGGTTGAGCATGCAGCGAACTGGGCGCTTGGTCTTCGCTGCTGCAGTGGCACAAATGCCAGCCAGTTGGACAGATCGTGTCTCCTTACCGCCAAATCCACCACCAAGTCGTTTAACGCGCGAGACGACCTTGTTTGCGGATACTCCTGTCACTTGAGCAACGTAGGCTTGTCTATGAAAGTTTAGCTTCAGTGATCACCTCGCGGAAGAATAATATCCAGGGACTTACGTTTCAGTCGGATTCTGTGTACCACTCCAAACCTCCATTTCGCCATCCTCGGGCTTTGGAATTGCCACGCAAGCCTGAGTCTCCAAATAGAAATGCTCCTGGCCTCCCATTCGCGACACACCAGTGAAAACATGATCGGCTTGCTTGAATGCTTCTTCGGTATCTCCGCACTTGATGTAGCGATAGTGCTCGAAGAAGGACTCCGCTTCGATGGCCTCCTCCATAGTCAGAATACAGGGAAGATCTTCGTAAACCACTTTGACAGCTCTCATCCCTTCTTCGGCGATTTTGGCAGAAGTAGCAAGGATCACGCCAATCGGCTGACCCGCAGTATTGACTTCATCAACTGCGAAGAATTGCTCATCGGCCTTGGGTGCTCCCCACCAATTTGCTTCTGGATTCGGTAGATCAGTGTGGTCGACATACTCTGCAACACCAGGGATCTCCAGTGCCGCAGACGCGTCCACGCTGATGATCTTGGCGTGTGCCTTCGTCGAGAGTACCATGCACGCAAAGAGCTCATTCATTTGCACGGGGATATCATCGGTATATTGAGCCTCGCCGGTACATTGCTTCAATGCTGCAACGTGCGGTGTTGCCCTTCCAAGGATATTCTTCTGGTATGCGACGGACGATTCGTTATCTTTTTGTCCGGATGAAATGGCTCTCTCAATCTCAGCGACTACATCCGGGTCCAGATCTGACGACTGAACTTCGAGTCCCGACAGCACATCATAGTAGAATCTGTAGAAGAATCCCATCGCCAGTGACTTCCGGTAACTAGCCATGCCACCGGGAACTCCAAATGGTAGATCGAAGTCCTTCTCCAATGCACTCATGACACCCTCCAGCGTTGCAGGGTTCGTGAACTTCTTACCAACCACAAATGCCTCAGCATTCTTAGCGGATACAGTCATAGCCGCCATACCACCAAACACAAGGTTGGCGCTGATCACATCGTTGGTCTCAGACAGAGTCACGCGGAGCGCAGAGTTGACAATGGCAATATCATCATCCTTCCTCTTGGCCTGTTTGTAAGCTCGCATGTACTCCTTTTGTGTCTGTGCAGCTGGAATACGCAAGCTGGCAATGATTGCGTTGGGAGCTAGAGCTGTCTTTCGATACCCTTGGAAGAATTCAGTCATGGGGATCTCTGTCTCCCCATCCAAAGACTTGGCCACGAGAATGGTGTTGGTGGCGACTAGCACCGGGTTCAAATCAGAGATAGGTGACGCGGTAGCCAAGTTACCTGCAGGCGAAGCAACGTTTCGGATTTGTCGGCCGGCGAAGTAGAGCAGCTGCTTCTTGATCGCCTTGAAGGGTTGACCTCGAGCATCGCCGTATTTCTCAACTGCCTGATCGCAAATGTGTTCGAGATCCGTTAGGGAAACATTAGCACCGATCTCGAGGTAGTCATCGTGTAAAGTAAATTGGCGCAGTTCGGGAATATCGCCTAGATATACCGAGGCCGCGTAACGCATTGCCTTGAATTTGATCTCAATCTGCGTCTCCGTGCTTCCGCCGATCAACTTAGCATCTGGGTGCACATGCTTGATCTGTAATAGCTGTTGCACTGTCACTGGGCGGTACCACTTCTTTCTTTTGTTACCATAAGCCAGTGGTCGGTAGTCGTGTTTGCGCAGAGCAGCTGGGAATATCAGCTCTGTGTCTGGGCTGTATGGCTTGAAGTTCGGCGCAGGGAACTTGTAGTCGACAGTTTCGATTTCCTTCGAAGAGCCTTTACAGCATCCGCCACTAGAGCCATTCTTCTCCATGCAGCAGCCTGACCCTCCATTTGAAGAAGCCTTTCCACAGTTGTTATTGGAATTGAAGCTCTGGGCAGCATCTAGAATTGGTCGGTATCCCGTGCAGCGGCAAAGATTACCATCAAACGCCTCTTCTACGTCATGCTCTGAGGGTGAAGGGTTGTTTCGCAGCAGGGCATATAGAGACTGTGACGGTGTTAGTTACGTCGGGTGCGTATCTGAAGGCCAGCCGTACCATGACGATTCCAGGAGTGCAGAAGCCACATTGGCTTCCATTTCCGACTGCAAATCGCTGCTGAATCGCATGGGGATCTTTGGTATTGCCAATCCCCTCGACTGTAATGACATGTTTACCGTCGATGCTTACTAGTGGAGCAATACAGGCGTTCACAGAGGCATGGTAGATCTCCTTCGTGGTCGAGTTGACATGTGAGACAACCTATCGAGCTCAAGTCAGCTCCAACTTCTTCTGTATTAACCCCTAGGGTAAGTTATGGCTATCACTTACCACTGTGCAAGCGCCACAACCTCCCTCGGCACATCCAAGCTTCGTGCCTGTCAACCCGATCCCACGCAGGTATTCCAGCAGAGTGACCTCCGGGTTAACGGTGTCCACTGCTACCTTAGTTCCATTCAGGTAGAATCGAATCGTATCATCCCAATCCTCTGTTAGGGCGGCCAAGCTGGTCGTCTTCTCGACGCCTGTGTAGTCTGTCTCAAGAATTCCCGGCGCCATGGTGTGTAAGGATCAAACAGATAGGAATTTCAGAGACTTCCCATGTTTTTTTTATAAAGGTTGATCCGCAACGACTTGCCTAAATCTGTCAGTAAAATGAGGTCTTTCAACGTCAAGTGTCGGGTAACAGTCCAGACGGACGAGCTGAGCTGTCTCGCCCCCTCCGCCCCACAATCTTATCGCTGCGGGGATCGCCACTGTCCGACTTGGCGCCTCTGTGGCCTGTGCCATTAGTAATGTTTTTCCTTGTTTTTGGATCCTTGCTGGATGCATATACTCGTACTGTACAGTACTACTATATTCTGTACATGTAAGTTTAGCTGGAATCATGTTGGTCATGTCTTGAATTATATGCTACAGTATCGGACAGTAAATGGAATCTATGATCGTGAGCCAGCAAATGGTTTCTCTTCTTCTTCCCACTTCTGACGCTCAACGAGAGTGCGAGCACTGTAAATAATGGTCAGTAGAGTTTCAAACAGAACCGGGAGATGAGAGCGTACCGGTAGGCCTTGACAAAGCGCCAGACTTCCGTGTCAGCAAGATTCCAAGCCTCAACAACATCTTTGATGTTGATACGGTTAGTCTCCTTGTTTTTGATCACTTCACGAGCCTTCTGGATCAGCTCGTATTCTTTTCCAACGCCTTGCTCGCTGGGTGTACGATCCTGTGCGCTCTTCGCGGATTCCTTGTCGTTCTCGGTTGCCGGGTCGATCTTGCCTCCGCGGGGAATCTTGAATCCAAATTGCCATTCAAACTCATCCAAAAGTTCTGCCGGGAGACTCTGGCCTGCTGCGGCGGGGAGAGACTCCACAGTCATCCAAAGGGATGTGCCCACGGCATCTGGGGCGGCGACGACCTGCTTGAAGATCACGCCTCGGTATGATGAGCCCAGTTCAGGGCCAAGGTGGTCCTTGGTCACCTCGGAGAGCCATGCGTCACGCTCAGTCTCCCGACGGATCTGAGGCGTGGTGATCTCCTCCGAGTTCTTCTGCAGACTGACAAGAGTGTATGGATGAGGAAGAGTGCCAATGGTAAAGAGGAAAGTGGTGTTCTTGAAAGACGAAGGTTGACTAATCCGCATGGCTGATTTGGCAGAGCCACAGGGACGGCATTCAGGCTCATTGGGTGGGCAGGAGTCGGGCATAGGTGACTCGGGACATTGGATGAGGGCCTTGGCCAGTCGAAGCGCAGGCTCCACCAAGGCTGTGGTGTGCTGAGGGAATGGCTTCAACACAGCCAATCCAGCGGGGAAAGCGGACTGGAAGTGGTTGTGCAGGTGGGCATTGATCAGTTGGACCAGAGCCCGCTGACCGGCTGCAGGGTTCTGGCCCATCTTTTCATGCACGGCCGGATAGTGGGAGGTAATAGCCGCAGATTTATAGAAGGCCAGAGCACTCGGGGACTCAACCTTGAATGACTCTGCGTCCATCAGGTCCACAAAGGAAGTTGTCTTGTCGTCCAGCTTCAGAACTGCACTCTGAACCACCGCATCAATCCGTGACTTCTCACCGGCGTAGAGAGCGTTCTTCACATTGTCAAACCGGGTGATTGACTCCGGCACACTTCCTCGGCGGAGATATGACAGCATGTTGTTATCGTAGCGCGCCATTGGGAAACAATGGAAGTCGGAAAGCAATCCAGTTCCCATATGACCCCAAGCCAGCCAGCCAAACACCTCGTTCTCTGTCTTGGGAGAAAGTTTCAACTTCTGCACAACCTCGTAGTTGGGGTTCAACATTGCGTCCCCAGGGGTGAGCACAACAGGCTTGAAGCCCTGCGCGTACCAGGCGCGGCGCCACGCAAGCAGCAACTCCGCGTCGGCATTCTGTAGCTCCTTGAGGTCTTTGGCACTCGCTTTGTTGGGATTGTATTTCGCGTTGTAGTAGGTGTAGATCGGCCGACGTTCGTCCAGAGGGGGCAGGACGGAGCGGTTCTCATCCAAAGTGATGGCAGAGGAGAATGGGTTCAACCATTCCAATGTGCTGTACCATTTCGACTCGCCGTGGGTACTGTTCTTCTGTTCTTCCGGCTGTTCGTGAGAGGGCGGGCGGAATGATGGCAGGTGGAAATTGGCTAGCGACGATAGCTTGGGTCTGGGCACGAACTTGGCTGGGCCTGAGACCTCTTCCCCTTCAGCGACATCGGGGACTGGAGAGGAGGAAAATATGAAAAGCAATAGCGCAACAAAGACAATCACCGACAATAGAGCCGTACTCCTGTGTGGAATCATCATGCCCCGATGTATGGAAGTGTGTGTATGTGGCTACACTTCTCCTGAAACCGGGAGTGACGGTCTTGGCGAAGCGAAAATAAATTGACGATCACACACCCTTTCCATTCGTTTCCAGTTGCTTTCGCCCTGGAATCCGATGATAATCTCAAGGAACGAGACATCTGGAGTCCCCGATCTCTGGCCGCGCCAAGACATGACTAAGACGCTAACTGAGCAAAAACATTTGAAGCCGTTCACACTGTCTCTCTCGACAAGCTCGCAATGTGTGGGATTTTCTTCTCACTGAGCTCCTCTGGTGGCGCATCTCCAACGCAGGAGACTTGTGAACTGCTACAGAAGCGAGGACCGGACAGTCACACAACACATACAGTGCAAAAGGACATCAAGGCCCAAGATGGAGCATCCTCTGCCTACCATCTCACTTTCATGTCCACAGTGCTGTCGCTGAGAGGCGATCATGTGTACAAACAGCCTCTCGTAGACTCAGAAACCCAGTCCGTGCTCTGCTGGAACGGAGAGGCCTGGAAAATCCAAGGCGAGCGTGTGCAGGGCAATGATACCGAGCGAGTCTTCAACTTATTTTTGCAGGCAGTGAAACACGATGCTGTGGAAGGGATAGCTGAAGCTATCTCATGCATCTCCGGCCCATTCGCCTTCGTCTTCTACGACGCCGTCAACGCCAGGCTCTACTATAGTAGAGATTGCCTGGGTAGACGATCTCTTCTCCAGGGAGTTGACCACAATGGAAACCTGAAGATATGCAGCATTTGCGATAGCGCATCAGCAGATTGCTTCCAAGAAGTCGGCACTGACGGGATTTACACTATTGACTTAGATAATACCCTGACTTCCCGGCCCTGCCAGTCCAAGACCATGCCATGGGGCTCTGGCCGTCTTGTATGTGTCCCATCCATACCAAACAGCGGACAACTGACATGAAAGCGCAGAAACAACCAATTCCACCCATGAACAAATCAGTGCCAGATGATCCACCAGCATTGACAACAGACTCTGCATTCGTCTTAGAGCTCCAATCCAGACTCCGCCAATCACTAGAGCTACGCATCCAAAACATCCCAGAACCCCCAAACTACACCCCAGGCCAGAGTGCCAAGACCGCCGTCCTGTTCTCCGGTGGCCTCGACTGCACCCTCCTAGCAAGACTCTCTCACGAGATCCTCCCCCCAAACGAACCAATCGATCTTCTAAACGTGGCATTCGAAAATCCCCGCGTAGCAGCAGCCGCAAAACTCAACCAGAAAACACCATCCAACCTCTCAATCTACGAAAACTGCCCAGACCGCATAACAGGCCGCTCAGCACACGCCGAGCTCCAAAAAACATGCCCAGGTCGCACTTGGCGCTTCGTCGCTATCGACATCCCCTACTCGGAATGTCTATCCCATAGAGATCACGTCAAGCGCCTCATGAGACCACATAACACAGAAATGGACATGTCAATCGCATGCGCTCTGTACTTCGCTTCCCGTGCCCACGGCTCAGCAACCACAGACCCACTCATTCACTCTGGCTCCCCGTACACGAGCTCCTCGCGCGTTCTCCTCTCCGGTCTTGGGGCTGACGAGCTCTTCGCCGGCTATGGCCGACATGGCGTTGCCTTCACGCGCGGAGGATTCGATGCCCTGATTGCTGAGATTGAGCTCGATGTGAGTCGGCTTGGTTCGCGGAATCTAGGAAGGGATGATCGTGTTCTTTCCCATTGGGGGCGGGAAACGCGATTTCCGTTTTTGGACGAGGAGTTCGTGGCTTGGGTTGTTAGTGCGCCTGTTTGGGAGAAGTGTGGGTTTGGACTTCCTGGTGAAGATACACTTGGTATTGATAGTGAGAAGCTGGCGTTAAGGCTGGTTGCTCTGAGATTGGGGATGGAGTCTGTGGCTCGGGAGAAGAAGAGGGCTATTCAGTTTGGCGCGAGAACGGCTAAAATGGAGACGGGGAGGTCGAAGGGCACAGATGCGTTGACTTGAGGGGGGTTTTCTTAAGCCACTCCCATTTTGGATGGGATCTCAGTTGGCCTTTGTTTCTGCTCTGCTGGCGATGATGACGAAATTTGGAATCAGATACTTCTGAAACCCTCATCTCCGAGCTCAGCATCTTGTTCCTTGATCAATCCTTCTTGTCGGAGGGTTTGTTCCTGTATTCCTGGTTACTCTTTCCGCTATAGAGCAACAGCAGTCCTTGGGCGGCGTGTAGCTCATGGAAAGAAAACCTTATGGTCTACGACTGGGAGCTTGCCGTCTGACGTGGAGGGAAATCAAGGAGGGATGTTGGGAGACGAGGGTTGGTGAAGCGTTTAAAGGCAAGTCTGAGCTGGTTGGTGAATATTTGAGCAGTCAGGTCCGTGTTGTATATAAGTGATTGTAAATACCTAGGTACAGACATAAACTTAGAATATGAATTACGCATACAACTACATGGCTTATGTCGAAGATATTTAGGTCAAAGAGACGATTATTGAAAATCCAAATTGATTTAAAACCAAAACCATATTAAGATAGCCACGAGTCAATCCCAACGGGAGACAATCAGAACCGGCCGAAACAGAACTAAAACATTAAAGCCAATAGTCAAAAATGAGTACACAAAGAAAGAAATGTCTCAAAACTTTTCGAAGATCAGATGAGGTGCAATTTCGGATGAAAGAGACCATCATCTGATCTGTGTGAGACGGCGGTGTTAGGCTTTACCCATCACCCACGCGCCCACGAAACCCCGAGGGTCAACATAAAACCAAAGTAGAATAGCAAAAAAAGGCAACCGAAAATGGAAGATCACTGGTAGGTGTTTTGGATCTGAAGCTGAGCCTTGAGCTTAGCGATTTCGGCGTCACGGGCGGCAATGATTTCGTTGAGCTCATCAATGCGACGCTCGGAATCAGCCTGTCGCTCCATCTTCTTGGCACGCGACTTACGCGCAGCCTCGGTGTTACGAGCGCGCTTGGCGGCAACAGGATCATTGGGATCGAAGTCCACAGGAGACAGGTTCTTGCGAGACCGAGCGTTGACACCAGAAATGCTAGAGTGCTTGGTGCCACCAGTTGCGGGAATGGGGGACGATGCCATTGACGAGGCTGGGCGCTTGAGTGGAGAACGCGGGGTAGTCTCCACCTTAAGAGCAGGCTTCTTGGGCTCCTGCTGTAAGCCAGCAGCAACATTGAGGCTGTCAAGGTTGGCAAGATCGAACGCGTTCATATCGGACGCGCCGTCAAAGAGAGAAGGCCATTCCTCGTGACCGACGAGATCCAAGTCGGTGAACATGGGCGACGCATTTTGGCTGAAGTTGCCAGGCGACTCGAAGGAGGGAGTGCTCAGATCAGTGAAGGTGCCAGAAGGAGGAACAGACGCATCCATCATCAGATCCCGAGGCGAAATGGTACCTGGGGGACCGCTGGGGAGTAGCCCAGTCTGGTCCAAAGCGTCAAAGGCGAGGGGCGAATCCATACCGGCGGAGAAGCCAGCAGAGGGAATGCCAGAAGAGTTCAGATCAAATAGATCGGCTGATACCAGGTTAGCGCTGGGATCGCTGGGATAAGGTGAGATATATGGTAAATTACCTTCCATTGCGAAGTTAGGGGTAGACATGACACGACGGTACGGTTGCGTGTTTGAAGGTTGGTTTTGTTGACCGTTGAAAAGCGGGATAGGAGGGCGGTTGGTGTTCGGAGAGTTAGAAGGCACAGAAGCCGTGTGTTGACGGGCGTGCTTGAGCGTGGGGTGGGACCAATAAGAGGGGGACCGGGCAAGCTGGGTCACTCTAGGATCTTGTGGGCTAGAGTACTGCTGCTGGAGATGACGTTGCAACTGCAAACTGAAGGAGTGTCGTCGGGGGTTATTCTGCGCCAGGAATGGCTGAAGTGCAGAAGGCCTATGGGTTGCTTTCACGGGCACACGCAAGCGGGGCTGCGGGTGAGGTGATGAGGGATAGAGCACAAAGTCCTCGTGTACACTGTTGTTGTTGCTGTTGTTGTTCTGATTGGAAGCCAAGGGCTGTGGGTGCGGGGGCGAGGGAAGCCATGTTTGCGGTTGATAATCCGTGGTGAACGACGTAAAGTCGATCGGGGCAAAGTTGTTGGGGGAAGAACTTGAGCTACGCGATGCGATGCTTAAGTTCAGAGGTCCTGGGACAGGAGGCTCTGAAGGGGGTGGGGTTGAGAGAAAAAGTTGGGTTCCGGTTGGAGAAATAATGTCGTCCTCAGTTGAGAAAGACTGGTCTTGAGACGAGATGCTTATTGGGCACCCATTGTGATGATCAGAATAAAATAAGTAGTTCTGGTGTGATAACAATATGGCGGTTTTTTTGGGAAAAAAAAGGGAAGATGGGAAAAGGAAAAAAAAGTCAGGCAACCGGCGGGGGATCAGGCACTTCTTAACCGCCTGTGTGTGTGTGAGCCCCGCTGACCAATCGGGACCCCGAGCCGCACGGGGCTGAGGCCTGCGCAGGTCACGGGGTGTGAGTCACAGTCTGGTTGGAGACTCTGATTGGTCAAGGGATTTGGTCTCAGGCATCCGCGGTACATCCTGCGATACCTACCTATCCGCCTGCATTGCCTGCGCAAGACAGGTATCTTGCAGGTACTATATTCTCATCCTGATCTCCAGGGCTCTCTCTTACATTCTTGCCCTCTTCGCTTTTCCTCATATGTTTTCCATTCTTTTTGAAGGCAATTTTTTTCTATAGAGTACCTACACACTACGAAACTACGAAACTACGTAGTCTCGCGGAATAGAGCCTTTCTTCCGGTTCTGGATAATGCGCACGATCCACACTTTCCCGATTCTGTCCCCGCGGTGGGCTGTGCCCGTGCATTGCGTCCTATGAAACGGCCAGCCGTCCCTTAGCCTTACCGAAGGGCGTAAAATTGACTTTTGCGAACATTTTCATTGGAAAAGATTTGCTGGAAAAACCTGCAATTCAGCAATTCGAAGGGTTTGAATGGGGTTTCACCGTATTTCTTTCTATCAGCCTTTAAGTGAAGATATTGTCTATACTCCGTACTCCTGCATAGCCTCTATGTTAATAGTCCCAGTACTAGCGATCTCAAATTAGTGGGAAATTGCCTTGTTTTTGTGCCTCGCACTGACGTACGATCCGGTCGAGGCTCGGGTGAAGGCTCCGCTCTGTCTCCAATCTCCAGGCTAGCCCGGGACTGTATAGATAATGGCCCATAGTGGATTAGTGTTCTTATTAGGTACGGTATTCACGCTGGATTCTGCGAACTTACTCCGGGGATGAACGTTTCGTTTGGACCTAAACATCCTCGTCGCTCACAGCTGTCAGGCTTGTATGTACCCCATATTCTGCCAACACATACAGCATACACAATGGAGACACACTTGGACTCGGCTACGCGGGTGACATGCATAAGAGCCTGCAGGCGGTTTCCACCGTCCTCACATCGGACCCATACGGGTAGATCCTCGGGCATACTAGGACGACATCCTCGCAGTCCTATAAACTCCGACAAGTCTACCAAGGTACCGACTGTGAGGTGCAAATCCTAATGCATTTACGGAGTACGGGGACGGAGTATGGAGAAGATTAAAAACAACAACGGAGATTTTATTAAGTATTACCTGTCACACGGCGTGCCGCCTGGGCGGAACATAAACCAGCCGTTCACGACAACGCTAGACAACGTCGGGTCAATTTGGGTTGCAAGCAAGGCAGAAACCAGATCCAACATGGCAAGCAAAAACAAAGCACCCATCCTCCCCACAGGGTATCAAACGTAAAAGCAAGAAACCAAAAAAGCAGAGTGGTATCAATCTAGTCGGGCGGCACACCGCGTAACGCGTGGACACGTCGCGAATATTCACAGCTCGCGAAACGTGGAACGTAAGGAACGAACCGCAGTCCAAAGGCTGCTGGCGTCGTGAGGCGCCAATGGTATTATTTTTTGTGAAAAAAAAGGGCAGTGTGAAAACAAAAGAACAAAAAAAGCGAAAGCGGGTATCTCATTGCCACCATCACAGTCCAAGGGTCGTCTTGGGGGTTGTGGATAGTGACAGTGGCGAGGCAAAAGCACAAAAGAACTGGAGCGAAATGGTATCAAATCTGAACATCAGGACTGAATCAGTCCTTCAGGGGTGACGCGGGCGGGCGATGGATAGGACATATCCCACCATCGTTCAAACTCCACGACACGTCTCCGAGGAGACTCAGTTCATGCGGCAGCCTGGACGGGAGTGGAGGCAGGAACGTTGACGTTCTTGGCCTCTTCGGTAGCCTCGACGGGAGCGGCAGTGGTGGCCTCGGGGACAGCAGCCTCCTCAGCGGTCTCCTTGGCGGGGACAGCGGGGGCGGCCTCCTCGGCCTTGTCAGCCTTAGCCTCAGTCTCAGCGGCGGCAACCTCCTCCTTGTCGAGCTTGACAGCCTTGCTGGGCTTGCGGAAGAGACCACCAAGCTTGTTGGACTTGGCCTTGGTCTCCTTGGCCTCACCGTCGGTGCCCTCGTTGTCGGAGGACTCGGCCTTCTTCTCCTTCTTCATGCCCAAGTTGCCGAAGAAAGAAGTGCGACGCTTCTCCTTGGGGGTGGAGACGGCCTCGGCAGGAGTCTCGGCGGGGGTCTCGACGGCAGCCTCAGCAGGGGCAGCCTCGGTAGTCTCAGCGGGGGCAGCAGTCTCCTGAACGGGGTTCTCAAGCTGGGGAGCGGTGCTGGCAACGGGGGTCTCCTCAGCAGCAGGGGCGGTGGCCTCCTTCTCGGACTTCTCCTGAGAAGGGCTGGCGACCTTCTGGAAGAAGTTACCGAAGATAGAAGCGCGCTTGGCCTTCTTCTCGGTCTTCTTCTCTTCCTTGGCCTCCTCCTTGGGGGTCTCGGTCTCAGCAGGGGTCTCAGCAGCGGGCTCGGTGGCCTTAACCTCCTCAGTGGCCTCGACAGGGGCGGCAGCAGGAGCGGCAGCCTCGGTGGTCTCAGCAGCAGCGGGGGTGGCTTCGACGGTGGTCTCAGTGGCGGGCTCAGTAGGCTTGACTTCCTCAGCGGCAGGAGTCTCCTCCTTGTCCTCGACCTTCTCCTCCTTCTTCTCCTCGGCGTCCTTCTTTCCGAGAAGAGTGCCGAAGATGCTGGTGCGCTTGCGGGACTGGGAGCGGCTCTTGGCAGCGGCCTTCTCCTCCTTCTTCTCTTCCTTGGCCTCCTCCTTGGGGGCCTCGGTGGCCTCAGCGGGGGTCTCCTCCTTCTTCTCCTCGGCCTTCTTGGCAGAGACAGCAGCGGCGGGGTTGGTCAGCTTCTCAAGCTCGGCCTTGTAGCCCTCGCTGGAGACGATGGACTCCTTCTCAGCCTTGGCCTCGGTGGCCTTGGACTCGAGAGCGGCAACCCAGCTGTCACGCTCGGCGACAGTGGAAGCCTGGAAGGTGTGCTTCTGGCCGGCAACCTTGAACAGGAACTCGTTGGGACCCTCCTTGGTCACATCGGAAACCTCAGACTGGCAAGCTGTTAGTACACATCTTATGCCTGTCATTGATAGAACGACTCACCAGGTTGAAGATACCAGCGGGAGTGGCCTTATCCTCAGCGCGCTTGGTGAAGAAAAGCAGACCCTTGCCGGTCTGGCTGGCCCAGGCAGCGGTGGGGTTGGCGACGTTGGCCTTCTCGTTCTGGTGGAAGACGGAGAGCTGCTTGCTCTCAACAGCCTCCTCGTTGAAGTAGAAGAAGCGCTTGGCGAAACGGAAACCCCTAGTCTGATGTTAGACCTTATCCGATGTCTTGTCATTCCACGATGCGCTACTTACTTGACCAGACCGGGGGCCTTGTATCCCAGAACACCCTCAGTGGCGGGCTTTACCTCCTCCTTGGCGGGCTCAGCAGCCTCGGTGTTCTCAACGGCGGGGGTGGCAGTGGTCTCGGGCTCGGTGGCCTCAGTCTCCTTGGGAGCCTCAGTCGCGTCAGTCGCGGGGGTCTCCACGACGGGCTCGGTGGCAGGGACGACCGCGGGGGTCTCCTCAACAGTCTTTTGGACGTCAGACATGATTAATAGTATTAAACTTGGGTATTAGTGAAGCTGCGCTTCGTAGAAAAGAAACTGGGTATTTGGGGGGGGTATCTCGAAAAGAAAAGCAAAGAATTAAGAGCACTAAGCTCGGGTATCACGAAGTAGGGGTATTTTGCTTTGTGGGAGAAGGAATGGAAGGAGAGAAAAGGGGAGGGGAGGGAGAAGAAAAAAGAGTCAGAGGGCGCTTGTTGATGGCGCTTTGCTCCCAAAGAGGAAAGGACCTGCAGGGAGCCCAGAGCTCAGTGGATCGGCGATTAGCTAACGCTCAGGGGTTATTTTGTTTTTTTTTTTATTACCATTTTCTTTATTATTTTGATTATTTTTGATTATTAGGATTGTAGTATTATTAACATTACATATTAGCATTATTTGGCTCTTATTTCACCTATTCATCTGGACTAGTGACCGTGGTTCTGTGGATTACTCTGTTTAGCATTGAGTAGGACGGAGTACAAACCTTGAACATCACCTATCTGTACTCCCTCAAACTATTCCCGTTTTTTTATCTTTTTTCTAATGTTTTTTTTTTGGTCTTTTTTCCCTTGGTGAAACATCAATCTACCCAGCCCAACTTCTTTGTCTAGCATGGCGCTAGACCATATGATCTAACGCCATTTAGGCCTCTTTTATCCTTTTTTCATTTTATGGGAAAATCTCTGCAAACCTTGGGGCATCACACCACAGTTCGGATCCTCCGATTACAGAATTAAGAGCCGTTTCAACACGTTTCAACACGTTTCCATTAGTTCATCTGCACGACAGAGAATGTGATACATCGGCATGGCGGGGTGATGTACCAGTCATCCGACCCAAGTACCTACAGGTATGTGGCCAATTCCTTGTAGGTACTCCGTGTTTATCAGTCAAGTACTCGTATAGGTACTTGCCTTGGAACTCTTTTTCGTACTCTGGTAAAGTTACACAAATGGAATCCTCGGCTCTAATCCTTTACAAATCAACCGTTTTGGTCTACATAGTCCATATTGATACTCGTACAAGTACAAAGGACTACAATACGGAGAACGGAGTACGAGTACTCATCACCTTGAAGGCGCCATCCCTCGGAAGGGGGGCATCCTATCCCTGTCCCACAGCCCTGTTATCGTACTTTGAACTTCGGAGTGGTCAGCCCTGAACTGGAGCTTGGAGGGGTCTTCGATAATGCTTTAGGTTCTGCAGAATGGTTGGCCGCGGCAATACAATCTCACGACCCCATGACCCGATATCAACTCTATGATTGAGTGGCGTGAGAAAACCTCATCAGTGACCAACCAGCCGTCATACAGCCCCTCCATCTTGATTTTGGTGCTTTACAGTATCAGCGCATCAGCTCCTCTCTTTCTACACTCGTAATTCCGATTCTCTCGGCAAGGATCCCATGATGTTTTGTCCCTGCCCAATCCAAGACGCGTTGGGTACGGAGCTTGCCTCTTTACGTGATAGACGCATCATTCCAAGGCCCTATACGGGGATCTCCCTTCCCACGAGGTCTCGTCTGACTTACGCAGTCAACATGGTTCTATTCTGTGGATCAGAGAACATTCCTTGTATGGAGTGCAAATACAAGCTCGTATCCACATCTCAAGGCTTATGGAAAATTGCCCCTAATTAACCCCTAATTAACCCCTATACGTGCTGCCTTAGGTTCGAACTAACAAGCCAGGAGGAAGGACAATAGTCTCCACTAGACCATGAGCTGGGTTCCGTGTCTCATCAAATAGGGGCCGGTCAAAGAGTTTTCAACTGACAATCTGAGTCGGCCGGTTTTGGGTAAATCTACGGTTCGTTGCAGACTCTCTAGACGAAACGTGCAATCCAAGATTCGAGTCGGTGAGACCGACCCTTTACCAGCCACCGCTCTCAAGATCAGTGCCAGGCAAAGGAGTCGCGACGAAGATTTGGATCTGCATGTACAGTTGATCACCCTGAGGCCCCGACACCGGCTGCCAGAATGTGACCATCGGAGCATTTCTAGTAATGATAGCCAATACGGACGGGCCACTCCTCGGTAGTCCTAGACACCCTATCAGAAGGTCCCTTTTCCACCCGTTAGTTAGGGCGACCATTTACAAACCCTGCCGGTGCTGCCCTTTTTTGCGGTCGCTGGTCTCGGCCTCGATCCCGCTGCCCGTTGTGAATGGTGGCTCTTGGCCGACTCTCGACGATCCTGGACACTGAGGTCGTGCTGTTGATCTTTCTCCCCTCTCGATGCCGCAAATTTTGACACCATGCATGGCACTTGCATAGCGGATCCCGGGAGACGACCTTCTGTCCCGCAGGTGTGCTCCGTACATTTTACAATCTACTCGTACTCCATCCTCTGCCAGGGGAGGATTCCTCGGATGTGTACTCCGTTCCCAGGTGTGCATGTTGCTGAAACTTCCAGGTACGGTGCAGATGCAAGAAACCAGTTAGTACGGCGTACACTGGACTAGTATTCGCGAATCACAGTCTTCCACCAGATTTGGTTTTACGAGCACTAGAAAAACCCGAAAAAGAAGCCCCTTGCCCAATACTCCGTACGAGTAGGTTTTACCGTGCCAAGAACCATGCGGTGTACACAGGAGGCGGATTTCCCGTCCACCTAAGCTTCCGACAGTTAGCGCCTACTAGATCGAGCTTTGGTCAAAGACTTAACCATGGACCATTTTGATGAGGATGAGCACTTGAATCATTCTCGTGTCAGTACGAGTGCTCGTAGATTAAGAGTGGGCTCCAGGACAAGTGTCCTCTCTGGCTTCTGTCCTCGTAACTATACGGAGCCCGGACAACATCCGAATCAAGCTCAGATACGAAGGTCAGGTTTTGCAGGAACCACAATACAAAGTTGTGGAATAGGGGAGGATCCACACAAGCTCGGGTAGCCAGTGTAAACAAGGAGGTTCAATTATTGGTCTGTGTCCTAGCACACATTGTACGGAATAATTCGCAGACATACGAAGTCCTCTGTACAAGGGCAGTTGAATGCAAGGTACTTTGTAGGAATGGTGCGCAGGAAATTGACACATCAGTTAGGAAATGGGAGAAGGGGAAATGATGGTGTCAGGAAGCCTGAGGCTTGCTGGGGTCACCTGATCGCCTTGGCCAATCAGAATCAAGTACCAGACTTCGCTTAGCACTAGTGCGGATTCCGAGGAGCATAAATAGCTCCTCCCTCTCCCGCTTTTCCTCTTCTTTTCTTTCTTCTTCATACTTACCTTGTTTGGGTGACTGCGATCAAAAAGGCGGTTCACCACAGATTGGTCCCTGCATTGCACAGCGCGGCGGAACAGTTTGTTCAACGGCTTTCGGGTCATTGACAGGCGTATTCTTTGGCACCCTCCATTCGTGGAATTTCTTCTTTTCATCAATCCTTGAGCCATTGGCTCGAGCTTGGAGAAGAGAATCTGTAGTTAGTCTGTGCACAGTATTCCCTGTAGTCAACATCCCTCCCTTCACTGTATGGTTGCTCTTAGAACGCTCACTTCAGTTGCGTCTCACCTCTGGATCCATGCATCACCGACCGCGCCTTATGTCTGCACTACATGGTATCGCCAAGTTGGTTATTATTCTTGAGTATGACTCCGTACTCCGTACTGCTAACTACCCAGGTACTATGGAGTAGAAGCTTCCTGAGCCCAAGCTACCTACTTCGCACAAGTACTCCGTGGCAGAGAGCCTCTTCGGCCCGTCCTGTTGATATGACGTCGACCCAACGGCTTTGCCACATCTGTGGCGACAAGCTCTTACCCAGCTCCAACGCTTCCCCAAATCTCACCACGATCATCCACTAAGCAACAGCCTTATTCTACCTTGTCTACAAGCTCTGAACACATCGCATCTGCCACATCAGGCCGTGTCACTACAAACCCACACCCCACCGCAATCTCACCCGCGCCATCAAAGCACCGCCGCCATGCCAGTTCCCACTGCCGACCTTTTTGACAAGCAACAAGACCAGCAGACCAACGGCACCCACCCTTCCAATCCTACAGTATCTGCTGCAGAACCAAGCCACCAAGGTACGGTCAGCGAGAGCTACTTTGGCTCTGCTGGGTCTGGCAGTTCTGGGGCGCAGAACAACGAGGCCAATCGCGCCTTGACGAGGGAAGAGGCTGATCGTCTATACGAGGAGCGCATGGAGGAAGAGTATGCGAAAAGGGATGGTGGGGCTTGAATGATGAATATTCGATGATGATATGGTTTCTCTGATTCTCTTTTTCTCTCCACTATGACCTCTGCGGCAGTCATAGCTCGACTATCCAATCCATTCGGTTTCGACTAGGAAGCACAGTGTGTCTTATTCCTCGTAGCGGGTATCCTGGTCTGTCTACAACGACGTCTAGATGAACATGACTACTGGCCCACAGGGGGTTATTCGGTGTAGACCTGAAGCTCTAGAGATGCTCTAGTCGGCTTTCTGGCCATGACGCTTGACTCTAGGTGCAAGATGAAGCCTGCGCCCGCAGCACCTTGTGATGATATGCCCGATTTGACGGGTTTTCGATGGCATACTGATGATTCCGGTGGCTCAAGCTGCCTGTTTTTCTCGATTGCCTTTTGTAACCACCGGGCTGGGTGTTGATAATATATAGTAGTGCATGCACACCCCTTCGTCCTAGGCTGAAAAAAAAAAAAAAAATACAGAATTACTTAAGTATGTCCACGAGTACATCCTAGCATCTGTTTTTGAGCCTTACACTCACTGACTTTCAGAGAACTACTCATGGAATTTAATTCAAATCTGAAACAAGACTTGAGCAACATTGTATGCACTTGCCAAGCAATCACGTGATAGTGGCTGATGCGGCCAACTCAGCCAAGTGACCTCGAGGAGAGCAAAGGAGCGTCGGTATCCAGCAGAACCCCCGACTCTGCGTCTTTCTTTGAGTCATTTCTCTGCAGTCACTCTTTACGTGTATTGTTACCCGTCTAAGCTTACCGGTAGCCTTGCACCATGGCTCCGCAAGACACCTTCTTCCGCTCGTCGGAGATGA